CGCCTCACCTGGAGCGTCTGCGTGAGCTGAATTATGATGAGGATATTATATTTCTCTTCTCATTTTTCCACGAAGGAGAGACGCGGCAGAGCTGAGCTGAGACAAAGTTTATCTCTGTCACCCTAAAAAGAAAATAAAAGCAGCTGCAACTCAAAGGACGAACAGGTAACTCAGGAGTTCTCATTTACTATCACTGCGATTCACTGTGAGCGTTTCCTTATCCCTTCAGAGTCATGATGTTAAAATGAACTCATATCCTTTTAAAACAACATTCAACGAGCTGTCCTGGTTACAGCGAAGGCACGTGCTGGAAGTCAGCTATAGGAAACTGCGAAACTACAATCTTAGTTGTCTTTATCAAAGGCAGACAACAGAAATAACGTTTTAAGATGAGTGTTATATAAAACCTGATAAACACTATCAGACTTCTTAAAATAAAAACTATGAATAATGAAACCTATTTTGTGAGAGTCAAGATTGTATTCTTCTACTTTTTTAAGTATTTATGAGAATTTAAACACCAGTCATAATGAAGTTTATTCAACTTTGCCTTATTAAAACCTCTACAGTTTATATGATTAAGTTATAGATACCAGTGCAGGTTTCAAGTACAAAAAATAGTTAAGTGTTTGTGATATATAGAAGAGGTAAAAAGAGCAAAATTCAACAAAGTTTGACAGGTCATCCTGAAAAAGAAGTTGATTTAAGTGTTTTATCTTATCGTAGAGTAATAATGTAGGTTTCTGTTTCTATATATCTGAAGTAAAGTTTCATAAGTGAGTGTTAAAAGCATGTCTGGGTATCACACCTGTATGATATCATCTGAGATAGAGGGACAGTCTGTAGCCTGTATTACTGCTGACGCAACATTCATTATTACTGCCTGTTTAACTCCGGTCTCGTGGAGTTTACTCCTGGTAAACAGTCATTTGAGTTATTTATTTCAATATAACTTTTTAAGGTTTTCATGTGGCAACTGCATGGAGGGTCCCTGTGACACTGATGAAGATATATATATATTTAAAATACTATATTTAAAAAAAGCAAAATAGAGAAAACATATTAAAGTAGTGTTTTAATTAGGATAACATTCCTACACATTGAGCTTTTAATAATCACTTGTGTATACGAAAGGTTTTGATTTTAAAATTGCGTATCTCAGCTGTATTTGCAACCTAATTATAAACAGGATGTCAGATGTAAGTCTAGGTAAAATTTCTGTATGCATAATTTACTTAAATATTGGTACCAAACTCCAGAGCATAATGTACAAGATAAGCAAACTTTTACAGCCATAAAAGAGCTCAAAAAGTTTAAAAAATGTATGTCAAGTACCAAAAAGAACAAAAGAAGGATTGCTCCCCGTAATATTTTCATCATATCACAACATTTTGATCCATGGGCTTTTCTCTCTATAATCTACTACATATTTTAGGAAGTTCACTTTTGAAAAAGTGTATTGTATAAGTGTATCATACATTTTCTTGTTGAAAATTTTGAACTCAGAAGTGTAAAAATAGTTGTAAAAGGAATGCCATGAAACCGGGGCACCAAAGTGGTGATACTGAACTGAAGCACGAAAGTAACCTTGAAGATGTGCTGAAGTATGCTTCAGTAAATGCTCTTAAATATTTTACAGTACTCATTGTATGTCCGCAGGTTTGGTCCTTTTAAAAAAATTAGCAAAAACTATATGACATCTCATTTTTAGTTTAATCCTATTTTTGCCGGTTATATTTTAACTGTGTGTCTAAAATCATCCAGACTCTTTATGTATAAAAAGCAGCGCTGACTAAACTACAACAAACAAACAAACAAACTAAAAGATGCCGATGTAATTGTATTGTTTTTGTCATGAAAATGGTTTAAAAAATAAATAAATAAAAATATTGATGGTTGTGTTTTCCCAACATGAGACAAGGGACATCCAGATATCAAAATTCATTATGAAAACATCATTGTATTAAAATGATAAAGTTTGCTGTTTTGACCATTTTTTTTAATGACAGGACCGCCAAAGTCAAAAAATGCATTCCTTTATTTCTACAACTACTTTATAAATTAAATAATAATTAATGAAAGAAAGATTAAAACTAGAGTCAGCGTTCAAGACTCATAATTTTAGTTTTCGTGTGTATTTTGATTTAGAACATGCCTGTATAGTTAACGTACATGAACTAAGAGTGGCGACTGTGAATACCAAAAACCCATCTCTCTAGTTTGAATATTTCTGCTCCAAATAGACTGTTTTCTCTAAATATGTTAAAAGTTGTTATACTAGGCCAAAGTGTACGAGGTTACCGTTACTAAATATGCAGCAGAAGAAGAATTTGTTTTTCATTAGTGTATAAATCAGTGTTACGGAGTGGCTCCTAAATCTTTGAGGATGTTAAACTGTCATCCGTATACAAACTATCTCTGCACTTAACCACACAGCTGAAGCACAGGGCAACAGATTGGCAGAGATCCGCCTTCCCGTATCCACATCCGTCTTTCATGAGGAGAAATCCATCACTTTGCTTGACAATAAAGTTTGAATCCTATTTTTACATATCCTCAGTCATATAATTTTAAATTTGCTTCACAAATATGAAAGTAGTTCACTTTTCCTTATGCACCATCAATTGGACATTTGTCGCCATGGCGTCAGATTTGGCTCTTCCAACAAATGTTTTTGTTTGTTTCAACTTATTACAATTTTTTTAACGACACAGAGCAATTTTTGTAAACACATTAACAATGATAAAAGCTAGAAAGTATTGGTTTCAAATGAAAAAGGGCTTCTTATGACTGACCTGACTTTACAAACTGCCGTGCTCTTCTTGACCTGTCTTGTCCAACAGGTTAGAAACAAACTGCTTGTAGATACCATTTGACCTCAAGTGTTATTTTTTTTCAACTCTGTGTCTGAAGACATGAGTAAGTAGCTAATGAGACAGGTTCAGAATAAAAAAAAGATATAGCTGGGTCTGGAAAATGGGCTTTGAAGAGACATGTGGAAACTCAAAGATGAGCAGTCTAAAAAATGGCAGCTTTTGTTGGAAAATCTTGATCATTGTGTGTGAAGATTTGCAACACTGTCGGATAAATACAGTTTATGAGAACAGAGAGTGTTGAAGTTTTCACTCATTTTGTTGAGATGATTTCTTGGAAAATCCTGAAAAGAAGTGCTCGCCCCCTTTCAGTGCCTCTGTCTTGCTGTGGCAGACTTGTAAAGCGGGGGCTGTGCTGGGTCTTGGTCGGGCAGGTTTTATGACCATAGCTCTGTCATTGCTCTATACCATCCTCCTCCTCCCTGGGGCCCCCTGTATGCCAGCTGTTTCCTTGAGGAGCTTGTAGCGCTCCCAGCACTTTAGCTAGCAGGAGGAGGAGGAGGAGGATGCTGTCTTCGTTTGTTTACGGTCGTGTCAGTAAGAACGTAGTTGGGGTGACCATTTCGCCGTGTGTTTGAGTCGCATTCCTTAAGATTACAGAGCAGCTCTGGCTCCAGGCCGACGTGAAATACATCAGCTTGACCTTTAACTCCAGACCTTTCATTAGGGAATTCCAAACTAATTGTTTTACGATTTCATTGTGACTAGAGAGCATCTCTGAGTGGGCTCACCTGAACCTTTGAGAGGCAAGTGTTGTCCTGTTGGTGTGGTCGTATTGACTTAACAAATTGAGATCCAGTGACGAAGATTTTCGACTGTCAGTCACAGTGACACCACCTGTATGCTACACCATGAGCACTTTACTGTCTCTCATAGCAGGTATGCATCTCCTCCTCTGGAGCTTGACCTCTTGTGTGGGGGCGACCTTGTGCAGTCTGCTCTGTCAGATATGGTATCACAACAAGTGATCTCGAGACTGAAAAGCTTCAGACTTTACTGTTTCCTGCTGTAAAGATAATTGTAGATGTTCCAGGATGGGGGTGTGGTGGAAGTCAACAAGATTGTTTGGGGCTAGGACATGTTCGGAGCCAAGCTCTAGTCTCGTAGGCCGGTCGCTTCTTGTCATAAATTTCAACAGACTTGTCCGATTTTAACAAGCCTCATGTCACCTTTAGAAATCAGGGCCCCTCCTCCCTGCTGACTGAAGCTGCGGAGGTGTGCACAAGTGTACATACCGAGAGTGTGTTAAGGCCAAAGTGCTGTTTGGGAGTGTGCCCATAATTATGCACATAGAGTAATTGTTCTCATGTCATTCTTGGATTCCCATTCTCAGGCTTCTGAATGCCGTCAACCTGTAACTGTTGATGTTTTCTGCAGCCCGAGTAGAGGAGGTGGGGTGTTTTACGGGGCTCTTTCTGTGACTTGCCTGGAGGCCTGTTGTTGTAAATCATGTGTGATTTATAAAAAACTGGTTCTCCTGTCTGCCAGGTTTCATCTCCACAAACCTCAGAGACGTACAAATAGACTTTGGCCTGCAGCCATACCTCCCTGGAACTTCTTCCTTTACCAAACTGCTCTCCTGTCAACACCCCCCTTTGCTCTTGTCCCTCCCCCCCACTTCTACCTCTGCCTCTGCACACGGTCGACCATGTTATTTTCTTTGCGCTTGTCTTTTGACTGTCCTCCATGGGAAGTACCTGGCAGCGGATGCATGTGGCAGGTCTCTGCCTGGACACGTCTGTCTCCCCCTCTCTCTTGTCTCCACGGCCACGCAGCGTGAGAACTGCAGTATCCATGGTGATGAGGAGGTGTGCTTGGGTTGGTTACTTAAATGTTGTAGACAGGAGGATTTAGGCCTGAGTGTCTGCACTTCAGAAGTTCAGAGTAATATCAAAGCCTGAAATCAAATGACCAGAGACATAAAAGTGGACTGCAGGTGGTTCAGAGAACTTTACACTGATGCTAAATGAAGAGCTAACAGTTTGCCTTTCCTTCCTGTCTGCAGGTTTCTCCACTGAATTGCCATCCCATCATGTGGTAATCTTCACATCACTACCTAAAAGACAGTGAGCCACACTTTGAGCAGCTCACCTCCTCATCTATCTTACACCTGCAGCAGCTGCTCTCATGGCCCACCCGTATGAGCCGTGGTTACGGACAGCACCACCTAGTGGCAGCTCAGAAGACATGAATATCCCCTCTTGGTGGGACCTCCACAGAGATGTCCAACCTGGGAGCTGGATAGACCTGCAGACGGGACAGGGGGTGGGCTTGCCATCAGTGAGTCCTGGAAGCTCCATGGGCTTGCAGCCATCTTTGGGACCCTACGGCTCTGACCCTCAGCTGTGCACCTTGCCTCCTACACAACATGCCCCACCCTCACACTCATCCCACCTCTACCCCCAGGATGGCTTCAAGATGGAGCCCCTGGCCCCTGAAATGCTGCAGCAAGAACCATTCTCCCTGGAGGAACCACAGGAGAATCCTGTCTCAGCCCGCCCAAAGCCCCAGCGCCGCTCTTCCTCCAGAGGCGCCGGCCAGGCTGTGTGCCGCTGCCCAAACTGTGTCCACGCCGAGCAGCTAGGCCAGAGCACAGATGACAGCAGGAGGAAGCACATGCATAACTGTCACATCCCAGGCTGTGGCAAAGCTTATGCCAAGACCTCCCACCTGAAGGCTCACCTACGATGGCACAGCGGGGACCGGCCTTTCGTCTGCAACTGGCTCTTCTGTGGCAAGAGATTCACGCGCTCTGACGAACTGCAGCGCCACCTTCAAACGCACACTGGCGCCAAAAAGTTCAGCTGCGCATTATGCCCTCGAGTCTTTATGCGCAATGATCACCTGGCCAAGCACATGCGCACACACGAGTCCCCTCCAGGACACGGGGAGGAGAGGGTGAATGGAGACGGGAGGATGGAGAAGAGCTTTGATGCTGCTACACCTCCTCAGTCTTCTTCAAATGTGTCTGCATCTGAAGTCTCAGAGCCTCCGCTGAAGCTGAAGTGTGAGACAGACCCCTCAGTCTCTGGTGTGACGGGACAGTCTGGCTAAATTCAGCAGGCTATAACTTTGCAGTTAAAGGTTTACCGAGGTTTTCCTCTGTCATAGAGATGCCATTGTTTTACAATAGAGTAGAGAATAGGAAACAGGTTTGGAGGAATATTTACTGATGGAAGTTGGGTTGAAGAGAACGGTTCTCATTGTCATCCTGTGAATTTAGCAACTGGGTAAACTCAGTTATACTCTAAATGTTTTCTCACACAGAAAAAAGACAGAAAATTCTGATCCTGTGGACAAAACTGTCCTCTGTTCACCAAAAGGTGACAACAGAGGCAGCCGAGCTGAATCTACAGCTTGTTGCTGGACCACCACTGCTGCTGCTGAAGCTACCGGCAGACCAAAAGACAGAGCCAAGTTCAACTGAAGGTGGCTTTTCATTTGTTTACAGTGAGATTAATCAAATATGTAAGTTCAAGAGCTGGACAAATATTTGTCTCCAACACAGTTTCAAAGGCAGAAGGCTTTTGAGTGGAGGCTGAGTGACACGGTTTTTACGTAGCCTACTGGAACACTGGAATATAAAAGAGCATCGAGTCATTTTTTCGAGGGCCAGTAATCATTTGAATGGCTGGGAGTTTATACCACAAAACAAGGCATTGTTGGTATGTTCCTATTTAAAACGATACAATGAAAGCACAACAGACACTGAGGCTGTGTGAGGCAACAACATGACTGATTTAATGTAATGCTTACATTATAATACATAATAAATGGATGATGACACACTTAAAAATGAAAATGGAAATAGCAAAAAAGATGAGACACTGTGTAAAATGTCAAAAACAGATTTTTATGGTTTCAAATCATTTAAAAATTATATATGACTGAAAATAGCTCAGACAACAAATCAGGTGTTGAAACTGAAACGACAAATGTTCCATGAAAAATATTTGCTTATTTCAAATCTGACGCCAACAACACATTTCAAAGAGTTGTGACAGAGACAGCAAAACACTAAAGAAGTTTTGTGATGTGGAAAAAAAAAAAAAACAAGAAAAACTTGTAACTAATTTTTATAAAAGTCAGTATCATGACAGTATCATGGGTGAAAACGGCATCCCAGAGAGGCTGAATCTCTCAGAAGTAAAGATAAGAAGAGTTGCAACAATTTGGAGACCATGTGAACTAACAGCGCAAAACTTTTCAAATGTTTCTAAGCATCAAAGAAAGAAAGTTGAAGATTTCATCATTTAAATTTCATCATGTCCAAAAACGATTCCCACATCTGGGAAAGTGTCTGCTCACACAAAAAAGGCAAGGCCTGGTATTAAATCTGGATGGCAGTTATCTTAAGGCCTGAAGCAGATAATTGTCCATCATCAGAATTGTTATTTGGTATTCTTTTTTAAAAGCAGTGATTGACATGATCCTGTCCTGCGTCTTTTGACACGTCTATATTTTTCATGAATTTAAAGAAAGTCTGTTTCAACTTTCGATATGTTGTCTTTGTACTATTTTCATTAAATATAGAGTTTACATGATTTGCAAACCATTGAATTCTGCATTAATGGACATGATGCGCAGCCCAGCTTTTAAGAATTAGAGTTGTATATGCACTACATTTGCCAGTATTTACCAAATATGTTGTGTTTTAATGGTAAAGCAGTTCATAGAAATGATCTCACTGTAGGAGTATGTGAACACTGTTCTGGGTTACAAAGAAAGCAAAGATGCACAAAGTGCAACATTAATGTAAAAACATCCTCTCTCACAACGTCAGGTCGAGAAGTTAATGCTGAGCGAACATGAAGAGCTGCCTGGTCAAATGAATCCTGGTTTCTTCTGCTCCGTTGACAGTGATTATATTTGAAATTTACACAACTCTACAAATCCTCTCTGTCAACATTATAGGCTGCTGCTGCTGAGTGAAACTTCCTGAGAGGCTCTTGAAATTAGTGACATTTTGTTGTGTCAAGAAAGCTTGTTTGTTAAGCTCATAGCTCCTGTGATGAACCTTTGGAGGTTTGTGTTGATTTTGGCACCCCCTGTGGACATACTGGTACCTCTTCTGTCTTCACTCATCTTGTCCTGTACATGTACTAGTTGTGTTCTTCTCTAGAGATTTCAATCGCTGTCTATCTAGCAGGAAAAACTGTTAAGAGGACTTCTGCGGGAGTTTGTGATTTAACATGTTAACTGACAGCTACTCCATGACAGCAGAGTCAGGCATTAAAAATATCAAAATAGAATTAGATTATCTAATCTACTAAGTCAATTTTGCCTTTAGCTCATAAAGAGGTAACAGTATTAGTCCATTTCAAAACCAGCCAAAAGCTACTCACAGGAGCTTTAATAAAATATATTTCATACATAAATAAATTTCATCACCTTTGGCAGATTTTTATGTTGAAGCAAAGTAGAAAATGCTATCTGATTGCCTTGGCCTGAGAAACCTGATTGGTTTACTTTTAAGTTTGACATTGAGTACAAGATCTGGGCATACGACAAAAATCAAAAGAGAAGGTGTTATTGAGGAGAATATATTTCTAACATTTAGAAACATCCTCTTCTGATTTCAAAACTCAACTCATCAGATGTAGTTTTCTTTGTGAAGTACTCAAGTACAGTTCTACACTGACATCATGATTTTGACTTTAATGTAAAAAATCTTGACTTCAACCTCAAAGCAAAAATTGAATAATTTAAGGTACAGTGTATGGGATTGAGAATATTAACATTATCTATCACTCTGAATCTTATGGTTCCTTTACTCACCCCTGTTGATGGTGAAACAACAGCAGCCTTTAAGACAAGAAGCTGATGTGTATGGTCATACTTATCCTGCCTGATAAGTATGATCCTGTATTTGTCAAGTTTTCTCTATCAAAAAAACACCTATCAGTACAAACACTCTTGTGCAACAACCACTGTCTCCTTCTTTGTCTTCTTACTGGTGTATTTGTCCAGCCTGTGCTACGGTAGAAACACAGCGTTGCAAGATGGTGGCCTTGGTTCAAGGGGACTTGCTTCTGTGCAAATATAAGAGACTTATTTAATGTTAACAAAAACAAAATCATGTTTAAAATTCAGGTGATTTTACACAAATTCAAACATACTTAAGAATAGTATGTTCCATCACGGCCAAGTCTGTTCTGCTAAATGCTGCTAAATACTGCACGTAGCATCTTGAGTTAAAAATGTTACTGTTTTGTTTTTTTTTTTCATGGTAAGAGCTGAAATTTTGACAATTTTTCAACTTTATGACATTCTAAATTAACTTCTAATTCACTTCAACTTTTGCATTCTAGCTTTCACTGCTGTGACAGAGAACAATTACTCTGCAGCTTCTCTCATTCTTCTTCACTCGTATGTACAAAATGTAAACCAGTGTACCTTAAATCTGTGCATAAGCAATAACAGGTGTTGAAAGTTCCTCAACACATCAGCATGTGATCCCATTTGCAAGCTGGATCAAGTTGTACTCTCATTCATTCTCGAACAATGTGTGAAGGGCTGATCACTCAACACATTTTATTAACACTTGTTGTGCGCGTGCGACTACAGTCTTTACACGTTAGCTTACAAAAACAAATCATTAGACTTAACAACTCCTGAAAACATGTAGCCATGTTGCTCTGAGTAAGCAGGCAGATATTTAATAGTCTAGCTGAATCAACTGCAGTTGAGCAACACACTTGTTTAGTTCACTTGTTTTAAATAGTTTATTTTCATGATCAATATCATGTGATCAGTAGTTCTATAGGGGGCAGTGTGAAAGGCTTTACAGTTTAAAACACTTTTAGGATGTATGTTAACAGTCACTGACATTAGGCTGAGATTTCTGTATAGTCAGGAGCTTGCCTTATTGTAGGCTCATTGTTGCTGTATTTATGTATAGGAGATGGAAAAAAGGTAATACAGTGCTTACAATTTAGTCAGTCATTGTGTATTGACTATTTTTTGAATTTGTTATTAGAGACTTTTTGTTGGTCAGTAGTGTGATGTGGTCAGTTTTTTAAATTGGTTACTGTAGTTCATGTTTTAGTTGACTGTAATAAAAAAGTTCTAAAACTTTTAATAAGTTAAGCATTATAGTGTAATAATTTGTATTTAATCTGTTGTTGTTCTTTATTAAATAAAACTATATTCTGTGTCGAATGTTAAACCTTTTCCCTGTTTTTTTTTTTAAATGAAAACTTATTTTAAACACAACTTTTTAAAAGACTTAATTTCTTTCATTCTTTATTTAAGGAATAATGGAGAGAATTTCACAACTTACAAAGCTCCTATGAGAAGTTCCATTGACCTCAATGAAATACACTAGAAATAATAACAAACCCTAACAAGACCATCAGCAAAAGGACTTATGATTTTTATGTTGTTATTTTCAGTGTCTAATTCCAATGCATTAGGGGTAGGTGTTAGTGAGAGGCTGAAAACAGTCCTATTTTTACACTACCCACCAAAATATTCAGTCAATTGATACATTTGATCACAAGTCAGCAGGATGAGACTTTTTTTTCGTAAGTCAATATTGAGGCATGTAGAGGACAGGGTCAGCTAAGAGTTTCTTTGATCACAGGGGGCACCAAGATTGATTAAGCTCCTGTGAGGAACTTTTTTTGTGATGATTTTGCATCCCCCTGTGGACAAAGTTGTACCTTTTATCTCTTCGTTGATCTTGTCTTGACATGGGCAGGGAGCTGTTCTTTTTGAATGTACAGTCATCTGGACTGATGCCTACCCCCTGCATTGATTTCAGATATCAAAAATTATAATATGGAAACTGTCAGTCTTGTTGCTGATGGTTCTGTTTGTCTCAAGGTAGCCTACAGAGTGGGCTTTAAAAATCAATAAAACTCTGATTCTAATAAAGAAACAAGATTGTTATTATACTTACTGCAAATTAGTAGAAATAGTCAAAGTATAAATGTCTCATAATACCAAAAATACTCAGATATACCCAGAGAAATGTTAAAGGCGAAAATCAAGAAGCTAGTAGTAAAGGAGTTTACTATTTTTATTTCCCTTTGAAAATTGGAAAAGGATTTTGTTATTAGGTTTTGTTTTCAATTTAAAGTGTGTGAAGAGTCATTGTGTAATTTAAAAACCAACTGATGTAAGGCTGGTGGCTCTATATAAACCAACAAGAGCAAATAGGATCTTAAGATAAGATAAGATAAGAAGAACGTGACAGACAATTTCTGTAATTTTTTTGCCTGTATCTGCTTTAAAAGGTGGATACAGTCCAGACAACCAACTACATGTCGAATCAAAAGCGCTTCTATGTATTTCATTTTGGGTTTTTTTTGCAAAGATTCACATTTTTAATATACCAGACAGGAAAAAAAACAGCAGGATGATAGTTTTATCCAAAAACACTAATAGTTCGTACTGTATACCCACAAGGGGCGACTATAGACTGTATATACTATGGACAACTTGGTTCCGCCTACTGCTTGTATACGGATTTGAAGCCAAATAGCTCTCAATATTTCCGGGATTTTTCTTAATTTCCTGAAATCAGTGCTGCGCAGTAACGTTGTGCCCATTCGACGGGAGAGTTGCCGAGAGTCGCTGTGATGACGCTCGACTCAAACATCGATCCCTCAGGTGAGCTACGCAATCCCTGAACGCCCATAGGCTGTATCAGGTGTCAATCAAAGAAAACATGAACCCCCTAATAACTTTTTAACGGAGCTTCACAGAAAAAAGAGGACTTGAGCACAAACTAGTCTTACTGTAACTACATGTCAACACCACAAGCAGGGGGGAGAAAAATTTATATTCTGTGTAATAAATTTCTAAAGTTTGTCCACAGCCCCATAAGCTTTGCTGGCGGAGGCGGGATTTATGACCTGTACTGCAGCTCATCAACAGAGGGTGCTGTTCTCGGAGTGGCTTCACCCAGCGAGGAGGCAGACTCTGTCCATTCTTTATACAGTCTATGGGGGCGACACACTTGACCAAATACAAAGTTCCAGCCGGAGCTGCTCTGGTCTTAACCATAGACTGTATATACTATGGACAACTTGGTTCTACCTCCCGCCTGTATACGGATTTGAGGCTAAAAAAAAAAGCTCTCGGTATTTCCGGGATTTTTCTTCATTTCCTGAAACCAGCACTGCGCAGTAGCGTTGTGCGCATTCGGCGGGAGAGTCACTGTGAAGACGCTCGGCTCAAACAGCGTATCCCCCAGTATCCCCCACAGAAAAAAGTGGACTTCAGCACAAACCAGTCTTAGTGTGAAAAATGTATGTTCTGTGTAATAAGTTTCTAAAGTTTGTCCACAGCTCCATAAGCTTTGCTGGCGGAGGCGGGATTTATGACCTATACTGCAGCCCATCAACAGAGGGTGCTGTTCTCGGAGTGGCTTCATCCACCAAGGAGGCAGACTGTCCATTCTACAGTATATACAGCCTATGGTCTTAACGCTTGTGAATACTCCAATCCAGTAGGTGGCGGTAATGCTTTCAGAAGCTGAGAGACACACTCAAATGAGAAAGAAGACCAAGAAGAAGAGGACATCCTCCACAAGCATCGGTGGCTCCATTTTCTAGCTAGCGGTGAACTCTTCTCGTTTCACTGTTGTATCGCTTGAGGGACACATTTGTCTATTTTCATTGTTTGTTAGACTGAATCAACAACACTGTCAAGATGGGGGGTGGCGATTTGGTAAGTTTCAGCTAACTTATTCACAGCTTACGGTGTGTATGTTGTTTAAAAAATCACCTCTGATCAACATTAGCTGTTTACAACTGAAGTCACCATACAGCTGTTCAACACATAACTAGCTTTCGTTGAAACAACGCCAGACTCAGATTTTGTTTAAAATTGTGTAACTTCTCTTTATTCAAACCATTGAAGTCAACGAGTTTAAAGATTATTTTAGCGGGGGGAAAACTAACCTTGAAAGTCTTTATTGTATTTATACTTGAATACAATAAGATGATATGCCAATATTTTCTTGTTTCGAACATGCCCCAGTCGTAGTTTTATGTGGATGTTGTTTTTAGATGCTCTTTGATCGACTGTATTTTCATTACCAAATGGACATCCAGCTCTTATTGGGCTTTCTCTCATAGATCATCCAACTGTGCACCTGTCTATTACACAATGTCCCAACTTTATTGGAATTGGGGTTGTATTATAAAAATCTATTATCACACTAGGAACTAGTTCAAAGACCCACCTACCTTGAAATCCCTTTAGGGGATAAATAAAGTTTTTCTTACAAACTAGAGTGAAGACGACAAATACTTAAAGGAATACTCCGGCGTAACTTTAAGTTGGGGTCAAACACACCATAACACCGAGTTAGACACCCCCTTGAGAGATGAATGTTGCCGGCCGCTTGCTTCTTTAGTTATACCAACTTTAGTAATGACTGCAGGATAGCAATACACAGCCGTCTGAGGAGCCATAAACAAACCTCAACCAAAAAGCCACTCTATAGCCACAAATAAAGCTCAGAACTGCAACTAACTTCATCAACAGTACATATAGGGCCCCAGCCATAGTACTAGCTACCAAACATCTTTTTAGCTTTGCCTAATTTTTTTTAGCAAAGAGACTAAACACAACTCACCCACTCTCTTCCAGCAGCCGCTTGTTAAAGAGGAATGATGTTCTGAGCATTATTTGTGGCTATAGAGTGGCTTTTTGGTTGAGGTTTTTTTATGGCTCCTCACACCGCTGTCTTTTGCTATCCTGCGGTTACTAAAGTTGGTATAACTAGAGAAAAAAGCAGTCAGCAACATTCATCTCTTGAGGGGGTGTCTTACTCAGTGTTAGTGCATTGACCCTAAATTAATTTTACGCCAGAATATTCCTTTAACAACAAAGCTACAACTAATAATAATAATATAGTACAGCAAATAAAAGTCTTTGATCTTGTCTTCTAACAGAATTTGAAAAAGAGCTGGCATCCCCAGACTATGAAAAACATCGAGCGGGTTTGGAAGGCTGAACAAAAGTATGAGGCTGAACGCAAGAAGATTGAGGAGCTCCAGAAGGAGCTTAAAGAGGAAAGAGCTCGAGAAGAAATGACAAGATATGCAGAGGAAAGTGGTGCCATCAAGTAAGTTCTTTGATAATATCAGGAAGTTGTTCTGTTGGACATTGGAAGAGACTACAGGTCAAGCTGAATCTCCTATGATTTCAGAAAAAAGGATGATCGTCTAGACTGGATGTACCAGGGTCCTGGCGGCCAGGTGTCCAGAGATGAGTATCTGCTGGGACGTGCTATTGACAAGCAGATCACCGACCAGTACGAGGAGCCTGAGAGCGGTCCATCAGCTGAGACAGGCCTCCTGCCAGGGTCCATCTTTAACCCTGCAACCGCTGCCTCCAGCCTCGATCTGGCTGCAAAGATTAGGGAAGACCCTCTGTTTGAAATAAGGTCAGCAAATCCCCTTTTTTTCCAATATAATTTAGACATTTTAAAAGTTGTGAATGGATTGATTTACGTCAAGTTTCTTTTCTAAAGGAAACGAGAGGAAGAGAAGAAGAGAGAAGTCCTGACTAATCCTGTGAAAATGAAGAAAATTAAAGAAATGGTAAACTTGCTGCACAACTGTTCTGATGTGTTTGTTTTTTATGTACTTCTTTTTTTGTTTTTGTTTCCTGTGAATTAAGAATATTTTGCTATCAATATCCAACTCAGGCCTTTCTGACTTTGTATTTGTATTTTTCTTGTTACAACAGCACAACTATGTTGGGGAGGGTTAAGGCTTTTTCATGGATGTTTAACCACCAATTCTTTTGGTCTCTTCCAGCTGCGTCAAAATCTTGATAAGAAAGACAAGAAAAAGAAGAGGAAGAAGGACAAAAAGGAGAAGAAAGGAGACAAAGAGAAGAGAAAAGAGAAGAAACACAAGAGGAGGAGTTCAGGCTCAAGCTCAGATGAAGATGAGAAAAAACACAGGTACATACAAAACCAAAGTGTGAAGATACAGTTGATAGATTCTAAATCTGTAAATGAATTTAGCTGGGGTCTGTATGTGTAGTGTAAAGATATAGGGGTTTTCTATGATGGCATTCACAGTTGTACCACTGTTTTGATTCAGTCAAAGAGTTCTGCATGGTAAACTGTCTAAATGAACTTGTTTAGGTCACACTCGCGAGATGATTCTGCAGACACAAAATCACGCTCACATCATCTCCCAGGCTATGGCCTTCAGGTGAGTGAACGACAAACCGGTATTTGATAATATTGTTTCGTTTTCATACTTGTCAATAAATAGTTCTTCTCTGATCAGAACTCCTTTTAGTCTTAACAATAAGGTCTTCCCTTTCAGCTCCCCACTGGTAGACAACATCAGTCCTCATCCCACAACAACCACTCAGGGCGTCGTGAGAGGAGCCGCTCCAGATCACCTCACAGGAGCAGCAGGGAAATTTACAGGGAAAATCACTCCCACTCATCATTCTCACACAGAGACAAGAAGGTTGAGCCAAGAGCTTCGAGTCCACAGAAAGATCGTTACCAGAGACAGAGACACCATGTGTCAAAGTAAGAGTTTGCAGGGTTCAAGAAATTGTTGACATGACCTGGAAGTAATAGATGTAGTCAAATATCTGACATTATTGCACTTAAAACAGTATTTATTTATGTTGCTTGCTTTTATAAGTACAGTATTGATGTTTGAATTCTGTGTGGGCAGCAGCCAAAGCCTTCCATTTATTATTACATTACAATGAAACGGTTTCCCTCTGGCCTGTCTTGTTGCCACCCTTGTATACAGTTCTTTCTTTTTACACCCAGCAGAAAGTCTGATCAACATTTCAGACGCTAACTGACTAGGATGTTGTTAGAGTAATCATGACATGGTTCTCATTTTTGGTCATTTTTAAGACATTGTTAAGTCACCATCCACACTAACTCTAGACATGTTTAATCTGTTGTCTGTAGGAAGCTCTCTACAGAAGAGCTGGAACGCAAAAGAAGGGAGATGATGGACCAGGCCAAGCAGAGGGAGGAGGACAGGGAGAACAATGTGAAGAGATACAAGAGGCAAGATGAGCAGGAAAAACAGAGGGAACAAAATGTTAAACGTGACCGCCATGCTGGCTTCATCCAGTAAGTTACCCACACAGAGCTGGGATACAGGGCTCCACATTTATTCATACTTTTTTTTATTTATTCAGACTCTTGTGATCCTAACTCACCTCTCTTTCCTGCAGTGACATGAAGCTGGAGAGTGCTGCCAGCTCTTCGCTAGAGGACAGAGTGAAAAGGAACATCCACTCCATCCAGAGGACGCCGGCCTCGCTGGACAACTTCATGAAGAGATGAAGACACAATGTTTTTTAATTGTACAGACAAACTTAAATGAACTGTTGGTAAAGGCTCAGCCAGACTGTATTTTAATGCAATGAGTAGTAATTGTGGTGTTGGGAGACTGTAATACCTCTTGGTTACCCCTAACGTTTATCATTTACAGCAGTTTCCATGATGATAACTTAAATTATTTCAGAAAAAAAAGCCTTTTAATGGCTGATATAGTATATATTCACTTTTTTCTTTCTTTTTTTTTATAGTAAGACTTGTTTTTACCTCAAACCCTTTTGTAAGATATTGTGTATTTGATACTTTGTATAAACTTGTGAGTAGTAATTGGAAATAAAGCATATTTCCAGAGCTTTACCATGTAATGTATCTTTTTCTAACAAATCAATGTAGCTTTAGGAACTGCTTAAAACACCCTACAATAATTCATCACAGGATTAAATCATGATCACCCTGATGTCTGCAGCCATGACATATTTTGAGAGGCTGGTGTAGGCCTCCAGCTGGAGTCCCTTCAGTTTGCGGCCTGGGAAAATAAGTTGACTTCAGCTCATTGTTAAATCCCTTTATTCTTTAAATCTTCTACCACAAACTTAGAAGCTCACACTTACTTAGAAACTTAGAAATGCCACCGCCATTGGGATGCAGCAGGTGAAGCTGAGTATATTGGCATCAACCCTCAAAGGATAAGTATTGTCACCCATCTTTATAAAATGGACATGTACCAGTTCAATTATATCTATACACCGGCTGAAATAATGCTATGGTCTTTATTTTTATTAAAATATTTTTAATTAAGTTGTTGCTGAGTTGTTACTAAGAGTGGTTGCCCACCTGAACTTGCTATCTGCTAAATTCGAAGCGAGGGCAGTGTCTTTTCAGTAATTTTTCTCACATTTCGTTAAATAATATTTGATACGTAGGGACAAAGTTAAGCAAAGGCAACGGATGAATGTGCTTGTCATGAGTGGTCCAGACTTTGGAGGCGCTTGGAGACCCCGGTTTTGATTTCACTTTAACACGCCTCAAACAAACTATGCATGTGTTACTTTTCCTGTCCCTATCCAGTATCCACCAATGACAGCAGCGCTTACCGCAGAGGGCCAGTATTCTAGCCAATCATGTTTAAGAAAATGATGACGCAATAAAATATGTTAGTCTGATCTTTGTGTTCCTAAATCGTGTAGTCACTGTAGGAAACGGCTAGTCATTGATACTAGCCGAGAAGAAGTGGTGATTTGAAGCTCTGTTGGGTAGGAATATACGACAAATCCGTCAAAATGGTAAGGAATGGTGGACTTTATATTACATACGAATGGCTCGGTGTGTTAGTTGGTTTGAAATGTATGCATTTGGCCCCTAGCCGCAAAGGTTGGCTAAGCTAACATTAGCTCATGGACATCTTCAGCATGCTAACAGAAGTTTGCCAATTTAATATGAAATAAAATCGACCAGATTGTGAGATTATTGATAATATATTTGGTGCATTAATAGATTTAGTGAAGCCTCAGATAAAGTTACAGGGCGTGAGTTAAATCGATAACCGAGAAATTCTGTAAAATGACATATTTAGCTGCTCCTTAGCTAACACTGCGGTGTTACAGCTGAAGTTTTCTGTTCAAGTCTAACCTGTTATAGTTTTATAAAACCGAAGAAAACCCGAGCTCTTACATTAAACCTTGGAGAAGTTTTGACCCATTCAGGGAAACACCACATAGATCACACATTTACAGGTTGGGTCGTCAAACACTTATCATATCATGGATTAACACTAGAGACTGATCAGGGACCAGCTCCTGTCATCACCAAAGCAATAAACAGAAAAGAACTGAGGCAGGGGTTTGACATTTAACAATTAATTAACTAAACAAAATTTGTCTTCTCTGTGAGTTATTAAATGGGAACAGATGTACAAATAATTATCGACTGAATTATGAGCAAATGAAGCATTGGATCACAATTTAAGCTAAACACTTAGTAAGGATGGAGTTGTCTGTCAATCTGTCAAAACTAACTGTACACAGTGCAAGTTAATGTAAAAGATAACAAAGCAAATCACTATCTAACCACGTCTGTTTAAAAAGAACAAAAAGAGGAAAGAATCATGAGAAATTAACAACGGTTCATGTTTGAGTAAATCTTCCCAAAGACATTGGTGTTCTTAAACTCAAGTTGTATTCAGGATCCTTAAGCATCACATAGACTTTATAAATCACAGGTTTTGCCTCATCCCCTGTGTTTAAAGAACATGGTAACACCTCACAATCGCTGCAGAGATCATGCATATTGTGATAAGGGTGGTTCAAAATGTGACACATTTAGAATGAACATTAAAACACAGATATTTCAACTGCATTAGCAAAATTTATAGATCAACAATAACAACTTTTATCTTGATGTAATTTGAAGTTAGTTGAATTTTACAAAAAAAGTTGAAATAGTACAGATCTTTATTTTCACTTAGGTCAAAACTGCAAAAGCCAATTCAGCTGTTCTTTGGCATTGGAAACAGAGGTTCTACAGGCCTACAGACACTCTTAACTAAGTGGAATAATAGTGGAAAAAGTCAAGTACAAAAAGTATAACAAAACTATAAGTCATGACTGATTTTAAGATATCAAACAACTGTTAACTGAAGCCACACCTGTCTCCCTATGCTCTGGTTAAGGTTTCTTATCTTTTCCTCATGAATTTTTTATCCCTATTGCTCTCAGTGCTTCATGTAACAATTTCAATCATTATTCCTGTTATTGACCACTTCAGTCATTATTCCCTATTTGTACATTTTATAAGATAACATGTCAGGTTTCCTTTCAAAGCTGGGATAGACACAATAAAAATAATTGAGTTTTTTTATTGTTATCTCTTAACTTTTTTATTATCATTAATAAGAATTTTTATGTACTGACCAGTACTGTTGGTAGTGATTTCTGACAGTAACTGCAGTAACTTTGTACTAACTTAGTTCTTCTCTCTCTCTCTCTTTCTAGTCTATTATGTCCTATAATGGAGGGGCTGTCATGGCCATGCGAGGGAAGAACTGTGTGGCGATAGCAGCTGACCGGAGGTTTGGCATTCAGGCTCAGATGGTCACCACAGATTTCCAGAAGATCTTCCCCATGGGAGAGAGGCTCCACATTGGCCTGGCTGGACTTGCCACTGATGTTCAGACAGTGTATGTGCCTTTAAACCCCATGTCTTTCTCAAGCTGTTCTTTAAAGGGATATTCCAGCGTAAAATTATGTTAGGGTCAAACACACTGTAACACTGTTACGCACCCCGTCGAGAGATGAATGTTGCCGACTACTTGCTTCTCTAGTTATACCAACTTTATAAGGACCGCAGATAGCAATACAGAGAGCCACGCGCTCAACCAGAACGCCACTTTATAGTCACATATAATGTTCAGAACAGCACCTAACTTCATCAACAGTACATATAGCGTCCCAGCCACCAAACATCTTTTTAACTTTGCCTAATTTCTTTAGCAAAGAGACTAAACACAACTCACACTCACTCTTCCAGCAGCCGCTTGTTTGTAGCGAGACCTGGGGCCAGTCCATTACGGCTGCAGAGTGACACAGCTCAAGGAAGAACATTTATGATCATAACTTTATAATTTCCTTGAAGTAATAATCACCATTTTAATCATTTTGCACTGCAGACGCGGTAGTTCTTCTGCCTTAGTATCTCAGTCTGATTGCATTTCCATGAAGAAATGATCATAAATGTTCTTCCTTGAGCTGCGCCACCCCGCAGCAGTCCATAATGGACTTGCCTGAGGTCTTGCTACAAACAAGCAGCTGGTCTCCTAACTCAGTGTTACGGTGTGTTTGACCCTAAATTAATTTTACACCAGAATATCCCATTAATGACCAGGGCATGATGACAGGATTTAGTTGAAGCTACAGGAACCCACAACCTTCAGGTTACGAGCACAAATACAAAAAAATACTGGTTTAGAGGAGCCTGGAACTTTAATCTGTTTTGACAATACGGCTCATTAAAAAGAAAGCAGTAAGAGTATTTACAGCTTCTGTCTGTTACTACTACTTAATAATGCAGTAAGTTATTGTCTTAATGTTCATTAAAGCCAGGAGTTAGTTTTACATTTTTACGTGTGTGCATTCTTTTACTAATGGATGACTTTGGCTTTTATTCAGAGCCCAGAGACTTAAATTCAGACTGAACCTGTATGAGCTGAAAGAGGGTCGTCAGATCAAGCCCAAGACCTTCATGAGCATGGTGTCTAACCTGCTTTATGAAAGGAGGTGAGTGCACTGACTTTAAGTTGGATCTATTCGAATGTGAACAGTACTGATGTTCAGCTTGAAAGAGTGTAGTAATTAAGTTTTAGTTACAGGCTATGGTTAATGTATGATCCTCCTCCTCAGGTTTGGGCCATACTACATCGAGCCTGTAATCGCAGGACTAGATCCCAAGACTTTTGAGCCCTTCATCTGCTCCTTGGACTTGATTGGCTGCCCCATGGTGACAGAAGACTTTGTAGTGAGCGGCACCTGCTCAGAGCAGATGTACGGCATGTGTGAATCTTTGTGGGAACCTGACATGGTGAGTCACGTGAAGCTTCAAGTCCATCCTATACCTGTACAAAAGTTACATAACACTTAGGGACAGTTAATTTGCAAATGAATATCCCTCTTAAGTTGCAAAGAATTTCAGTTTGCAGGAACCTTCATGATTGTGGAATACCTGATGTATGGGCATTTATATGCATGTAGATTTAAGTACAACTGACTTCTTCGCAGGGGGAAATTCCAAATTACAGCAGCATAAATACAAATACAAAAAGAGAAATTAAAGGATAAAGAAATTTGAAGTTTAAAAAATACACATTTATATATATGTGCATGAGTCTTTTTTACTGTAAGGCATCTGTTTCTAACTTCTAACCTTAATGGTTTCTTTGCTGTATCCGTAAAGTAAGGACTTCATCACTGTGAGGGAGGGCATCAGTACCTCTGAGTCCGAAAAAGCATGAAAATTATAGATATGTATTTAACCAGTTATGTCTCATGAACTGGTAGTTGAAGATAACAGTTGTTTTGGTAACTCTCTCTACAAGCACTTTTTCATAAAAAAAATCATTCATGTGTTTTCAATGATGTGTTTGCAGGAACCAGAGGACCTGTTCGAGACTATCTCTCAGGCGATGCTGAATGCCGTTGATAGAGATGCAGTGTCTGGCATGGGAGTTGTGGTACATGTCATGTAAGTGAAGTTGTACCAAGAACAGTACAGACAGATTATTGTAATGTTTCCTGCAGTAAATAACAGCTTTCTCTTTTTTTATCTGGCAGTGAGAAAGACAAGATCACTACACGAACCCTGAAGGCCAGGATGGATTAGAGCTTCTGTTATTCCCTACTCTTCACCAACACAGATGTTTTGTATAAAAATGATCTACACTGCTTATACTGTCGGTTTTTTCTTATTCAATAAATAAACTTGGGTTGTAACCTTGACTAACAGTGTGGCTGGCATTACTTCATCTTTTTACAGATTTCTAAACTTAGATTAGATTAGGTTAATTTATTTAAAAGGGGACAGCGCAATTTCATAAAACACATGATTACACATGGTTAAAAAAAGCCAGAATTAGCCATAAGGCTAGTTTTCATCTGTAGTCCCCTGGCCATGATGTGAAAAAGGCAGTAAAATTACTATTTAAAAAAAAAAGAAAAGAGAAAAACAAAAACTGAGATATCAATTTCTCTATCAAATAACGACGTCATATTCAGCAACTGAAAAATAATTGTCACTGCGAGAGTCTGATACACTACAGACACAAATTCCCATCTTCAAAACTGTGTCCATGTCATTTTGATGAAGAGTTCTGTAATGTCTAAACTCAGCTAATACAGTTACATGCAGTTAGTATTTGAACTGTCAGTCCCTCAAAAAGCCGTTCATACCCCTTCATTGAAAGCTACATCCTCAACAACGCTTTATTCTTCTTGGTTTTGCCAAATGATTTCATGATATTTCCCACAGATGTAGCAGATAGTTGTAGCATACGCACAGGCTAAAGTATTTCCTACCGATTTTGATGATCCAGTGTCTGATTTTACATGTGATGCTCAGTGGCAGAACCAGACTGTTTTGACTGGGGTGGACAGACTTTTGTTGCAGGTGTGGCGTTTAACCCACACCTGAGAGGGCTGTCTGCAGTAATCGTACCCAAAGAGTCCAAAAACTATTCCTGTATGTAGTTTTCTGCTGAACTCAGCTTTTTTATGGGCTCAAAATGTTCCTTAACAGAAAAGCTAAAGAGCCACACGAGAAACATAACCCTGATTTCAATAGAAGTGATAAGGCAAAAGCCAATCATAGTTCAGGATTTCAGGGGTGCTCGTGGCCACCCCTGGTGATGCTCACAGGATGAAAGACCGTCAATGAGCTGTGAAAAGTTGAGAATTTTACTGTGAATCAACTGTTCAGATTTGAGCAGTGATCCATAAAGGTGATTTTAGTGCAGTCCTTTTAAAGATCATACTTACTCTTTCTTGTGCACACATGCATTAAATCATGACATTTGATGCATGTGTCCCTGACATAGATTTTCAGAGGGCTTGAAGATGTCAGAATGATATAACCCCTTGCTTAAATTTCATTTTCAGATGGCTCTAAGGATGCTAAATCTGCCCTTAATGAAACTTGTCCAAGAGTTTTTGTTCTTGATCATCCTCAAAGGGATATTCTGGTGTAAAATTATGTTAGGGTCAAACAACACTGTAACACCGAGTTAGACACCCCCTCGAGAGATGAATGTTGCCGACTGCTTGCTTCTTTATACAAACTTTAGTAACGATCGCATGATAGCAATACACAGCCGTCTATAGATCCACATACAAACCTCGACCGAAACACCACTCTATAGCCACAAATAATGCTCAGAACAGCACCTAACTTCATCAACAGTACATATAGGGTCCCAGCCATAGTATTAGCCACCAAACATCTTTTAAGCTTTGCCTAATTTCTTTATCAAAGAGACCAAAGACAACTCACCCACTCTCTTCCAGCAGTCGCTTGTTTGTAGAGAGACCTCAGGCCAGTCCATTACTACAGCGGGGTGACGCAACTCAAGGAAGAACATTTATGGTCATTACTTTATCTTTCTTTTTTTTAAGTAATAGTTATAACAATCTTCTGCCTTAGTGTCTCGGTCTGATTGCATTTCCATGAGGAAATGAGGGAATAAATGAATATCCCCTTAAGCTCCGCTTTCCATGGTTTTCTGGTTTCTTGTATTTATTTTGGAAGTTGGGACTGTGTCAAGTTGTCATGAAGACAGCTTGGTTGTTATCTGTGACACAAATCTAAACAAACCAAAGAAATAAATAGTCAAACAACAAAAACAAGATAAAACTCCCTTTAATATGCAATGAATCATTTTCAAGTAACCTTTTTTTTCTAATGTCTGTTGGTAACAAAACAATACTGTATACAAACACAAAATTGCTACATTAATGTAAACAAGATATAAAAATGATCCTTATGGTAATAAAACAAGTATTTGCTGCAGAATTCCCCTTTTTATGTGAGTTTTTTTTTCTTAGACCAACCTCCACCAAGCTCACGGTTAAAATTTCAAAAATATTCAAAAACAATATGGCAACGTAACATTCAAACACCAAGTTTTTTTTTCTGCTTTTTGTCATTTAAGTCATAACACTCAGATGCTAAGTTCAGTGGTTTGATGTTTCAACTTACTGGTGGAGTCTCATGTACACATCAGCCATGCATTTTTGATATTGCATTCAGTTACTTAATACACCATTATATATTAATGTGTTATCCCCTGTTCTTCCAATTAGTCAGCAGAAGTTTGAGTTTTTTTCCTGTTGTTACAGACAGAGAAGTCTGATGGCGACTGTCAAAAAGTTTGTCATGCAATCTGACCATTCAGCATCTGTGTGAGTTGTTTACATCTGTGTGTGTATGTGTGTGTCGGTGTGTGTTTGTGTCTAATAGAAATCATAAGAAGAACAACAACGACATTAACAGAAACCAAAGAGACTCTACTAACAAACTGGTAACTGCTGAAGCTGACACTCGTTCAAGGCATTAGTGAGACAGTTTCCGTGCTGGCGTGAGAAGTAACAAGGTGGCTGAGGCGGATCGGGAGCCAGAAACTTTTAAAAAAGAAGAGGGAGATTATCAGGATGTTGATCCAAATTCAGGGAGGGAATTCACAAGTTTTCCTTGCAGTGGACGAGGGAGGTTTGTGTGGAAAAGTGTAACAGGCTTGATGAGTCCCTCCTGCCAGACTAGTGCCGTCTGTCGGAGTACGATGGTAGTTTTTTTGTTGTTTTTTTAAAAGGGGATGGAGAGGCAGAGGGGGGAGATGGACCTACGCTGAGGTGAGGAGAGAAATAAGTGCGCAGCGTTTGACAGATCTATGACAGAAGAGAAAGGCTGGACTGAGGGATGGGAGATGAGTCTATGATAGGATGTTGGACATGAACTCGTAGAATCGTTTGGAGTACTGCTCCGGGTTCACCGTCGAGATCTCGGCTCCCGCCTGAGAAACAAAAACAAACAAACAGCAGAAATTAACATGGATGGAAGGAGACATGAAATATAAGCACAACAAAACAATTGATCATCTTCTGCAACTGTTTCCAGTCTTAAACTCAGGGTATCTGCTGTCTTAAATGCGATTTTGAAAGGTCTTAAAAATATATCAACTCTACTACAAAAAAAAATAATGAGCCATAGGAATATAGATTGATTTGAAGTTATGTAAAATGTTCCGATTTCCCTTAATGTCTTTTATACTTTTTGCCAGTATGGATGTTAAATGGGTCTTAAATTGTGTTCATTGTGGTCTTTCAAAAGTCTTTAATAAAAAGTCATAAATTTGACTTGTTGGAACCTGCAGAGATCCTGTAAATATGTTTTCTTCTGTGGAGGCTCCGATTGATCAACATCACATAAATTTGGAAAATAAAATGAATGAAGTCATGAGTCATTGATGTCTTACTCATGCTGCTTCTGTTCATCTTTGAAGTATTCAATCTAGCCCCCCTTGGATAAGTGCTCTCCCTGATTCGACTCCATCTTTCCCAGATAAAGTGTTTCTAGGATGCATTATGGGAGCTGTATTCCAGACTCAGAAGTATAGTTTTGGTTCATGAGGTTTCATCATAATTCATGGTTAATGTTAAAAGTTCAGTGTAGAAATGGGAGATCCTTCATTAAAATACTGCCCCTAATGCAGAAATCAAGGGCTCAGCTAAAGTAAACAAAAACAAAACAATTTCAGGAGATTATTTACTCATTTCAACAAACTTGTGAGAACTGTAATCACTTTCTGCCAGGTCTGTTTGCTGATTGCTGCAAAATATTACATACTGTATCTTAAACCATTTTCACCTCATGGTTTATAATCTGATATTTTGGATTATCACTAACGCTCTGACCTGAGGACCTGATTTTGTTCCCCTTAATGATCAAATTTCTAATAGTGTAATCATATACCATCTCAATATAATAAAATTAACAACAAAATAGTGTATGACATTCATGCCTGTGGGTGCCCAGAGAAAAAACAAGAATGGTATCTTAAAATTTGCTGTTTCCAGGGTATCAGATGAACTGCAAAGGCAGGTCCAGAATCCAATCTGACCCTGGTCTTTTGTTGCATACCACCACTCTTTCTAAACAGTTTCATTCTCTATCAGCAGCTGAGTCCTGTTTGCTGAATAAGGGAAATGAAAGCAAAATAAAAATAACCCTTAAAAATAATCTGTTCCTCTTTTTGAAATCATGTAGGAAAGGAACCAAAATGCCCAAGCTGATTACTCAGCTAAAGTTTTTTTCAATAAAGAATCTTCCTCATCGTAGTGTCTTCTAACACTCTGACTAACATTTTTTTGTAAAGCTGAACTTGTGGATGCATCAAATTTGAATTTGTATTATCTGTTGGTAACTTCACTCACTTATAAGCATTGTTGAATTTCTGTTGTTTGAATTTGAGTCATTTCATTTTTTCATCATGCTGCTCTCTTGCAGACGACGTCAGCATGAACTCCTGATAAAGATTTTATCTCAGAATAATTCTGGTTGCTGAACTTGTTTGGAGATGTTTGAATATACTAGAAATAAAAGAGCAAGTTTCACATCATGATCTATGTATCTATAGATACCTATAGATATCTTCAGTATCTATCCATCTATCTATCTATGAAATCCGGTTACTTAGAAACAGATGAGATGACTGAATAGATTTCATTTGTTTAACTTTGTTAGAATTACTGCTTCTTTATGCTTTTTAACCTATGTACTGTATATGACTGTAATAGAATACACTGTAGTTGAATAATATTATATTTTGCGAGACGGTTACCACAAACAAAAACACTCGCCTCCTCTGTGTTGTTTCAACAGCTCATCACTAGGTGGCAGTGTTGTAAACCATCTTCAGTCACTTGAGTCTTCCTCTCAAGCATTACTTGGATTTGGACATGAGGAATCAGCACATATTGTGTTGATAAATACAAAGAACACTGGCCCAAAAAACAGGCAGAGCTGTTAGTGAGGAAATTAATCTGAAAATAGTAAAACTTAATCCCTGCGCTGGGACGCCAAATTCTTGCAATACACACTAATTTGTGTATTTTTAATGCTTATTTGTTTCAGAATGCCCTTTTCATTTCAAAAGGATTATTTTTGGACTCATTCCTCTTCTGTTCTCATCCCATGTAGCCACAGACTGAAGGATCCTAACGCGGTCTTTGCACTCACCCCGTGTTTCACAGTTTTGGCAGCATGTGCAGCTTTTTTCTTAGCGTCATAGTGCGTGAGGATGTCGATGATAGCCATGAAGTATACCTCCTTCTTCACAGCACCTGGAAGGAGAGCAGCACAGCACCAGAGGTAACTCTCACCTTGAATTAAATTCACAGGGTTCAATGGTTTATTTTGTTTTGGTGTGGCTCTGAGTGACACATATTTCTATTATTATTTATGACGACTGCAGATTTGGCCACTCCTAGTCTGTTCCACTCCTTAGTTTGAAGTTGGCTGCTTTAAATAGTTCAACCTTACTTTGTGTGTCTGTGCGAAAATAAGAACATAGAACCTACTTTTCCTTTATGTAATCAGCTATCACTGCTTTGTCTAGAGCCACAGCAAAGTTCACAAAGTCAGAAGGAAGATAAAGACCATCCTCACTGTCGTGGCTCTTGATTGCGTAAACATCCACGGAGGGGTCGAACTCCCCAGGGCCGAAGAACCCCCCACAGTTGAGAGGGTTTCCAGGGCTGTCGGGAGGAGTGCCGAAAGAGCCAGTGAGCACACCTCCTCCCATCCCGTCGTTCTCGTACTCATCCTCCTCTCCCGTGCCCTCCACGTCCATCTCCTCCTGCTCCGCCCGGTCTACATCATGGATGCCCACCAGGAGACTGTAGTCCATGATCTTCAGGGTGGCCAGGAACTGACAAGGGCATAGGAGACAAGAACGATTCATACAATGCAAGATCCTATTGTTTTGTAATTTTTTGCAACGTGAAAATATAAGTCTGAACAATATCTCTGAAAGCTGTCTCTGTTGTGCTGTTTGGTCTCACTCTGCAATGCTAACCTTTGCTACATTCACGCCACAGGTCCACTCTTCTACTGTGTTTTCATCAGAGCCCCTAAAACTGAGAATTTTGGGAACTCTATTGATCTACCGATATTTACAGCCTAAACTATTGATCCTCTTTTAATCTTAGAGGTTGCTTTTTGCATACACAACAGAGTTTTAGAGCCACATGAAGAAGAAAAAAAAGATTTTAAAAGTCCTTGAGTGATTAAAATAGGGTTACCATATTCTAAATCCCCAAAAAGAGAACACAACTATGCAGGGGCAGAGTCACAGAGTCGCACAAAGTTAATTTTGAGAGTTTTTCAAGTCGGGTTCGAGTGTCTTTCACGCACTTCTATCTCATTAAGTCCACATGACACAAACTCAAAACTTCTATACAAAATCCCGGATATTTGAAGGATTTTATAAACTTCCCTGGACAAGGCCAGACAGCCCCAAAGAAAGAGGACATGTTTAAGTAAAAGAGGACGTATGGTCACCCTAATTAAAGTAATTGTTACAAGAACGAAGCTGTTCATTTAGTCAACAATCACCCACATGATGCCGATTAGACAAGGATACAGTGGGGCAAAAAAGGTATTTGGCATCCACTGATTCTGTAAGTTGTCCCACTTAAACAGATGAGAGACAGCTCTTTAGTCTTGGCCATGGTGGAGAGGTTGCAGTCTGACTGTTTAAGGGTGTGGACAGGTGTCATTTATAGAGATAATGAGTTCAAACAGGTGCTAATAATTCAGGTAACGAGTGGAGGATAAAAGAGCTTCTTAATGAAGAAGTAACATGTCTGTTAGGGACAGAATTCTTGCTTATTTATAGGTGCTAAATACTTATTTTCTGCACCTTTATACAAATAAATTCTTTACAAATCATACAACATGATTTCCTGGATTTTCTTTGACATTCTGTCTCTCACAGTTGAAGTGTGCCTATGATGAACATTACAGGCCTCTCTCATCTTTTTAAGTGGGATAACTTGCAGAATCAGTGGCTGCCAAATACTTTTTTGATCCACTGTATTGAAAGCCAACCTTCTCGTACAATTTTATCTGAACTGTTACTTAAGTACAACTTCATCAGAAGCTCTAGTACCTTCCCTCATTTGCTCCCTGTATACTAAAACTACAACGTCACCATGATTTTATTCCCATGATACTTCATATTCATAATATTTGGACTTCTGAATGACTCAACCTTTATTTGCCATTGTAACATGCAGTGCTGAATGTGCTTCTCACCTCTACGTCCCGTTTTAGTTTTTCCAAAAAGTACTTCTTGTTGTCATCTCCAATCTGCAGCTTCTGACCTTCATTCAGGAAGTCATTGTCTTTAAAAGTTGGGAGTTCTTTCGCCTGAAAAAGACAATAATGAAATGGAATAAATGCTGGTTTACATCTCCAACTGTAACAAAGGGCAGGATATAAATGGTTGGGATAAGTGTAATCTAATGTAAAAAAGAAGATAAAAAGATGAAGATGAAGACAGTTTCTTTGAAGAATCCTGTCCTCACTGGAAAAAATGAAGTCTGGCTTCATAAACATGAAGCTAGTTATTGTCTGTTGTCATTTATTAGTCTGGACCCATCCACAGTTTTGCTGTGAAGTTAGTTTGACTTCAGTGTGACTTGTCATGAAAATGTTTTTGTGTATATGAAAAATAGGACTAAAAACTCCTCCATTCAGGTGGTTAAAAGCAAATGTTCATAATCTTTCCAATTTGATTCACTTTTCCAAACATTTTTTTAGGGATGGATTTGAATTCATTTAAGGTTCTCAGACTTCTCCAGGTTTCCATAACCATACAAACCTTGAGTAGTACTCCAACAGAGCATGATTACACAACAATGGCTTAATGCCATAGCAACAAGGTACCACAAGGTAGAGTTTTTCTGAATTTTGACAATGTTGTTTTCAGTTTTTTGTATTTTTTTCAAGCTTTTTTCTACATTTTTAACACATGGAGTAACCGTCAGGTTACGTTATACTGTTGTCCTTGCACATCTGCATCATGGCATTAAGAGTCTTGTATCCTTGTAGCTTTGTGTCCTGTCATTTGATATTTGACAGGTTTGCCTCTGAGTTGAGCTGAGGGTATTTATTTTGGTCTCATCATGTCAGCGAACATCGCTGAACAGAAATAAAACTCACCTTCTCCTTGTCGCTGGCTTCCCTGGAGACTGTAGAACCCTTAAAAAGAGAGAGAGAGAGAGAGAGAAAATAAGATGAAAATAGACTCCAGTGAAAACAGCTCAAGATGCATCAAACGCACTGTTAGCACATTACCCACTGTTGCTCAGACAGTTTCTTTTTAAACTGTCAATACTGGATAGGTAAGGCTGCTTTCTCGTGAGGATACTTGGCAAGAGAAGAGGAGGCTCATGCTTTGAATGATTATTTTTAGGAAGAAGTAAAAATGCAGCGAGCACACTGCGCAAGAACTACTGGTTTGGAAATATTTAACACAAACCCAAAACTCTTAATCCAATGAGCTGGATTTGTCATCCCCCCCTGGATTTTACAAGGACACATAAAACTCCTCCTGATTGAAATTCACGGACATGCACATTTCTCTCTATCCAAATCTAAAAACTCACTCAATGGTTTATAGCTGATTGATTTGAGCCATGCTAGAAATTAAATCACAACCCAGCGACTGTTTATTTTAGGCTGCAACAAAGTTGTGAAGTAGTACAACCAGAAAACAGTGCTGCTTCTTGACTTTAATATTTATGAGGGTTCTTTTTATATCATCAGATGAAACAACTGTAAAGTTTTACTCAGGTTAAACAGAAGTGAAACACAGAGCACACACTCCCGATGCACCAATGTGTAGAGTGAAAATACACATTACCGCACAGGGGTACTTCTCAGAGCCACACAAGCAAATAAACAGGGAAGTGAATACTGTAGCAACCCACAGAAACAGAAGGAAGACCTCCTACAGAATCTAACACACAGAATATCATAGGGCTGGGCGATATGGCATCAAATCAATATCACAATATATTGAGAAGTTCACCTCGATAACGATAAATGGACGATGACTACGCTACAAGCTGCTCACCCTCTCCCACATTAACTTCGTCTACTTCAGCCACTACAACTTTTGAACCGCCCTCCATCTCCTCACCTGTCTTTCCTTCTTTGTTACAAACTGGATGGGGTAAAGTCACGTCTCCGATATAGAACAGCGTCTTAAAGGGACACAAGACCATAGCCTACCTACACACATCCAAAACCAACCTATAGTGATTTATTTTTTCACAACAAATATATTGACATGGGCAAAATGATGGTTATTGTCTGAAATTTCGGTATCAGGGAATTTTCCATTTATCACCCAGCCCTAGAAAATCCTGTTTTCTTCAGTTGTCAAAAAGGTAGTGCCTACACTACCCACAATACCTCTCAACAATGGACAGAGATGAGGGTTTGCCATGCCAAGTTGATTTAGGTGCCCTGACAGGAAGAGTGCTGATGTTTACCAGCGTTTCTTATTCTACATCTCTGTTCATTGGTCTCAAACTGGACTCTTATTCTGGTTCTGATTCACTCACACCCAGACCACCTGGCAAAACCTTGTTTCAGAGTCAGGTAGCTTTTTAGTCCATACACTTGCTAACAGTTTGAAGCGGGCTGTCTGCTCTCTTTGTGGTTTATGGTCCCTGTGATACCCAAGTCTTAATTATAAATGCATGGACTAGCCTGCAGGAGAGATGATGAGTGGGCTAAGTACAACACTTAAGGTGATAAACTGACTTCACACATTTCCCTTTGGAGCCACTTAGTACTTTTTATAAAACTTTTATCACATATGCAGAGATGCTCCCAAAACAACTGTAAATAGACTGTGATGAAAAAAAAAAAAACCTGTGATATTGTCCTTTAAATCAGTGGTTCTCAAGTCCAGTCCTCGAGGCCCACTGTCCAACACACCTGATTCAAATGATTAGCTCGTTATTGAGCCATTGCAGAGGTTGATAACGAGCTAATCATTTGAATCAGGTGTGTTGGAGCAGGGAAACATTCAAAACATGCAGGACAGTGGGCCTCGAGGACTGGACTTAAGAACTACTGCTTTAAATGAATACTGCACACTTTTAGAATCAAAAGGGGAGATAACATGATCTTCATATAAATCCATGATATATATAGATATACATACTGTCATAAAGCCTCAAGTCTCCGTTGCTTCATCTTAAACCACCAGAATAAATGTTGAAACGTTATCTATGGTGATTAATTTGCCCTTTGACAGCCTGTGTAGTTATATTGTTTTCAATCAGGATGCTCCAAAGTGACTGATTCAACTGTCTTTAGTGCTTGTTTAGATTCAGATAGGAGAGCGTGTCAGCAGAGTCTGTCAGATGTGAACAGTGGAGATCTTCTGAAGCAACTCATTTCCAAGTACATCATATGTAAAGTTAACGGTTAATAGAAAACACTCAGAAAGCTGGGAACAACTTCTTTGGAAAACAAGGCATGAAGTTTATAGTGACATCCTACCTTTAGGTCATATTTGCGGTGCACGGTGAGGCGATGGCTGAATACATTCCGGGTTACCACCATGTACGTCTCCACCCCGTCCACCGTTAGCCTGTACATGCCCAGGAACTGAGGGAGCAGCGTGTTGCCATGACACTCCACGATAAACTGGAGGCAATCAAAGCAGAGAGTGGAGCATTAAGAGTGGGAGTGAAGAATCAAATATACAGTATGAAAACTGATTAATACTGGAAACAACAGCATCTCCACAGTCCTGCCTCATTTACATACAAACGTGACTCGAGAGTAAAACAAAGGGACTGTTGGTTGTTTTTTTTTCCCATCCTGTAGTGCATGCTGTTACATTTTTCACTTGGACTGGAGCTGCAGAAGAGTGAACCGTGAGATTAATGAGGAAACTGTAGCCCTGTTTTAAATACGTCGGGGTCTAAATGACTGACAGGTAAAGAAAAAAGGTTTGGAGAACAGATGCAGAAGGTGTTTCCTGCAGCAGGAGTCTCTAACCTCGTGGATAAAATGCACCTGATCGAAGTGCATTCATTCAAGTATTTGTTTAGGTCAGATAATGTTACTCCATGTGTCCAACACCAGAGACTTTTTTTGATAAAGATTAAGGTCCAGTTTTTGGAAACCAGAAAAGGTACTGACTCCATTCATGAAGAAAAGTGATTTTACCCTGTAGAGCACTGAGGAGCTGGTCCATTTCTGCTTTACTCACTTTTTGTTTGTTTGTTTGTTTTTCACAAGCAAAAATCCAGGAGTTAAAAAGCACAGAAGTCACGGCCCCAAAGCAAAGTAATTAACGATGCAGCAGCATATAAACAAATACTGTGTTCGGCACGGTCAAATCTGTGTTTTTCTCAAACAGGTCCATCTCTGCAGGGATGCTTTACGTAATGCTGTTGAACACTAAGACAATATGAGCTTGTCAGAGGCTGAACAAGAACAAAAACTATTAATCATACCCAACATTTGACCACATTACCGATATTGAAGTACTGAGTCATACACACTCTGCCTCCTCTTTCTGTGTGTGTTGTGTGTGTGTGTGTGGTGATCAGAGGGGTATCTCTACCTGGTGATATTTCTTTAGGATGTTGTGCATCTCAGCGATGTCCTCACTGGACACGGTTTTGATTACAAAGCGGTGGTCGTAGCTGGACAGGAAGCGGTTGCCAAAGCGACCCTGAGAGTCGCTGTTGAGTGGAGCGCTCCTTGTCAGCGAGTTCTGCCATAAAGAAATGCAAATACATTCTCACGTCACTCATGAATAATCTAATTCATCTCATCATGTTTACATCTTCCACCCTGGAAAGACCTCTCACCTGGTAGTCCTGGTCATCGATGCAGAATCTCTCCCTCAGGTTTCGGAACACCATGGGACAGTACTCTTTGAACTTAAAACGACTAGGCAGGTTTTCTCTGACAGGAAAGAGACAGAGAGTCGCACACAGTCAGCAAATTCACAGTCAGAGACTCAGAGGCTTGTAACTGAAAATGAGGAAGAAGAACGAAAACAGAATCTGCTTTAGTTTTGAGCTCTTCTCTCTGAATATGTTTGCGCGACTGGTGAACTCTAAGCTTGGTGAAACACAGTCAGCAAGTAGGATGGGTGAGAAACACAGAAAAGTGCAGCAGACAAAAACACGTCATTGTCACAAAGGCCAATTTCTATTGCTGTGGACATGCATGCATACAAGTACTCTAACCAGGACTTGTGGACTGTGTCTTTCTTTAATCACACTATCCAGAGGTTGATATTATTGACTGTCAGCCTAAAATTCTCACTAAAAATGTATGGTTCAATGACAAAATTAATGCGTGCCACCGCCAATTATCCGGATTATCCTCTTCTCATAGCCGTCAGAGACCAGAGGATGTCATTAGAGATCACTTTCAGTGTTCATCCTGCAGTTATATCCTCACTGTCACTGACACTGAATAGGGGTGGGCGTTTTTTGGTTTTGCAGAGAAAATTTTCTGTAACACTATATGATGAAAAGAGTGTGTTGTTCACTTGCTATGACCTTTGACCTGTGTGTTTAATTCTCTGTAAGTAGTTGCGACTCACTGGATCTATGTGATCCAAATCTTCCGAACCCCGTACTTAATTGTGGTGGACCGGTTGACTTGCACAAGTTACTACAGCTGAAACTAGGGCTGGGTGATAAATCAATATCACGATACATTGAGCAGTTCAACTCGATAACGATAAATGGACAATAACTTCTTCACAAGCTGCTCACCCCCTCCCACTTTAACTTCGTCTACTTCAGCCACCGCTCCAGCTGCTACAACTTTTGAACAGTCCTCCATCGGACTGGATGGGGTGGAGTGACGTCTCTGACATGAGACCATAGCCTACCTACACACATCCAAAACCAACTTTCATTTATTTATTTATTGTTTTCTGACACTGAATTTACCGACATGAGCAAAATGACGTCGCTTATTGACGTAAATTTCAGTATCTGTAAATTTTTGGTTTCATCGCCCAGTCCTAGATTAAACCACGTCATTTCCTGACATGGCTGTTTCAGGAGAAAAGTTTTCCAACGACCTAAAAAGTGGGGACTTTTATTGTGAAAAACACATCAGAGGTGAAATGTTTCAGAATAAAGTACCTGAGCGACTCCAAAACTGCAAACTTTTATGTTCAAAATGTTTAAGAAGTGAAGTGTGTTTTCATGAATTATTCATGAACCACATTTTAGCAGAGCTACAAAACACGTCAGGAGTCCTTGTAGTAACTCTGACTACTAATCACAACCACAACCAGCTTCCTCTCATGATCTGGACTGAAGACTCCCGAGTCATAACTACCTCTGGCACATGATGTGACACACACACACAAACTCCTGCAGTGCTTTCATATGTTGGCATCAAACTTGGAGTAAAACGAACACCTTTTTTTCAATCTGTTTTCTGCTGACACCCGTGTTAACACCAGGTTTAGGGCGGTACTCTTTGGTTAGTGAGTTTAGTTCTGCTCTAAAGTGTCACTCGTCTTTTTTCATACGCCACAGTGGCTGCATCTGTGTCAGGAGAAGGGAATCTCTGGTCTGTATGCACTTCATTTAAAACATGTGTTCACTAAAGTACACCTGTGTTTAAACTGGTGGTGATGATGACAGTACAGCAGAATCTATATTGTGGCAGAATGCGACACCAGTGAAGATACTGAAAACAGCACACACTTTTTTCTGAACTCAGCATCACAGAAAATCAAAGTGCATGAGTAAAGAGTGTGGCTTCTGGCAAGACTGGTCATTTTTAAGGGCTCATAAATGACACACATGTGATTTAATTGCTTGAGAAAAATGGAAATCTTCCAGTCATTTAGGAGTGACAGCTGTTGTTTTCAACTCGAGCAGTCAGGTGACCCACTAGTTTACACTAAGAGTGCAGATTGTGGCCTTAATGGATAGAGCTGACACCGCTGTGATGCACCTACTTGTTAAATAGGTGGTTGTCCACTTTGATCTTACTGTAGGCTTTAAAGTCATCTGGCATCAGCATTACTGGTACAGGCACGTTACTTAACTCGTTCACCTGGAGGAGTAAAGAGAGAAAACAGAGACAGATCAGACAAGAGCTCGGGGAAGAGAGGAAACAGCTGATACATAAATAAACATTCTGTATATTTATTCAGGAAAGTAAGGAACCAAAGCTGCAATGTTGACTTCTGTGATTTCAATATGGGAGCCGTTTGCTTAAACACACTCCCACGCAAACCACTTCAATGTGCAGCTCCAGTCAAACAAATCGGGATGTGCTTTAAACCTCACATTATCAGGGTACAATACTGCACATGCAAATTAATACAACAGATCTCAGAATACCAGAGCGCAACAACTTCAATGTGCTCAAACAGAATGTGTTATCAGCTTCATGTAACCCACACATTCTCACACATCTCTCACAAAGTGACCAGCATCAAACGCTCACTGCAGGACCAAAGACCAGCCTGACACTTTTCTTGTTACTGCTGCAAACAAGCTCCCTGACTCTGATCTTATCGGCTGGAAAACACACCCAGAGCAACAGGCCACACTAATGGACCTCAGAATAACACACTTTTTTTCATACGGGTTAAATAGCAAAATGAGGAACAAATGATGAAAAAAATGGATCCAAAACACAGCGCAGGGAGAAAGTTCGGTCGACTTTGAGGAACTGTGAAGTGAGGAACTCTGAACAGATGGGCTGAAAAAGGTGGAAAGGGGGAAGTACACAGTCTTTTCACTGCTGTTTTGCAACCGAACATTTTGGTTATTCTCATTTTGAAGTCAAACTGCTGATGATGCTTTACTTATTGAGCTGTTAAGAGTCATTTATAGATAAATTAGTATTTGGGTATATCATCATTTTCCCATGCATGCTATTTGAAAACTATTTTGCAGGGTAATACAATGAATGAAATGGCAGAAAGAGCTTCAGTTGAATTGTCTGAGAGTGTACAACAACATAATAAAAACCTTGCATAGTTATGTTGCAGCAAAGCTGCTGCAGACTCCGTGTAGGAAAAGTGTTTTACATCAAAGTCATCATGTTCTGTATTTGTTACCTTCTTATAACAGTTTCTTTTTTTCCTTATAAAGTTTGGCTAATTTAGCATTTGTCTTTCCTTTATGTTTGTCTTATTTACACAGTATTTTATTTTCATGGAACACATCTTACAAACCTCATGTGTCAGGTCCATCTTATTTGTGCTCTGCTTGCATTGCTAATGTCTTTCTCCAGGTGCTGCTATATTTGTTGCACTAACTTTCTCCTGCTCTATGATGTCACCTCTGCCAACCTCACCGGATAACCAGTTGATTTTATTTGTCCATTATCGTACATTTGACTTCATATTAGCAATTAATTTGAAAAAAATCGATACTTAGTCAATGAGGCGATACCATATATCACCAGACAAAGTATTGCGATACTATGCCGTATTGATTCTTTCTCCCACCCCTACTATTTATCTCAGTGACAAGGCTTTTTACAAACACTATCTAACAACAGCCTCAAATGTCTATTTCAATACCCATCAACTTGATGGTACACCGTCTATGTCTGTGTACCAGCTGTTTGCAGTCGGGGGGAAGTTAAGTGTTTCCATCTAAGGGAATTTAGAGTCTGCATATCTGCTGCATAATTATTGCCCTCAATCTCACAACCGTGTTTGCATAGGTGGAGTGATGCTTTTTTCACTGACCAGCAGCTATATGGAAAGAGAGGACCAATACATTGCAATTTCTGTTCATACCCATAAATAACTGTACCTTTTCTAATCATTTATAACATCTGCATGGCAGGTAAACGTTTCTTTTGTGCAGGTGTTGCATTTCCCCAATTTGTATCTGATGTTGTCCCCTCACTCTCAGACTCAGAGCATGCAGAGGCAGTGCTGACCCAGATGGACAGTCATCTTTCTCATGCTTGTATTCATCAGAAGTGGACATGCGCTTAAGGGCACGATAAGTTTGGTGCATCTTGTTATGACTTGTACTGCTATAACTTTTACACCGCAGTTGCTTATCAATCAATTTGGGGGTCACACAGGGTCTGACAAAAGGGGGGTGGTCTGAATGAAACATGCTCCTGCTGTAATCCAGTAAGCTGCAGTCCTCGTTGCGCTTGTCGTAGGATCAATTCTTGATCTCGGCAAGATTGAGTGCGCGTCATCGCCTCTCACTATCTCCATTCTCTGTCAGAATGTCCTGTCAACAAAAGCCCTAAAAATAATCTTGACAAAGAAGAAAGAAAGGAAAAAAAACATGTTGTGGAAAATGTAAAATAAAGAAAAAAAGACTTCTTTTGCATGGCGGTCTGACACCTACCCTCTTCCCAGCACCTACAGGTGTGAAAATTACAACACAGAAATTGCTCTGCTCATGGTGGCTGGCCTTGTTTGCCTTTGCTAGTCATTAACAAGCAACGTTGTTAATTTCAGTCTGTTTCCAGAACCTTTCAATGCTCCTCACAGGAGCTTTAAACACAGTGAGCACAAAATAGCAGTCATGATGGTTAGGAGTGAAATAACTGAATAAAGTTTTGAGAGCGAGAGTGAAGTCACGCAGCCTCTGGGTTCTTGTAGAGACCTTGATTACTTCAAATGGGTATATCAATAGAAAAGTGGCATTATGGCCTGAAAACAAGTTTTCAAGTCAGTATTTTCAAATATATATAAACACAATGTCATTTATTGCTACTTTTTAAAAAAAGATCAGTAAATTGTGTGCATCAAACAAGAGTTGCCGTGCATCATTATAACACCGCCTGACGCTGTGTTGGAGTTAAGTTCTGCAGCATCGCAGCTCGGGCACCATTAAATATGCATCCAACTTCTGACTGGAAGAAGAGGACTTTGATGAGGAGCCCGTTTGATGTCTTGAATTGGCTTCCCACCCACACCTCAAATCACCGGTTCTGTGTGCTGCATCCACACGCCCACTGCCAAAGATCACCCACTGAATACTGCAGTGATAACCATATCATTAGCTGCCTCCTTAATTCCCTGCTTGGATGCATTTCATCCTCTGTGTCATTTCTTTAAACAGGGTGGCTGGTGTTAGAGGCTCTCATATCCTGCAGAAATTCATAGAGGTTTAACACTGGAATAGATATCTACAGTCACAGTGTCAGGTCTGCTGTGATTATAGTCACTCTCAACATTTAACCACAGTTAGTTTATAGCTAATTACTGTCTATATTTTTGTTTGGAAAGGGGGCGATACAGAGAGTTGCTAAAAGAGTTAAGTCCTTAGTTGGTTTGTCCCCACGTTTGATAAGTCTAATGCTTTGCTTCTGACTCTGGTCATTGAAAGAACTTTCTGCAACGCATGTAGTAGAACATCATTTCTGAGACTGGGGTGATCTACTCCAAAAACAACTCTTGAACACGTGTTTTATGTCTATGAGAGCAGCCCTCCAAATACCTCTGAACAGTCAGATCAGCAGCATCGTTACTCAGTCCACGTAGAAGAGATTTTGCTCCCTCACTCCAGCTCAATAAACCACTACTTCAGCTGCCTCAGAGGTAAGCAGCAAATTTTTCTCCTCTCAAATTGGTATTGAATTTTCTCCGAGATCCAGTTTGGTTCGGGGTCTCGTCACTTTGTCATCCAATCCCAACACTGCTGATGACTCAGTAATGTACTTCACCCGCCACAGGGGAACCAAAGATTTATCAAGGGACCTGAAAACAAACTACACCTGACAATGGAGTTAACACAGCCAGATGCTCCTCCTTCAGAGCAAAACAAAGTTTCAGTCTTGGAAACAGCTCCCTGCCATACCCAGGAGGCTGATCCAACAGCACCAACAACACTGAGCAATAGTATGGAAGCAAACATGATACATCTGTCATATACTCAGTTTTTCAGTTTTTCAAGATTAATACATTCACTGTTGTTAAATTCACTTATTTACTTAAATATTTCTCAAGGCAACAGAGCTCAATATGCTGTTATAACCTGCTCATTTCAGTTGTTTTCACCAGATTGTGACTAAGTAGGTTCCCAGTCTTTTCTGGGACTCCTTTTCCGGGACTTTTCCAGGACATGTCAAGAATCAACTTAGCTAGTATGACATAAATGCACTGTGCCCATGATGAAATAAATCAAGACATTTTAAGAGAAGTACTTTTTGCAATACTACACAGTCCTGACTCCTGTTCCAGGACAGGAGTAAGGACACATCTATCTGTTCTTTCCCTGTGACTACATCCATGTGATTATAGCAACAAAAAGAAAACTGTATTTCAAACAACGCTGGATGTTTCCGTGCTCCAACACACCTGATTCAAATGATTAGCTCGTTACTAAGCCATTACAGAGCTTGATAACGAGCTGATCATTTGAATCAGGTGTGTTGGAGCAGGGAAACATCCAAAACATGCAGGACAGTGGGCCTCGAGGACTGGACTTGAGAACCACTGATCTAAATGTATTCCAAAAAAAAATCTCCCCCTGCTGACTTTTGACAGTCTAATGAAAAAATGGCAGATAACTGACACCTCCCCCCTCACAGCAGTTTCAGGCATTAATAACATTGATATAAAAATGGTCAGTCTTGTCACTGATGGTCTTTTTAGCTTTTGTGTATCATACAAAGGCATCAATATAAATTTCAGCCTATTTCAGCATCACAAAAACACTCCTCGCAGGAGCTTTAAGTTGACTCTAAAGTTGTGTCCATTTTCCTCAGCCACTGACTCTGTCCAGACTATTACAGCATATTTTAATCCCAAAATTACGTAGAGTGTTGAGTTGCTGGTAAACACAATAAAAACGTTTAAACCTATCATGTCATGTGACAGTCTTTTGTACAGCATGTTAGGAGACAATGCTGGCAAAGACATAAATCATACTGCTTGCATGTGTTTAGCCTGTGTTTGACTGGCTCACTGTTTGGCTGCTGTTCATATTTTAACTACAGCTTCCTATTCATCATCAAACTCTGCCAACAATGCCCAACACATGTTTATAACAGCACTCCAGGCCAGAGTCCACTCCCAAACTTGAACTCTTTGCAAGTGAAGCTACTCTGCTCATCAGCAACTTCTGCAAATGAGCAAAATGTGCTGACCAGTTTATCCTCTTTCACCTTTTTAGAAGATCTATACACCTAATGAAAACTACAGTATGCATGTTTTTAGGACATTGTTTTCTTACAGTACTGGAAGTTTCAGCCTGCATGTACTACTGTTATGATCTGACTTATTCATTGCACAACTGTCCACAAACGACTGTTACTTTCTGACATGGTTAACCATCAACAAAATTTAGCCCTTTGAGATGACAATAACATGCATCTATGTGGGAACACGGGTGTGAAAAAAGTCTTCCTAATTTTCCTGAACATATCGCATTTTTTCTCATTGACAATAAGTTATCCATGACTGGAAATTTGGCTGACCATTTTGGAGGTTTTCCAGCACACTTAAGAACTTATTTTCTACGTTGTCACAAGTTAGTAAAGCTCATTTTCTCATGATAACAAGATGATTTTAAAGCAATCTAAAAACAAAACAACTGGCCAGAAAAAAACAGCTTTGGCCATACTTTTGTTAAAGGGAAGTTGAGCCTATTTTTGTTTGAGGATTTTGCAATTCAGGGGATATGAACTAAGTTAAAGTTAAAAAAACTGCGTCCATTCGATCTCAAAGTGAGTTCCCACAACCACAACAAATTCCTTCATCCCAAACTCTAGGAGAAGATAACTGTTTCTGATAGCATATGGTGTATATTACTATTATTATTACTATTATTATTATTATTATTGTTATAGATCAAGCTTCATCTAGGGGTTCTATATTGGTAAGCAAACAGCACATTGCACTTTGTTTCTTTTTTTTACCTTCTAAATCATCTTTAATACTTTTTACCTCCTGAACTGTTTTTTAAGGAGATGTATTTTATTTTATTTATTTATTTTTTTATGATGTATGGCAGTGTTTTAAATGTCTGTGCCTGCTGCAACCCGGTTTGCCCAGTTTTGGGACATAATAAAGTTGAAGTGAAGTGAAGTGAGCAATCATATCATCTGAGGTTAAATCGACATCTTGTGAAACACGCAAATAAAATAAACAGATGTATGTCCATTGAGGGCTTCCTTACATCTATGTGGGTGTCTGACTAAACCACAACTCAACTCAAACTCAACCACAGCAAGGGCCATAATCTTGATTTAAGTCTAACCTGAGGGCCAAACAGGGTTAACATTTAACCTAAACTGTCAGCCTTCTTCCAAAATATATAACAAAATCAGCCATGATTATAAACCACTTGAAAATTCAAAAGGTAAAAAAGATCAATTTAAAGGCAGTCTGAGATTAAACGTAAAATATCCAATTGATTAGTTCAAAAGATCAAACCACGATATTAGAAATAGAAAAATAATGCTTTTAAAGAGCAAATACATAAGGAGAACATTGAAATCAAGAGTTTAAAGTCAAAATATGACTTAAAATCTAAAATTCGAATCTAAAGGATTAAAATGACATAAATCTAAATACTGAGTTGAAAAAAAAACAAGGCACAAAATAAAAAGTCAAATCATGTTTGATTTATAATCTTGAGATGCAAAATTAGAAATATGGATAATTTTTGGCCCACATTCTTGACTATTTATCCAATCTTCCTTACTCTTTACTTTCTCAGATTATCGTGGTTTATTAAGGACATTTTAAATAATGGTGCTAAAGTTTATATTATCATCCTGGAGGAAATCTGCAGACCTCATGCTGGTGGGCCAATAATAATACAAATCTAATATGATCTCGTGGGCCAGATTTGGTTCCCCGCACCTTGAGTTTGACACCTGTGGACTAAACAGTAAGTGTTTCGCAAATTAGGCAAGACCAAACTGCTGGTGCAAACCCACTCCATCCATCACTGGTGTCCAATCTGCCCTTCGGAGGGCTTTTCATAGCTACAGGCAGCATCAGCCAAAAGTGAATGTGATATATTTTTTCACCTCTATTTTTAGAGAAACTGATGCTATGGGATAAACTGCCGCGACTTAATGCAGGCATCAAGCATCTGAGCTGCAAATACAAGCGCCGAGCAGTTATACTGAAACAATAGGGAGGCTGCTGCTGCTGCTGTGTCTGTGTGTGTGTCTGCAGCTGTGGGACTGAAAATCAGTGTAACCTGCTGCTCCGGCTGCCTGCTGTCACACCCCTCCCACTCCATGCCTGCACTACAGCGCAGCAGCTCACGACTAGGCACCCAAACACTTCACCATCAAAGATTTATGATGGTGAGTTGTTAACGCTGTGCATTGAGAGGATAAACACGAGCTGCAGCGGGGATGCACATTTTCTGAAGAAGCTTGAACAGATATGCTTTGAATCGCTGCAAAACGCACGCTTCAGGCAACATAAAGCTGCAGCTAGCTACCAAACAAGCAAGCAGAGGGCTGAAACTCTCTAAAAGCAACCAGCTCAGTGCGAATCACTTAAAAAGGCTCCGGTGCAACTACTTCATATTTGTCAACTCTTCCTTAATTAGACAAATGAAAACAAGCAAGAGTATCAGAGCTAAGTTGACAGTTGAAAGAAGCAGCAGGCTAACACGCTAGCATGCTAGCTAAATCAAAACAGCAGTATAAACAAACCGCTCAGCGCACACACCAAACACACACTCACCGTATGGTTCACACCCCACATTAAAACGCTGAGGATCGGTTCACTTGCACGGAAAAGTTTCACTTTCTGTCCTATAAAATGCTTCTTTTTTGTCTTGGTTTTGCTCGCGCTGATGGGCGCTGAGCTGGTGCAGTTGGATGACATGTCTCCGGCTGAATTTTCGGGTCCGCACTCACCGTCGTTCAGAGCCTCCACACACAACAACAACACAAAAAATCAGGAAAGGTAAGAGCCTTTAAAATCTATAAGTGCATTGTGCTCGTCGTCCAACTCGCAGCGAGTCCGTGGGAAGGGTAAGTGTCTTGTTGGGAGTCAGCGGTGGAGCATTTTGCGCCGTCACCACCCTTCCTCCTCCCGAGCAGGCCGCGGCGGAGTCCAGAGAAGAGCTAACCGGCCATCAGGCAGCACCACAGCCTCTGTTTACGAAAAAATCAACCCGAAGCGATCAAAACTCGCCGGACTGCTTCTCCTCTGTCTCTGGAGTTGCTGTGACCTCAAACCGAAGTGACACCGCTTCACTTGTCAGTGAGTAGTCCCATCATGATGCGCCTCAGATTGTTGTCAATCACCGACAGCGAGCGCTGCGTTCGGGGTCTCCTCAAGATGGCGTCCCCGCTGCACCTCACGTTCAACAGCGCCTCCTGCAGGCCGCCGACGGAACTGCAGGGGACCCCACACCTCACTTTGACCCGTGCACAACATCTGAACCAGGATTACCCACAGTACCAGAATAGTGTATGGGCTGTTGCAAGGACTTCAGATTGCAACATTGAAGTCAAGCCCGCAGAGTGAATCTCTGTGTTTTAAATTTTTAATGTTTTCGTGCCGTCATATTCACTGCAAACCCACTGAGGGGGACCTGGTTTGTGTTGATTTTTTCACCTATTTTGGGCAGACTCGTGTTACCTCTGTTTAGATCTTGTCCTGTACATTCAAGACAGTTTTTTATTTATTTTAGGTGTTTCATCTGTCCTTTAACAGACATTAAGATGAAATATCTTTCTTCAAAATACTAATTATTAATGTTTAGGTCCAATGGTGTAATCAGAAACATGGGGGCAAGGAGGGTGACCCCCCCGAGGACCCATATGTATAAACAAAGACTGCAGAAGTATGTCATATCATATGAATCACGTGAAAACGTTCAGTGATGCTATGTAAAATTCCAGGGCATAAAATGTAATATTGTGCCTTGTTGGTAAATTTAACCTGATTTTATAAGTTTGGTTGTTATGCAAGGTTTATCTCTTTTTCATCTTAAGTGTTTTATCATGGCATACAGTAGGCCCTGTTTCAATTTTTAATGCCCTTGTCCCTCAAACAACCCCAGTTCATCGTCACTAACCAAAAATTACTCACAGGAACTTTGAGTCAACCGCTTATATATAGGTTTAATGATTTTAGAGGTGGCAGCTGCATGCTCCATTTTGCATTTTCTTAGCAACTTAGATCCCATTTGGACTTTACTGAACTTAGATGCTGTGTACCAATGGAATTTAAAGATTACTAAAATATGACAAAATGTGGCCAAATTGAAGTAAAAAGTGTCAGATGATGACACTCATCCTAAATCCTGAGATAAAAAAAAAAAGTACTTGAAGCTTTAATGGTTTGCTTATAAAGTTATCTTCATCAAAAGCAGTTAATGGTTTTAATTTGTCAATCGACTATAGGCCTATTGTAGCTGCAAATGTTGTTCAATCAGCCACATCTCAGAACGAGACAAGATAAACTGAATATTTCATGACATAAAAAACTTCTAACATTCAGCATAGTAATTACTTGTCCTTGCCTGTAATCCATGACAAAAAACCCAGAGCCATTTCAACACACTGGATTTGACTCATTCTATTAGAATTTTTACTGTGAAGTTGTTGTAGAAATTCTCAAAGAGAAGTAAACAGACTGGAGTTAGAATTTACTTGGCTTCAATTAGTGTTCTGCAAAACTCAAACTGAGTCCCCATAAGTGTACTTGGGCTGTTTGAGGAACAGGGACAAAAATATGAAGGGGCACCTGCTGTATGAAGTAATGTCACCTGTGAGCAGACAGTTGTGATTAATGAAGATTTGTCTTTAGCGGCATTTTGAAGACCATTTTGTAGCTCTTCACTGTTTCCATTGTTTTATATCTTTGGTATTCTGTGTTTTTAAGGTAGCTGCACAACCTGTGGTTCTCCTGTAGGAAATTTTGAGCATTGAACACCTAATTCCCCCTCTTTCTGCTGAATGTTAATGCAACGCCTAATGGTGGATATTCAGTAATGTTAAAAAAAAAAAAAACACAAAATTTTGAATAAATAACTTTTTTTTTGTTTGTTTTATCCTACATTAGACTCACATTAAAGTGAGATTTTTCTGTTTTCTTTTAAAAGTGTAAATTTTATATTAAATGGTAGGATAAACTGATAGCACTTAAATTAAAGCAAGATTTTCAAAAGTACTAGACTTGGCTCACAAACCTTTCAGGTCAACAAGACATTTACTCTGGAGGGTACTTTTTAAAAGACTTCATTCAGTTAAGCACATCTGGGGGACATTTTTTAACATGCAATATACTAGAAGGACGACAGAGACCTTTTTATTTTTTACATTAGATATACTGAAAGAGCATCCAGAGGGCATTTTTGCTTTCTACAAGAGAAACCATGCAGACTTTTCAGTGTTTTTTTACACACATGAGGGCACCAGGTGGGATGACCACCCCCCTTGTGTCCCCTTTGCTGAGTACACCACTTAGAGTCCCTGCTGTTGCAGGAGGATTAAACAGAATAGCAGTCATATAGAGCCTGAGGAGTCTGACACAGATTGAAGGTTCAAAATGACATTTACTGTCTTAATTGAAAATAAATAAATAACAGTGTCTCTGAAGAAGGGGGTGTTTTCAGTCACTGGATGGTTTAGTTCACTCCTGTCTGTTTACTTCACTTCCTTCTTTATCTGATTATCTATTGCTACATTTTTTTACGCACTACATATTTTACATCTGTTATAAAGACATTTCTACAATACAGAAGTCAACAAATGAGGCATTCAATATTTTCAGCCAACATGTCCACATTACGGTTGATGAAAAAGAAATCACTTTTGCACCTGAAATTCATTTTTGAACAATTTCAGCAGCAGCATTGTTGAATGTTTTGTCTGTATTTCTGTCAGCAAGGGTCCCTAACTGATAATAACTTCAACTGTTCAGCAGTTTTGGTGTAATTAATAAGATTTATTCACCTCAGATGAGTGTACTTCAAACCAGCTAAAAATTCTAATTGGGACTTTGCTGTCAAGTGAGGGCAAAACATTGAATTGTTTTTTATTTATTTATTTAATTTTTCTCTGTAGACTCCTTCAGTTTGCTGAAAAATCCCAATAAAAATAATAAAGACATGTCAGTGCCCTCCAGTGGCAGCGAAGGTGGTGTTTTAACAGGTAATGCAGTAATATGTTGATCACAGATGTACAGTTCAGCTAAATTCTTAAAACATAGACTTATGCATTACATAGTGGTTTCATCATCACAGATATTAATGTATTGCAGAGATAAACCATCTACCTCACAGGTGTGGCATATCAAGATGCTGATTAGACAGCATGATTATTGCACAGGTGTGCCTTAGACTGGCCACAATAAAAGGTGCAGTTTTACTGTATTGGGGGCGTCCAGGGGGGATAAGAAAACCTGTCAGTATCTGGTGTGACCACCATTTGTCTCACACAGTGTAACACATCTCCTTCTCATAGAGTTGATCAGGTTGTTGATCGTGGCCTGTGGGGCGTTGGTCCACTCCTCTTCAATGGCTGTGTGATGTTGCTGGATATTGGCAGGACTGGAACAGGCTGTCGTATACGCCAATTCAGAGCATCCCAAACATGCTCAATGGGTGACATGTCTGGTGAGTATGCTGGCCATGCAAGAACTGGGATGTATTCAGCTTCAAAGAATTGTGTACAGATCTTCACAACATGGGGCAGTGTATTATTATGATGGTCAGGGATGAATGGCACAACAATGGGACCCAGGATCTTGTCACGGTATCTCTATTCATTCAAAATGCCATCAATAAAATGCAACTGTGTTCGTTGTCCATAGCATATGCCTGCCCATACAATAACCCCACCGCCACCATGGGCCACTCAATTCACAACATTGACATCAGCAAAACTCTCACCCACATGACACTAAACACGCTTTCTGCCATCTGCCCTGTACAGTAAAAACCGAGATTCATCCGTGAAGAGAACACCTCTCCACAGTGCCAGACGCCATTGAATGTGAGCATTTGCCCACTCAAGTCGATTATGACGAGCATGCAGAAGAGCTTCCCTGAGACGGTTTCTGTCAGTTTGTACAGAAATTGTTTGGTTATGCCAACCAATTGTTGCAGCAGCTGTCTGGGTGGCTGGTCTCAGACGATCTTGGAGGTGAAAATACTAGATGTGGAGGTCCTGGGCTGGTGTGGTTACATGTGGTCTGTGGTTGTGAGGCCGGTTGGATGCACTGTCAAATTCTCTGAAATGCCTTTGGAGACGACTTATGGTGGAGAAATAAATATTCAATCCACAGGCAACAGCTCTGGTGGACATTCCTGAAGTCAGCATGCCAATCGCACGCTCCCTCAAAACTTGTGACATCTGTGGCATTGTGCTGTGTGATAAAACTGCTCCTTTTAGAGTGGCCAGTCTAAGGCACACCTGTGCAATAATCATGCTGTCTAATCAGCATCTTGATATGCCACACCTGTGAGGTGGATGGATTCAAGGAGTAGTGTTCACTAACACAGATTTAGACAAATTTATCAACAATATTTGAGAGAAAGAGGTCTTTTATGTATGTAGAAAAAGTCTTAGCTCTTTGAGTTTAGCTCATGAAAAATGGGAGCAAAAACAAAGGTGTTGTGTTTATATTTTTGTTCATTGTATATATGAACAGTGACCTCCCAGGGCCAGAGAAAATTGTCCTTGGTCCGACAAATCAAAATTTGACATTCTTTTTGGAAATTATATATCCTGGATGTTTCCTCTGCTTTAAAGAGAAGAGGGACTACCTAGAACTTTATCAGCACATAATTTAAAAGCCAGCATACCTGATGGTATTGGGATGCATCAGGTCTCATGACGTAAGTTGCTTATGCATCTGGGATCACACTATTACTGCTGAACTATATATGAAAGTTTTGGAGTAACATATGCTGCCTTCCAGACAATGTAATTTTCAGGGGAAAGTATGAATGTTAAAAAAAGATATCTAGAGGTTAGTCTTCCAATCAATGAAGTTAATGTACAACAGGCTAGTAACATGACTGAGTATAAAATGGCATTCTGAAAGGCTGAATCTCATGGGAAGATGCTTAATATTCAAATACTGCTCTGTATTGTCCACAAAATCAGAATAATGTTCATTGGCTTTAGATTACAAAGATGTAAACATTTTGCTCATTTACAGAACATTATGTAAGAAGATTTGGAAAATCTGGAAAATTTCTGCCCAAAAGAGGACAAGACCAAAACCCAATACTGAATGGCTGTGATCTTTGGGCCCTTAACTAGCACTCCATCAAAAGACATGACCCTGTCGTGGAAATCACTGTGTGAGCTCAAAATGCCTTTCAATCCCTGTTTCAACATGGTTCCAAGTCAATTTAGGATGATTGAAGTAGAAAACTGTCCTGGAATCTGACAACTCAAAATTTGACATCTTTCTTGGAAATCATGAATGCTGTGCACGCTCTAAAGAAGGGAGGGACCACCTAGTGCACTGGCACCTTGGTTGTTATCAGCTTAGAATTCAAAAGTCAGCATCTTCAATAGTTAGGAGATTTATAAATGTCTATAGCATGGGTAACTTTACCCATCTGGAAGGGCATCAATGCTGAATAAAATATACAGCTGTCTCAGAAGACCTTGCATGTTTTAGCTAAACAATACCAAACCATAATCTATGCGTATGACAACAGCATGGCTCCGTATTACAAGAGCCTGATACTGAACTGGCCCGCTTGCAGTTCTGAATTGTCATCCAAACATTTAGGTCATCATGAAATGAAAATTATGAAAGAGGAGACCCAGAACTGTTGGGCAGCTGAAATCTTATATCAGGTCAAAATGTGACGTTTCCCTTTGAAAACTCCAGAAACTGCCTTTCACACTTATACAGGATGTTGTAAAAAGAAAAGGTAATACAAAAAGGTAATACAACATACCGGACAACATACCCTGTCTTAACTTATTGGAAAACATGTTGCTGGTTAATTGATACAGCTAAAAGAATTACATCTATTTTTATAAAACAATGTGTACACACACACACACACACACACACACACACACACACACACACACACACACACACACACACACACACACACACACACACACACACAGTCATGTGAAAAAATTATCCAGTTATTCATTAAGAAATGTTCACATATCGATGTCTAATCTTGTTTTTTATTAATCTCTGGAACAGAAAGTGATCTCATTACAGGTAAACAACACAAAATAATACAGTTTTACTCATTAAGCTCATTTACTCATTAAGAGGAAGAAGTTAGGGCACCCTACCCCCTAATACCTAGTGTTACCCCCTTTTGCTGAAATAACTTCAGTGAGATGCTTCTTGTAACCCTCTACCAGTCTCTGACATCGCTCTGAGGACAGTTTTACCCACTCCTCAATGCAGAATGTTTTAGCCAGTGTGATGTTTTAGGGGTTTCTTGAATGTACAGCCTGTGTCAAGTCACCCTATAGCCTCTCAATGGGATTAAGATCTGGGCTTTGACTGGGCCACTCCAGGACTCTCCAATTCTTAGTTTTCAGTCAGTCCTTGATGGATTTGCTGGTATGTTTAGCCTGCAGGGTCCAGTTCTGCATCAGTTTCAATTTTCTTACTGATGGTCTCACGTGTTCTTCAAGCTCCCTCTGATACACTGTATTCATGGTAATTCATGGTAGATTCTGTGATGGTGAGCTGGCTAGGTCCTGTTGCAGCAAAGCATCCCCAAACCATAACACTTCCATCTTAATGCCTAACAGTGGGTATCAGGTTCTTTTCCTGGAACATAGTATTTGGTGTGCGCCAAACATGTCCTCTGTTCTGGTGTCCAAATTATTCAATCTGTCCAAAGAACATGAGTCCAGAAGTCCTGTTCTTTGTCCATGTTCTCTCTGGCAAACTTCAGTCATGCCTTAATGTTCTTCTTAGAGAGCAAAGGCTTCCTCCTGGCACACTTCCTGTAATAGTTTAACTTGTGCAGTCTCTTTCTGATTGTAGAGACATGCACGTTCACATCAGCAGTCGCCAGTGCCTGCTGTGGGTCTTGTGATGAGATTCTAGGCTTTTTGGAGACTGCTTTGAGCATCTTGTGGTCTGCTCTCAGGGTGAAATTGCTTGGACGGCCAAACCTGGATATGTTGGCAGTTGTTTTGAATGTCCTCCACTTGTACAGTATTTTCCGGACAGAGGAATGGCTGATTTCAAAATCTTTTGAGATCTTTTTAAATCCATTACCAGACTCATACGCTGCAGAAATCTTCTTTCTGAAGACCTCAGACAGGTCTTCTGATCTCACCATGGTGTTCACTCTCACAACAATAGTCTGGAGTACACCAAACTGAATGACTGAGGATTAAATAAGGAAATTCTCCTTCAAAATGCTGCATGACAATGTTGTAATCATGTGCACATGATGTGATACACCTGCGTGTGATTTCAGCCGAATTAAGAGAGAAAGATGTAGGGGTGTCCTAATTTATTCCTCAACGGAAATTGGAGTTTTATTTTATTGCGTTTGACAGAAGGTTTTAAAAATGTTTTCTAAAGTGTTACTTTTTTAGCTATTTTACTTTAATTTCTCAGTATCGTTAAAATAGATATTAGATATCCATGTGTTTAATTTAATCAAAAAAACATTATATATAGTTCAATCAACTATTTTTCATCAAAGAAATATTCAAATGATTTGCAAGCCATCAAATTATGTTTTTATTAGCATTTTACACAGTGTCCAAAATCTTATTAAACTTGGACTGCAGTAAGACTGGATAATCATTTGAAGAAAGGTAATTTAAGACTGGAAATAAACTGTTATGTATATAATAAGATATTTACTACCTATTTTTTGGAAAATTAGAGCAACTTTCCATCTAGTTAAATAAAATAAGTGTTAGGAAATTCATCTTTTTGTATCACAAGGAGTCTTTTATGTATTGTTTTAATAACAAAAATGCATTTTACCAAAAATTTTCATTCAACTACAATGAATATGTTTTTTTTTGTTCCATGTCAGATTGTACAGTGGCCACAACAACAAACTGCATTCTTGTATTTGCTCAGATATAGGCAAGAGGCATGCAAACTAGTCCATCTCAGCAATTTCTTGTTAAACAATTTTTCTTGTATTGTTCACCAGTTGTGGTTGTTACGATGTATTCCATATTTATTTTACTTTCATGTGTTCACTTACAAACTGGAGTTATTCCATTAAAACAAAGACAGACTTGCAAATCACCAATTATCTGGCATACGTCTTTGTGGGCCAACCCCTCAGCTCAGGCCGGGATGTGAGGCCTGTAGGGCCTGTGTGTGTGTGTCCTGCAGAAAAATAATTTACAATCACAGCCAGGCTAAGTGAGGGCGGGGCACAACCCACTTCACAGCAACTTTTTAAAATAAATTAATCAAAAAGAAAGACGGAATCGAAAACTGCTTAAATGTTAGGCTCCTGTTTGATAAATAAAGGTGTAAAAAGAGCGCAGGGCCTGCAGAGGATACCCCTGTATGCCCCGAGAACGAGGCGACAAAATAATATCACGTGATCCAAAATGGGCAGTCCTCTGACGGAGCTGAAAAAAGCCATTTTCTGGCGCTGCTGCAAATTCTGTTGAAGTCCAAATAATTTACCTGGATTCTCGCTGGGAGGGGAGGGAAACTTCTATGTCTGATCAGGTAGGAACGAAGCATCGGTGATGTTTTTTGAGCAGGCTGATCGGCCCGCTGTTTGCTGAGGCGCACACAGAGTGCACGGTGTCACATTTTGAGTCTCTCTTGTTCGCCTCCTCATACAGCTCTGTCAGTGAATTTAAGATGGCTGCTTTGTGTACCAGTGTGATTTTCTGTGGCTCTGTACCCCCTCACTGTGGGGATTTGTCGGGTTGTGTTCGGTTCGGGTGCCCGGCCGGACCGCCGGGGCTCCGGAGAAATCCAAACGCTCTTTGTTGCTCCGCTGGTCGAGGAGCGGAGCTGATGCACAAGATGAGGCCACACAGGGGCGATTGAATAGTCGGCTGCTGTGTCCCAGCACACAGGCTGCATTTAGCCGTTCGGCTCTTGCTTTCTCACGTTATTTACCGCTCCAACATGCCAGTGCATTAGTTTTTACGCACTATGAGCTCTCTTTGTTGTGGTCTCACTCGCAGCTGCCCCAAGGACGAGCTGCAGACATTGTCTCATTGACCATATGGGAAAGCACAAATAGTATCGCACAATTTTCTCTGTGTAACAAAACCCTGTCCTGTTGTACGTGTTTTTTTCCTGCAGATCAGTCCAAATGGATAAAATGCAGCCAAACCGGGTCAAAATCACAGATCTGAATCCACACCTCACATGTCCACTGTGCGCTGGCTACTTAATTGACGCTACAACCATCGTAGAGTGCCTGCACTCCTGTAAGTCCCTCACATGAAAACATCACCTTACATGTATGCATGCAGTGTTTCTCTTAACCCCAGCCTTGCATTAGCATAGACCTTACAGTAGTTTGCATATCCAGCAGAGCTCCTCTTGTGTTGTGGTTGTAGGGGAGGCGAGCATGGTGCCATGAATCATATTGTGGCCTACAGGAAAGGAACATCTGTGTGCACAGAGTGATGCATGTGAAAAAAATAATTAAATATTTGTTGACACTGTGTATGATGTTTTGATTTAGGTTTACATTAACCCAAGAGGCCGGTGATGCTTGTGGTTGATAAGAGAGTCAGTTACTGTAAATGAAATGTTACAAATGTCTTCTTGTATAATGTTGATATTATTAAATAGTCATCATTAGGCACCATCTGTTCTATCTCTTTAATATTTGAAATGGTGGACACTCTGAGTATCAGCAAATGCAGAGCTCATACTTAATATCACTTTGATACAACAACTACACTCACTCTTACTGCTGCGTGTCATTTCTTATCATGGTATCAAAGTATAATTCACCCTCTTTATCTTGCATTACAAGACTCATTGTCTTCATATTTTAAAATAAATGAAAATTTTGCATACCATAGAACATGTTTGAAAAAGAAAAGGTACTCACTGGCTTTACTTGTGTAACTGATCCAAAGCTGATCCATTTTGGACACGTGTAATGAATGTGTTTATTTTTCTGCCAAGTTTTATCATCTCTCTATTTTCTTTTCTGCAGTTTGTAAAACTTGCATCGTTGCCTTCCTGGAAACACATAAGTTCTGCCCTCGATGTGATGTCCAGGTTCACAAGACATGTCCACAGCTCAGTATCAGGTGAGTTCGGACATTTTGTGTTGGGTATTTTACTAATTGTGAGTTTATTAGCATCAAAACATCAACAAACATTTTTTTTTCCTTTCCTAGAGCGGACAAAACTCTACAAGACATTGTATATAAGCTTGTCCCGGGGTTATTCAAAGGTGAGATTGTTTTTCTAAGACCTGGTTGTTTGAATTTTTCATTCAGTGATGCATTTTTTCACTGATGGACTTGAATTTTTCTGTCTCTGCTGCACTCAGATGAGATGAAACGGAGGCGGGACTTCTACGCAGAGAACCGAGTGCTGGAACCAGGGGAAGTAGTGGAGACATTTAACATCGCAGAAGATGAAATCATCAGTCTGTCCATACAGTTCTATGAGAGGAACAAGTGAGTCAGTCATTTGTCATTTTTACAAAAACACAGCAGGAAGGAGTCTACATGTTGGGTCTGGTTACTGGAAAGTTGCAGCTGAGACAAATGTGGAAAGGATGAAATGTAATTATCCAGTAATGAACACACAAGTGAAACAGGGTGGAACCATTTTTCCGGCTCTGTGTTTTTTCTTTTGTGAAATGAGTTAATGAAGTTGTTTTTTTAATGTGAAATCAGCTCACACTAAAAACAAAACCTGTTGTAGTTCAAACTGCCAAGATGAATAAATAATGAAATCATTTCATTGAACTAGAAAAGGAGGCAGTTAAACTATCAAGACATTTCTTTAGCTCTGAATAAAATTTAGTGTATCTAATATTTATAGTTCTTAGATAACTTCAAACCCTAAAGCAAAATGCAAGTGAGTTTGTCTTATTTCAAGAAAAGATGTCTTATTAGACTTAATGAAGGCTGCATTCACCTGACAAGTTCAGATAAAGTCTTATTTTAAGATTTAAGTAAAAAAATCTGCAGATGTTTCTGTACAAGTTAAACTTCTTGTATTAAGAAATTGTTCTTTCAAGAAACTCAACAAATATTTTTTTTTTCATCTCAATGGCAGATATTTGTTTTGCTCATTGTGATTGATTCAGGTCTTACTTTTGGCTTTTCATACCTCGAAATAAGACATTTATCTGGACTTGTCTGGTGAGTGTGGCCTAAATGAAGTTATTTTTTAAATAAGACAGACGTATGTTTGGTTTAGAAAATTCGAGGTTGAAATCGAAACCATATATACTTGATTTTTAATCATCCTTATTAGAAACCACACCGTTTTATTCTACACCTACTAACAAGGGAGTTAAATGAGTGACGCATTTCCTCTTCAGAGAAGACCCTGTGTAGGAAGCTTTTAATGGGTAGACTGACTGTTTGATCACCAGCTCTTGCAGCCCACATATCAAAGTGTACTTGGGCAAGACGCAGTCCAAAATTGTTCCCTTAGGTTTGGCCAGATTGTTTAACTGTGGCTGAGTTGGTGCTGATGGTCAGCTCGTCGCTTTGCACTCAGGGCTCTGCCATCAGTGTTTGTGAGAGAGTAAATGTGCCATGTAGTGTAAAGCATTTTCAGTTTACTTCAGTCCAGTTACTTTTTAATTATTCTGTGTTAAAGTAATTGTGGAAACATCTGAAGTATTTGATGTTGGTATCCTTGAATCACTTAGATGAAGACCTATTGATGTCTGCAGCATCATTACTTTGAAGACTTGCTGCTACAGTATATTTACAATGTGGAGTTCCTAAACTTTCTCCAGTTGGCACATTTAGAACAATAGTTAATCTCCACCCTGATGCCTTGGTGCTTAACCCTCATGGACTTTAATGGGGTCAGGCGTGCGGTGCAGGAGTGTGTGAGGGCTTGAAAATGAGAAATGGGACACTTTTGTCATAACGTTCGTCGCCCGGAAACAAACTGTGCCATCAAATGATATAAAATGACCAGCATGAATTTATATAGTACAGTGTTTATCTAGTTCAGCAAACTGATAAAGGCCAAAAGGATATTGTTGTTGATTCTTTGAGATTATTAAAATGAAAAACATACGAAACAACTTCTGTGATTAAACTACATGTGATATCTTCAGTCAGTCCATTAATGGAGTTTACAACTTCTGTCATGCTCACTCTGTTTTACATATTTTTTTCCCCAAACTTTAATGAATAAGGCCTCAGTTTACAATCATTTGTTTACATTTAATAAACTCAGGAGCTGGTCAGTCATGTCTTACCTGTTACCAAGCTTGCGATGGACTCTAGTTGGGTCCACAGAAATGTGGGCTCGCAGAAAGTCCATGATTCGGTACTGTAAAGTCTGCAGCAATGCTGTGACATTAGGACAGCAGTAAACACTCTGACACTGCTGGGAAAAAACTTGAAGCTGATGAGAGCAGAGTTTGAGATTGGGCAGCTTTGGCTGTTGTGCTGCACCAGAGACACTTCATAGCATTAGCCTATTTGTATTGCTTGGTAAGTTAATGAATCATGTTCATTTAGTGATGGGCTGCTTCACTTTGTTGAATAAAGTCATGATTTGTCTTAAACTGGACTGTCATAGGTTGTGTTTGGTTGGGAGAACCTTTATGCTGTAATCTAGAGGATACTATGCACCCAAAACAACACCTGACCAGTGTAAATTCGGATTCTTTTTTTTGACTACCATCTTCAGAGGAAATCTGAAATATCTTTAGCATTTTACCTTTTGCTCTTTTTATTTCTGACTCCAGAGTTGTATGACTCAAGTATGCAACAAAAAGGAAATTGTGAATTCAGTATCTCAGCAGGACCAGCATGAAAAAGATTCCACTGTCACCTATAGCACTGTATATGTGTGTTTGAACATGTTCTTCTGCGAGAGACTCTAAAGAAATGTTCATTATAATTTAACACTTTATCTGTGTTGGTGTGTTTTCCTGCAGAAATAACGAGATGCAGCGTTCAGAGATGGAAGGAGACAAGGTAAAAGCTGACGTTAGATAAAAAAAGAACAGCACTTTACAGCAGCTATACGCTCCATGTTTAATTTGGTTTTCTGGTCTTCACTCTCAATTTATGTGGCTCCTCTTTGTTCTGTTTTCTGTTCTCAGTCCAATGGGAAACGCTTCCTGCAGTGCCCAGCAGCCATGTCCGTCATGCACTTAGCAAAGTTCCTCCGAAGCAAGATGGATATTCCCAACAACTATCGGGTGATTACATACCATCTGTATTCATAGTGTGGTAAACTTAAGGCAGAAGAGTACCAAATTCTCCACGTACAGAGGACTTTGATTTCTGCAGAAAAAAAGATCAGGGTGATGGTTAGTCCTGTCAGGTGGCCACAGTCAAACTGGCTCTGGAAATCAGCACTTTGATGTATGAGCTGTTACAGGATCATTTACAGAGCTGCAAAAGGGAAGAAAGGGCTGAGGGACAATTCTGGGAAAACTGCATATCATTGAACCTGCAGACTTTTTATTGTAGTCCATCAGTTTGAAGATCCTCCAGACATCCTTAGACTACATTATACATTCTTTAAAATGTCATAATTCTATTCAAACATTTTTTTTTTTCTGTTTGTTTCCTGTCATTTCATCCTGTGGCAAAACCTGAAAAAGCATGAGAACATACTTTTTTAAAAGCACCCATAATGATGGATGTCTTTGATACGCTTTTTAATCGTTTATTGCATCAGTTTCAACCAAATCACAGCTTTCAGGGGTTCATCTGCTGTAGTTGGTTGAATAGGTAAATAGATTTGAATCATCACTACCAGGAGACATCCTAACCAGAAAACACCTATCTGAGTTAAGTTGAGCATTAACATGGATTCAGCTGGTCACCTCGTGTAACCTGTTTTTTTGGGGTTTTTTTTGACTGTGTCACAGGTGGAGGTGTTGTATGGAGACGAGCCACTGAAGGACTACTACACACTAATGGATATTGCTTACTTCTATGAATGGAGACGGGTGAGTTACAGCCGGCACACCGAATATGTGTGGAGCCTATATACATACATTCGTGTTCTGGAAAATGTTCTTGTTTGTTGTGGTCAGCAGTGTTTAGTTTTCAAATTGAGTGAACATGTGTGCAATCCCAGCCTCCACCTCAACACCTAAACACTAAACCTGCATAGACTTCAATGATGTCAGTGGTTAAGGGCTTAAGATCGTTTTATAATGAGGAATAGGACATACAGACTATCCTGGCATTTAAAAAGACCACCTCTAAATGACTGTGTTATATGCTTTGAAACTGACCAAAGTAAGAAAAGTCATTTAATGTACCTGAGGATGTTTAACTGATCATACAAAACAATTCTGGAGCCCCATCTTGTAAGATCAGACCCACTCCTATCCCGTCTTCATCCACAGATGTGTGGCACTTTGCAGCATATATCAAGTTACAGTGAAGAGGAAAAACTGAATTTAATAGGCAGAAACCTCAAGCAGAACCAGACTCATGTTAGACAGTCATCTGCTGAGAATGGATAGAGGGAGGTAGGGACAGAGATAATAATAGTACATACAGATGTATGTGTATGAAAACAATGAAGCAGAAAGACTCGGAGAACACTGATGAAAAAAAAAAACAATTAAAATGAGCATTGTAACAGTGTTAAAAATGCTGAGACTGATGGATGTAGTTGAAGCAGGTAGGTATTTTTTTAGAAAGCCTGCAGCTATTAAATAAAATTTTTGGACAGCAAAAATGACCAAAATCAATGTTTTTTGTCAATGTCCAAAAAAGCCAGTATTTTCATATCGGTTTAATTCAAATACAGCTGTTGATTTCAGACATACTCAGGGACAGCTTTGGCCCAGTCAGGACAGGGTTTTAGTTGTTATTTTTAAGCCATTATTTCCATCGTTAAAGGTAGCAAAAACAATATAGATGCTCCCCTTCCAACATTTCTTTAGATTTTCTCTCGCCAGTTCGTAGGACGCTGTAATGCTGATCAGTGATGTGCTGGTTTGTTGTGGGTTCACTTGTGCATACACTCCAGCTGATCTGTCTTTCTTGGACAGAGGTTTGTTTCCTCCTGCTCTCTTGAAAATCATCAGAGCAGTGTCCTTGCTGTAAATGTGACATTTTGTGTTTCAGTGAAAGTAAATAAATCGTTGCACGGACAGTCTGATAAAAGCTTCTGACTAAGACCTGACTTCATTTGTCAAAACTCCCTGGACAAAACCCTCCTACAGCTTTTTACTAGGATGGGCTTCTATTAAAATGGTTTAAAATTCAGCGGACTGAGAGATTCTTAACGCTGAAGAAATTAAGATTTGTGGCATGAAATAAACCTCAAGCGCCAAACTCATTATTTGCTATTATTGTTTTGCAGTAGAGTCAACTCTGACAGTTGTTTTGTTATATTAAAGGAAGAGGTGATAACTGTTATCAAATGCAATCTAAGACAAAATTTCAGATACTCTCTGAGAGGGCTGTGCATCGTCATTGGTCTCATGATTCCATCAGATATCAATGAGTCTATATTTTATATTATCATTATAGTTATTGTTGTTGTTATTATTAGCTGTATAATAACTTAAAAGAGCTGAGCACTGTTTAGTTTTCTTTCTCTGTTTTGATGTGTAGTTTTTGACAGTGGTCTAAAAGGTTAAAAATGCCAAATTTCTGAGGGCTCTCTAGCAACACAAGTGAATACATACATGTGTGCAGAGCAGTTTTAAAACTGTTGATTGCTGTATCAGATATGTGGCTTTTTGCAACCCCTCAGTAAAGGCCCTGCTCTGTCATAGGATCAAATCATTATGATCCTTTGTTACTGAATTTGGCAGATTTTACTCCAAAATTTCATTAAACTGATTCAAAGTTTCCACTTCAGATTGACAAATTATGACACATGACATCTAATGCTAATCATGTATATTTACCCCTGTGCAGACCGGGCCCATTCCCCTGCAGTATCTGGTCAAACCCAACCGGAAGCGTAGGAGGCCGTCTCAGTCTGCAGCCCAGGGCCACTCAGATGGCGTCAACACCAGCCCGACATCAGAGAGCGACTCCCAGAGCGACAAAGTCCACAGTCCAGCTGCAGCCCAACCGCCCCGAGCCTCCTCTCAGTCTAGTCCTGCGTCCCATAACCCCTCCTCCGCCATCCAAAGCTCCAACGGCCCCACTGTGCCCAACAACACTCAGCGACACTCACTGGCCTCCAAACAGGGCGCCAACACCCGCAAGGTGACTGTCAATGGCACGAGCGCTGGGGCCGGCAAAGAGGAGGCGAGGGCAGGGGACAAAAGCGGTTTGCCTCCGACGACCTAACGTGCGTAGAGGGCAGCGGGGAGGACAGTGTTGGAATTGCTCCCTTTATGATCTCTGCGGCGCAAACAGGCGAACTCCAGACGCCTTCTTTCAGGACAAACAGGAGGCCGATTATTGTCATCACCTTTCAGCAGGACAGACTGAAAAGTGCAGCCAAATAGACACTTGTGTGTATGAAAGAGCGTGAGTGTGGTGTGTGTGCGTGCGCGTGTGTGTTTATGTGTGTTAGACTAGAACAGTGCACACATACAACTGTACAGTATGTATCAAATGTGAGCATGTGTGCATACATATGTATAAACTTATCTTTTATACAAGATATTGTAATCGTTTTGTATTGTATATGCAGTGGGTCTGTTTCATTTCATAGTTCAGCAGCATCATGATGCTCCGTAAAAAGCTGATACAAAAAGCTGAAAGGCGCTGCAGTGTGTGTGCGTCACTGCAGGAGGAGGATGTAAAGAGAAAAAAGAAGCTAATCCTTGCCTTTGAACAGTCATTTTAATAACTGCTGTATAAGTGTCCAGTATAAGCAAACGCTCATCAGGTAACACAGGTACATGACTCATAACTGTTGATGCACTTTGTTAAGGTCAGATCACTCAATCCAAATCCAGCGAGTATTGTCCAACAAGAGAAGCATTCTCATTTTCATAAGTTCAAGCACTACCACGCTCACGAGCAGATGTGTGTCAGCAGAACACAGCCTTTCTCTCGTGGCAGTCGAAGAACTCAAAAGGGATTTGGATGTTTGGCCATGTATGTTGTAGTTCCATAAAGTTCAACATTCCTTTTGTTTCTTTTCACCAAACATTGATACTTTTCTATCAGCCATATGTGCATGTTTTAGGTCAATAAAATGTTTACTTACTAGGTTTTTCTGATCCCAGTGTCCTGTTTATGATTCCCTGAACTCCACAGTACAATATTGGAAAGCTGTTTTGATAGTCAGCAGTAACCTCCGGCGGGAGGAAGGTGAAGTACAACCAGCATCACAGAGGTAAAATCTGTTACGAGTGATCAAAGCTACTCAAAAACATCGGTAAGAACAACTTCCTAAAATGTAAATAGTGGAGTGCTGCTACCCTGTTGGTCTAAGCATGCCCACATATGGAGAATCATGGTTCCTACAGGGTCCATTCTGCAGATTCAGTGATCAGATCAGATCTTTATACATCCATCATCTGCATGTCTAAATAAACAGACAGGAATATCAAAACCATTAACGACAAATAAATATAAGTTAGCTCTTAGAGGCAAAGACTTTTTCTTACATGACCTCAGTCAGGCCCCCTAAACAAACACAAATTTCAATATGTGTTTACAGATAAAGTAATCCTTTATTCACTTTGTGCATCGCCCCAACACTGCTTGGCAGTACTTGCATCCAAATTGACTTGGAGCACTTTGTGGCTCTTACTGATCTTGTTTCCCCTCATCTAGAGCTTTCCTCGTATAGTTCTTGCTCTCGACTGATAAAAGCGCCTGCTTGTAACATTGTAAATAGTAACACTGACGAGGTATTTTTATAATACATCATATTAGTTCCAAAAAGAGATCTTAAATAAGGGTTTAAGGTTCTTTTTGTCACCTGTATTTGCAATAACAGCAGCATTGTGAAATTAGCTTACCTAGTGTTCATCCACCAGCTGTGCTGACACAAGAGGAGGACACAAAGATGAAGTTATAAATACACACCGAAAAAACAACACAAAAGCACAAAGGAAGGATTGAGGTATTGTTTTAAAATGTGTCATAGTGCCTCTTAGATTCATATCAAATAGAGTTTTGAAAGATATACAGGAAATAATGTGATCAATAGTAAACTACTGCATCTTTGTCTTGTGTTTGAGTTCTAACAAGCAGCAAAATTGTTGAATGAGAATGAATGAATGGTCTGGTCAGAGGGGAAAAAGCTCTTCAATTATTGTCCTAAGGAACTTTCAAACGAGGATCAGACTCTGTACAGGTATTTATGGTTCCCAGGCTGTTTTTTGGATTCTTTTGGCAGTTTTTCATGTCATTATTGTGGCGTTTCCATGACCTCCAGCCAAGTCAATTTGTCAACCTTCTATGTCTCACCTCCAGTTCTGAATTTGCTCTGGGTGAGTGGCTTTCTTCAGGGCTGAGCTACAAGGTTTAAGCGTCTAAAAACTTCACCTGGGGCACCACTCTATGTTATATATAATTTTTTAAACTTTCAATTTAGTACATGTAAACATCTGTGCTGTCACTCATCAATTACTGCTTGCTATAATGATACAATTATGTCCATGCATCAACATGAAACTGCGATATTTCAGTTGGTTCTTGGTATTTTGCACGATTACTTTCAAATAAATATTTAGCTGTTTTTTTCTTTGTACTTTGCAGCAAACATTTTACAGAACTATGGGAACTTCCCTGGACAATCCTGTTTGGTTACTGGAGAGGTGACTGACCACTGACCCTCAATCCACAGAAGCAGCAGGACCACTGACCTTCTGAGGAGCAGGGCCTAATATCTCTGCAGCCAATTTCATCAAGAACACCTCAAATATTTTCTTCATCCAGGGAGAGAAAAAAAGAAATCTTGCAACAGTGACAACTGGCAACACAGTTCAAGTTTATTTGTAAAATAATTAAATAAAAGAATATAAATACATCTCCTGAGTAGACAATATGGCATTTTCACAAAGATGGCAAGGTGAACACTATGGCTTTCAGTGTGGGTTTCTGCTGTGTGTAGAGCTGTAGGAGAGTCTTCAAACATCTTATGAAGTCTGAAAAGTGACATTTTAACCATCAGTAAGTGTTTATTGATGGTGTATTTTACACATGCTGAAGTATCTGAGTTTGAAGCTAACCCTTATAAGCCCACCATTAAGCAGTATCATTTCTACCACAAGTCAGAAAAGAAGGACGATGTCCACTGCCGACATCTTTCTGAGGCAAACCCTGACACTGCACAGGATTTAGACACTTCTGAGGTTGATAAGTTCTCATGTGGTGGCATCTTTGAATGCACAGATTTGGATTCAACAGCTGCATTTCGAGCGCTGAGTTCACAGACTCCTCTGCCTTCCACTTCAGGAGTCGGTTGGCTCATAGAGCGGGGCAGAGACGACAAACTCCTGCTTGTGTGTGCCATCACAGTAAGGTGGGTTGTTGGTGTACTTGCAGCCACACAGCCAGACTGTGCAGTCTTTCTCAGGAACAAAGCGCAGCGGGGAGAAGCCCTGAGCTTTAAGTTTGTGGGCTCCGTCACAGAAAGGCTGGAAGATAAAGATATGATCAGGGAAGATTGAGGAAGGTTTACTGCAGACAGGAGTTATGGAGAAAAGAAGGCCGTACCTGTTTCTTACTGTATCCACATGTGCACCACGAGTAACGCTTCCCACCCACCAGCTCCACTTTGAGCGGCTTCTTAGAGGGGATGACAGGTTCAGGAGGGAGTGTGGAGAGCTGGACCTGAAGACAACACCATGAAATTGAACTTTTAAAAGGTGTGTAGAAAGAATGCAAGGTAACAGTACTTCTCTGCATCCAAGAGTCAGTATGAACCAACCTTACATCTATTTACATTTTACACTTTTAAAAGGTGCTTTCTGCTATTTACTCTCAGGAATGTAGAGGAGAATGTACAGACTCCTGTCGGCTGACATCCTCCTCACTCCCCCAGGTTTTGTTCTAGCAGTGAAAGTGAAACAACTTTGGCCTTTATGTTTTTATATTGGCTCTGGTTTTTCAAGAGATTACCTGCCCTTGTCTATTTGACTACCGTCCGTTTAGAGCTCTGGATGTTTTTAACCTCTCTGACAAGTTTGTGATCACTGACCTTCAAATTTTCAAGAGTCAAAGCCTGATCTCCCTCACTGAGGTAAACTTTCCCAGAAAAGTTAAACCAGTCTGTGATTAAGAGCAGCTGGGTTGGAGGCTAAACTGGAGCATTTCTACTCAACAGCAGGTGGCACTACTAGTTTTTGTTTCTTCCTACACTGTGAGGTTACTTTGAGATGGCTACAATGAGGCACCTGTTTTATACACAAACTATACGCTTGCAAAAATGTAGATGCAGGAGCGAAAAGATTTTTTAAATGTGGCTGCAATTAAGTAAATAAAGATGAGTGTGATAGACACCTGTAAGTAAACTAAATAAAAACCACATTCAAAGCATCTAAAACAAACCTTCAGTTAACTAAATTCTTTAAACCTCAAAATTATCTCATAGATTTGTTTTTGTAAACACATTGGAAATGCACCAGTTATAAATACTTGAACCTATAGAGAGGGGCCTAGGCTATATGAAACCTGCATCTCCAACAATAAACCTGTTTGAAGATCAGACAGGATTGCTAAATACTTCAAAACATGATGCTGCAGTGATAAAGGTCTCGGTTGTCACAGCTATCAGGGTGATCTTCAGATTACAAAAAGGGTCATCCTCTCCAGATTAACAGAAATGGATGGCATTTATGTTGGAAATAATATAATTTGAACAAACGTTATCTTGAATCAACAATAAAGAGGAGATCTTTGAGATGTGATGGAACTGTTTTCTCTCTCACAGCTGAGGCACTGGGAGGATCTGGTTGAATTAATGTAACTGCAAAGTACGGTTTAATTTGGTGTGTTTTGCTGTTTTATGGTTCTGTTCTATTTTAGGATATTTTGTAAGTCACGGTAATGATACTGTCCACGTAAATAAAAACTTAAATGGCACAGAAATTCACCATTTCTTAAAATCTGAGCCAATAACAACGTTTGAAAGAGCATTTTAGGTTATACTTTTTTAAATTTTTTTATGGGTCTCTCTTTATGAGCTTTAAAAACTGATGTTTGTTCAATAGTTGATAGTCTCTCTTTTGGAGTTCCTCTTAAAATGTCACAAACTACATGTTGACAATCTTTCCCAGAGATGGCGTGATATTCACACACTGCACACACAGTTACTGTCATGTTGGATCATTAAAATGATTCAGTTTGTCCAGTAGGTGACTTCCTCTGAATAAAACACTTCTCAACAGTGAGAAGTAGGCTAATCATTTATTTGTGGTTCATTTTTTTAGCTGATGTCGGCCAACAGAGCCCATACTTGCTAAAAACAATGTTCAGCCTTTGAATCAGTGCATCCCTATGGACTGAGTATTTAGTACTCTTTTGTATTTTTTCTAAATTTGTACAATATTACAAAAATCTAGAGTTTCTCTTGAGATCGACATGGTTATATTTTATCTGTTGATGATCAGAATCTACACATAAAATGCAGGAATTTGGTTCAAACCAGAGAAGAGAAACTGTGTTTCAAAATTTCTTACATAAGTTTTATGGGCTTGGGAAGAAACAAGTGAACACTTTGCCTTAAATTTCAGTATTTTGGGAGGATGGGGCTTTGTGACAACTATGGTAAAATGTGTGTTATCTCAACAGCGTGACATTTACAAAAGCGATACACAAATATGTTACATACCTTCGAAACTGCCGATAACATTATCCAAGGTTGTCCCAGGGTTAGACTGGTCCATTTGAGCTCTAATCTAGTCACCAAAGTGTTCATGTTTTCAATGACAGCAGGATCAGCTTTGAAACAAAGTCACCTGACGACAGCTGCTGCTGCTGAGCCCGCGCGAGTTTTAATTCACGTGAAGTTACGTTAACGCCTGACTTATGGCTAAAAAAATAGAGAAAATGTATCTAGACTAAAACTGCGCAAGAAACCAACCTGCACGTTTTACAGTGACAGCTGACCGAGGTGACCACGATATGAATCCCTTCCTGTATAGTCACATGTCTGGATCTGGACCAATCAGGAGGCGTCTGTCAACCCGTCATTGAATTAAATGAATCGAGTGAGACGTTCAAGTAAATTCGGACACTTCAGAACTTTACCCTCAAGACTGAACTGTAGCTGTCTCCGAGTAAACAAAAGGTCATGTCCCCAATATTTTACATTCTGTCTTACAAACTGAGGCTGAGTTTTTTTTTTTTTTTTCATTTGACCGATATATTCTTTAGATACAGTGTCCAAAACGTGACAAATCAATACTTATGTACAAAGCAAAGTCATAAAATTGGTTTAACAGTTATATTTATTTTATTTTAATTGAACACATGTTGTGGCACAATCCTAAAAATATATTTTTGAGCACGACTGTGTAATTTATTTTTAACATGCCATACATTCTTATAAAAACAGTTACTTCCATCAATGCTATTTATATAGACACAGTATAACTCGGACATGTATACAGAGAATAAAATAGAAAGCAGAGTTCCATGTTCTACCGATGAATGTGAAAGATGTTTTTTTTACACACTAGCAAATCACTTTTAACCTGAATTGAACAGACAGGCAGGCAGTTAGATGAAACTATTGAGTCCCTAAAGCTGCCGTGCTTAAAGAGATACTCCTGCGTAAAATTAAGTTACGGTCAAACAAAGCATAACACCGAGTTAGACACCCACTCAAGAGATGAATGTGCACTCGGTGATCAACTCATCAGGGCTTCCCCACAGACAAGTGGCTGCTGCTGGAGGAGAGTGGATGAGTTGTGTTTGGCCTCTTTGCTAAAGAAATCAGGCAAAGCTAAAAAGATGTTTGATGGCTAGTACTATGGCTGGGACCCTATATGTACTGTTGATAAAGTTAGGTGCTATTCTGAGCATTATTTGGGTCTATAGAGTGGCGTTTTGGTTGAGGTTTGTGTGTGGCGATGTAGACTGCTGTGTATTGCTATCGTGCAGTCGTTACTAAAGTTGGTATAACTAGAGAAGCAAGCAGTCGGCAACATTAATCTCTTGAGGGGTGTCTAATTTTGTGTTACGGTGTGTTTGACCCTAACTTAATTTTACGCCGGAATATCCCTTTCAGTTCAGATATGATCAAGGTAGACACAAGTGATCGTTTAGTGCTTCATCTCCATGAAAGTTTCTGCTCCTCAGTCAACCAGCGCAGACTCCTCATTTAAAGACTCCTTTCACTGACTTTACTACATCCTGGAAGATGACCTTAAAGTGAGAGCCATCACAGTACGGAGCGTTCTTGGTTTGTTTACAGGCACACAGCATCACGTTCTGGTCTTTTTCAGGAGTGAAGCGCAAAGGAGAGATGGTTGGAGCTTTTGTCCTGTGAGCGCCGTCACAGAAAGGCTGAAAAAGAGGAGGAAACAACCTTAATTCACAACATCAGCTTTGACACAGGTAGTAAGAATCTAATATCCAATATGGCCTGTTTCTGAATACTTTTGAAATTTGTTTAGGGATTTTTCATCCATTGCAGACTGAGGGAAGTTTTTGAATTTCTTTTATGATTTTTGAACAAGCTTCAACAGGAAAAAGACAAATAAGAAAAGACTGTATATCTATGATGTGAATGTCCATGATTTACTATTATGCTTTAGTCTGTGTATTCATTGACTGAAGACAGAGTACAGAAAATATTTTTTACTCATATTAAAACAGACAATGGGCTGACCAACATCATTTGTTAAATTCATTTAAATACAGTAGGCTAGGCTACTACAACGAATCCTCTGAGTCAAGAACTTAACTCTGCTTCAGCTCATTTTTCTCTACACTCGTGGTATTACTGACTATTTAACATGCCGTGTGTTTATCTATAGACTTCTGGGGCCTATTATGAAATTATTCATTTGTTCATTCCTATCGTGTTTACATTTTTTGTGTGATATGTAGGCCATATGAGCCTTTCATAAAGGTGGTCATCTGGAAAAGGAAGTGGGTCTGTGCGGTCCCTGAAAACTCTCGCGCGCCGGAGTGCCCCTCGGACAATGCGAGCACCGAGGTCTATAGGATCCTCCAAGAATGGACAAGCCGTTTTTCCAGAGAGCTCATTGGTCAGTGGGCGGGGTTTTTATATTCGGTGAGTTTAATCTGGAACCCAACCTGCCCCGGCGCAGGTTAGCAGTTCAGCGTACGTTGCCATGGAGACTTGCCTCGCTAAGAAGTGAACCCGCGTCGTAGAACAGGAAACCCCGAACTTACCCTTGAAGTTACCTTGCTAAGCAGTAATCCTGCTTCGTAGAACAGGCCCCTGGTGTCTCAGAAAGAGGGAGGACAGCCGCTGTGTATGGTGAGCAGCATTTCAGTTTCACTTTGTGTTTGGTAAAAGTAACAGGATGTGTGCTTTTAGTGGTCAAATGTATCTTAATCACAAACATGGCTCTCGTACAGCAGTGTTTGGAGGTATCAAAGTAGAACTGTTATGTTGTAGAAGTCAGATTTTCTAAAATATAAAACTCACTTTTTGTGGTCAGGACTCTCTCTCTAGTAAAGTGTGTCACCTTAATTCAATGCGTAATAATAAAGTTTACATAAAAACACTCTCAACAGAAGTTTTTCTTATAACATACACATTTGCTTTACCCAAAAACAATGAACGCAGCTGTACAATGTTTTGCAAAAAAGTTTTTCTGCTGTCAGATTTCCCCCTTAAAAAGCCGAAGAAGCTAAATTTTGCTTTATAACTGCATGTATTTTAGCACATGCAGAAAAAAATGATGAAGCTTGTTTCATGAAACAAAGACATAACTGCAGTTACATCACAGACCAGTACGGGATAAAAACTAATGGGTTAAGGTTATCAATTATTGGTACAGCCCTTAATCACAGCAGGCGAAAAACATAAAGCAAAGCTGTTAAAAAATGGCTTATGTATTTAGGTGTGGCAGTTTTGTTTATGCTGAGTCACTGTTATCACACACTGACAGAGCAGCTTTAGAGCTGGATCAGGATAGGGTGCAGAAGGAAAAATCCAGCACACTCAATGTCCTGTCACTTATTTACACGGGGAATGGAGAGCCACAATTCTTTAGTTTCTTTAGCTGAAACATGTTTCAGCCACAGGTCTTATTCAGCATTCAGTTTACAAACTGCCATATTTAGCATCTTATTCAAGAGTGAGCTGAAAACAATGGAAGTCAAAGCACAGCTGCTCATACACCCTCTTAAAGCAACAAACTGAGATGGTAAATAGAGAAGAAAAAGGTCATACTCGAGCTTCTCCTGCTTTGACAAGTTTGAAATCTGTCATGGAAAAGCCAAACAAATGTCTCTATGTTCAGCAAGATGGTGTCTTTTCTTTACTGAAGATAGCTTTTTGACCTTAAGTCTATACTGGGTAGAAGAGAGAGACAGGGAACATTGGAAGAGAGTGTGAAGGTTGGCAGATATCTTTCCATTCTCAAATTATTTGGCATTCACTTATTGCAGGAGTTGATTTATCTGTTGCCCCCCATCAGTTTAAAATCAAGGACAAACTAATTGCACTTTCTTGCCTACCATAGGGTTTTGCTTTTGGGACCAACCAAACTACATGTTTTGTTTATAAGAAAATAAGACATCAATCAAATGACCATCCTCCTGTTTTAAACCTAAGTCCCTTTGGAAGCTGAACCACACAAACCTGTTTCTGACTGTGTCCACAGGCACACCAGGCATAGCGTTTCCCAGCATTCACCTTCACTCTGTAGGGCAGCCGGGCTGCAGGGACAGCCTGTGAGGACTCCAGGCGAAGCTGAACCTGCAGAAAAACCAAGTCAGGGAACAGGGTGAGATGGAAACTGAAAAAGGAGGAAAACAAGAAAGAGAAGTTAAACTCGTGAGCTAATGGGTTTTGTGGTAGACGTATAAAGAATGAGGATAAACTACTGAACTTTTTCTGTCAATATTAAAGCTGTGGTGGGACACTTCAGAACAACAAGCAAATATGAGCTATTTTTAATGTATGTGCACAAAAGTACCACAGCTTGTCGACTAAAATGAAAGCAATGCAATACTCGACACCTGTTCATAGATTGGGTTTGTTTAAAACCCAAGCGAATGTGCCTTATGTCTGCTCTCTGTGTGACGACCAGCAGGGGGAGATTTCACAGCTCTAGAAAGTCTGACTGTATAAAAGACTTTTTAATATTTATTTAAAACCTAATGTATCAGTAAACATATTTCTCAGGGGTGTATAGCTGTAGTTGTGTTGGCGAAGCTAGAAAGAGGCCATGGGAGACCCTGAAATCTGATTCACTACCCTGAAATAGTGAACTGTAGTTGGCTATAGACGGGTTTCTTGTGTACGAACAATACTAGGTGTGCGCGCAACCAGGGGACAAAAGCCTACTTCGGAGTGAACTGATATCAATGAAGATGTCGTATTGTTTGCAAGTTCTCCGGAACACAATTGCAATAAAACGTCATTTCCTTGAAAAATCGCTTTGTCTTTCATTGCATCAAAATCAGAAAAACACTTGCTAAAATGTCCATGAGTTTCACTCAATTTACCAGGTTGTGACGTTGTTTTAGATGTTTCTAATATCAGGAGCAGGGTCGTGTTGTTTGCCGATTGTTTGTTTTGGTTGTGTTCTTTCTCCGTTGACTCCGTTAGTAAACAAATAAGAAATATCCCGCTTTCTGCCCCCTGGCTGCGCATGCATACCTTCTATGACATTGCACAGAAACCCGTCTATTGGCCCAGATCTAAATGTTGCCACTCAGTTGAGTAGATGTGGTTAGTGCAAACAATCCTCCTGTGTTTGGGATCAGCCCCTAATGTTGCACCCACCTGGCCACCTTTGTTTCAGTTTGGCCATCCCTGGTAGAAAAAGTCTTGCTCCGCCACTGCTTAATCTTATTTAATCCTCATTGAAAAAAACAAAGCAAAGGCTCTTTCAGACAAGGGCTGCAGCTGTCCTCAGTTCAACCTGCAGTCTTTTCAGGAAAACCACAGCGGCGGCGCCAAAGGTGAATTCAAATTATTTTAAAGAAACATAACCACCTACCGTGGGTTTGTTGTATGTTTCTTGCCATGACTCAGCTGCACTTTAAAGCTGCACCCAGGGCCCACCAGCTGTGCCATAGAAACAAAGGAGCTTATGAATCGGTTTTCAAGACAGAGTTGGAGACTCACCATCGAAAAGGAAGCAGGTAAAGCAAGCTGAGGTCGTCTGAAGGTCTGTGTGCATCCTCTCCCCAACAAAACCAGGAAGCTGCTCGCGCTCATGTCGTCTCCAAATTCAGACAAAACAAAGTCGAGAAACGTTTTTGTGTGTTCTTCGAGGATTACTCTCAAGCCTTTTCTGTAAGCTGCGGGAGAAAACTTGCTCTGTCTACAGTGGAAGTTTCAACATGGCTTCAGTCTACAAGCCGTCCAGGTGATTGGTTTACGACTGTAAACAGCACGCGCACTCCAGCCACTCCGTGCTCGCCGCCCCCGCACCGCTCCTCCCCGTGACTCCTTTATCAGATTTAAAGGTATAAAGCGGAGAGTGACACTTAATAGCATGACAAAAGTTTATCTTAAGTTAAGAAAAAGCAAACTACACCTACATTTTTTTAACCCGTTGTTTACTTTCATTTTGAAGACGTGATTTTTCAATTTCATTCATCTTTTTATAATTACAACCCCACTTCCAAAAATGATGGGACAGGTAGGGGAGAGTGGGGTAAGTTGAGCCAAAGAGTAAGTTGAGCCAACCCCTGTTTCTTGAAAATGGTAAAGGAAATTGATCATGTGACCAAATATTTTGGAGCTGGGCATCAATTCATAGAGTCTGTGAAGGTTAGAACCACGTGGGTGAAGGGGTCAAACATTTATCTCCATAAAAAACATTTTTCACCCCTGAAAGTGAATTTAGTCTGTCGTAAGTTTTATTAGAATTTTGTTCAGACCAAAAAAGATCATTTTAAAATTTGTTTTTATACATCAATTGTGGTATCTGTGAGCTACAACATGAGGTCAAAAACCTAGCATAAAAGTCCACCATTTTAGCTCAGTGGACTAATAAAGTCATCAAAGTAGTTCTGGGGTAAGTTGAGTTAGTGGCTCAACTGAGAAAGTAAAGTAGTCTGATGAGAGGATCAGAGTTTCAGTTTAGATTGTTGAAATGTGTTACTTTGTCTTTTCTAAAATACAGCTGTGAATGTTCTGAATCACTTAAAGACATTCTCATGTTAAAATGGCTTTTAACTGAAACAGCTTTTTAACAGTTATATGCAATAATAATAAAAAGAATTATTGTACCAGTTGAATAGTGTATAATAGTTAAAAATACACATGAATGTGAAGAAGTGACTGTTATTTAGGGAGAAAGAAGGTGAGGGAGGGCTGGGGTGGAGAGTGGGGGGTAGTAGGGATACGGCTCAACTTACCCCGCTCCTATGGTCAACTTACCCCATACACAGGATAAGCTGACCATAGGAGACACTTTTTTTTGGCATGCTATATTATCAAGACAGTTATGTTTACACTTATTCTGATGGTTTGCAGGGATGCACAACATCTGGAAATATATGCAGATACACTAGTTAGAGACAAAACTATGATTGCCTTGATGTAGTGATCCGAAATATGAAAAATGGCTCATCTTACCCCACTCTCACCTCTACATGTTTTCAGCTTTTAAATCAAACTCTGACCACTTTATAATCAAGGAGACCCGTTTCTTACGTGTTGAAAGTCGTCCCAGATTTCAGCTGCTCAACAGTCCAGGGTCTCCTGTGTTAAGTGTTTCATTTCATACTGCACTAAATGTTGGAATGGGTGACAAGTTTGGACTTGTATTCAAATCTGGTCTCCTCTACAATGGAGTCATGCTTGCCAAAATGTGCAAAATCTCTCCTGAAACCTGTATGTGATGTTTTGCATTGAGAGTGCCTTTCCATACCATCTTGGATGCAGGATTCTGAACTGCATGCTGATAACAAGCCAGATCCTCTCCTTGAGTATCAAATGTCCACAGTTTCTGAAGAGAATGTTAAATTTTGTTTCGTCTAATAATAGGACAGTTTTCCACAAACAGGCTCTGGGTCATGTTTATGATACGGTGTCCCCTGCAGAACAGTTTTAACCAGTTTTTATGGAAGCAGCAATAATCTGTTTGCAAGCAGTGGTTTAAAGGGGATTTTGAGCTCTTGTGGTGACTCCTACTACAGAGCCATGCTTTTTTAAATGCAGTGCTACTTGAGGGTCTTGACACACCTGATGTCCAGTTTTTGGTCTTGCCCCTTTATCGCAGTCACGTCTCTAAACACTGGCATTTTTCAATATTATGTTCTGTAGATGATGAAACCCTCTAAAAACTTTTCAGTTTCAACATTTGATGTTACATTTGCACCTGTTCAAACTACTTGGATCATTTTCTAACAAATTAGTTTGAATTTCCATTTTCAAGAATCTCAAGCCAACCAAACTAGTTATCTCCCTTTGGTGGCTTTACTTGAAAGCTTTCACCCAAGACAAACTGGTAGTTTGTACAGCAACCTTCCTTACAGTGGCTTGATCAATGGTTGGTAAATGATTTACTGATATTTTATAGACCAGTAAGGAAAAGATAAAACAGAGTTCATCTTTATTGTTTGCATCTTTGTGTACGATAAAAGTCAAACATGTTCATAATTCATTGATAAATTCTCACAGGTTTTCTGCGTTTACCATTAATAATTAGAAAGTTAAAACTCAGCTCATTTTTAAAAGGGAGACCTGATTTCAAATTGGTGCTGAAAGATTTGTGAATAGCTTTTTTTCCTGACAACCCTCTTTTTGACCTCCCTGTTGGCTATCACAAATTTCAGTAAATGATTAATGAACCAATAATAAAGCTATAAATCACAAATAACACTCTTTACAAAGACAGCCAATGCTTAGAGGACTCATGAGCACCCTTTGGACCTGTACAAAGAGTCTATGATGTGACCCTATCAGGGACAATGCTGTAATATAAGGAATAATATCCCTTATGATGAACTTATTTGAAGTCTTTAATCAAAACCTACAAACTCCCAAATTAATGACCAGCATTAGGGAGGTCAGTCCTTTTTGAACCCCGACCCTAGGACAAAACTAGGGTGACATTCTCCCTTTCTTTTCTCTCACAGCTCATACACCACCAACAGATAAATCATTGAACACCCCAGAGAAAATGTAAAACAACTCAGTAAAATACATTTATTGACAAAAAAAGTTGTCTTAATCCGTCCTTTTAATTTTACCCACAAAAATATCAAAATACTTTACAGGGCTTTTAATCTTAATATTGTCAAATTCGTTTTGATCAATTCTCTCCAACAAATACACTGTACAATGACAACATGCTTGTCCTTTTTTAAAATTCAGTGCTCATTTCATTTCTTTTTTCAGGGAACAATGCATTTAAAATTATGCATAGTTATTACTTGGTATTTAGCAACACATTAGAGAGACCTCACTGCATTTCATGCAATTCATATCCCAATATGTAACTCGCTCTCCATCAGACCTCATTCAGAGCCAGGTGCTTATATGTTGTAATACATAAAAGATACACAGTACGACATTCAGAACATGGATTATCGTGGTTACCCAAACTTCAAAGCTTAAAAGAATGAATGTGTTTTTACACAAACATATTAAAGTATACAACTTGTATTCCAACAAAATTGAAAAAAGGTACTAAAAAAACAATTTACAATTGGGCCCAAAGCGCCCCAGTGCAACATGAGAAAGAAACCACTTCAGAAATCCTTCACACCATCCTCAGTCAATCTCGTGGACATGGTTGTGTGTCTGGACTTACAGGTAAGGACATACTTGGTTAATCGCAGACCTCCCACTTGGAGTCATGTCAACGCGTTGGCTCATGTTTTTATCAACATAATCAACATTCTCCTCCTGTCGCTGCTACAGTATTCATCACCGACTCATGAGCTGCTTGAGGTTCCTTTCTGACGTCTACATTAGCTGCTAACAAAATTATCTAACACTCCAGATATCACATGTGAGGGAGATCACGTTCAAGATTGCAAACAGAAGACAGAAAATATTTTCACGAGGTCTTGACAAAGTTGTTAAAGAACAGAGGAGAAAACATGGTAAAATAACCACTTGCTCTGCGTGTGGCCTCGATGTGTGAAAGGAGGCCTGACAGAGACTGTATGGAAGTCCTGAGAGGCAAGCGGAAAAACATGGTTGTCCCTTCTGATTTTTAAAGTTTGTTTTCTGTGTTGTGTTTATCACTTATGAACATGCAGGACAAAAATATGCACTTGGTTTTTCATCAGTGAGAAAAAGGATTTTTGTCTGTCCTTATATAAGGCGTATTCACATATGCACATAACTTCCTGGAACTGTTGTGGTACATCACGTGTGACGACCAAGCAGCAACCTCCAAGTGTTGTTAGATAAAGCCTATGTTGCAGTGCAAAAACCTGCAGTTAGTGGAGTGTCCACTAGAGGGTGGCTCTAAAAGCCAAGGACTCCTAATTGACACCTGTTTTAAAACGAAACCAAAATAAATGTGTTACAAAAACTAATTTTGGTTTGAATAGCTCATTTCTTTGTCAGTACACACGGTACAGGAGGGGAATCTTTACAAAATTCATAGATTTGGGGAATATAAATCTAAGGCCCCATCCACACAGGTGGACATTTTTGAAAACATAGTATTTCTCTGCACTTTGGCCTTGAGCCCCATGTAAACAAAGGTTTAGATTACAGAAACCAGAGATTTGGAAAACATCTTTCAATGTGTTGAATTTTAAAAATTAAGTTTTGTCTGTCCTCAATTTGCACATTGTGAAGGTGTTTTCTTTTATTGCACAGGCACCATAAATCCAAGATGGTGGGCTCCTTGTTAGTTAATATCTGCTGGGTTCTGGCAACTTTAATTGCATGTTTACAGGGAAACCTAACTTTTCCTCTTCATTTAACTGCAGTGACTCAACTTTACGCATTTTAGATTTCTATTAGATTTCACTAAGCTGTTTGTTTACAATAGCTGGTGCATGGGCTTGTTGTGTCTCTATGGTGATTGACCAGACTGACTGATCACATATAGTCACCACCCACTGGTCTGGCATGCTTATGTGGGTGTCTCACAGGGAAAACTTATTTTGTGTGAGTAACTGCGGAAAATTTCAAGAATTTCTGTGAGGTGCATATGTGAAAGAGACTTTAGCAACTTATTTCTAGTTTCCAAGTTGCTACACCTGTTTTCATGGATGCAAAAACAAGTGGGAAAAAAATATTTAGAAAAATTTTTGGCTTCTTTTTTTTCAGAAGTGAATGCAGATGGGAGAATTAAAGTAAAAAGTTACGTTTGTTGAAATTCTTCAAGGGAAGTCACGTTTTTTACTTTACTTGCTACATTTTTTTCACCAGTGTTAACGATAAAGGAAAAAGGGATTCAAGGAAAATTTCTCGTCAAACCCTGTTTTTCTTTTATGGTCCCTATCAAAGATAAAATTAAAGGATCCTGTTGATAAAAATGTCATTTTCATGACTAGTTTCTCCGTTGCCTCTCAGAACTTCCATGTGATCAAGTGGTGTGGAAATGAAATAAAGTTTATCAAAGGAAGAGAAGCTAATCGGCGTCTTTACGTAAGCTAAAATCATGAATGTGGGCGCAATCAGCCCTGAAGCAAAGGTCAAACAGTAACAACATTTGTATATCTCCTTATTCTCAGTTGATAACAGCTACACTATGCATCATACACTGCCGCAACAGCACTGGAATAAAAGTTTACATCTTGGCCGTCCACAGCAGCCTCCTATGACGCCTCTGTGCAGACTCCAATGTAAGACCCAGAATAAGTCCTTGTTTCTCTGTACTCTGAAACACAAACTAAAGAACATTGCATCTGAACACAAAAATTACAATAGAAAATGATTTGACACTTCAGTTACCACTATACGGTTATTCACACAGTTCAACTTTTAATATTATCAGTCTGCTATCAAAAGTATAAACGGGTTTCGGAAGAGTGCTCTTACTTTACTAATAAACCCCTCCATGAACCCGATAGATAAAAAACACTATCAAAGAAAGACAACAAGAGAGTAAGCCTTTGGGCTCACTGCTCCATCTGTAAATCTAGCATCATTAAGGCATTATCTATCCAGTATTGCTAAAAGAACAACTAGTTGATGAACATGGAAAGGAATAGCTATGTGTGGAAATAACACAAAAACAAAAAAAACAACACTTCAGGAGGGGGAGTGCAAAAATACTCACATAAATCAAAAACCTGTCAGTGCCTAGTGGCCTACTGAGTACCAAGCATCCTTTTTAAGGTACTGTGTTGATGGCTAATTTGCTCTGTTAGCTGCTAACATGCAAAGTGCACACTTTTTTTAGGACAAATAGTTAATTTATTACTTACAATTTCCAAATGTTTGGTTTCCTCTGCTTAATCTCCATAGCAACTGGAAGGATATAAAAGTCTTTAGTAACTCCTATGGTGGTTTTAAATAAAGTCTGTGATGCTGCCGGTCTCAAGTGGACTCGGGCGTCATTTTGGACATGCGGGTTCTGTGCCATTTTACATTTACACAAGTTAATTTCATATAATCAGTGAAGGCTATCGCGGTAATGAGTCATCACAAAATTTTAAAAAATGAGAAATAGGTGGCAGAAAGTTCTGAGGTAATTGCTAGCTTCATGTCGAAATGCCACTAACCACACATCAAAAATGACAGTATACTGTATATTTACCCCCCTACATCATGAGTGCATGTGAGACACCGCAACATATAGAGGATCTGGATGAAACTCAGTTGGGGTGTACAAACACAAAGGATAGACAAAATATTGAGGAAGACAGTTGAGGTTGCAAAAAAGTCTCACTGACTGATGGAAACTCTGGTTCAAGCAGGAAATCATGAACGATAAGTGCTTAAAGAAGCCACAGAGAGAAGAGACGCTCCGACCGTGAGTTCACGCTCCAACCCCGGAGTGAAGTCAGCTCCTGCAGGGACAAGCAGGAACTCGGGCTCTGCCTTTAAAAGCAGCTCCACTGGTCAAGCTAACAAATTAGTGCAATTTAAGAAGAGATCACTTTTTCATGCTCTCTGAAAGCTGCCTACACAAAAACCTATGAGAAGAACCTCGGATATAAAGAATATAAAAACACGAAAAACTTCACCGTGACGTTTGAGTCCATCCTGTTATACATTCATAAAAGAGGGTGTAAGATGAAGATGGAGGATGGAAGGAAAGATGTTCAAAAGTCACTCAAAGGTTGACCTCAGTTCTTCAAGTTGGCGTTAATGCCGGATATCTTCATGGAGCTGCTCCTGTGCGATCGGGAAACATCACCCGTTCTTGTCTCCACCCTTCTCTCCTGCAGCCTGAAAACACAAAACCAGGAAATGTTTCTAACACGTCTAAAACACGAATAGGTAGAAATGCACTTATTCATATGTATTTAGGCCATTCGGATTTCTCATTTTGTATCATTCTGATCTCTGTTAAAAGAACTATATTTGACGGCAAAATTAAACGGCTTTGTATTGATTTTTGTAAACAGAAATTCAACTGAATGTTCAAATTCTCACAGTGACTATTCTCCTGCGTACTTGTGTACTCTTATACCATAACTTAAGGCGGCAGTATCTCCATTTATGTGAAGCAAAGCCGAATATTAAACTGACCTGAATAAAAGACATTTCATCAAGTTTTTCATGAAAATACAGTACATCTGAAAAAAAACAAGACTGTCTCATATTCAGGGTTCAGCAGTTTAAGACAAAGACAGTGGATGGCACCACTTTTCTGTAAAGTAAGTGTGCCCCTGCTGTGACTTGCTGTGAGGAGGATTATGGAAAGCGAGCAAAGAGTTGTGCGGTTTTTTTTTTTATACAAGAAGAAAGCACTGCTGCAAAGACAAAGAGTGTAATACAGTGTTTAGTAGGGGTGGGAGAAAAAAAACGATAAAGCATAGTATCGCAATACTTTGTCTGGGGATATATGGTATCGCCTCATTGACCAAGTATTGATTTTTTCAAATAAATTGTTAATATGAAGTCAAATCTATGATAATGGAAAAATAAAATTCACTGTTTGTCCAGTGAGGTTGGCAGAGGTGACATCATAGAGGAGGAGAAAGTTAGTACAACAAATATAGCAGCATTAGGAACGCAAGCAGGGCACAAATGAGATGGACCTGACACATAAGGTTTGCGAAATGTGCTACATGAAAATAAAATACTGTGTAAATAAGACAAACATAAACATAAAGGAAAGACAAATGCTAAATTAGCTAAAAAGTTCAAAAAATTGTATAAATCGCAATATTTTGTATCGCAATATTCACTGTATTGCGAAATGTTAAAAATCGCAATAATAACGTACCGTGGCGTCACTGCTGATTCCCACCCCTAGTGTTTTTATCAAATGACTGCATTAGTAATCATTGTAAGAAGATCCAAACAGCCATTACTAACACTCCCTTCATCCCTGAGCTGTTTAAAGTACCTCATCAGTACATCAATTAACTGAAACACAGAAGTTGAATTCTTCACTCTCCCTGACTGCTGAGAGGACGATGAACTACTGAACAAATATCTCGTATCTCAGCTCATAACTTTCATTTGATAGTGTTTTCAGTCCCTTACCAGTCTGTCTCTCTCTCTTGATGCCCGTATTTGTGGCTGCAAAGAACTGTCCTGTTTGTGTTTTTTGTATCTGTTTGTTATTTTTTAACCATGAAGTTCTTGTAAAGGATACAACACATCAAACTTGCTAATCTCACACTAACATGCTGGCATTTCATGAAAGTGTCACAGTGAGACCAAAGAATATTACAGGGAAAATAACTGAACAGGGAGATCCAGTGTGATCTATATGCACACTCTATTTAAAGGTACAGTATGTAGTATTTAGTGTATAGTCATCTGAATTTGACCATCCTTTTGTTTTGCTCACAAAGCACAGGTGCTCTCACAGGAGGATTCACTGTTTTGTTTTTGCCTTTAGTCGTGAGCCTGGACTGTGGAACAAATAAAAAAGCCTCACCAGAGGATCTCAAGCTGTGAATCAGCTCATTAAAAGTTAAAAGGTCAGTGACGCACCATCATGCAGGAAAATCCTAAATTAGTGTTACCCACCCCGGGCTTGTGAAGTGCGTTTTCCTGCAGGCTGAAGAGGCCTCCCCCCTGTCCGCCCTGCAGGGGTGAGGCTGTGGCCGAGGACAACAGGTTGGGCGACTGGGCGATCATGGGCGAGTTTGGATTGGAGGTGAGTGCTCCTGTCAGCGTGAGGCGCTGCAGCTCCCTCTGTCTCTGCTGCTGCAGCATCTGGCACACCACCACCTGCTGCTCCTGGAGGAGGAGGATAAAGTGGAGGAGGAGGAGGAGGAGGAGAAAAGAGGACAGAGACAGGTTAATGCTGCTTCTGCTTCACTGTGCTCCACGTGGATGAATGACAATGATCTCTGGGTTTATGTGCAGCGTGTAACACCAATTCTATTTTGTGTAGATGAGGATCAACTTTTAATTAGAGGGTCTGTTAGAGGAAAACAAAAATCAGAATTCAGTCATTATTACAGATGAAAGTTCCCCTTGGCTATTCATTTCCTACCATCATGATAACTTTGGGAATCGGGGTGCAGCTTAACTTTATTACGTCCTTACATATAGATCTGGTGGTTAGGGTTAGGGACCGTCTTGAAGAAAACTAGAACTTTTAGGTGGCTGATGTTTTGTTTTCATTTTACAGGGGCAGAAAAGAGTGACCAGCAGGACTTAGGTTTGTTTGCCTTCATTTGACTCTCAGCTGTGAGTCAGTGGAAGATACCTGGACTTTAGAAGTTGTGCTGTAGTGTTTTGTTTGTTTTTTTTGGTGCCATTTGCAGCTTATACTTAGTTTTTACTTTACTCACTCCTTTTACTAACTCCTCCTCTGTTTTAACGTGTGTGACTGGTTATTAATGTGTTTCTTTTATTAGCAGTGTACGGCTAGTGCTTGCTTCGACATATCTGCTGTATGTTACTTGTAATCCTCAGATACTTGGTTGGTAGTGACACTTGGCTACCACAAACAGATCATGTCAGTGTTATATTTACTACTCTGACAGATCCATCAAAATACACCACTTCTTGGATTCAGGGTTCTGGTTTCTTCTTGTATAAAAGGAGTCCAGCAGTTCTTTGGTTCTATATCTAACAACACATATTTGTTTGTGGGGGAGCCCTGACGAGTCGATCACTGAGTGCAGTGGAAAATTTCCATGAAGTAATAATTATCATAATAATCATTTTGCACTGCAGACACGGTAGTTCTTCTGCCTTAGCGTCTCAGTCTGATTGCATTTCCATTAAGTAATAATCAAAATGTTCTTCCTTGAGCTGCGAAACTCCGCTGCCCTCAGTGATCGACTTGTCAGGCCTCCCCCACAAACTAGCGGCTGCTGGAGGAGAGTGGGTGAGTTGTGTTTAGTCTCTTTGCTAAAGAAATCAGACAAAGTTAAAAAGATGTTTGGTGGCTAGTACTATGGCTGGGACCCTATATGTACTGTTGATGAAGTTAGTGCTGTTCTGAGCATTATTTGTGGCTATAGAGTGGCTTTTTGGTTGAGGTGTGTGCATGGAGACATAGAGTGCTGTGTATTGCTATTGTGTGGTGAAGCTGATATAAGTTGGTATAACTAGAGAAGCAAGCAGTTTGCAACATTCATCTCTTGAGGGGGTGTCTAACTCGGTGTTACGGTGTGTTTGACCATAACTTAAATTTACGCCAGAATATCCCTTTAACTACTGCTCAAACTTTCAGTTCACATGTTAATAAGTTAGCTACTTTATGTCTGTAATGAGTATTTCAAGTCAAAAACAACCACTGTTAGTAAATGCTCATGTCATTAGCTTATTCCCACCAAAGATTTAGCTTGATAGGGACAGGATTTACAAATAAACAATTTGCAGAAACAATTCATTATTGTGCTCAGAAGTCTCAGCTATGGCGCAAACACGCACACAAAAACTCAACTCTCATGTTTTCAAACAAAAAAAAAAAACAGTCACATATGTGTATAAAAGTTTCTGTTTCAAGGTTTTACAGTTCAGGAAAAGTGTGAAGTCTTGGCTTCAGCAGAGTAGAAGTTACTTTGACAAAGTGTCAGACAGCGTGTCCTTACTGGAGTGAAGTTTTGTGAGGAGAGGAACTGCTGGAGCTGCTGCTGCTGCTGTTGCTGCTCGAGGAGCAGCTGCTTCTGCTGCTCAGACAGGAGAGAAGATCTAAAACACAAGAGCAAAAACACACAGTAAGATTGTGTAACAGCTATCAAACTAACACAGAGGTAGAAAGTTCTGAAAGTGCTTCCCACACCAGTCAAAGACTGCGCTCAGGTATCAGCGCAAAGCACTGAAGTTTAAAATTTCCCTTAATGCAATATTGAAAGTCAAGACATTATTAATTATCACCATTGATTATATTGCTCTATTTTTTTCTTTTCCTCTCTTTTAATAATATCAAAAACTCTGATTGGTTGATTTGAATTTCCTCCCAACTGAACTCACTGCAGCACTATTTCAAGACTCCACACAGTGGCACTAATGCCATAATGAATGAGGAGGGTTATGCGAACAGAAGTCAACAAGACCTGCCTAAACAGATAAGAAGACAGCGGGGTGTTGGATAGCAGTGGAAGGAGTCATGAGATTTCCCTTCATCGTTTTCAAAACCAAACAAGAGAAAGAAAGAAAAAGCTGCTTCAGCTCTTTGTGCAGAAACGAGAGGGAAGATTAGGGATGAACTCCAGAATGCTGCAGAGAGAGTCTCTCTCACCTGTGATGGTTGGACTTCATGAGCCCAACTCTCACATCACTGTCATCGAGTGTTACATGACAGTAACTGCTTATCTTATCCTCAATAACTGCGAATCGTTAGCATAGTGGAAGCTGAGGGGATATTATTGTAATGGTGGAACCCACATTGTGTGTTGTGTCTTGAAGTCACCAAGTAACTCTCACCACAACTGGCGAGCTGAAAGCGAACAATTATGATGGCCAAAACAATTCATACATAAAAAGGAGACAGCCTCAGAAAATGATGTTTGTGATGCTTTTAATTTGAAAACGTCACTGTCTTGTACTTAGTTGTCTTTTTGTCCTGTTTTGTGTACTTTTATCTTAAAGTAGAATAGAAGCTACTTTAGGTAGGTCTAGGTCATAAGTTATGGTACTGGAAGAACAATCTACTCTGGCTAATGAGTACAAATACACATTGACTGACTCTTAATTGAGATAATGCCTTTTAGCCGGCTGACTTGACATCATTGCTCACAACAGATCTGTCAGAAGTGAACAGGTACATACGGGCTCACGCTCTTGGGCAGCTGAAATCCTTGTGCGAGGGCCTGGGGGTTGAGAGGGGGAGGCTGAGGGCGCAGAGCAGGGAGGGTGGGCTGAGGTGCGTTCTGCACGGGAGACTGGATCACGCCATTCAGACTGCCCAGCACGCCGTTCATATTGAGCTGAGGACTCCCTGTGAGAGACGCCATAAGCCCGCCCACCACGGGAAGAGAGGAGCTGCCAGCCTGACCGCCTGCCAAACCTTCGCTCAGACCTCGGCTCAGGCCGTTCAGGAGGGGCTGACCAAAGGAGGCAGGGCTCTGCTGGGGAGGAGTACTCTGGAAGGAGAGGGAGGAGCTACTGCGGGACGGACTACCAGAGTGGAGCTCCTGAAACAAAGACAAACAGGACATCAGCTCTTCAGCCCCCTGCTTGGTTTAAGTGTTATCTCCATTTTTGTGAGGTGTAAATCTTCATATTTTAGCCAGAAAACAGCATCCAAAGTCAAAAATGTACTTTCAAGACATTATTTTGTTCTTCTGATTTGTTTTTCAGCATTTCTGACATTAACAAACACCACAAAACTGACTGTTAAATTTGTAATAAAACACTGACTGGTGAACTTTGAGACTGGCTGTTGGTTACAGTCTGGCTGTTGTGTTATGTCTGAACGTGAAAAGCATCTACAGGGTCTCACCTCAGACGAGGTAACAAAAGAGGTTTCATTCAGGAAGCAGCTTTTGGACAGAGGACTCTTATTGGTGCTCAGGGGGTCTGAGGAATAAAGAGGATAAACACCGGGTGAAAAAAACAAAATCACAGCCAAACACTATCCACAGAGTCATTTCTTAGATTTGCTTGAATGCCCTACATCAATCAATCATGACATCTAGTGGTGTCCCGATACAACTATTTTTTACTTCCAATACCAATATTGTAGCCTTCAGTATCATCCGATACTGATATTGATCCGATATTAGCACAAACTACAAACTTGTGCATGACAAGTTTTGCACACAGCTGCATCGTCTTTTTCGGACTTAAACAGAAAATGCTGCCACACAGCTGACATCACTCCTACTCCTTGCCACTTTGTTTGTATCTTAGTACACCCTGTTGTTGTGATCACATAAGCTCTGAATGCTGGATCTGGGCGCTGCTAGCAAGAGGTGCCGGAGTGGAGTCTGGAATGGAATGCTTGTATCGGAGTGCTGATATCGGAAATTTTAGATGCAGGCCGACTTAATCTGATATTTGAAAATAATGGTCTGTTTTGATTCATATCAGTTTGCACTTTTTGCAAACTTATGTCATCATACACTGTTGATAAAGTCCAGAACCTGTCATATCTCAGCAGATGTCTGTTTGCATACTTGTGCTCAAACAGATCTTCATCCAAAACCAGAATAACTCATAAACTTGCCATTACTCACAAATTCTCAGGCTATGTACAAAAACAAGAACCTTTACAGACAAGTTTGTTCAGATTTTTGAGGGCCTTTTAATCAACATCAGACTGTGTACCTGGGCCTGATCAGATTGGGAACCTTTGACTAGGACATGGTAACATCTTTGGATACAAAGCCCACAGACTGGTGTAAAGTTAATGCAGAATGGTTTCCTACACTGGTTGCCATGTACCAACACACCAGCAACAAGAGCGTCTCCTCAGTGTGTGTTTCCCGCTGCTGGACTGATATGAACTGATTGTGCTCTTAATTGACACCCAACCATGTAGCCATGCTTAATTTATCACAAAGAACAATTTTCTTTTGTTCAGTTTTCATGTTGCAGCCTTTGTCTTGCTCTATATGACCATATGTCTGCAGGCATTATTTTTATGACTCTGCTCCGCATGATGATATTTCCTGTGTTTAACAATTTGTTGGCCTTTACGCTCTATAGCTGTGCGGTACGGTTGATTATATCCAGTATGTTGCTGTGGAAAATAGATAATTTAGGGGAAGAATGCATTTGTAAAGAAGCACATTGCATTTACTTACAAAAAAGGGAAACTGTTTTTAGAGTAATTCTTTTTCTCTGCTGTTTTTAAGACAATTTTTTTTCTTCTTTCTGTTTTCAGACAATTTTTTTCTTCTGTTTTTGTATTAGTATTTTTTTCCCTGTTTTTTGGACAAATTTTTATTCTGTTTTTCAGACTATTTTTTTTTTGTCTTTCTGTTTTTTGGACTATTTTTTTTCCTGACTAAACGAGACACTTCAAAATCCTGCGAGAATCTCATACAATCAGATAATATTAACCACAGAGGCTGCTCCAAATCAGTGAATTCTCCAGTTCCTAGATAACTTTGACTACGGGGACAATGAGAGTAAAGCATGTTATGAGTTAAACAGTGGGTATGCAAATTCTGAGGTGCCTGCGCAAAGTAGACAAACTTATGATGATTCCATCTATCTGACTTTAAGAAAGGAGTATCTCCCAGTGTCTCAAACCCAAAAGAAAGTAAAACTTGATTAAACTAAACAGGTGGGCCATCTTTGCTTCCCATAAATCGAGCAGAGGGGGATGAAAGCGTCCGTTTTTTAATAACCATGATCCCAGAGAATGGGAAAAACACTTGGTCTGAAAAACAAAACAAAACAAAACAAAAAGTCCGAAAAACAGAAAAGAAATAAAAAATTGCTTTGAAAAACAGAAAAAAATTAGTCCGAAGAACAGAATGGAAAAAAATTACTTTGAAAAAAAGAGCTTTTTTTTTTTTGGTGAATGCAATACGCTCCCGAACGCTTTTTTGTCAGAGGAGAAATCTACTTTTAGAGTTATCTAAAATTGATTGATTTACATTTCAAAAGACTGATCACAGACAATGCTTTAAATTTGCATTCCTAAACCAGAAGATAACTTACATGATCTGTCTGTTTGACATTCTGAAAATACACCAAAATACCAATGCAGACCCTTACAGATGCTAAAAACAGGGAGTGTTGTGAGGAGAGAAGAAAAGAAGGACAGACAGCTACTTAAAAGATCAGATAGTTGTAAGATGGAATAATGTAGGGGAAATAAGGAGGCTAACCCTGGGTGGATGATAGGAAGTTGATCTGGGCTGAGGTGTGCATGGAGCTCTGTGTGATGTTGTGTCCAGGGAACTGCACGGCCAGCTCTGTGTTGAGGAGCTGCAGACGCTCTTTTTTGGCCGTCAGGCTGAGGATCTGGTCCTGGAGCCGCTGGTTCTCCTGCTGCAGAGAGTGAAGCGACTGTAGCATCTCCACAACTGCAGGAAGCAGAGAGGACAGAGGTGTTATTGAGTCAAATGGACAGTTATCACTTTATCACTTTATGAACAGAGGCTCACTAAGCTGAAAAAGTATTTTCACTAGCCTTAACAGTTAACAATATATTTATTTGCAAACCCCAAACTGATGGATAGCATTTTCTGTTTATTTACTTTTTGTATATAAATATTCAGCATCTATCAGAAAAGGTCAGATCGTTGCCTTTAACAAGAGAAACTGGCGAGAAAGTGTCCGGCCTTGGACTGTATGATCAGCTCTCTTTCAGGTCTTGTGCACCCCCACAGATGTTTCCCATTATGTGAAGTGAGTAGGCCCCTTCATGTTGTTGAGAGCAGAGCTAATCCTTAAAAAACAAGAGGTAACCACAATGTTTGTGTGAATCAAACATGTTAAGTTTTGCAGCCTTGTACACTACGTGTATCGACATTATGCTGTTCTGTTTGACTTCTATGATTCAATCTTTTCATTGCATGGCTCTATATCCACTCTAACACGGAACAATGTTTTGACTTCGACAGCTTTAAAGTTCAAATCAAGTGATACTACATCTGATGGTGATTGAGCAAATAACGATTCATCCTGTGTAGAAAACTGTTGGTGTTACATTAATCTCCATCTGCAGAGCTCACATTAAAAATTAAATTAATCACATTAAAAAGCACGGCAAAAATTCAGGGGTCTGGATTTTTAGAAGTACTGGGCAGTGTTCTGGTTTAGATCTGTGATGGGAGTAGAATTGACCATTCACATCTCAGTAGACTTTGGTGTATGCAGGAAAGACAGTCAGTGTAGAGAGCAAATGCAAGCGGCTTACACACCGCTGCAGTGGTAGTTAACCTGGCGGTGGATTTATTCGTCTTTATTAGCAGATATCCTCGTGCAAATGCTGCTAAAAAACCACTCAGGTTCAACTTCAGGCAGAAATGTATTTGATGATGTGTTGCATGAACCCATCAGTGATTTTTCTCGATTCCCTGACTTTCTGGACTGCATCAAAAATTATTGATTCAACCGCCATTCAACAAATAAACTTTTCAAAAGTTGTTTTCTTTACCTTTGTAACAGACAAGAAATTTGAAGACCTGCAGATTTTTAAGTAAAGGATTATCAAACTCTTTGCACACCTTGGACAGGTGTGTAAAGAGTTCAAAGGTTTTTTTTAACAGTTACCACCGTTTATCTAGTCACAGTTTTCCCACATACTGTACAGCAGGGGTGGGCAATCATGTGCCATGGAGGGCCGAGAGGCTGCAGGTTTTCTTTCCAACCCAAAACTCCACCAGGTGATTTCACTGATTAGTCCCTGCTCTCTGCTTGGAGGTAAGGTAATCAGTGAAATCACCTGGTGGCACATGATTGCCCACCCCTGCTGTTCAGTGTTTCCCCTTCCTTTTTTGCTTTAGCGGGGGAGATGTGTGTCGTAGACATACGTCACCCCGTATGACATATGTCTACGACATATGAGGTGGCTGGGAGAGATGCTTAAGTTAGCATCCATAAGAGAATTTGCAGCATCCACATCAGTACTCTCTTTTAGAAGAATGCAATTGGGGTGCTGAGCGTTTGGGGACAGTTCGGTGCTCCATGACCAGTTTTTTTATTGTTTTGTTGGCGGCAAACACGATGAAAAGGAGCCAGAACCCCCGGGTTGTCAAAACCATCCTGCACAAAACCGGCAGGGTATGAGCGGCAAGCGCTCGCAGAATCAGTGGTGCTGACATGCCGTGCCTCTGAAATATGCGGCGTGTTGTGAGATAGAAAGAGGAGCGAGTGAGAATTGCTCAGGTGTTCATACTATCATGGCTGGTTGGTGAACCTATCTGTGCTCATTTGCTGCTTGGTATTAAAGTTACACACACAGTATGGCACACAGATTTGCTATTTCCATCAGTGGAGAAAGCAGAACAACCGACAAGACAATGAAGGACCATTTTTATCCTTCTACATGCAGTAAGACTTCTCATAATGCTTTATAACATGCTGTGTAAAACCAAAGCAATCGTGCAATATGGTGCTGTTCTTTGGTTTTGAGAGCAAAAGAGAAGGAGTCAAATGACAAGCAAATAGCAAGAGAGCTGTACATCTGAGAGAAAAGCCTTCAGTCTGCAATCAAGCGCTTGCGTGAGTGTCCTTTGTGTGAAGTAATTTTAGGTATGAGTGAACAGCAGTGTGGTGACGACTGAACTAGGATTCAACCCCATCTCTGAAATGCATTCTAATTGATTTTCTGTGGAGCTGTCTCTGCAGCGTGCTCGTCATCACTGACACACTGAACAAACACATAATTTCTGCAGAGTGGAACCTTTTTCTAAGAAAGTAAAGCACAAAGAGTGGAAATCAATGTGTAATAAAAAATGATGCGTGACAGGGCTGGGTGCGGAAAAGAACAAGTAGCAAAGAAAAGATGGGAAAGCAAACGTCAGCTGATGTCCCCAGAGAAAAAGTGAGTAAGAGGCAGCATGCAGTGTGGTTCATGAAAGAGTAGAAGAGAAAAAGAAACAAAGCTGCCTCTGCTGCGCTGTGCTATTTTCTCTTTCTCACTCTGTCTACAGGTACATTCATCATCTCTAAATAGCACCGGATCGTTGTATCACAGAGAGAACTGCAGCGAAACGTGAGCATGAGCACGTTACTAATGCTACTTACTTCTTGTAACGACTAAAAATAGGCCTTTGTGACCTCTTATCCTTATTATGATCTGGTGACGCCACGAAATTCAAGATATCCTAAATGTAGGCACGGTATGCTTATTTAGTGTCAGCCAATGCGTCTCCTCATATGATGCATGTTTATGCATTTGTGACTGTCTCCAAGGGTTTCTAAAGGTTTGTGTCAAAAGATGGCAAGTCACTTATTGTAACCCCATTCCATTAAATAAAAAGTCATATGGTAACAGGTTAGATTCCTATGAGGGAGTGTGAGGGCCACATTAAAAAAAAAAAATGTCTTTGAGAGTAAAGTCGTTAATTTACGAGAATATAGTAATTACTAAAAAGAATAAAGTCGTAATAAAGTAATTACTTCGGAGAATAAAGTCGTAGTAAAATCATTATGATACTATTGATAATGTGGTGCTGATGTGCCAAAAGATTAAGTATCTCCTTGTTTCAGAAACCTGTATTGAAGTACATTTTCACAAAATGCGCCATGGCTCTCATTTCAACAACTGTCATCTTAAACAACAGGTTAGAATGTAAGGACTTTTTTACGACTCTATTCTCCTAAGTAATTACTTTATTACGACTTTATTCTCCTAAGTAATTACTTTATTACGACTTTATTCTCCTAAGTAATTACTTTATTTCATCAGTAACGACTTAAATTCGTGAGTAATGTAATGACACTATTCTCGTAAATTAATCTCATAAATTAATCTCAAAGTCTTTTTCCGACGTTTCCTGACTTGGCTCCTCTGTACTCAGCCACACGCTTTTAAGATTGCATTATCTGCGTGCGTGTGTGTGTGTGTGTGTGTGTGTGTGTGTGCGTGTGTGTGTTGGGGCAGGCTCTCAGTGAGGGTTGGGGGGTGGGGTGGCGGGCTGGATATGGGGCGGCTCATTGTTTTGAATTGTAAAGCACTTTGTGCTGCATTTCTTTTTGCCTGAAAAGTGCTATATTAATAAAGTTTAATTTGATTTGATTTGATTTTCTTAATGTAGCCCTGATACTCCATCGTAGGTGACACTAGCTGGTGAAGAATATTCTCTGGATAAACGTCCCTGTTTCAGTCTGGCTGCTCTAGTTTAACCAGATCTGTGGCTTATTGTGACAGCTCTGGAAAATTTGGGTATAGCTGTCCTGAAAATTCTAGATATTTCAGACAGCTTTTGTGAAAAGGGCTATGAGATACATTTCTTCACCTTTGTTTGACTTTGAATGCTGTTTTTTTATTTGTTATTGAGCATTCATAATCTCAAGTTCATTTCTCTGTCTTGGATGTTTGGGTTTTGAAGGAGGTATCTAAGAAACAATCCAGTCATGCTGATTTCTCGAGAACAAGCATACATGTATTTTTTTCTCCTTTCAATCTTCTGGTGACCCTCGGTTCTGTTTGTGCTGTGTGTTTTTTTTTTTGTCGCACTCACTGTTGACTCCCATCTCTCCGTTGCTGTGTTTCTCTAACAGGAGCTCGATGTGAGAGCTGGCTGCAGGGACGTTCTCTGGACGAGCTCTGACTCCTGCACCCAAACCGTCTCTCTGGTCGAACAGAAGAGGAAGACAACTTGTGGGAGACCTGTGTGTGGAAGAAGAGGAGTTAGTCAAGAAGGAGTCAGAGGGAGTTATAAAGTGTAGTCACTGACAGGAAACTACTGACAAGACCCTGTGGCTGTGGTTTTATGTTTTTTTCAGTCAGTCACTTGCTCGTCTTGGTTTTGAACCATCAGCTCTTTCCTGTTGTTTTCTATTGCTGGCTACAGAAATAGAAACTGATCTGATTACAGCTGCAGTTCAATAGGAAAGTTTCCAGACCTGTTTGATTAAAGCTGAGAAGATAGAAAACACCTCATAGTTTAGGTTGTATGTGACTTGTTGCTTTTGGACTTTTACTAGCCTTGGGTGTGTGTGTGTGGGTGTGTGTGAAATCACATACTGTTTCAGTCTACAAGTCGAGTTTAAACCTGGGACCTATTCTTCCCTGTTTCATTCATTCGTTCTTTTGCAGTTGCTCTGGTAGATACCTTCAGCCGGCTGTGATGCTGTCAAATAAACCAGGGGGTAGACGATCTCGATCAAAGTCATCAATATCGTGTAATTACCACTGACAGTATCAGACAACATTGTGGGAGGGATCTCATTTGCTCTTATCCAAGTCCATAATTCCTCTCTGCAATAAAGTACAAGTATCTAGCGCGACGATCTATTTCACTCAAGTGGAAGGACTCAGCTCCTCCTTCCTGTTCACACTGGCTCAGAGACGTGATGTCCTGCATGAATCTAGAGAGGATTAGATACACTATTTGGGGATCAGAGAACAAATTGTACAAGATATGGCCCCCCCCACTGGGTATTCCATGAGGAACCTTTCACAATAATTTCTGAGAACAAATCCACCCAGGGGGGTATAAAAAGTATTTATTTTTAAATACTTTTTAAATATTTATTTATGCCTATTCTACCTTTTTTCCAATTATTTATTCTATTTCTCTTTACGTATGGTTGTTAGTCATTTTTAAAATTTCTATTACATCTATTTACAAGTTTATGTAAGTGGCTGTTTATGTGTGTCCATGTTCTGATGTTTGGGCAGGGGGTTGTGTTGTGTCATGGGTGGATGTTGTACAAAAAAGTCAGAAATATTTTTTACCTGTACAGAGATTGTCTTATTCATACTTTGTCATCAATAAAAAGACCACTGGAAAAAAACAAAAAATACAAAAAAAAACCAAAAACAAAGTATGAGTATGGATGAAATGATACATACTGTGAAGAAAGACTTTCTCTTGGTGAGTTCCCCTGACACGGGAAGCGACAGTCATCGAGGTCGGACTCTAACAACAGAAGAAACACAGTCATCAAGTTTACCGGCAGTGTGAAGACATCGGCGTGTGTCAGACTCTAAAGGGCAACATGTTTGTGTCTGAGGAACATCAACTGTTGAAGCTCTCCTGAAATTAATCCAGCCCCTGAAAAAGTGCAAACTCAAAGTCAACCTGTGTCCTGCTCTTACCTGGCAGTGAGGTCTGGGCTTGGCTCAGTAGTGGCGGCAGTGTCGGGGCTGAGGAGAGACAGCTAGCAAAAGGCTGTGAGGAGGTCAGACTGTAGGAGGCGCTGGAACCTGGATGGGCCTGTGAGACAGAGAACATCAGCATCTGGAGTGAGAGCTGATAAAATGAAAATACTTTACTGAAAAAAAAAAAAAATGAAAAAGTTGAGCGAAACACGGTTGAACCAGTGTTTCTTTCGAGAAATCAGTTTAGCCATAAACCAAGTGATGAAGTGCTGCAACAAACTTTTGAAGTATTGAGAAATCATACTGTCTACAGACAAATCTGAAAATTCTCATTCATAACAGGCAAAGCAAGAAAACAATGGAAAAACTCAATTTTTAATCCCAATTGTTCGGAATAGTTGCCTTGAAGATAACGATAAATCAGGTAAATCTCAATTTAAGTGTTCACAAGCATAATTCAGTTGATCAGTTAATACCTACTTAACTGTTTCAAATTTATAATCACAAATATTTCCCTTATACTGACTCCCTCAAAGCTAAAAAATAACAAGTAAAATAGTAATGAGCTTTTCTTTTGCATGGTGCACGTTCATGACAGATGTGCTAATTTCTTTAAGCTATAAAAACATAGCTGTCCTGCACCGTGGATAAAAAAATATCAGCAGAAGATTTCACTTTGATGACTTTCAAAAGAGCTGGGATTGATCCTTCTCTCTCTTGCTCTGTGAAGTACCTGCGTGTTTGAGACAGCGTTGACTGACGGGAGCGAGAGTGAGGAAACGTGAGATGGAAGGAGTCCTGAGGAGAGAGGGGTGCTACACATACCCCCTCCCAGAGACAAGGAGGTGCTACACACCCCTCCACCCAGAGATAGTGGGGTGCTGCACACACCCCCGCCCAGTGTGAGAGGGTCCTTGAGGCTGGAGTAGATACCTATAGAAGATAAAAGGTGAGGAAAGACAGTTTTAGAGGTCTCTTTCTGGAAAAGACACATGGTATAGAGCGTTTATGAACATGAGAGTTAGTCTGTAAGTAGGGCAGGAAGTAAACCACTCAGAGAAGCAGCGCATGCTAACACCTTTATCTAGGACAGTATCTCTACCACAAATTTGACAAACATTCAGAATTTTTAGTCTGAAAAACATCACAGTGATATGATATTCTGATTTGACCTTCAAGCCTCTAACTTGAAGGGTTTTCCTTCCACAGTCAGCTCCTGATATACAGATAAGCTGCTCCTCTGGTGCCTACATGGCACACGTGAAATGGAAACATTTCAACACTTTAAAGTCGAGCTTCAAATGAAAGACGCGCCTATGTGTAGACAGATAGTGTGATGCAGCTTGTACACACACACGCACGCACACACACAGGAAGCTAGAGGGCTACCACACACACCCACACACTCACTCAAACTCACCGGAGCCGAGCAGAGAGTTGCCGCGGCCCGTGGAAAAACTGCCTGCAGAGGAGGAGGAGAAAGAAGAGGTGGAGGAAGAAGAAGAAGAGGAAGAAGAGATTGAGGCGGATGGAAGTGTGGAGGGAAAGGTGGGGTGAGGGATGGAGGACGGGCTCGGGTAGAGCGAGGAGGTTAAGGCAGGAGGAGGAGGAGGAAGAGTAGGAGGAGGAGGAGGAGGAGGAGGAGGAGGTGCTGCGTGGTGATGGTGGTGATGATGCTCCTCTTCTCTCCTCTCTCTGTTCTTGCTCCCTCGAGGGCGCCCTGGACCGTGGCTGCTCTTCTTGCTGCTGCGGTGCCGCCTCTCCCGGGGCAGCGGTGGAGGCGCGGCTTTCTCCTCCACGTCCGCCTCCTCCAGGATGGGCGGCGTGCTCAGCTGAGATGGTTTACAGAGGGACTTGGAGGGTTTGTAGTCCCCTGAGGAGGAGATCTTACGGATCTTGCTGCTGCTGCCGAGGCTCGATGATGAGGTGATGCGCATGATGGACCCAAAAGTGGAAATAGTGACTTTGTTCTCAAAGGGGCTTGAGTTGCCCTCCGTCCTGTCATGTGACGCTGCCAGGGGGTTATCAGCGGGAGTCAAGGCTGGTGGTTTGTGGTATTTACTGTCCTCCTCTTCCTCATCATCCTCCTCCTCATCATCTTTGTCCCCCTCCTTCTCGTCCTCGTCTTCATCCTCATCCTCCTGGACTGCCGGCCTCCGATGATGCTCCTTTCGCTCCTCTCCACTGTGGTCTTCACCGCCTCGGTCGTGCTCACGTTCCAGGCGGGATGATGATGAGAACTGATGGAAATCCTGAGCGGAGGACAGAGAGCCTCCTGCAGGAGACAAACACAAACACAAACAAGCTCACAGCTATGAACTGCTGAAGTATATCTGTCCCGAAGCACTTCTTTAAGATTTGAATATTTGTCCGATGTTTACGGTAACCAGATTTCATAGACACCCTTTTACCGTCTGTAAACATTTGGGCAGTGAGAGCAGAAAAGAGTTCAATACCTTTCTAAGCTACGTAAGGATGTTAACTATCAGAGATTTCGACTGTTATCACCAAGTGAAAAAAAGACATCAGCAAATAGACGAATCCTCAGTGGGCAGATGTTCTCAGTGGAGAAACACTGTCTATACACCAGAGATATCAGATACTCAATACTCAAGACAAAAAGTTATGACCAAGTTGTGTTTAGAGATGAAATGAAGTCATTTATCTCCATGATTATCTTAATATTATCAACATAACCAGCACGGGTGGGAATCACCAGTGGCCCCATGATACGATATTATCACAATACTTGGGCCACGATACAATATTATTGTGATTTTTAACATTTTGGAATCCAGTAAGTATTGAGATACAATACGTTGCGATATATACAATTTTTTTAACTGTTTAACTATGTTAGCATTTGTCTTTCCTGTATGTTTGTCTTATTTACGCTGAATTTTATTTTCATGTAGCACATCTTGCAAACCTTATATGTATATACGTATTGGTTGTACTAACTTTCTCCTGCTCTCTGATGTCACCTCTGCCAACCTCACTGGACAAACAGTTGATTTTATTTTTCCATTATCATAGATTTGACTTCATATTAACAATTAATTTGAAAAATCGATACTTGGTAAGTGTGAAGATACGATATATCACCAGACAAAATATCGTGATCCTATGCTGCATCGATTTTTTTCCCCACCCCTAATATCCAGAGGGCATTGGTTTAAGTTATGCGAGTTTTTGGATACTATCCATCGTTGTTGTTTTTGACTCTCGTGGGGTACCTGTGTTGAAGGGACTGGAGGAGCAAGAGGAGGAGGAGCAGCTCTTGCCGGTGCTCCCTGTCTTCTTGCTGCGATGACTGTGACTATGTGAGCTCAGCTTCTTTAACTTCCGGTCACTGTCCTTGCTGCTGTGATGACTGGAGGATATCTGTGCAGCCGCAAATATACATAAATACTGTCAGTTGTTGTCATTGTACATTTTTGTTTCTGGTTTTTGGTCTCTTTGGTAGTTTTTTGTACCTTTTCTATACTGCTGGTCGTCACTTGGGGGCCCAGGCTGTCAGAAGACTTCTTATGGCGCTCTTTTTGTCGAATCTTGTCCTTGTGACTCTGAAGGGATATTAACATTCAGGGTTAAAGCATGTGAGATGATGAAGCAGGTCCAAACAGGCATAGAGCAAACAATTACATACTGTGACACTAACAAGCTGTATGCAAACACACTACATGTAAATAATCCACTAAAATACTGTATTCAGTTACACATTTAAATTCAAATACTTCTCTTGACTACCTACAGTTGATGGTCCTTTTTATTTTTCACTTCATCTCAGAATTAACTGCTGCACTTTTTAAGATGGGCTGACTTTCCAAACTCATGAACACTAATCTGATGCAATTTACTTGGTTCAGTCTGTTTAGGTTTCACACTGCAAACAGTCATTACCGCAAACAGACTAACAGGCCTTACACGATGAACCTACATGCTATCATCATTAACTACGTGCTTTGCGTGTCTCTGTATTTTACATTGATTGGTCATTAGGCCGTCGGGCGTCTGACGTCAACACATTGAAAAGTGTGGGTCTTGATTTATGCAAACGTGGATGAAATCGTCATTCCCACCATCGCACTATTTTTGATTTTCTACCTCCAACAGCAACAACTTGATGAGCTGTACATGAGGCTGGTCCGAGGAAGTCTCATGAATTTGATCATAAGACGACAACTGTATCGACATCGACAGGAAAGGAAAAGAAAAAATGCAATCCTGCAAGTCATTGCAACACTGGCTCGGGAGAAAAGAATGTGTAGTACAACTCTTGAAAAGATAAGCTGTCAATAGTGAGGTATTTATTTTAGAATTTACCGTTACTGGACAATCTCCATTTAACATAATAACGGACACTTCCACTCCTCGCGTCATTTCCTGTCTTTTGTACGAAGGTCCGAACCTTTCAAAATGATGCTTTAACACTGGGCATGAACCAGACCATGATTCAATTTGGTCCAGACCAAGACCACCTATTTTGGTCGGCTGTTTGGTTTGGACCAAGGTTCTGGGGAGGTTTCACACCTATCATTTTGGTTTGGATGCAGGTGTGAAAACCCCCTAATACAACCGTAGAGCACTCGCATTTTTCTGCAGTACCAATACTTCAAATATTGTCCTTGAAATTTCTATCAATTTGAAATACTGACATCCCCTTAGTTTTCACTCTTCGGTCTGTTGCCTGACATGAATGTCAACACCCTCGCCTACATGTTTTTACTATATTTCTCACTGGGTTCTCACACTGGCTACGTGGAAATCCCACAGAATTTTACTGGGGGTGGTGGGGAAAAATTCTAGGTAAAGTCTGGTAGTTTGTGTTCACACCTGCAGCCCGTCTAAAAAACATTGGGAAGTTTTTAAGAGTTTTATGCATGTATGAATACAAACAGTGTTGTGTATGCTGGGCTTTTACTACACTGATGTACACTTGAGTGCAGAGGAGACACAGCTTACACTTTCTCACAGCTTTTTCATGCAGGGAACTGTTATGAAGCCTCAGCCTATTACTATTGCAAAAATTATGACACCATATGGACCTGAGTCACTCACTGCCTGAATATGCTATCATTGGCTCATTAACACTCGTTTCTCTATAGCTTCAAGATGTACCTCCGCCTCCCTGACACACACCTACTCCATCTGCTTCTCTACGTGTCAGTCCCACACACCTCCTACTTCCACCTGCTGCTGCGTTACAGCGGACGCTGCAGAAGCAGATGATGCTTGACTCTGAAGTATTTGCACATTTTGAGGCGTTTGTATTGAAAGTCCTTTAATTCTACACACAGTCCTTCCCCTACATTTTTTGCAGTCCATCTGATCTTGAAGCTGACTTTTGATGTCATGCCCTGCCTTCTATCCTCTCACCCCGTCCATCCACCACAACTGACAGCTAGTCAAATGTTTATGATCTGAGCAGGACAGAAGAGTCAGGGGTAAATCTAGCCAGCAAACTGTCTTTAAAACAAATCAACAAATGCCACTTCTTTGGATGCCTCAATACTTTTAACCACTTTTCTATGACAATACTGGCCTCAAAGTGCATCATGGGGTCAAAGGTGTGCTAGATGACCAGCCTAGCCCAGGTGCTCAAATCTTTCAGGCCTATGAGTAAGCTTCTCACTTGCGCTCACTGTTGCTAGGTTACAAAAGCTGTCCTGCAGCACTTCTTGGTAGTGATTATAGAGGCTGTTTGAAACGCGCGCTTTTCTGGATATTTACTTTTGAGGAATTTTACAAATAGAATGTTAATTAAACTGCCAGGAATTGTGTCGCAGCGCTAACAGTAGATCCAGATCTTGAAATTGTATCCTTAAAGCTTGGTTCAATTGATTGCTTTGATATTTTATAGTAACTGGATGCTGCGAGCACAAAAATGCACTGAGTGGACATAGGCCCTCACAGCTATACACATCATCACTCATGCTGACCTTCCTCTGTCTGTGGTGGTGATGTTTCTCCTGGGATGGAGAGCTGGAGCGGCCTCTGGGGTGAGTGAAGGAGCTGCTTGAGTTTTCACTCGAGCGCAACTTCTTCTGCTGTAAAATAAAAACAGACAAAAACAGACAGTTGTTAATGAAAACAGGCTGGCTCTGTTTTCATCTAAAAACGCCTATGGGTGGAGGCTGCTTGGGTTGACATCTTTTATGTGCTTTTCTGTGCAAATCCAGTAAAAACTGAGACATTGGATGAGTTCAAACACGTGTTCTCTTTGTCTACTTAGGATAAAATGAAAGGCCTTCTTGAGTCCCATCACATGTATTTTCACAGCAGTGTAATATAAATACCAGAATAATCTAATACAGAGTTGCATTTTGTATTAAACATCTTTTTTAGGTGATTCAGACCTACAGTCATTTGTGCAGCATACGATAAATCTCACCTGCTGATCTACAAAGAGGAACTGTCATGATGCTCAAAATAACATCTTCCTTTTTCCTCACATTTTTAAGACACTTGAGTTAAACACTGGATAACCTTTTCTCATGTATTTACACCTGAAGGGTCTATATTCAAACTGTTGAGTCTTTGGGTTGCAATATTTACCAAAAGCAGAATGTAAACTTTTTTTCTTCAGAGTCTTTGGGGTTGGGAGGCGGGGCTAAAGCTAAAACTAGTTCACCTGCTCTAAAGGAAAAGGACCATTTAGGTAATTTGAACTTTTGAGTTGGGGCACCACTTGGGCCCCTCTGCTTACAGAGGCTACAGTCCTTGTCAAACTGGCTCAGGTCCTGACCTCAACTTTCGTTGCATTTCTTCCACCATTCTCCACTTCCCACATTTCATGCCCCTCATCAACTGTTGTATCTAATAAAGGCAAAAATTCCAGTCAAAATGACTCCATAAAGTATTCTTTTTGGCTTCATGCACCCATAGGAATGGAAAGGACCCTACCTCAAACATCTTTTGTTTTAAGATTCAAGATTTAAGAAAATATAGATATAGAATATAGAATATAGAATATAGAGCGAACAGAATCGCTGTGTTGCTGTGTATGATATCAATTAAAAGAAGAAAAAAAAGGATAGGAACGCTGGATCAGTTCATCAGATATCCAATCCAATTAATTTGTTAATATCGGAGCTGATATCCGATCCAAATATGGGATCAGTGCATCCCTACTTATAAGTCTATGAAAAACAAAAAGCTACAATAAAATAAAGTCAGACTTGAATGAAGTATCAGCTTTTTAACAAGACTTATAGACTCTGAGTAAAAGTACAATGAACTCTGAGTAGAAGTGTTGAAATGTACTTGAACATCTATAAATATGGAGTGTGATTGTATATGTGCAAATATGAACTGAGGATATTCCTTTCAGTCTTGCATGAAAGAAAAAGTCTTGATAATATAATACAACATTTTGCTTTAACTGATGTTAAAATCAAGTGACAAATGAGGTGACTAGACAAGAAGGTCTGAATGAATAACAAACCAAAAATAAGATGTTGCTTTGGTTTAATGATTTGAGAGGCTGGTAATACAAAACACGAGAATATGACTATGAACTGTACTTAGAGTGATATTCCAGCTACTGTAAACACTTGACAGAGCATCTAAGGAAGTCATGTGATGTTGTAGCTGTTTGTGAGTCTGTAACTTCCTCATATTTCTGATGTTTTTGTGCTTGTTGGTTTGAAGACTGTTAAACCATCTCACCATTTTGTTGTAGTGATGCTTGCAGTAACCACAATATTTCACGTTGTCAGCTTCTGGTCCTTCCTCCTCACACAGCAGACCTGCCATCTGAGCACTGAACAAAGGGTGTCACAGGATCAGACAGGTGGGCATGCACTCACACACACATACACACATTAAAACACACACTCAGACTTGACAAAGACACCTGGCCATCTTTTCATGTTACCCGAGAGCGTTTGTGATTGATCCTGACATAATAGATCAAATTTCAAATCTCTGCACACAGAAATCACTTACATTTAAAAGTCTAGTTCATATTAGAATCAAACTACCACATTTGATTTTAATACACAGAGTGAATTGAATATGAATATAGAGAGATCAGATGGTAGAGTATGCAAAGTGCTGCAGAGGCAGGAAAACAAATGAAGCCGCTCTTTTGGTTACAGGTCTCCCATGAGTGAAATCAAATGTGGAGATGTTCCTGTGGGTGTTTTCATGGCATTACACAACTGAAAAGTTGTGTAAGGCTGTCCTATATTTTTTTAAATCTTTTAATAGCATCAAGTTTAAAAAAAAGAGCATCAATCTTGAACCCCAAAATCTGTTTTGGTCAACATCAAATGCAGTGCCAGTCCACGCACACACACACATATACACACAGACAGACAGACACAAAGCTTAACACTTACCAGGTGACATGAAAAGCTTGTCTGCAGCCCTGTCTGTTGCAGGTCATGCAGGCTCCACAGGCAGCCTTGCTCTCCCTCCCGTGGTCCTCACAGATATAGCAGGTCTAATAAAAGCAGCAAAGATTAAGAAAAAGGGAGATGAAGTATCAGAGACTTATCATGTTATGAAAGTTCTCAGTCCTTGCTGTTTCAGAAAGTGCAGGTTCATGTGGAAAGCGGCTGAAAGTCTTGGGAGGTCTCCTCTTCCATGTGTTTCTTTAGTGTTTGCAGAGCAAAGTCATACATTCACGATACCCAGCCTTTCAAGTGAAATCGCTGTGATTGCTATGCGGGGAAGATAAAACACTTCTTAATTTGAGGCCAGCCACAGCTATACTGTAAAAGATTAGGAAGTTGTGCTTGTCAAGACAACAGATGGGTCTTTCAAACAGAGCAGTTTGCTCTGTGCTCGCCACTTTGTAGAGCTAAACTGTTGAGCAGATGTTTGGAAATGTAGTGGGGAAAAAGTTGACATTGAAGAGTTTGTGGCGAGTTTCATAAATACTGTTTTTACTTCTATTTTTTTTCTTTGGGCTTTGCCCTTCTGTGTCTACTTCATTTTTTGTCACTACCTTCGAATTTAAACAAAAAGGTGCTGACTTTCTCTCATGACAAACTGCAGGGCGCTTACATCATTGCACTATAAAATCATCATGCCCAGTCAAGGTTCTGGAAAAAACTGATGTATGGGTTCAAGGCTGAAATGCTTTCATCCTGCGTGAAAGCTGCATCATTCATCAATGACAAGTTAATGTACACACATGTCTGCAAAATACATGTAAGCAATTGAGCAGACAAAAGCAGACAAACCAATGCATGCACACACAGAGCTTTTGTACTTCTGCAGCTTTTTCCCCCAGCGAGCGGGGCTGACTAGTGGGGGGCAGGAGAGGCCTAGCAACAGGTGCGAGACAAAGGAACAGCGGGCTCTCTACCTTTTTGCCTCAGTCCTCTCTGTTTTGCCCCTTCTCTCCTGTTTCCTCTATCTTCCCGTTACACCAGACATCCTATTTTGCTCTCTGTTCCCCTCTGAGGATGTCGGCTGTGTAATAAAAGGCAGAAGACACGACTACACCGAGCGGGTTAAAAGGAAGAGTGGCTTCTCAAGTTTTCACTGTCCATTGTAACGCTGTCGAGGAATGCAGGCAGCAAAATGTGGATGAATGGCTCTGACGGGGGGAAAGCTGCATGCAATTTACTGTAGCTGACACAGTAATATGAAACCGGGCACTCAAACACTCACATGTGTACATTTATATGCAGGCACGCACACAGACACACACACGTTACAAACACACAGTATGTCTGCAACTGGCTGCTCAGCCCATGCTCCAAGTATTGATTTCTTTGTAATGTGCATTGCTTTTAAAAGGGCGGCACTGTCTGGTGCATGCTGCATGCGCGGCTCTGTCTTTCTGCTCAACACAATCTTAAACCATCAAAGACAGCTCAGGAGGAAAAAGGTACGAGTTTATAAAGACCACTGATGGAAGATCAAAGTTTACCAGTCCATCATTGTGAGGTTTATAAAATATAAACTGTCTTTGAATTTCCTTTTGAAATGTCAAAGCATTACATGTGTTTCCCATCTACGTTAGGACTCTGTGTGAGGTCCATTATCTTTGTGTGTCATCAGCACACAGCATGAAACAGTTTCATACATAAACATGCCTTTAGATATGTTTATCAAGGTCCCCTCTGACACATTCAGCTTGCAAAATTCGGGCTTAGCACTTGTGTCCACATAGCATTTTCTTGGGCGCCAGCGTCTTCTTTCTATTATAGCCATTGAGGAAAAATTGTATGAGGCGGTATGAGGTCGCCCAAAGAGAAAGTGCAGCGCTCAGTGTCTTCACTAAAAGCACTCCGGCATTTCTGTGCAGCTGCTCTGACGACTTTTAGATGAACTTCTCAGGAGAGGCTCTGGGGTCATCTCTGTTTCTCTTATTTTGGTAACAAATGACAGAAAGTCAGCAACCGAGCAAATCAAACTAAAAGCTTGATATGTCTGTCAGGCTGGGCAGTAGATATGCCAGAACTGAGAAAGATAATTACAAAAATAAAGACAGTTGCAGATGCAGGATTAGATAAATGATACAGACAGTTCTTGTAATGTATTTAATAGGGGTGGGAATCACCAGTGGCTCCGCGATACAATATTATCACGATACTTGGGCCATGATACAATATTATCACGATACTTGGGGATGATATAATATTATCACGATACTCTGGCCACAGTATAATATTATCACAATACTTGGGCCATAATACGATATTATTGCAATACTTGGGCCATGATATGATATTATCACGATACTTGGGCCATGATACAATATAATCACGATACTTGGGGATGATATAATATTATCACGATACTCAGGCCACAGTATAATATTATCACGATACTTGGGCCACAATACGATATTACTGCAATACTTGGGCCATGATATGACGTTATCACGATACTTGGGCCATGATACAATATAATCACGATACTTGGGGATGATATAATATTATCATGATACTTGGGCCACGATATGATATTATTGTGATACTTGAGCTACAATACGATATTGCGATACTTGGGCCACAACTGGATATTATTGCGATTTTTAACATTTTGCAATACAGTGAGTATTGCAATACAATATATTGCGATTTATACAATTTTTCAACTGTATTCGCTAATTTAGCATTTGTTGCACTAACTTTCTCCTGCTCTATGATGTCACCTCTGCCAATCTCACAAGACAGTCAATTTTATTTTTCCATTATCATAGATTTGACTTCATACTGGCAATTAATGAAAAAAAATTGATCCTTGGTAAATGAGACGATACGATATGTCACCAGACAAAATATCACGATACTATCCTGTATCGATTTTTTCTCCCACCCCTAGTATTTAACAATCTTCTTTCCTCACTGCTGACAGATTCACTCTCCTGAGAAGACTTTCAGTTTGAGGTAGATTTAGTTCCCTTTTAAGCCAAAGCAATACCTGTTATCCCTTTGTTGATTTTGCACAAGTCTAAGTCATGTTTCTTCCAACATACGCACTCAAAACAAAAATGGATTCAGTTAACCATTGTGGGTCACACCCTCTGCCAGTGGTTTGAAACATTGCTATGAAATAATCACTTTTTGTTTTTTTGCTCCATTAGATGACTTCTGCAGGCTTTTTTCACCTTCCTGACAAGACATGACATCCTGTGAGAGACAGGAAATGTGCAGGGATTGGGGGCGAATGACAAGCATCAAATTGACTCAGTGAATGATGACTGTAGACTCTGTACAGGGAGCGCAGGTCCAACAATGCCCCAAAACTAATCAGTTTTTCCACTGATAGTCTTGTTTCATCAATATATATTTCAGTGTGGTGTGTAACCAGTTAAAACCTCCTTAAAGGGGCTTTAAGCAGACACATAACTGATCTCACAAGGAAAGGATCATCCAGTTTCTCTTTATCTTGAGAAATAAAATCTGTTTGCTTGAACTTTGTAGCACCTTACCAGCGCTTTTCTGACAGATGGAAATGCTAAGTGGACACAGGCCCTTATTCTGGTCCTGAGTCTCAACAAGTAGCATGAAACATAGAGTCTTAAATTACCCTACATTTCTCCAGATGATTCATCTATCATTTTAAGTCAGGGTGGTTTTCTTTGTATTTTTTAAGGCAGGGTTAAAATGTCATTTTTGAATTCAGTAAGGTTCCTCTCCCCTAATATAAATGTACACTTTTTGTTGTTGCTTTCTTCTTGGTGGATTTCATTGTGTTTCTGTATATAAAACTTTACAAAAAATGAAAAAAAAACACAAAGCACTGATTTGATAATATAGGCCTATATATACAAAAGTGCTAATGGAGGATTTTGCGTGAAGAACAGACTTTAAGATACGTCTCCATCAGTTGGGTGAATGTCTCATCAGTCTGAACGATATTGTTTTTATCATATACTATTATCTACGGCTCTTAAATTTATTGAATAGACAAATATTGCTAATTAAATGTCCATCTCAGGCACCACAAAACTAAATCTCAAAGTTAAAACTCAGGAGGATTCAGTTCTTTGTCCTATAAAAGCAGGAAGTGCAGCCAACCCAAACAAGAAAACAAGCCAACAGTGAATTTTGAACATGTCATTTCACTTAAAACTGAACTTTTCAGCAGAATTCAGAGCATTCAAGTTTACTTGTTCCCTTGACCTGCTGAATCTATTCCTGCTTTTACTGGAAATCTCCCACATTTCCCAGAATGACTTTCAACAACCTCCAGAGAGCAGGCGTGACCTTGCAACATTCAGATCTGGTCTGAGCGGGAGGTGTAGGTGGGGGGGAGCATTTTCCCATAAAGGAACAAATAAGGGTTGCATGTTTCCCACGTGTTTTGGAATGACGACATTGTGCTTTGTTGAAACTGCTGTTATTCACAGAGGAAATGAAATGTCTTTTTCTATGATGGCTGTTGACACTGATCAGAAAAGTGCGGTCTGAAACTAAATCCCTGCTATGAAACTAAGGAGAAATTACAGCCACAAAGGTTTACTTAAACTGCTCAGACATCAGCTCTGAAGGACATCAGTGAAGCATCATTGAAGCTTTGGATGCAGATGCTGCTCAGGCTACATTTAAGTGAGAACAGGTTCACAACTTTTAAAAGCATTTGCTTAAGTTAAGTCAATACTAGTCATTTAGCCACACTGGAATACTCGGGAGAAAAGCATCTATCGTTATTTCAAAGAGAAATTACACCATCACTAAACTTCACATTGTCTGTTTTAGTATTTTGTTCTGCTGTCAAGCAGCGGCTGCTTTCACCCTCATTTTACAGAGGGTGGCTACCAGTGTATTGGACCTCTCCTGAAGCTGTCCCCTACTATAAATTAGGACTGGGCGATTATATGATTGTGATTAATGATCAAGATTAATTTCAGTTCGATCATGGTAATCAGCTGTGAGCATATTTACTCGATCAAACATAGCAGAAATGCATGTGACAACAGCCAAAACAGAGTCGAGCTTTTCCTAAAAATAAGAATAAGAACTTAGATAATAAGAACGTACTTCTGTACGTTTTTGGAGAAGTAAACAGGAGAAACATACAGAATGACTGAACGTGGAGCTAAAAGCGGAGCTGAGGGCAGCAAAATAAATGTCAGCCGTGACTTTGGTCATCCTCCAAAAATGGCATTGTTGAGAAGAAAAGTTATTCAACGTCGGTTGTGTGACGGTGATTCGGGCATCTTCAAAGTGACGTCGAGCAATTAAGCCGATGAGCAAAGTATGTCGGCGGTCTGTGCCCTCAAAAACCGCCAACACAACAGATCTGTTTAATGATTTAAAGAAGTACTTCCCGAGTAATTATGAGGAAAGCATGAAAATCTATGTTTACTTCATCTAATGTTTACATTTTAAGGTGTCTTCATTATTCCTGAGGGGGCGGTCTGTTTATTTTGGGTCTTGCATACCTGCAAAAACACTCAGGACTGTAAACTAGTTCACTGTATTATTTAGTATTTATCTACATTTGTAGTACTGTTGAGTTAATTTTTAAAAAAATATTTTTCTAAGTTTATCTTATTCAATTTGCTTCGTTATTTACTTTGTATGTTAATAAAATGTTGAACTAATCTCTAGTTTCTTTAGTTTTTAGTACAGATGCTTAAAAACTGGCAGTTTAAAAAATACCAAAGAAATCGTGATAATAATCGAGATCAGATGACATGAAAAAATATATCAAGATCTTTTTTTTGCCAAATCATTCAGTCCTACTATGAACCAACAAGTTACACTGTATTAGATTATGATTGTAAGCAAAATATCAACAAGTAATTTTTTACAGATGGCTATTATCAAAACAATATTGCATACAGTATCTTTTCACAGTCATGTGGTACAACTGATATACTTACAAGTTTAGCCAGGGTTAAAAGATGCTACTCGTGTTTCCTGTGCTTCAAAGATATGAGTTCTGTCAATAGAGTCTGGGAGATTTTTTAAGAGCAATGTGACAGCTGTTTCTGGCTGATAAAAACCGTCTTTTCCGATCGCTGTGGGGAAACTGGACATGTATATTTAGAGCAACAACTCAGCCTGGAGGTGGAAAAAATAACTCTTTTAGTGGAATTACTTCGATCCGGAGCACTCGCCTTGAATAATTGATATTGCAGCAGTTACGGTCCAACACATGGCTGCAAAGTGAAGAAATCCAGCCCTTTTTGTTTGTTTTGTTCCCCAAATACAGTATGCATAAATATGGCCTTGTTTTGAAAATGATTGAAGATCTAAATGAGACATCACATCACATCACACTCTGAAGCTCGGTAAAGAAGAATCTGTTCAATCTAAAATGTACAAGAGGTTTAATCTAGTCAGCAGTTTGTTTGTGAGTGAGTGAGTCAGTACCTTGATGTATCTCTCATGTGGGACGTACTGCAGGATGATTGGCTCCATGGTGAGGACGTTGGCAAACTGCACCTCAGGGATGTAGAGCGCACACACCACGTGGGCCCAGCCTGATGGAGACATTGGCAGTGAATCAATTGACTGACAAGGTGGCTCATAAATGGAAACCTTTTTTTTTTTGCTTTTAAACAATTTCAGGCATGCTTATTGGTGACTCAGAGATTCAGCAGAGGTGTGAGATACACAGAAAAGATGAGATTTACCCCCACTATCCGTCCTCTTGAGAGCACCATCTTTGTGGGGACATAGCTCACACCTCTGAGGTAGGAGGGCAGGAGAGAGCAGAGCGTGTAGTCAGCGAGCGTGGCATTCATCATAGTATAAGGTGGAGCAGCATTGAGGATGGATGTGTCGTGTCATGTTGTGTGCTGGCATACTCACCACGCGCGCCGCCCTCTCTTGTGACTCACACTTCCGACAGAACCATGGACCGGTGGGCACCTGGACAATGCCATAGCATGCTGAGATACACACACACACACACACACACATACACACAAACACACACACACACACACAGAACAGGTTTGTGCTGGCTCTGTATTTCCCAACACAAGCAACATGACAACAAAGTATATTAAAAAAATACAGCCAGGTTTTCATTTCATCTACTCTAATTTATGTTTTCATTTTAGCTGCTGTGCTTGACACACGTTTCATGTACTTTGTTGACTCGTCCACTACGTCTCAAAGCTGCTATAATCTTCATACAGATATTTGATTTTAAAAACTCCAAACTGACCCTTAAAGATTCTTGTTGATTTGGCTCAGTGACTCTAAATTCTTCAATCATATAAAAAATTAATAATCATATAATAAAATTAATTTAGGTTCAAACACACTGTAACACCGAGTTAGACCCCCCCTCCCCCCAGAGATGAATGGAAATACTAAGGCAGAAGAACTACCGCCTCTGCGGTACAAAATGATTAATATGATGATTATTACTTAAAGGAAATGATAAAGTAATGATCATAAATGTTCTTCCTTGAGCTGTGTCACCCCGCTGCAGTCGTAATTGACTCGTCTGAGGTCTCCGTACAAACAGGCGGCTGCTGGAAGAGAGTAGGTGAGTTGTGTTTAGTCTCTTTGCTAAAGAAATCAGGCAAAGTTAAAAAGCTGTTTGATGGCTATGGCTGGAACGGTTTATGTACTGTTGATGAAGTTAGGTGCTGTTCTGACCATTATTTGTGTCTATAGAGTGGCTTTTTGTTGAGGTTTGTGCATGGAGACGTAGACCGCTGTGTATTGCTAACGTGCGGTCATTATTTAAGTTGGTATAACTAGAGAAGTAAGTGGTCAGCAACATTCATCTCTCGAGGGGGTGTCTAACTCAGTGTTGTGGTGTGTTTGACCCTAAATTAATTTTACGCCACAATATCCCTTTAATCAAATTGTTTGATTCTACTTTTGGGACCTGTCAGGTGTTTCGGGGGATGCTGCCGCGTTGTGCACTCAGTTGGCACTCTTTACGGTGTACCTCTGTTAGAGATGCTGGATTCAATTTGCTGTGCTGCTGTTTTTTGTGGTCACTTAAGAGAAAACTCCACAGCAGGAGGTAGTTTGTTGGGGTCAGACACCGCAAAAACCAAGACAACTGATACCCCCTTTCCTCCAAAGTGAGCCGGGGTCTTAGTTCTGGGCTGATGCTAGTGCTTTGGAACTTAACAGAGAACTGATTTCCTGCTGCTTTTGATACGCAAACTTGACAGCCACACAGACTGCTCCTCTTTTCTCTGTGGATTGGTTAATTAAATGCAACATGTGGTTTTGGGGTGAAAGTAAAAAATCAGGGTCTTTACTGGGATTTGTCTTGAACATATGTTGGCATTGAAGTGCAGACCTCAAATACATGACGATCACACTTTTCACATATATTTCAACCAAACCAGACACATTCAGAGCCTACTTGTAATTGTAAATACTGCAAACCTTTACTTAGGCAATTCACAGTTTGAACCAACTTCAACTTGCACCAGCCCAGACCATATAGGATGTTCAGATCTTCTTATAGTTAAGGTTTAAACTTTAACATACTAATATATGATCAAGAAAGAGCTGAGAAGACCTGATTTTCACCCAGATATCACTCCTCATATTTAGGCCACTTATCCATATAGCAGCATAGAGGAAAAAGTAAGACCTAAATGCTGTCAGGCTGTCAGGTTTACTCAACACAAGAAGCAAGTAAACTCTTCAGTGTTGATTTCAAAAGAATGAAAGGAGAAAGAGAGGAGACTTTAATTTGGATTGTCCCTTTTATCATCTCTGGAGAAAGAGACTATTTTGAGGTTAGTCTGGAAAGAATCTGTATGTTATTATGTAGTTCAGGAGCTCAGTGAAAAAGTGGCCCCTCTGTTTAGCCACGTATTTAAAACTGCTGGGAGGATAGTTCAGTTTGTGTTACTCTCATCCTGTGCATGACAAGGTAGTAAATTCTGACTAAAATCTTATCCTGCTGCCTTTCAACAGCCAAATGTGTCACTTGCTGAGTCGCTGTGAATATTTGCTGTGGACATTTTAAAGAATGGATGTTTCTTCAGTGTACTGTCAGCTGCCTGGTGTGCCACCTACCCTGTCACAGTGGTTTCAGGCATGATGCATTGTGACATCAAAATTTTGATCTAAAGAGGAATTACAGCCCATTTAAAACTCCTCACAAGTGCTTTAAATCAACAGGGTAAAAATTATTACCAAGCTCTAAAAATCAAGACAAGCTACAATGGCACATTTGCTCAAATATCACTAAAACTTTAACTAGCAGAGGATGTGATCCAAAAAAACCATGCTTGGTGTTTCTTGGAATTGGCGTCATCACTTAGTATGAACCCACAAGAGCACTTTCTGACTCTGTAGTTAACAACACTCTCTGCACTGCTAACAGAACACATAATAACAGCTTCATAGGATGTTCAACGAAAGGGAATGGCAATGTATATTCATATTATAACTTCTTTAACACAGTTTATTTGTTTGAGAATGGATCCTCCTGAATATCTGCACACATTCACTTCTGTGCAAAATATACACAGAGGTTTTTTTTCCTATTCCATTTTAATCTGCCAGAATTGTTTTAGCTGCTTCACACTTCCCTCTCACATCGCTGTTACTGAGTTGTTACTTGTATACTGCGCCTTTTTGAGTTTTTAAAATTATTACTTTTACTTGTAAATTTATTAAATGCATGACAGCAACCTGACTGGATAGGTCTATGTAGCTTCAAACTCAAATATCTCCAAGTGAATTAGTTTTATTTTGTCATAATATCTCATTACACACACTTTGAGCTAAAAGGAGGTCTAAAAATAAATCTCATTTCAAGGTTTTCAATGCCAAAGTTAAGTATTACATAAAATTTCAAGGAACTTGTCAAGAAAATGTAGCTTGCGGCATTGGCAGCCAATTTGACTCATTACAGTCAATTAAGTTCTTATTTTTGGCTCATGATAACAATCCTCTCTAAACACAGCCAGCTATTACTTAGGTGTGCAGGGAGCTTTTACTTAGTCCAAAGAAGCAAATACATGCAGTAACACTGGATAGGTGCAGAGTCTGAATTACTTAAAATATTGTTGTTAGGAATATGAAACATGCCCCCCCAGATCTACATGATCTAGGGGGTATATCTTACTTCCCTTGCCCATAGCACCATTAGTTAAAGTACTCAGCATATTTATAAAAGAGTAGGGGAGAGTGGGGTAAATTAAGCCATCCCCTGTTGCTTGGAAATGGTAAAAGAAATTGATCATGTGACCAAATAGTTAGGAGATGGACATCAATTCATGGAGTCTGTGCGGGTTAGAAGCACATGGGTGAAGAGGTAAGACATTTATTATGTTATGAGGGGTACGGCTCAACTTACCCCGCTCCTATGGTCAACTTACCCCATACACGGGGAGAGATGACCATAGGAGACCACATTTTTTTGGCATGCTATATTATCAAGACAGTTCTGTTTACACTCATTCTGTTGGTTTGCAGGGATGCACAAAATCTTAAAATATATGCAGATACACTAGTTAGAGACAAAACTATGATTGCCTTGATGTAGTGATCCGAAATATGAAAAATTGCTCATCTTACCCCACTCTCCCCTACTTGATGGATTAGATTACAGATTGGTACTTAAGTAAAATGTCATAGTTTTACCTGAGTCAAATCAAAGAAAGACCTCAACTCAACCTTTCCTGCCACAGCTATAACCTAATATTTAATCTTACAACACTTTAGGAGTCATCTGTTTTTATAAAACTTTAACTGTAGATTAGATCAGATTTAATCAAGTCAGCCGAGTGTAAATCCAGCCCAGCATCCCAGAGTTAGTCTAACATTCAGAGCCGGCCTGATGTCCTCCGGGAAATTTGATCCAGAAACTTTACTGCCCCTTTTGCTGGTCCCGTTAAGGCAACAAAGCAAGTGGACACAAGGTAACACAGTGTCCAAACAGGCGGGCCTCTCCGGGGCTGTCCTGTCGCAAAAACACGCCTCTTGCTGTGTGTCGTGGATCCGACCGGGCCAGACAGCACACGCACACACCCACATCACACGTACATACACGGACCTGAGTGGCATCAAGGCGCCATGCACACAGGCTCCGTGTCACTGTGCTTGGCCCTGTGTGTTTAATCATGTGTGCCGACTGAGAGGAAACAACAAACAGCACGCCTACCTACCTACCAACCCCTCCCACACACACATCAACACACAGACACGCACGTAGACGGTCAGAAACCTACCGACCTAACACCACCACCACCACCACCTCTGGCTGCCTCCAGCCGCCGGTTCAGCCGCCACAGCTGCCCGGTAATCATACGCTAACGGCGGCTAACGTTACCTTGGTGAACGGCGACGCTGCAGCCGTGTCCATCACAGTAAACCAGCGGATTTTCTGCCCAACCTCGCTCGTCTGAACACACGCAACAACCTCCAACCATTTCCCGCATGCTTCTCCCATATGAAGAAATGTATTTCCTCTCCCGGCAACGGCTCAGACCTCGCCCAGGCCTGTCAAGTGGTCCTCCCGCACTTTAACGCCGCACCGGGCATAGTCGTGGGTCGCGTTCGTCGCGCAGTTTTAGCGCAGCAGAGAGACGAAATCTCGGCGTGGGGTTTGTGGTGCTGCTGCTACGTTTTTTCCGTGATGTCCTCCCCGTCCCCATAGAACCGATGCAGTGCGCATGCTCAGACCTGCTCCTCTGGGTCGGAATAAAAGTCACAGCGGAGGTAGAGAGATATTATTTTTACTCCGGGTTATCTTTTCACCACATTATTTAAAAACAGACAAATATTTTAAACTATTCACACCACTTTTGTGGCATTGATACAGAGGGCAACTGATCTGTGAACTGTTTTATAATTAGATCAGTAAAACATGTGGATCAATCGACCAAAACCGCTGGCTGCACTTAGTCTTTTTTTCTATCAACTTTGTTAAAACAGCGCCATCCTCAGGATTTCCACAGAATAACAACACAGACCACAATTGCAATCGATTTCACCATCCAGACCCGAAATTTAAAAAAAAAAAGAAAGAAAAGAAAACAGTGTGGTATACCTGTGTGTTTATCACTGCCATATAATTCAATTCTTATATGTTGAATATTTTTAAATAGACAGTTTTATCAATGGCTTTAACCTACAAATTGAGAACATATAACCACCCATTACAAAGAAAGCCCCAGTTTGGAGAAAATGGTTGTAGTCAAAACTTATAACAGTGTATGGTATAAAATTGGGTTGAAAACAGATGTTTACATTTCTTTGCAGTGTTAAGAATAAGAGTGTTGTTTCACATGGTGCATTATTTTCAATTACACAGCCTGTTTCTTGTGTGTAGAGGTGTTTGATTTGAGGAGAAATCAAGAAAAGGGTGTTTTCTACCATTTAATCATAGAGGCTTTGTGTTTTATTGATATAGTCCAGTACTGAATGTGTTTAAATGCACACTCCTCTGATAGGGTTAAAGCCATTTACAATGTCTAACAGAAATTGAAAATCATCCACAAATAGTTGCCACATTAGTATTTATATTCCTTTATCCTCTTTCTCCAGGACCAAAGGGGTACAAGAGATTGTATGTGCATGTTCTAGGCTATGTGCACGCCTATAATCAGGGATAAAAAAACAACAACAAAAAAAACCCTGAATTTCCTGATCGAATTTAAAACCATTAGGAAGAGTTTTTAAGTGGTTGAGAAAAAGACAAGTACTGATGACACCTACCGATGAACTATGACCACAAACAGGACCAAAAAACAACAGGATTTAATTTTTTTATTTTGTAATCTTTGATGTTTGAAACAACTACAGGGCAGTGTAAGCAACATCGTGTTCCTGAAGAGCCACAGGTCTCACACTGCATCTAAATGACCCTCATGTTGGAATAGTTATAGTTAGGATGATGGCAAGGGTTAGGCTTACGGTTAGACACACACAAAATGGTAACATTAGTCACTAAAAATACTCTTAGACTCTCACAACATGGTTTTAGGGGAGCATCAGGAGGCGCCATCACAAGCACTATGGGCCACAGGATTGTGCTTCCTGAAATGGGGTCCTCAGTCTTCAGCCTCTGGGTTTGCAGACACGTTACATGGTGTCAGACCAGATAAGATTTTTTGTCAAAAAATTACCACCTTGGCTTGTTCACAACATAATCAGCAAAGTGATAAGATGTAAATCTTTGTCCTCAAAGGCCACCATGTTCTTCCTCTGAAGGATCCGTTCTTGCAGAAATATAAAGTTCTCCAGAATAAAAATGAATGTAAGATGCAAGTATTCATAAAAACCAAAATGTCAACTGAATTACTCAAAATGCTCATGAAACCGAAATCAAACAATCTTGATGGATATCAATTTATTTTGTAACAGTGAATCAACAGTTCTTGAATGATAATGTTTAAAGGTTAAATGAATCACATTAAGCAATCATTTGTTTGCCAGTAAAGGGTAATGTTACAGGGAATTCATGATACAATCTGCAATCCATTTTTATTAAATCATGAGTAATGAATCAGTTACTTTTGCTGTGGAAAATCTGATCACTTTTTTGAACCTAAGTGTAACCCCATGCTTTTTTACATTTCATTTCCAGTAATAGTAAATCATTGTGGTTATCTTTTTGAATTTTGGCTGTCAACATGACACCTATTATACCGTCAGCAGATGTCACCAGAATCCTCTCATTTTGACTGGACTTGAGCCAAGTCTGTTGCTATGACTTGTGTCTGAGTAAAAACCATGGCGGGTGGGACTTTTCAGACATACTCACAGCTAGGACAAAGGCAACGTTTTCTACACAAGCCTCATTTATTTTACCCTAGACCTTTCCTTAATGTTAAAAAGTGATGTGTCCTTCTTCATCACTACAACTTTACCTTTAGTTTAGCCTCAGCTCTTGCAGATAAACCACTATCTCCCTCTGAACACTAACCAGAAAAAAGAATACTCTGAAATCAACCCTGCAAAGCTGGAAAACAGAAGCGGCTAAGTTGATCTTTTGAAATGGATGACTGGGCTTTTTAATCCTATGTAGGGACATGAAGCTGTGATAACAGTTTGCCTCACAAGTGTCACTTCTCTTCAGCCCAAAGATAGAGAAAAAGGAACTGGCGCTGATGGAGAGCACAGATAGCTCAGTGGCAGCTGGATGAAGCTAACACCCTTTCTGGTCTTCAAAGCAGCCAGGCATGACTGAGTCCCTGCGCTGACATGTGGGTGAAGTGCATTTACATTCAAAACAATGCACAGCTCTACGCTCTGAGTAGTCCAAGTCTATTTTTATGTTTCCACCAAAATCCCCCTAATTAAAAAAAAGCCATCTTCCTTAAATACATCACACAAAAATTCCCACTTCAAACCATTCATGTTCACCTTGATTAGTGATCTTACACGGATAAATTTCCACATGAGTTTTACCGGCAGACACATTTTTTGAATTTTGTGGGTGAGTCAAAAGCTGAGTAGGATGAGTGAAACTACAGAAAAGAACAGCTGTTTTGCACATCTTTCATTGTGGTTATTTTACATATTTTTTTTTACAAATGTAGCATTTGTATTTTGGATGAAAAAAACGACACAAAAGTTTCTTATAGTTGCAGTTTTTTTAAATGTCCAGCAGGGAGGTACTCAGTTTGTTCCAAAGAAGATGTTACAATATATGGAAGCAAATAAGTAAAAGACCCAACTAGATGAAAATAGTGTCTCATTAAACAACAGAAACTTGATGGTATGTAGACACATAGAGCAAATGTAAGCTAATGGCTTGGCAAATTTCTAGTCATTCAGTCCTCTCCGGCTTCACCCGCTTGCCATATATAGTCCCTTTGAATGAATGAAAAAAAGAATAAAAAACGTATTTTACCAATTTATTTAATGTTACAATGTGTAGAAACAGGAATATTTAGAGGTATCTAGCTATCTGATCCTACATAGAAATGCTCCCTTGCTCACCCCTCCCATCAGTAAAGCAATAATGGCTTTTGATGGATGAGAAACCCTGATGAATGATAAGTTTGATCCTCCATTTGTCAAGTTTTTACCATGTGAAAAAGTCCTTCATGAAACACAATAAATGCCCTTCTTCTTCTTCATTGTCCAACCAGTACATTTCATGCATCCGCTTACTCAATACAAGAATGCACACGTTATATTTCGTCCATCCTGCGCAAGTTGGCAGCCTCTGTGGAAGAGGACCCCCTCCTGTGTAGATTTACAAGCCTCATTTTAAGTCAACAAAAACAAAATAGTTTATATATCCAAGTGACGAGTTTAAACATGTTATAGGATGTTATGTTCTATTTCATCCAGTTCTGCCAAATAATGCTAAACACTGCGCACTGTACCTTTAAACTATTTAAGAAATGACAGTTTTAGAACTATTGTTGGGACCTTTCTGTTTGTATTGATCTTGGCGCCCCTAGTGGACGAAGGGGTACCTGTCTTTGCTGATTTTGTCTTATAAATGCTTTAGTGATGTTGTCTGACCAAAAATCTCCTCCAGCTGTATTTTAAAAGTCAAATATTGAGCTAAATCTGAATGCTTGTTGTGAAACTGGTTGAAACATGGTGTTTCATTAGTGCCATCAATCCCTGAGGTCTGATACCAACTGCCCTTGCAGTGGTCTAGGCATCAAAAATGACAACATGGGATCTGCTAATCTAGTTGCTAATGGTCTCATCTGTTTTTGTAGGTTATAAAAAGGCATCAGATAAAAACTACTCATGGGGACTATCACTATCTTAAAACTTCCTCAAACCTTAGGGATCTCTTGCTCAAGTGAAAAACTCTTTTGAGAAAGCACATCAGGACTAACTTACTTTGGGACTTATGATCCATTATGATCCGTCTTTCCCTCAACTTCCCAGATGTTTGAACTCTAACAAAGGAAAGAAAACTAGAGTTTGACATTCTACCTTAAGTCTTCAATACAGTAAATGTTGTTCTAGTTTAAGCTTGACACTGATTTAAAAAAACATCTTAATTTATACCTATCTTAACTCTTAGATATATCCCTACAACCTCTTTCCTACTTATACTTGATCATTTCACCTTTGTCATACTGAGTTAACTTGCTATTTTATTCTACAAAACACCTCTGCAAAGCTGTGAGCTACTTCGTACTTCTACAAGAACTGAATGTGTATAATATTCAGGAGTGAGAAAACATCACATGGTGCTGTCTTTTGAAGCAGTGAACTGCACTTCTCAAAACCACAAAACTAAAAAGAGACATGTGACCTTATAGATAATAGTTTTTTTTTTTTTTTTCTGCAGCCTCGAACTGGCAAGAACTTCTTTACAGAGAAGCAAAACTTTTCTCAACAAGGTGTAGCTTTAGGTCTGACGAAGGAAAAAAGGATGTTTCTTTAATTTTTACACTTTTACAAAGACAACAGGAAAAATATATAGTAGAGACAAAATAAATGCCTTGATTTTTGGTTTTTATTTGCATATCTGGGTGTTTTTTGCGAAAAATAGTTGTGTAGTACAAAAAAAAAACGTCCTAATTTACAAACATGTGTATGTAACAGAAGAAGAATTACTCCTCATAAAACTTGAGACCATCTTTTCAGATGAATACAAAATGACTAAAAACACCCAGACATCTGTCACACTCCTATAACGACTTAGTTTCTCTCTTTAACACACATTCACTCAAAAACAAGCGCACACTCCAGACAACGAGAGATAGCTGCTACTTCATGCTTTCTTTTATGATTGAATCAGCTACTAATATGAGTAAACCTCTGTGTGCTGATACGTGTGTGTGTGTGTGTGTGTGTAAAAACGTCTGCATGGACGAAAACTACTTCAGTTCTAGGCGGTGCTCGCCACGGGCTATGTGGGAAGTGAACTCATAACGGTCCTGGCTGCGGTGCCCACACACGTTGCATTCGAGCGGGTCCCTGAAGCCGTGGCAGCCCATGTGGATGGTGAACATCACATAGTCCAGGAAGATCACTCTGCAGTGCACGCAGGGGTACACCGTTCCAGGTAGAGGCCCCACCTCCCCATCACCTCGCACCACCCGTAACGCCTCCAGTGGGGACAAAGGGATGGGCTGGGCGTGTGGGTGAGGGATGCCGTTCTGGTGGTTTAGGCCTCCCCCAAGCAGGTGCCCTAAACTGAACATGACGGGCTGGGACATCCGGGAGCCGTCTGTGTGGAAGGAGTCCATAGTGAGGGGGGACTGTGCGACATGAGGATTGCCCAGGAATGACATGCCCATCTTGTGGCCGTTAGTAAGACCAATGGGCGAGATGTCGTTGTGGCTTAATGAAATAGGGTAGGGCCTGTGGGAGGGAGCTGGGTCACCATCAGGCCCCTGAAGGATGGATTGTTGTTGTTGATGGTGGGTGTCAGGCCCTGGTGAGCCTGATGAAGGTTCCTTCATGTCAGAGTGATGGATCAGCTCCCTGTTAAAGCTCAGATCCAGGCAAACGCCGTTGTCGCCTAGACCCGCAACATGAGAAGAAAGAGCACTCAACAGATGACAGGAGGAGGTTTCAGACTGTTCATCCAGCAGCCGGAGACACCACAGAAAGCCAGCAGCAGTTAAAGCAGTTACTGCCCACACATGGAGAAAGTTTTGATAGAGATTCTCACAGAACTCAAAAAGGACTTACTTTAGTGTTGAGTAAGGGAAGTGAGAAACATGTGAACCCTGACTGCGACACAGAGGACAACCCCCACAGTGGATCAGACCTCGCCAGACTGAAAGGATTCTAGATGCTCCAAAGCTACAGATCATCCAGAGAGAGCAGTTGAGCTTGGAGGCACAAGAGGACAGAGGAAGCAGACGACACAGACGATGAAGGCCTCCTATGCAGCTGCAGCTCAGACAGAGAGACACCTGCTCACGTTTCTCGCCTCCTGCCTGCTCTCTCTCTCTGCGGTTGCTGAAATGACTTCTCTTTTCCCTCTGTGGTTGTCATATTGAAAGATCGCACTTCATTTCTCAGCCTGAAGCCTTTTTTTTTTTTTTTTTGCCTAAGACGCCCTGCGAACAGCTAGCAGTTTGATTATGATACTACAAGCCAATGTGAGTCAGGCTTATCCAGAGAAGTGAAAGGCAAATATTGAGTGTACAGCATTTTCTGAAACGTTTTTTTTTTTTTTTTTTAAACATTTCATGCAAGTCTTCTCCGTTTGGATCAAAACATGCAAATGAAGAGGTTACACCGAAAAGTTTCAAATGCGTTTTTTTTTTTTTTTTTTTTTTTGATATTTAAAACATGCATGGTTACCAATACCCACCTATGACACCATTCTGGCAGAGAAATTAGGGCAGCGGAGACCACTCGCTGGTGTGTGAAGTAAGAGGCATGAGGTGCTCAGCCCGCAATTCCTGTTTGGCAGGAGATGGAGGCCAGTAAAGACTAACAGACAAACAAGAAGCTTAGGCAGACAATTTGAAAAAAAACAAACAAACAACAAAACTACAAAAAATAAAAATAAAATAAAAATTATGAAGCCAAAAAAGCCTTGCGAAAAGCGCAAATGACGGACAAAAAAACAGGCACATAGTACATCAAAGTATAAATGCTTTAGAGTATTAAAATATCAAGCAGCATTTAAGTAGAGGAACAAATGTGGTTAATTATAATCTTCAGATGTGAAATAAACAGCTCAAATCGACTCCATTTACCCCTCTACATGTCCATGTTTTGAGTTTAGTTGTTCTTACCGGTGAACTTCTGTGGCATTGTGCTCTTCCGTTTGGCTACATTGCTTGCAAGCCTGTCAAGCAGCAGAGCGCGCTCAGTGCCCATCTGAGTCCTCGAGGTCTGGCCGTCTTCTGTTGGACACCAAGAGTTTAATTGACAAAAATCTCTTCCTGTTGTCCTGTTACAGTGATATAATCACTCACTGTTAACATTTGCTGTGGGAAAAGTAAGACAAGTAACAGTGTACCTATCCCTCGCAGCAGTTGCAGGTAACGAAACTTACTATAAAGGAACTGTCAACTCTTGACACAGTCTGTTTAAAAACCCCTCACTTTAAAGGAAACACTCTTTTAAAATGAAGTATTAAAAATAGACCTACCTGCTCAAAGCTGAGCCACACTAGATAGTAATTAAAAATCAGACGCTCCTTTGACCTCACTTCCTGGTGCATTTTACTCCACCAGGGTGTGTGTGTGGGTGGGGGTGGGTTTGAGGATGTGCTTCCTCATCAATACAGCACTATCTGGCATAAACTTACGACATTTGGTAACCACAGACGCAAAACATTGTCTTTGTGTTGCAATGGTGCAACTGTCCTATCAGGATGGAAAGGCATTTTTGGAGGTAGCTATAGACTTTGAGGTTGCATGTTTGTGTAAGTGGCTCGCCTGAAACAATTTGCCCTGAGCAGTCAGCTTCCCCTTTGCAGCTACAGGCATGAGAAGTGGTCTTCAGAGTGCTGAGTCTCCACACCACAGCAGCCACAACCTATTTAGCTGTAATACTGGGCTAACAGCCATACGCACATTAATTAAATGAGGTAAAATGAACAGAATCTGTCAGCTATAACAGACTCTGACTGTGTTTGCCACAAACTTAAATATGAGTTCGTGATAGACGTATGTGTGAACTTTTGTGTGAGGTTTCAAATGTTGAAGCGAGCAGTAAAAGAAGTGTTAGGACACAGCTGAGTGTGTGCTGTCTGCTCACCTCTCTCAGCAGGACCTTTGCTCTGGATGTACACATGGCACCGCTCTCTGTGCTCTTCAAGCGAGCTTCGCTGCTTATAACTCCGACTGCAGTGGTTGCATTTGAAGGGCTTCTCCACTGCGAGCAGGAGTTTCAGTTATTCACCAACACATGATACATCAGCAACATTAAAGTGCTACAGCAAGAATGATCTGTTTCAGTGGTTTCGAATAAAAACTGATGATGTGCACATTAGGGATCCTGTTGCATGTCTGCAGGTAAAACACGTGAACTGAAAGTGAGCGAGTTTCCAGGAGTACATGAGTAAGAAGTCCTGTGCGATGTGTGTGTAACTGTATGAAAGTGCATGGCAGGCTGTTACTGGAAAAGGCATATCAGCATAGCAGATCTTAAATGTTAAGATTCAAAGGAGTGAGAAACCAACATAGGAAGGTGAGAAAACCAACCAGCATGGTAGTGTACACAGGTGCAGACAGTATCACGATAGTGTGTGTTTTTGTTTGTGCGTGCGTGTGTGTGTACAGTACCAGAGTGGGTGCGCAGGTGCCCACTCAGAGCATCTCTTCGACGGCAGGCATAGCTGCACATGGGGCATTTGAAAGGCTTCTCCCCGGAGTGCAGTTTGATGTGGCGAAGCAGGTTTCCCTTCTGGGTGAAGGAAGAGCCGCACTGGGAGCAGTGGAACGGCCTCTCTCCTGATAAAAACACACACCATCAGGAATAAACAAACACAATTTCAGTTGAACATTTAAACTTATTGATTATGGAACATTTGTCCATTCTATATAAAAGTATTTAATACAATGAATATTGCTGCAAATTCATACATATTTAATATTTGGGATGCATTAATGACTTGTAAACATGCTGAATGTTTTATTTCTTGAGCTCAAAGTAAGAGATTATTCAGTTATCACTTTATGTATATTGATTAATCCTCCTCTTGGACACTAGAAATGTAATTTAGTATGGACCTGCATTTAGTCTCTGTTTATGTTGGTCACTTCCCCATGATCTTTATCCTTCATTTTATAACCTGGCAGCTCCTTTGCACCATGTCTTTTCCTTCTCAAACTATTTCTAAGCTTTCCCTACTTTATATTGTTAAACCAAAATTTCACGTTTGATAACTTACCCAAGTATATAATCATAATAGTCATAATAGTAATATGAAAATATACTTTGCACATTCACACTAGGTTCGGAACATATTCATACTCTTGTATTCATAAGCACCATCACAGATATTCTATACATGTGCAATAACCAACCTTTCGAGAAGCATCTGTGTATGTGACATATATATAGTTGGTTTTACCTTAACCATAATTCTGTTAGTACAGCGTTGATTTTTAAAAAAATATATTTCTATTCTATATTTTCATCTTTTAATTGTATCCTTGTTGTCCTTCCAAAGGTGTAGGATCAGCAAAGTACGTCTTAAATTAATCCAAAAGATTGCTTCTCACTGGTTCAATGCCTTACGAAGGTTTCCAATCTAAAGAAACGTGAACAGCAAATTTGCTTCTTGGAAGATAACCTTTTAACAATGACATCACTAGTTTGAAACAGAAAGTTTGTGTATTGTAGAGCTACATGATACTGCATCAATGAAAGTTAGACTTTTAGCATTATCATTTGGGCTGAACATTTAAACTATGTCTGTTCCAGTCCCTTGATCTTCCTTGCACGGGTTCAATAAAATGGGTATGAAGTGTTTGTTTGTTTCGGGACTGTACCTGACCAATGAGGAATACACCTTTTTAAAGGCACTGTGAGGAGTTTTCTGTCTTTTACCGAAGTGTGGAAACAAATAAACTTTTTTGTACAAATCAACTCTTAGCAGGATGCAAAGTGACAAGCTATTTAACTGATCTGTTGCTACAATAAAAAAAAAAAACTGAACCCTGATTCAGTACTGTTAGTAAAACATATGTAAAACATATATTTTAGTGTTACCCATCAGCCCCGGTGTCATAGAGGGCTATGTACTCTAGTGCCCAAATAAATGTCTGAATTATACAAATACTGCATGGTTTAAGTCTTAAGTCCATCAAGAGCAGCAAAGTTCTCACAAGCTGAAATGAACATTAAACCTTGCTCATGGTATTTTACTCTTTCACCTAACAAAGCCTTGGTTTTAGAGTTATTTATATATTTCTGCAGAAAAACCAACATCTGTTTGCTAATCCTGCCCCAGTTTCAGCAACGAGTGTCTCCAGAAAGGAAAAAAAACCCTCCTGTTGTATACCAACTGACTTCTTACTGACAAACTTTGAAATTCAGTTTTAAAAAATGTTCATGTTGATGCTAATCATCTCATTTGAAGTAGGACATAAAGAGGCGTCAGTTTAAAAGGGACACATTCAAAACCTCCTCAGTGTTTGTAAGCTGTACACTTGTTTCTTGCTCCTTACGTTACACTAAACTACAGGACACTGACTAACCCTCTGAAAAAGGAACAAGGATACGTCCACTCTGGGGGTAAAAACCTAAAACACAAAGTTCTCACGACTCTGACCACACAAATGCCACCACTTATTGTGCATATGACTTTCCGTGGTGAAAAAGCAACCTCGTTGAGGTCGCAAAAACAAAGTTTTACTGCATAAAATCCCTTTTTAAAATGTGTTTCTTGGACATGTACAATATTACTTTTGTTTATTTGGCATTTGGTCTGATCCTATTAGATAGAAAATCTGTGGGGGAGTCTTGGCAAAAACAGCATCCTAGTTGAAATAAAAGAATATTGAAGTAAAAAAAATCACTAGTCCACAGAGGAAACACCAAATTCTGCAGAAATAAGGCATTTTCATCCCTCAAGTTTACAGACTAACATGTGACAGGAAACTTTTTACACAGTATCTTTGAAACCAGCAGGTTTTAGTAAATGTGGTCAGATCATAAATTTGTGACTCTGCAAACAGGTTAAACACTTTTGTCCTGACTGGAGCAGCAGAATTGAATAGAACTTCACGTCGATTTGAAATGAGTAAGCTGTGGTACAGGTTGCACATATAAAACACAACACAGCTGAAGATATACTCTGATGGGATGGCTGATCTGTTTCTGTGATCAAATCTCAGTTACCATCTGTGCTTTCGAACTGAACATCAGAGGACATTGTACAACTTCTTGCTGCGGCTGCAGGGCTTGTAAGGACACATGTAAGATGCATCCTCAGCATTTTTAATTGAAGTTACTTAATCAACATCTTGACCTAGTCAATGCGAAGCGCTATCTCTCAGTGCTATCAGCAGATGACGATTGCGTAACTATTGTCTTTGAGGTCAGGTGTTCCTGTGCTTACCCGTGTGGCTGCGTTTGTGCACCATCAGGACGTTGATACTGACGCAGGACAGACCGCAGATGTCACAGTTCAGCTTGCCTGTCGTTTGGATGCGGGGAGCCAAAGCTTCAGGCAGGTAGGTCCCTTCGCCCCCATCTGCTGATTCGGCAGCGTGGGTGTCAGTCAAGTCGACGCCTTCATAACCACGCGAGTAGTCCACCAGCGAAAGGTCCTCTGGCTCATTCAGGGTTTCCCCCTCTTCATCCCCATCTCTCTCCTCATCGTGCTCCTCGTCATCGAACCCTTCCTCCATCCTATCCTCAGTGAACCCCTCTGCTTCTTCTTTCAGCATTATCTCGCTCTCTTTTTCAGCCGCTTGGTACTGATCATTGTCTTCCGTCTCCTCTTCCTCAGTCTTTATCATATCTAACCAAGGAGGAAGCACAGAAATGTTTGGAGTGACATTTGATGTGAATGTAGATGAGAAGATTGTAAGATGATAAAACACGCTGACTAGCAGAGATGTGACATTTACGAGTTTTGGAACAAATACAGCAGGTCATAGACTGTGAAGCAGTGTCTAATCTTCACTTCTGCGTTTGTATTTGTAGTTGATAGATTGATAATAAAATGAGCACATCTCCAAAGTGTGGGTAGCCTAATTTGGGCCATGAAAAGTGTCACGGAGACGTTCAGAAGATGTGTGCTCAAGATAAGGGGAAGGCGTTTCCTCTGAATGCACAGAAACTAGAACCAGGGCAGGAGGGAGACGCAGCAGCACGGGCCTCACGCAGACACTAGTTCCTGCTTGGCTTTTCAAAACAGATTTTTTTAACTTGTGATGTTGGCTTTTTTTTTTTTTTTTTTTGAAAAAGACACTTTCCAAATCAAAATCCTTTCTTTGATTTCTTCTATTAACCAACAGACAACTTATTTCTCATGGCCTCTTCTACAGCATGCTCATTTTTCCCTCTTTACCACAAAGGCTCAGCAGACTTATCTTTAAATAAGTCGTCGCCACAGCTCTTTACATGCAGAGTCCTGAGGTCTGGTCTGCAGGACCTCTCACCCAGCATTTTACTAAGTGTGAACAAGCTGCCAGCACTGTTCCATCCAGAAACTACGCTGTGGTCTTGACGATGAGCTAAAGGGCAGCGGCTTGTATTGTGGAAAGCGCTGAGAGGTGCTATGGAAACTTGCGCACAAACAGCTCTGAGAGGACTGATATAGAGTCCAGGGTTTGACAGCAGTAAACCGCAGGCTGCGCATCAGATGCAGAGCGGAGGCTTTAGGAAGAGCACCCAATGTAGCTGATGGGTGGCAGTCAGAAATAAACAGGAGAGCCGTCTCTGACACCACAATCTTTTTTAAAGTGACAAATGAAGGACTATGGCCACAAGGCTGAAAAGAAACATCTCAACACTCAAAATATGACGTGAGAAACAAGGTGGTCAGACTCGAAAAAGTGTGCAAAACGTTTACATGGTTCCAGTCTGTCTGTGTGTGAATACACTGCAGGGTGTATCTCAACAGTTCTATAAATGTGATGATAACATTATGACAGCTGAGGTACAAGTGATGTCTTTATCGGTAGTACACCGGGGACTATCGTAGGTATGCATGCAAGCTTATCTTCGTTGAAGATGTTGGACTTGGTTCGCCATGCTGCCTGTTTTTTTTTTACTGATTTGGATCTCCATACATGACGACAGTTTGCATAAGAATACTGGTTGGTCCTCTAAAACAAAAGCAGACTATCTCTACTTCACTGCCTGCCTCCCCAATTTAGTTCTCTACAGGAAACTCAAACTTTCAGAAGCTGCAACCTTCAGTCACATGGAAAAGTTGCACCCCCAACCATCTATGTCACAGGTGAAAGAGCTCTTTGCTCCTCCATTTGTTACGATTAGCTACAGAGACAAAAATAACCCCAGATGATTCATAATCCTGATTTACGATCACAGGATAAAGGAACATTTAAAAATGCATGTCCACATATTTGTATATGGAAGGCTTTTTTTTTGTTCTGAATTGGGAAACTAACTTCATGCAGCTGTTTTATCAGCGCTCCCTCGAGTATAAGTTTTGTAAGATACTGGCTTACATCAGGCCAAAAAGTCAAACTTATACCTCTGCCTGACCAAAAACAGAGACCATCAGCAACAAGACTTCCATTTTCGATATTGTCATCTTTTAACGCCTAAACTACTGCAAAGAAGTATCAGACCATGTGATTGACAGAACTCTGAAGATACAGGCTTTCTACATCTTATACAGCAAATGTTCAAAATGAATGAAACATTTGATTATAAAAGGAAAACAGAGAGAGATTTTTGTAAGAAAACTCTATTTTGGCTTTTGCAAAGTGGGAACGGGCCTTTCCCTGTATAGAAGTGAGAGACAGCCTCAGTTTAATTGTTGTACTGCTTACGGCGGCTGTCAGAGTTAATGTGTTTTCTTGAACACTTCTTTCCAGGGACAGCACTACATTTTTTTCCCTCTGCAATCTTAGTGTTACACCAATGTAGTGGCAACTCTTCTGTGTAATCGGTCCAGTGCACCAGAGAAGACGCTGCTTCGCTGCTTCCAAGAAAGGAAAGTAAAAAGTTGTTGTTGAACTACCTCTATGTTTATTCACGACAAAAAATAAAGGGTTCATTCATGCCTGCTCTTGTCTTCACACTTACTTCTACTTGTTTGTCCATTGCATTTTCTTTTCCTCTTTCTCACCCAAGGCCTTCACATCTGGCAGCACACCCAGGTGCTTAAGCTGACAGACACAGATGTGAATGCCCCTCCTCCTCTGTCACCCCATTGCCAGGGTTAGGGTTAGGGTTAGGGTTAGGTCTCACCATTGTGAGACAGACACTGGGCAGACTTGGACAAGAAACTCTGCTTCCCAGTTGAGATCGTGTTCACCAACCTGCAACCAGATCTTGTTCTGTGGTCAGCCTAGCTCAGGCTTGTCCACATCATCAAGCTCATGGTGCCCTGAGAGAGTGCAGTGGAGAAGGCCTGAGAGTGAAAGAAGCTAAGGTATGCTAAACAACAAAAACGCTGGAATGTGAAGGTACACCTGGTGGAAGTAGGCAGCAGAGGGTTTGTAGCCTCCTCAACATCCAGGCTACTCAAAGAGATGGAAGTGCGAGGGAAAGCCCACCGGAAGGCAGTCAAAGACCTTTCCAAGACTGCTGAAAAAGGGGGCTAGTGGTTGTGGATCAAGAGAAAGGATCCAACCAGGGCCTTGAAATGAGATAATGGCATCTGGGGAGTGAACCTAGGACACTAGGGTTCAGTGCTGGGTGTGTTGTGGGCCTGTCAGTGAAACACCCAAAAAGGAGGGTGCCTACTTGACAACCCTGAGGATGCCATCACTCAAGTCTCATTGGTGCCTCTAAGTATGTATCTAATGGGGGATATATATATCTAGTCCTACACAACGAATCTGTCCCTCTTTCAGGTGCTGTCAAAGTGTGCAGTGCATGAAAATATTGGTTCAGTTGATACCAAGTGCCCTTGTGTCTTGTAAACAGCTTAATACCTTTATTCCAGGCCTGGGAGTGGTATTCAAAAAAGCACAAGTCTAAGATGCAACTTGAAGAGTCACCTGCTGAGGTGGAGGCTGGATTAAAAAAAATCCACCAGTTTATAACATTTCGTATCAAAACTATGATGATCAAAAGCTAAACTCAGATGAAGAACCCTAGAGTTCAATTTGAAACAAAATGATTATAATTGATAAGTAATTGATCAAATAAAACTTGAATACAGCTTATAGAGTAGGGTGGTTGACGATAAAAAGGGCTACTCAAGAAAGTTCAAAATTATTTTGTAAACTAATGGCCAGAAAGAGCTCCTATACTAACCCTCTATACTCACAAATATGAATTATAACAGAGTAAAGTAGTCTTTATGGTTTATCACTTTTTGAAGTCTGCAGAATTACATGAAACAATCAGGAATATGACATCATATAATAGGGGTGGGAATCACTAGTGGCCCCACGATATGATATTATCACGATACGTTGGCCACGATATGATATTATTGCAATTTTTAACATTTTGCAATACAGTGGGTATTGTGATACAATATATTGCGATTTATATAATTTTTTCAACTGTTTCGCTAATTTAGCATTCGTCTTTCCTTTATGTTTGTCTTACTGACACTGTATGTCATGTAGCACATCTTGCAAACCTTATATATTTGTTGCACTAACTTTTTCCTGTTCTATGATGTCACCTCTGCCAACCTCACTGGACAGTTGATTTTATTTTTCCATTATCATAGATGTGACTTCATATTAGCAATTAATTTGAAAAAATCAGTATTTGGTAAATGAGACAACATGATGTATCACCAGACAAAATATCACGACACTTTGCTGTATCGATTTTTTCTCCCACCCTTATGATATATGCCAGGTATTACAAACACACTTGTTTGTATGACAAGTGCAGACATCAGAGGAGAAGGAGACAGAAGTTGTGGGTTTACCAAAATACAGTAGCAACCTAAGTATTTATTACACTACCAATGTGGTTAAAACATTTACTCACCACAAGGCAGAGTTACCTGCCAAATGAAAAATCCGCCCACATCTGGTGTGTAGCAGGTGTTCATTTCTGACCCTGGTTAAGACTATTTTGCAGCACTTCAACATCTAAAACCACGAGGATTTTCATCCAAAAACTGCAACAGCTACACTCCAATAATGTCATTTCCTGATCTTGGCTTTACTAAACTTCAACTCCTGATATCAGGGTCAAACCTCAAAGTTTGTTCCAGTGGTTCTTACACTTTTTTTCCACAAACTTCACATGGTCTCTGTGGCCAAAAAAGGGAATAAACGTGAGCTGATGGTTAAATTGAGAAAACGGAACGATGTCAGCAAAGCATGTGTGCGTGTTGGTGTGTATGTGTGTGTGTATGCGTGTGTGTGTGTGTGTGTGCTTGCGTTGGTGTGTGTGTAAACCTACGTGGATTGGTCACACATTCATCACCCTGCACTCCATTCTCACTGAATGAGTTATCCTCCCGCTTTTCTTCCTCCTCCTCCATTTGAGGCTTCACATCTGTCACTTCACTGCAAACGTCTGAGAAAGCGATATGTGTAAAAAGAAAAACGTGTTACTTTTTGTTTCATGGATTGGCACTTTCAGGCAGTGCTCTACAAAAATAAATGAGTTTACTTGTTTATGTGAAAACTTTTTTGATTTCTATCTTGCTACGTAAAGGATGGTGGTATCTGAGGTGAAATGTTTGCAGTCTGTGCATGCACAATTTCACAATAAAAACAAATCAGGTACTTACCCATCCTGGCTCCCTCTTGGTTTGTAAATTCAGGATGTTTGTCACTGCTCATAGTGAAAAAAAAATAACTGTGGGGAGACAATGCAATTGTTATGTAACATTGTTCAGTGACATACTTTCAGGGAGCTAAATTATGTCAAGACAAATTCCTTCTTACAGAAATTTCAAAACTACGTTTGTTAGAAAGTCTTTGAGTTGTATTGTTCCATTAACTTTTTATAACTGCGGGAAACGTTGACTGTATTTTACACCTAAGAGACTGAGCCACATCAAAACAGATTCATCACTCTGCTCTGCCCCCGCTGGAGAGACTAGTGCGCTCAGACATATGACAGTGGAGGCGGGGGGGTTAAGAATATTCTTTAAAAAGTAGTATTATTATGGGATGTTTCCTTATCACCTGTGATTTCAGTGCCGGGGGGACTTAACTGATCTGAAGCCCCACTATAAAAGGAACCAGGGTTTTGTGAGCCTCACCAAAAATGCAATACATTCAAGTACATTCATGAAGATCTGCCAAATATGACTTTAGATCAATCATGGGCTCCTTTGTAGGAATGATCTAGACCTCAGGAGGACTCAGAGCTCCTTGGATGGCCTACATTGTATCAGGTCAACGCGCCATCTCATTTACAATCAATAGTTTCATTTCATCTTTATCTTCATGTCATAAACCTGTGGGTTTTGGAGGAGGCTGAGGGTCTGATCACTATGTGGGAGGGGACAAATGTACTGATTTATGCTGAAAATAGAAGAAAAATTGTCACTCGTCATGGTGCTGGTTTTGCAGTGTTTTGTTGTACTTTGTTTTACCTTGGTGTGCCATGTGTGTCATAACGTGGATTCAGAAAACATCGAAAAGATAATTTACAGACAAAAAGGTTGGCTGTGGTGCACTGTGACTTAACCTGACGTATTTAGACACACTTAGACACCCATTCTTTTTGTGTAGATGCTATTGAAAGCCCACCCTTACTATTTCTGCAGAGCGTGTTAAAAAGAAAAAAAAGCTGCAACCCTTGCACCTCACAGTTCCTGCAGGTTGGAGAGCATGAAGACGAGTTTAAAAACAAAAGTGTGGGGTAAAAAGCCCACGGTTGATTGCTCGACCCTGTCACTACATTTAGCCTGATGAGAAAGAGAAGATGTTCACTGCACATGTACTTCCTGCCTGGTCTCTACACAGGAGCAAGTGTAAAACACACTTTCCACTATAACCGCCAGACTGAGTCCAACACCAAAAGCCATTTTTTGAACATGAATTAAAACATGTAACATCCAGCTTTTCACCAAAGATATGTTGGTTCAGAAGCCTGACATTTAAATGTTGTTTGGTTGTAAAATAAAATCATCCCAAAATATAATCAACACATTAAAGATTCATTTAAAATGCAACAGTGATAGGCAAACAAAGCTACTTTTCATCATTTCAAGAGGTGTAACTTCCCCTAAATTCTGTGCAAGGAGGGAAAAACTTATCAAACTTTCAAAATGAATTCAAGAAGTGCAAAGCAATGTGTTACAACTAATTTCTCAAGTAGTTAAACATCTTTGTTTTCTGTTTCAAGATTAATCTAAGTTTGAGTAATGCTGAACTGATCTTACCTGCTTTCTGCTCGGCACCTCTCTCTCTCAGGAGGAGATTCCACTCTCTGCCTCTGGACTTTCTCTGAATATGGAATAAAAGCAACGTCACTTGGAGAGATCCCTTAAAGGAACAGCAACATATTCTGAACCGGGTGGAGCAACAAAGACCAGAGCAGGCTTAGAGATCCGTGGTTAAGTGCCGATGATTCAAATCACTCCACTTCACCATTTCCATGAGCTGAGTATAAATGATCTTTCACTAAACAGACATATTCAGAGTTTGTTTCGCTCCGAGAACAAACAAAGAACTTTAGCTGGAGTTGATATCAGCTCAAACAGTCCACATGATTTCTTTCCATTGGAGGAGCCATCGCTCCATCTTGTGGCCGAACTAGAAAGATACTTTTTGTTTAAACTTTCTCACTATGGTCACCTAAATAAGTGTTGACAGAACAAAGATAAACCCTTATAACTTGTTTTGCTGCTCTTTCATTAAATCCGTCTTTTTATTTTGAGCCTTTTTGAGGACGTCCAGGAGCTGTTCCTTTTGAGTTTGAATAGATTCAGTAAAAGTTGAATTTACATGCTTTTAAGTATCCCTTTCTTTGTCATATTCTGGTTTTCATAGTATTTGAGGTGTGACATTTGCATGTTATATACCACAAGGACATTTTGTTGGGCCAAAATACTCTGACTTCTAATGAGTACTTTATATTTATGAATATTAACACAGGACACAGACTTGAATAGATCGCTCACAAATATGATACCATGTAAAAAACAAGATAATACTAGATGTAAAGGGTTGTGTAACAAAAAAGGATTTGCAGCTACCTTGGGAACTCTAGAGTTAACTCTGGTTTCCAAACTCTGAAAGTTCCTCACTTAATAATATTCGTTTCGTATGAATTTACAACTACGATAATCAAAGCTTTTGGGCTTTACCTGATATCTTTAAACTGAGTCTGAAACAGGCTTACCCATGAATCTTGAGGTTTTTGTACTTGTTTGATGTGAAATGACACTGTTCAATGCTTTAAACTGTGTTTTCATATACATTTTTAACATTTCCATATAGGAATGGGCGATATTGGCTAAAAAATGTATCGCAATAAGATTTGCCATTCTGGCGATAACGATAAAAGTCCCGATAAAAATATTATAATTCCAATCTATATTTTTGACTAATTTTGTCTTGAGAACTACAATTGGAGTAGTCAAATAAGATACTTAACCACAAGTTTAGTGGTAGGTTATGGAGAAAACTCATGACATCAAACAAGTCTCAAAAGTGAAAACATTTTCAACCTTTATTGAAAACTCTTATTGCACAGAGTGAACAGCAACAGATCCACTGTCTGATGTCAGGAAGACCTGATTGCACTCATCTAAGCCCCAATCTTGGAGGACATCCCTCACATGGAGCCTCGTTCAGTAATAAGCTGCTCACAGACATCTTCTTCATTACCTTTGGCCATGTACGTTTGTTATTCTGCTCTGTGTGGGCTATGGCTGTGAGTCCGTCGCTTGCACTTACGCCATCAACTTGCATGTATCGTATTTATCATGAGATGGCAAATATTTATCATGGAGGAGTTTTCTGGCGATTAATCGTGAACGATAATTTATCGCCCATCCCTATTTCCCTGCCACTCTGTTTGATACTGACAGGGCTGCAGCTGAAATAGTACGTTGAAAACTGTCATACACATTACAAGAATACAGCTGAGCAGTAAATTACATAGTGGAAATAAACAGAGGAGTTACTATAGTGAGATCGATTGTGCAGTTATGAATGGAAAGTGATATTAAAAGCCTTGATTTTCACACTCACTTTATCCTGCTAGTTCCACTTTTACTTTTCAGATGCAGCTGGGATGACTTTCGTCTAGATAATCTACTCAACTTCTGTCCAATTTTACGATGTGACAGATTACACTGAGATTTTAAAATACAATGATCAGGTTGTGATAAGTCACGTATCGCCCATTCTGCTCTGTTCTGTTGCACTGTGAGTTGGGTTGATTTATCAGGTTAATATCCAGCTTTGTGAGACAATACCCTCTGTGAAGATTAATAACTACAAGATATCCAGGGTATTTAGGGCCAAAATAAACAAAATGATCTTACAACCAAGAATTGACACAAAACAGCAAAATAATATTCCACAAACTGTGGGGGCACCCTGGTGGTCCTCTAGTGGAGGAACACAAAATGAATCCTGACGTCTCCTGCTTGAGTTCGGCTAGGGAGGAGAGATTTTCCAGCAAACTACAGTATGGCATGTCAAGAGTCTGCTATGATTTCAAGTTGTTTAAACACGCAGCCCGATTGCCGTCTTGTGCATTCAAAGTGTTTACATGCAATTTACAGTGTTTACATGCATGACTTAGAGTGAGCAGTAAAAAGTGACATCATATGGAGACGGATCATGAGTGTTCACAGAATGTAAAGACATGCAGTGAATTACATACTTATTTCATTTGGTAACCATGGGATTTTAAAACACATCATAACAAGAGTCAGTTTGGAACAAATGAGGTATATTTATTGTTTCAAAGTACAAAAACACAATCATGTGGGCTAATTTTAGTCTCTGTTAAAATGTCTGAATCAACTCTTTATCCGTGTGAAAAAAAAACAAAAAAACACCATCACAGACGGGCTGGTTGGACAATTTGTTCTGGGATCTTTTTTAAAGCAGCTTTGCAAGATGTCTACATATCACTGTTGAAAATCTTACAGGAACAAAAAAAGTTCCTGAACTGCTCCACAAATGCCTGAATAAGGACGCAGAGTCTCCAAAAGAAGTATGGGATTCAGAGTTTACCTACTATCTATTATGAGCTTGCTTTCCTATAAGATTGGACGGACACCTGCTCTACTTTTGAAAGTGGGATTAACACAGTCTTTTAGGATGGATACTGATTTAGATTGTCTTGGACCTAAATGTACTAAAGCTGCCAGAGGCTCACTTTTTACACCTTCTATATTTGATAACAATGATAATAAATTTACAGACTCTAGGCTGTAAATCTGTGACTTTTATTTTCCTTTTTCCTGATATACAGCATAACTGTTTCAAAAGTGTGAGTCCTGACTCCAGGAAAAGGGGATCAACTGGAGGGTCCAGGGAAGAACTTGGAGGGTAGGGTGGGAGGGATCAATTACTAACACTTTTTATGGTGATAATGTTTCAGTAAAAGGTGTCTTTTTGGATATAAGTGATTGCATAATGAAATGAATGTGTTCTTTTTGTATGCTCTTAAATAAAATAGCCACTCCACTCTAGCCAATCAAGATTGAGCAGTCACCATGAGTAAGACTGACATATCAGGAAGTTTCTCTACCACTGAAAACTAATGACCTACCTCCTCTGAGAGTGATAAAAATGTCTACAAAGAAAAAGACCACCAGGCAGCCAGACTGAACATGACTAAGCCACAGCTGTGGGATACCACCTGAGTCTTTACTACATCAAGTAAGACTGGCCCAAATGTGTTCTCAGAGAAAAGACTACTTACAGGAAATACATTAAATTAAATCAATGAATAACAAGACGATGTATCATGAAAATTGGACAATTTATAAGGTTTTTATAAGATTAAATTTGTGATATTTATAAAGAAAATATAGTAAGAGAAGGATCCCCACCAGAGGCTCAGGATACATACAGGAGTCCTTCACATGGCAAAGTTTGGGATCCCCTTATCTGAAATATATTTCTCATGCTGGATCATGTACTGTGATAAACTGTATATAAAACTATATTTATGTTTTCTTTTTAGCTGATCATTTATGTATATTATTGAGCATAAAATGACTCACAACCAGAAAGAACCAAAGCACTATGTTTTGTTTCTTGAAAACTTGTTTCTTGTTGATGGTCAAGTCTGTTTCGGTCACATTTCTGTGCTTATTTGGTCTACATCACCAGCCAGGACCACAACGTCATCATCATTATCATCACAGTGATTCTGGTTTTGACATTAAACTTCTGAAAAACTTCAGATAGGACAGAGAGAAACAGAGGGAAAAAAGTTCTGGAGAGTGCGCGGGGGAAATGTGAGAACAAAAGGGCAGGACAGAGAAAAGGTTCAATGAAAAGAGTGGTCCTATAAGAGGCACAGTTGAGGTGTGGTCCTGCTCCTGAAACTTGGTTACATAACATCACTGGGTGTTTTTTTTTTTTTCAGCGGTTTGTCACCTGGTGGCAGTTGTCTAGAAATGGGTCATACTGGTGTTTCTAAAGAAATGCTGCTGAAAGCTTTGGTTGACGCATGTTTTTTTTACTCTTTCTTTTTTTCTGCTGTTAATCTTTGTTTTTAAACTTCAAATACATCATTGCAAATGTGACGTCTTTATGCTGCACGTGTTTACTCTGAGTTTGCACCAAGTGAATCTGAAAAGTTCTGGAGTCGGGCACTTCATCTCTTTCTTGTTTTCCTCCTGTAGACATTTATCTTCTATTAACACACTTTAGTAACTTAATGCTGTACCTGCACATTTCTCATCTATCAAGCTCTTGTGACTTTAAATCAATGGTGCCAACCCACTGCCCCACTCTTGTCTGTATTCTTGGTCACACTGCTGCTACAATCAAGTTGCCACAGCTGAATGAGTATATATTTGCTTTATTGTAAAAATTAAAAAGTCAGCATACTGCATGTCTTTAACGTCTTTTATATTGTGCGTACGGATGAATGAAGGACATTTTATAGCAAAGGCAAAGAGCCTGATAAACTGTTTGTCAACTGATCTGCCCAGATTCAAACACAAGAGGACATTTAGTGTGCTGATATTTCTACTTTGTTGTAACACTTTAACATAAGTTAAAGAAACTATGAAACTATGAAAATTGTTGTGGCAAAACTTCTGTAGTGATTTTTTTTAAATACTGACAAAAATAAAGGCTTGGTGATTGACGTGCAAATATGCGACATTTACAGGGAATGCAAAATGCTTCAGTGTACTTAGTTGTTGTTTTTATTATCTAACCGTAAGCCATAAACTCCTTACTTCCTGAATAAATTGAGCGTGAACAGGCAGAAAGGTAAGCTAATTTGATAAAACGGATGTCAAATGTTTTTTCAGGTTTATTTCATTTTTCTGTATTTGATAATTGTTGTTGGAAAATGAAACTATGGACGCACACAGTAACTAACAGCCTAATGGTGGGAGTGTCACAGAGAAATTACCATAGTATAAAGCACCCTCAAAACACACACACATACACACACACACACACACACACACACAGTCAAACACCTCATAAATGACACATAATGAAGCTGCTGGCCCTCTTCTGAGCAGAACCAGTGAGCAGCTCACCCGCTGCTTTAGTACATTGTTGTTACAGTCTGTCATCTCATTAAAACGATTTATTTGAAATTGAACAGATGCACTTTTTCACTCAAATATTTGATTTTTGGCTGCAGAAAGTGTCTCTTGACTTGGGTATTCCACACAAATCTGAGGGAGATGAGGAATCCTGGTGCCTATTACGAACAACACGCACTGCAGCACCCACCTGAGCGGGGCATGGCCTTGTAAGGCTCAGCCGCTGATCCTAGCCCGCCTATGGCAACCAGCTACCAACGGGAGGAAAAAATCTGAAAGAAAGCACACACACAAAGGCATTACAATACATGCTGGGTTTCCATGACAAAATGGAGGAACACAGGAAAAAAAAAGAGTCATCGACCAATAAAAGCCATGATTCAAAACCTTAAAGGCTGGGTGTTAGGGTATATCAGCACACAGGCAAAACGAGAAGAAAGTACCGTGCTGATTTACAGACTCTTTCATGATCAGAAACACACACACACATGTACAATAAAATCTCCCAGCATGAAGCACTATTAAAACTTATCCCAGCGATCCCACTGGTGGGAGGCTTTTTTAGGACCTGTGGGGGCAGGGCGGTAATAAGAGGGGGGGGGGGGGTTAGACTATCCATTTGCCTTTTATAGCTGCCCACTCTGAAAGAAAGAAAGAATAAGAGAAAGAGAGATCTGAGAGACAGAGTGACCACTGGACGCACAAATATGCAAAAAAACACATAAACAGACACAGAGGGTGCAGGCATGAGGTTGTTTTTCTGTTTTCGACCCCAGAGGCGCACACATGAGTGTGTGTTGAGCATTTGGGGTTGATTAGAGTGAAATCGTACTGATGTGCTCTTTGTTTTCTGTTTTCTATCCAGCAGAATGTTTCATACATTCACAACAAGTCGGATATGTACGGCTTTAAAGAATAACAACAGGGATAGTAGGGAGAAAAAACAAAGTGTATTGTGTGTGTGTGTGAACAAGTGAGAGGGTAATTCAACTGCTTTTTCTCTCTCCATGCACTCAAGATTGAAAGACGACAAGTGAGGGAGAGAGTATATAAGCCTCAGAGAGAGCTACAGAGGGAGACAGAGGGGGAGAGCTTTAGCCTGGCTTTTCTCCGCTGTGCCTTTCAGCTCCTCTCTCACTGTAGAAAGAGGCGTGTCCATGGACCAGTATAAAGTCCAAGGAGAGCTACTCGTGTTGAGCCATTCTCAGGAGCGAGTACTTTGCACTGCACACCAGCAAGAGGAGGAAACTGCAGCTGTGACTTAAAACGCTGCCTTTTGATGACCTGCTTTGCATTTGGACACTTGTAGACCAGTTTCTTTTCCCTGAGCTTCATTTCAGGGCGGACGAGCCTCTGGACTTGAAGGGACAGCAAGACTGACCTGAACAAAGTGGTGGATAATCCAGCCGGCAAGTGTTCCTTCCAACATAACAAAAACTAGTTCTTATCACCACTATACTCGCCAGCAGAGCAGATCAAGTGCAGGCTCCAGTTTCTGCTCTGTGAAATTGAATCAGAGGAACGGAGAGGCAATACAGCAGAGGCATTGTGTCCCTGCAATTGAAACACTAACCAGCTGAAAATATCAAAGACCATCCTGGACAAAGCGTTCCTCTCAAACCCTCCTTGTTGGTCCAAATTCAGCTGAAGTACAAAGTCATCAAAAGCTGCACCACACTCAGAGAGGAGAGGGGAAGCAAAGGGCACCTTACACACAGGCACGGGATCGCGCACAGGTGCCGGGGCTGCCATGGTGCGTGGACGTGGCGTGGCAGTTGCCCCGTCCTGCTTGGGCCTTTGGGTATTCAGCACCCTGTCGCTGGCGGCGCTGTGCTTGTCGGACACGGCCATTCGTTGCCCGGTTTGCTCCGATGAGAGGCTGGCCGCCTGCCGTCTGCCAGAGGGCTGCGAGGAAACGGTGCGAGAGCCTGGCTGCGGCTGCTGCCCCACCTGCGCCCTACCTAGGGGGGCTCACTGTGGCGTCTACTCTCCACGATGTGGCACCGGCCTCCGCTGCTACCCACAGCGTGGCGTGGAGAGGCCACTGCACTCGCTGATGCACGGCCAGGGGGTGTGCATGGATGAGAGAGAAGTGGAGGAGAACTCAGGTGAGAGCAAAGAGGTCAAATGTTTGACCTCTTCACAGAGCACTTTCACTTTCTCTAGGCCTTTGTCATTTACTCTCACCCCACTCACACGGGATTTCTCTGCTAACGTCCGTGTAGAGATGCTGTCTTAGCACAAAGCGTGTAACCAGGTCACCTCAAACTCGGAGCCTGTGTCCGCCTTGCTCTGTGGACCCGGCAGACAAGAATGCTTTCTGTCTCCGCTCCCTGGGTCTTACCTGAGCTGGGCAGGGTCAGGCTTGGAGGAGAGGTGAGGGGTGACAATGTGCTGCTTGTTTACCCTAATCTCTGCTAAGCCCCGAACCAGAGCGTGCACACACACCGGCTCCTCACGCATGGCCTGATGGGAGAGTGCACACAGTCCCCCTGCTGTCTTGCGGCTGCTCGCTGAGAAAAGGGCCCTGCTGTAAGATGCAAAGCAGGCTTCAGAAGGGAGAGTGCTGTGGTGATAGCTGTGGTGGGCGTGTGAGTGTGTACTCTATGTGCCTGTATGTAAGAAGCCTGCGGGGCGTGCAACTCCGTTCCCTGTTTTAGAGTAAGAATCGTGCAAATCATCGTTCGGTTGATGCAGATTCCCAGCAAGCCTTTGGGTGTGCAATTACCTTATCATGTTAAGCTGAGATCCTGCAGGTAGCTGTGCAAGGCAGGCGGTGAAATGCATTGTAGTGGTCAGAGTGTGTGTGTGTGTGTGTGTGTGTGTGTGAGAGAGTGTGTGTGTAATGGGAGGAGGTAATAAAAGCTGCTGTATGAAATGACTGTAATGGAGTGTGGCTAGTCTGGGGCTATTAGAGCTCTCTGCAATCAGTAATTCACTTGGTTCTCTTTCATGGACGCCCCCACTCCTCCTCCTCCTCCTCCTCCTCCTGCTGCTGCTGCTGCAGAACTCCTCTTTTGCTGTCAATGTCTCTATCACACTCTTTTTATTCCCCTCTTTGTTGCTGAGTTCCCTTCGCAAAGCAGAAAGTCTGTTTCCACTTTCACTCAGTGGGATGTCTAATGCTGGATGTGTTATCTGCATATCCAGTTCCAGTTCACTGCTTTGACGTTCACTTCTTCCTACTGAGGAAACTGTTTCCCCTGTTTGTCTTCCTCTGCTCTCCTCAAAGGGAGTGGTGTTGATTTCCATTATACCATATGAGACAATTGTTATAACGTGTCGTAGACAAGGTGGTTCTTTCATTTGTTCCAGATTATCAACTAACCGGATCACTGCTGCTTCCACTGAGCCCAGGCTCCCAGACAGTAACTGGTAATGGCAGGAGGCTATCTGCCAGCGCCAGAACACCAAAGATTTGGATCAGCTCAGCCAATATAAAACTCCCCGGACGCTCATCTTAATGCAGCATCTGTTTCCCCTGGCCCTGGGAGCACCGCCCCCTCCCAGCTCTAATAAGCCTTAGAGCGCATCGCCCACCGTGTCCTGCTCCTTCATGAGGATGAGCTCATCGGCACTCATTTTGCCAGAGCTGAAATGAGAGCCTTCTGCTCTGTGTGCAGGGCCAGCATAGGTTAGACCGGCGCATAGCATGACTAAATGGAATCAGGAAGAAAAGGAAAGTTGTTTAGAGAAAGATTAAAATGAAGGGATGTTCTCCCCGGACATTATTTCTGCTCTTTGATCCTGTCTGGTCTGATCAGCTGTCCCAGAACTGGGTTAGAGTGCACAGAGGGGAGTCTCGGTTCCTTTTTTCTCCAAGGCGGGGCAGCAGTAAATGGAACATTTTGGAAAGTTCATAAGTTTTGTTTTTGGTGTTCTGTAATCTGAGCGCAGAGTTTTGTTTGACTCCACACTCCTTCTCACCCCCGGAGTCTGTCATAACAAAGCAGGGAAGCTCTGCCCAATAAATCTCACTGTAAATCAATTCTTCTGGGCAGCAGCTCAATTTTGCTGTATAAGAATGTTCAGTGTAAACAAATGGCAGCGGAGAGACAATCAGAAAGGCTCGGGGATGAGGGGTGGGGGGGCAAAGACCAACTCCAGTCAAAGGCAGGAGATTTCCTTTGTGGCGCATTCACCGTACTTATGCATTATTAAACAAGGGGGTGCATCTCCTGAATACATGTCTGACACTGCCCCACTCCTAGCAACAGTGAACATACTAGATAAAAATAGAAGAGGGTTTTTAAAAACCAGGAGAATTCATAATGAAAAGGATCCTGGGATAGAGGCAGACCTCAGCTCAATGAAGCGAATTCAGGGTGTCAGGTTAATAGTTACAGTTCTGCATCTGCATTCTGTAAAGATGCGTGCTGCCTCATGGCAGTTGCTGAGGGAATAGTTATGAGCTATCAGTCCATTTTCCTTGCTGAATTTCTTTCAAAAATGCATCAACCTTCAGGCTATTCCTGAACCAAATTTCCATAGCAACAACAACAAGCACTGCTCGGCATCTTATGTCAAGGTCTAAGACAGCCTTCATGCATCTTGATATCCCATTCTCAGAAACCCTCTCCATTCTAATACTGAGAATAAATCGTCATGCATGTGTTGGCATCTGCTCCTCAATTCCTGCCGGGTCTGGCCGAGTGTCGTATTCAAATGCTTCCCCTCTGACTGTGAAACAGATATTGTGTACAAACTGATACAGATGTCAGATATGTAAAGTCTAACACCTTTAGGCCCTGAAGGAGCTGCATGAATGAAGCCGTCCCTGTAGCCAGAGTCTGTACAATTTACTGTGACACACAGATCTTTATGAAAGCAGCATGCTAACCTAGATTCTCCCGAGAATGAGGACTCCACAGCGTGTTAAAGGAACTGAGGGATGTGGATGTCTTTTCAGGGTGCCAAAAGAGGATTTTCCAAAACCTCTTTTCGCAGATGTCCCTTAATGTTGTGTATTTGCTTTTTTTGGGTCGTGCAGCACATTTGTACAGCTGGGGCTCTTGTGCAGGAGTAAATGTGATTAGCTAATTGTTGTTCTCCATTGGACAGGGACCCCCCTCTAGTGTTGGAGCTGAGAGATAAACATAAACTGTCCCTAAGTGAGACCTCAATAGCTTACATTTCATATGTGCAACTATTCATCTTAACTCTTCACAAATCAGCTGCTCAATAGCATGACAAACTGCTATTTTTATCAACAAGTGTATCTATGTGCAGCAATTATCACTGCCTATTCATGGCGCCTTCTGTCACTGGATGCGGAGCCAGCGTTTTCCATAGCAACTGTATGCTAATCGCGATTATTTGAGCAATCAAGGATTGAAAAAAATGAGGGAACATCATCTGTCACACCTAAAACAGGACAATGTTTTCATTCTGCTGGTCTCTTCTATCAAGATGTGAGAGGAGGATTTAAAAAGAAATGGCCTAAAATAACATATTATTTAAGAGCAAATTTAGCTACTTTGTTAGTTCCATTGCAGTAGATGTGGAGGCTATGAGCAACTGTAACTGTCTCCACACACCAAGCACGAGTAAAAGCGTTTGCGCGAATGATTTACTTTTGTCAATGCAAAGATGCAATTAAGACGCTCCAATTACTCTGGTAGCGCGAATGGCGTGAATTGGGCGTGAGCTGAAAATGTCTCAACTTGAAAGTCGCAATAATTAATCAGCACAAAAGTTGCCAGGTGACGTATGAAGACAGATGGTTGTTGACTGGTATCAAAAATGGAGGAAAAAATGATCGTGTCAGTGTGTGGGTGCCCGAATTATATAATACCTTTTCTTTCAATTACTGAATAAAAAGGAGCTCGCCTGAAGCCAAGTGAGTGAGAAGGTCGGATTACTTGGTAAATTGTAATAAACCTTTGTCTACCACTCGATCCCGGGGGTTTAATTGGCAGGGATTACCATTGAAATTAACATTGACGTGCGAATGAAGCGAGTAAATACTATTCATTCACACGTCTAGATTCGCACAGATTTAGCGAGTAGATGACTTTACTCGCGCTTGGTGTGAGTGCCCCGTAAGAGGCTTATCATTACTCAAATAGCTACAAGGTCAATTGCGTTTTGTTAAAGGGGGTTATCGTGGATTTTTTTCAGACTCTATAGTTCCTTTCTGGTACCTCTTTCACAGCTTTACATGATTTTCAGATCGGAAAAAGCCTTGAATTTGTCACGGTGGTGTATTAAGATATCACTATTTCATCCTTCATCTGACACGCTTCATTTTAGCTGCTGTCTCTTTAAGGTGCCCCCATCCACAAGCCAACTTTCCTCTTATTGGCCACCTCCTTGGAGTAAGACCTTTCCGCTCTGCCAGAAGCTCAGATAAACCAGGAAGGAGAGTCTATAATTCATACGCAAGAATTCTAGTAAGTCTCGCACATAAACCACGATCTCATATTTTTTCGCATTCGTCCGTGATTTGAGCAGGATTTATGGACACCAAACTTTAAAACTTTGAAGTTTTTGTTGTATACCTGGAAATGCACCCCCCCCCCCCCCCCCTTAAAGGAGGTTTGGCACGATCTTCTGCACTTGAAAGCAGATGTAGAGCCGAGTCAGAGCCTCCCACATCACTGTTCCTGTGTTTTACAGTCAACTCCAGGTAAAATACAAACAGCTGCTAGTGCACTGCAGGACCAGGGCCATCATACACTCATGCAGCTGCAATACTGTGGAGGGTGTGTTAGTATTTTGGCAGATTTTCTCCACTTATTCAATACACAAAATTACGAAATAAATATATTGTTAATCACTGTGACAGATTATTATTTTTTTTGTAAAGGAAAATTTTCTAATGTAGATATAAAGATTGTTATCCATCAGCTTTCAAAAAAAAAAAAAAAAAAAAAAAAAATATATATATATATATATATATATATATATATATATATATATATATATATATATGTACACTGTATATATATATATATATGTAATTTTATCCATTTAACCAGGAAAGCCTCATTGGGATTTAAAATTTCTATTACAAGAGTGTCCTGGCCAAGACAGCAGAAGCACGTTTCAACAAAGTTACAGACATAAAGACATGCTGTTTAAAATTTGGTAACATGTTCTGGGTCATTTAATAGAAATCTTCGCACAAGGCATCTGCAGCCTGATGCATCTTCCTCCAAAGCCTTCAAACTGCTTTTCAAAACATTCAGGGAGACCAACTGGGGTAGCGTACGTAAAATTCTTTTTACCAATTTCAAGACGCACTATGGAGACAGACAGCAAAAGTAAGTCCTTTGTCACAGAGCAAAGACAATAACTTCCAACATTTTTCAAATGAATGGCAAAAGAGGAAAAGTTACGAATTGAGTTGTACATGCCAGAGATTTAGCCTACAAGTAGACAATGCAGTAGACAGCCAACTCGATTATACAGACAACAGTGGTGAGTAAGAGACTTCAGATTAGCAATGAACCTCAGGGCCCCATGGTAAACCGTATCCAGAAAGTGAAAGCTTTGATTTAATGCATGCATATCACCATAGTCAATCAGGGTGATAAATATAGCTGCAGCAAGACTTGTCTGCAGCAAAATAAAAACAGGAGTCATTTCTGACATAGAAGCCCAGCCACAGCGTCAGCTTCTTTATAAGTTTCTGTATATGACGTTTAAAAGACAAGGAGTCATTAATTAGGAATCCCAGGTATTTGTACAATAAGCATACACTGTCTTCGGTGTTTTCTTCAGGTTTAGGTTTGTTCGCCACAATCTTTATATTTGGACGTCAGAAAGCAGGTGATGGAAATAGTAGCAAGGGTCACAGGAACATTCCCTCTTGGTTTGGTGCTCCTCAAGCCATAAATTCAACTTCATCAGGTTGTAAGTACAACCATGGACAGTGCAACATGTACCAGAGCTATGTAAAGGCATTTCAAAATATGTAAGTTACAGTTTTTCATGCTTGAAAAAAACTCTGTGGGAATATCTGCCATCTTTTTAGGTTTGTTTGCAACAGGTTGGAAACATGACAGGGAATAAAAAGGCTTTTTTGGAGAGGATGAATCTCCTAGATGTAAAAATGGAAAGAGGTACGCTACTCTGTGACAGACTGCGAGAGCAAATGGTTTAACTATTACAGAATAATGTTCCTCAGCTGGGTTGTGTTTTTCGCTTGTGGTTGTGTGCGTGCGCAAGGTGCGTTTATGAACTCATAGCATGGGGGTGGGCCTCTCCATGTTCTCCGCTGTCCGTGCCTCAGCATAAGATTGCAAAGAATTGGGGGGTTTCAACATCTTCAGTAAATATTGTTATCAAAAGATTCAGAGAATCTGGCAAAATCGCTGTTTGAAATGGACATGGCCCAAAACCAATACTGGATGTGATCTTCCTAGTTGCATTAAAAACAGACATGACTCTGTAGTGGAAATCACTGTGTGGGCTAAAAGTATCTCCTAAGAGCCATTCTCTTTATATTCAGCTCTTCCTTGCATCCTCTGATATAGGTTAAGACTGGACTGGTGAAGTGAGGAACTGTCCTGGAGTCTGACAAATAAAAATTTGACACTCTTTTTGGAAATCATGGACCCTCACCTTTCTGCTCTGCAGACCACAAAGCTTTTCTATTCAAGCAAATAAAAAAAAAAACAGGATCTGTGATGGCATGGGTGGCTTACAAGCTTGTAATTGGGGATATGATTAAAGACCCACTCTGATGAAAATCATGTTTTTCTTGTTGTCTACATATTCACATGGCATTTTTCTGATGCTACAGGACATATTACGAGAAAAATAAGACCAAAATTGCATTTCTGAGAATTTCTGCATTCAAATTGCTGTGAATCTCTGGCAGGCCCAAATGATAGGGTCAGTTACAGTGAGACTTCCTAGGTAGCAAATCCAAGCTCCGCCCCCGGAGCCGTGGAATGCAGGCCAGACTGGTAGAAATAGAGAGGACAATCACGGAACATGCAAGTGCGTTGGCAGATCGCAATGCTTGTAAGAAAGCTAATTATGATATTAACTAATATCATGCCCCTAAAGACATTAGTGTCCGAGAGCTGAATAGCTCCTGTTATCTGCCACTTCTACTACACCAGCAATGTTAGGCTACAAGCTAACGCGAGGAGAAGTATGCAGAGCAGTGCTATCTCCACCCACGATTTCAAGGAAAATTGCTTCTGATCTATTAGAGCTTTGCAAAAGAAAAGTCCTTGAAAATGACACAGGTAACATGATTTTGGCTAAAAACTCCATTATCACAATGTAAAGACCACTGATAACACTTCAAGTAGTAGAGATAAAATTGATCAGAGTGGGACTTTAAAGGATTTAAGTATACTGTTCAAGTATACTCAGGTATTATACTACTATGCTATACTACTCATAGTTACTAATAATGCTGTTTGATTTCTGTCCTCCACTTCAACTCAAAACCCTGGTTCTGTACATACAGTATATCAACATGAGAACTTGCAGTAAAAATCAAGACAGGAAAGTAGCTAAAACAGTTTAACCTAACTGGGGTTTCCCTTTATTCGTAAACTTATTCAGTAGTACCAGATCATCAACATGTGACGGGTGGCTGAGATTACCCAAGCTCACTTTGACAGGATTTACTCACAGATCTTCAAGTTGATAAATCCACAAAACAGTCAGTAATGGAGTCCAGAGTACTGAGCTGAGATGACTCTTATACCTCAGTTCAACTCAGTTTGGATTGTTGGACACATGATTCAGTCATGTCTTCAAACTAAATTCCATCTAGATGAAAAATAAGATTGCTCTCTGAAAACAGAACAAACTTTGAATCTCAATGGATGCAGTGAATGTGGGAAAAACCTCGCTCTGTGCTCAAGTTTCCAAAACACGTTTTATTTTAATCACGCACATGATGTTTTGATCCAAAAGATTTTAGTCAGAGTAAAGAATAATGTTTATCCTGATGATGATCCATCTGGAACGGCTTCACTATCCTTCCTGAGTATTTTTCTGTCTCTGATCTGCACCTTTTTTATGTGTGTGGGAGTGTGCAATGTCTTGCTTGTCAGACACGGCAGCAAACTTTCAGGCATCAAGGTGAAATATGAAACTTGAGGTTTGATGTATTAATTATTGAAAAATGTGCAAACTTAAATCTGATATTGCTCAAATTGAAGAAGACAACTTTAGTGTTAAGGCTCATTTTAGTAGCTTTATGTTGGGTCCAAACTGATAACTAAAACCTGATTCTTGCACGCATCTGCAACTACTTTTTGTCATGGTCTGACAGCAATATGTGAAATATACCTCTGGAAACAGATAACTTCTCAGTAACTCCAGTGTATCCAATGAACTCTGTGACTTTCTTTTCCTTGTGGGTCATCTCTTGATCCATCACTAACCCCAGATGAGTGCTCGTTCATCTCTTTCACCCACAATAGGTATCAGTTTATCAGCAGACAGCTACAAAGACGCTTCCCTCTGTCACAATGGGGGTTTGTACTTGTAAAAGAAACCAGTTTTAGTATAATTTACTTACAATCCAAAGTTATTAAGTTTGCCAAAATAACATCATGACACAGATTTGTAAAATTACTTATTTATTTTGGCCTCAAGGGGCGATGACTAAAACTTTTAAAATGCTGGTTAGACAAAAGTCAGATCAAATATTTCTGATGCTTTCTGTAAGTCAGGAAATCTTAAGCTGTACATGAAAACAAAGCTCACTGGCTTTTGTTGCAGCATTTGGCAGATTTGTTGCTCAAGTTGAAATGCTGGATTTCGAAAACCTTGTTTGCTGGACTATCTTGGAGATATCTTCTAAAAGAGAGAAATAAATCAACATCTGTTAGACAGTTTTCCTGTACCAAAGCCGACTGGAACGTGCCAAAAACTTTTTTGCCAATTGGAAACCAGAACACTCCCTGTGAAGAAAAATCAGACCCCCAAGAACAGATTCTACTTTTTCATGTACAATCAGACAATAAACATTTATAGACTGAACTACTTGATATCTATTTCATCATGCTGCAAAGTTTTGCTGTTCTGTTTTGTTAAGTTGTGGACACAAAACATTAAAATGTAATCATTTCTGTATCATAGCTTCAGATGAGCAATGCCAAAAATGCATAACAAGTTGCACAGAAAGGTCATTAAAGTCCTTTGGTGTCATGTTCTCAGTGGTCTTTAAAAATTGTGATGGTGAAGTTTTTAGCCAAAATCGCGTTAACTGTCTCATTTTCAAGGACTTGCCTTCTGCAGAGCTCCAGTAGATCATTAGCAATTCGCCTCAATGTCGTGGGTGGGGACAGCACTGCTCTGCATACTCCTCTTCACGTTAGCTTGCAGGCTAACATTGCTGGTGTAGTAGAAGTAGCAGGTAAAATAGGAGCTATTCAGCTCACAGACACTTTCTATGGGGGCATGATGAAAGCTAATATTATTGCTAGCTTTCTTACAAGCATTGCAATCCGCTAACGCACACACTTGTTCCGTAATTGTCCTCTCTATTTCTCAGAGTGTGGCCTGCATAGAAGTGCTCCGGGGGCGGAGCTTGGATTTGCTATGTAGGAAATCTCACTGTGTCTGAAGCTGCCGTTTGGGTCTGCCAGAGATTCACAGTGATTTGAATGCAGAAATACTCAAAAATGCAATTTCGCACTTGTTTTTCTCATGATATGTCCCATAGCATCAAAAAAAAATGCCATATGAACATGTAGACAACAAGAAAAACGTGATAGTCATCGGAGTGGGTCTTTAATCAAATGAGTTATCCTACTTTCTGGGTATAAAATAAATCAGCTAATGAATGTTTAAAAAAATTCAAAACCACTTTTTGTATAATGACTTACCTGTTAGGTTTTCACTCTAAAGCCATTATCCTTAGGAGTAACCCGAGTGTAGGTACCAGAATGAAGCTTTGCAGAGCTAAGGACAGTAGAGAGTTCACTCTGCACTGTCAGTGCTCTGGGGTGTCACCAAGAGATTTCGGGCCCCAAGCTAAAATATCCCCACTTCACTGCAGCAAATGTTCTCAAACTTTTAGGCCTCTATTAGGTATTACATCGGACTTTCACCAAATCCACGCTCCGATCCATTTTGGCTTGTTTTGGCTCAACAGCATTTTTAGAGCCCAGCACAGAGCAGCACCGCCTGACAGCCAAAGTCCCAAGACCAAGAAATTCCTGTATTAAGTACAGATTCAGGGGTCTCCTACCTCCATGATGAGCTCTGCAAGCCTCCGACCCATCGACTCCAGGCCTGGTTCTGCTCACTATGATGGTTTGTTGATGCAGTGATGTTAAACACAATCAGGCATCAACATGAAGTGTTTTATTTTGAATATTAGATGCCAGAGGAAGCTGACACACTGAAGTGAAAACCTGTCTGCTTCGCTCCTGTGACTGAGTCTGAGCTTTTCCTTTAGCGCCCCTGGCAATGCTGAGCAGTATACTCCCTAAAGTATATCATGCTTGTCAAAATTAAAGAAGCTTTTACTGTGTAGGATTTATCAGACTTATTCTCAGTTGTTTTCGTTACAAAAATCAAAACTATATCAGAGTGTAGTGAAAGGAGGCTTCTCCATGCCTGATGTCTAATTTGTCATATCCAATGTGGCTGGAGAGGTTAGAGACGGTTTCCTTTTTAAAAAAAATCTTTATTAACCATTAATCTGTTTCGTTAAACTGACACACTGGCTTTATTCGGCACACGCTGGCAGATTGTCAATACTCACACAACGGCGCTTAGTTTGATCATTAACCGATTCATGGAAATCCCCTTCCTGGAAAACAATGTCCTGATAATCTCGCAGCTTTCAGTGTTGACTCAGAAGATCAGTTTTTGGTCATAAGCCTGGTAGACTTTTGAGCTCACTGCCAGAAACAATGGTTTTGGAGAAGAAGCTGAACCAAAGTTGTCGATTTTTCATCAGATTAGTTTCTGTCATAATAATTGAATCTTTTCTGTCAAAGAGAGCAACCACATTGAAAACATCTGGAGGAGGTTTTATTGACCGATAAGTTGCAACCCAAATGTTTGTACGACACAAATGAATAAGACGACAGAACAGACATGAATCCCTGGACTCATTGTTATAACTAAACAGTGAAATAAATTGAAACGCAGTTTTACTTTTTGACTGCACCATAGCTTCTCTTTTGTTTTTTGGATGAGTGATCTTTTATTTGTTTAAAAGAACTGATAAGTATTTTTAGGAGTAATAGAAGGGTCAAACAAACTCAGGACTTTTTCCAGGAGATCTGGGCTCAACTCCCATCTAAAAAACAATAAGTCAGTGGCCCTTTTTTACAGTTTCATAACGTGTATTAAAATATTGACTTGTGCTTTTTCTTCCAAACCTGACTTAACACACTTCCTCATCCTAATCATATTGTGACATAAATACAGTGATAACCCCGTGTTTTGTGTTGCGTGTCTAACCAGATGTCGTGTATCCATTGCTGCTGACTTGAGTGTTGAGTCCTGCAAAAGTGACCTTTAACAGAGATTTCGAGGTTTTGGGACACTGGTCACGCTGTTGTGTTTGACTGGGATTGAGACATGTCTCTATCTTTGCTCAGCAGATCTGAGAAGAGCCTAAATAAAGTCATTGTTTTCAGAGGGTGCATCCAAGGTTTTTGATGTCTCACGTAGTGGCCTCTCTCTGGCTCCGATCCAAATCAAAAGCAGTGGAGGTATAAACCACAGGAAAGAACTCTGTCAATGTGGCTGAGCAAATATTTGTTTAAGGAGGATATTTGGCTTTGAGGTTTTCGAGTTCAGCTTAGTTTAAAGCCACTTACAGTGAAACCTGACAAGTGATGACGCCCCTTTGTTAATGTTCCACAAATGTACAGACAAATATATCAACAAAGACAAAGAACTTGTTGTCACTATTACGTGATGTAACCTGATATTAAACTGATGTTTGTCCTCAGGTAAAAAATGTGGTTATCTTATCGACAGTACGTGCTGAACCTCTTAAATCCTATGCTCACAATTTCTCGTGAAAGTCTGATCAAAAATGTGCTGTAGAAGTATATGCTGACACCTTAGCCTGACTAAAACCCCGCTGAGTGGAATTACTCAGTTGGTCTAACACTAATCAAACAGCTGAAATGTGCTGAAGGAAGGTGTGAAGTAAAAAAAAAACCTCTACAAAGGAGAAGGGAAATTTTTAAAAGGTGAAGCTGTTGAATCATAGGAAAGGTACAGAGCTTTAAAGCCAGCATGAGCAGCAGTCCCTCTGGTTCATCCTATTGCTCAATGAGGTTTATTCAACATGTGGGAGACTAAAATGTGATTGATGGCAAGCTTGTGAGCTAGATTTGCTCATGCATATTACACCCACTGATTGTTAACTAATACAGGAGTCACCTTTTTACCGTCTCCAGCAAAGAAGCCTAAGTTTGAGCAAACTTTTGTTGAGCAAACCTGACAGGCTGGGGCATGTAGGCCAGCTTTCTCTATGCAGCTCTATTGACAAGTAAAGGTGATGTAGGCATTAAGGAAGTATGACATATTTTAGCATGTAAAAGTGAAAAACTTTCATATGATGACAGTTCCACTTTCCCCAATGTATTTAAAGGGATATTCCAGCTTAAAATTAAGTAAGGGTCAAACACACACCGCATGATAACAATACACAGCGGTCTACCACTCAATTCGCAAACCCCAACCAAAGACCCACTCTATAGCCACAAATAATGCTCAGAACAGCACTACCAAACATATTTTTAACTTTGCCTGATTTCTTTAGCAAAGAGACCAAACACAACTCACCCAGTAGTGAGTTGAGCTCAAAGTAGTAATTAAAGACAAAATATTTTATTCATGGGAAATTCTGGAAGGCCTTCTTTTTGCAATCATTTGGTCATTTTATTAAATAAATAACTGTGTCGTTAAAGTGATCAGCAGATTTATTCAACACTAAACTTAAGCTACAACCCCTTAAGTTGACTTTGTTTATTTCCTGTGAGGAACTTTCAGTTGATGTCAATTTTGGTGCCCCTGTTGAAAAAGCACCATTTGCTTACCTTGTCCTCTGCATGCTTGGGTGGTGTCTTCTAGCAAAACATGTTTATTGTGAATGTTTTAGGTGGAAACTGCAAAACAGGGCTGCTTTAACATAAAAAAAAAAATCATCAGTCTTGTCACTGATGATCTTGTTTGCTTTAGATATCATAGAAAGGCATTAATATAAATTTCTGTCTATTTTGTAAATAACAGTCAACTCCTCATGGGAGTTTTAAGTCAATGTACCAGAGGACCAAAAAGTGGAGACTGTTTCTGATTATTCTCAGTCAGGCCTGTCGTTATCTTTACTGCACACCTGTGACTTCCAGTGCCTCGCATGGTATCATCACCAGGCCTGATAATACACCCAAGGAATTTATATTTGGAAAGCCAAGAACTGCTGCTGATCCAAATCACATGAAACCACACAAAAAAGTGGCAACTTCCTCCGTGGAAAACAGCAGTGGTAGCAAACAGGACATGCCACCTCTGACCCACTTTAATCACTTTGGCTCGCTCTATGAAAGAGGGTGGAATCGAAAAAAAAAAAAAGTGTGAACATGCACAAGAGGAGAGGGAACGACTTGGAACAAAGGGAAACAGCTGAAAGCTTGTTGGCTCTGGTGGAAGAAAGTGCTGATGAGCAAGGCTCAACGGCAACAAGACTAAAAATACAAACAGCCGAGAGACACTTCCCCCTCAGACAAGCCAAGCAAAGCAAGATGACTGTCTGTGAAGTTCACCTTCCAAAGTTAAAAAAAAAAGAGTGTAGTCACTGTTTGACAATGGCGATTGACTGCTGCAGGGCCTGAACCAGCTTGAAAAGAAGAACAGTTAGAAAGACTGAATGCTTTCATGCGTCGAAGACCTGAGAGAAGCCTGCAAACTGCACAAGATTAAGGAGGCTACTGACCCACCTTTGTTGTCTCTTTGCCATCAACAATTAACTTTAGATATAAACCAGAGCTCAGGCCTGGTTCAGTGATCAGAGTGAGAATAGCTTTAACCTGCAGTTTCAAACGCTTTGATTCCAGTGCCAATCTGTAAAATGCCACAGGTTATGAGCAGAAAGCAGAAAGCGAAAAGGACTGCCAAGTCTCACAAGCCACAGGTGAAAGGCAACATGCAGGCTCACAAAGAAAGACACACACACAACCTCTAATCCTCTGTTTCATCTATCTTGTGCCCCCCAACCACCAACCAGCACACACACACATCAAGTTGTGCCCACTTGTGACAGTGCAAATACCCTCTAAGAACCTCCATCTGGCATAGACTGAGGTTGTTGTGGAGGGGTGGAGGATAAAGAGGGAGGGGGGCATTTCCTGAGGAAGCAGCTGCCTGCCTGCAGGGCCACAGCGCTGCAGGATTATAGGGATGTAAAGGTGAATGTGGCACAGACCACAATGTACAGAGGGTGGCAGAGCAGGGGTGGTATCGTTTAAAAAAGCCTCAGAGCTCGTGGCATGGCTGCAGCGGTGCAGTAGTAGTTGAAAAGTACCAGGGTGAGAGCTGAAGTACAGATTACCCCCCAGAGCGCCAACACAACGCTGTGTCCTTGAGGTTAACCTGGCCTCATTTTTAGCCTACATCTCACCACTTTCAGCTGGATGGGATGTTATGTGGAAGGACAAGGGGGAGAGGAAGAGAAGCATTAGCTCTGTGTCTCACACCAGGGCAAATCATCATTAAATAGATGGTGCCCTCAATTTAGCTTATAACATTCAAGTATGATCCAAGTGTGCTGAACCTACCATCTTACAACACTTGATGGCTGTTTCAAAAATACACAGAGGGGTTGTACCTGACTTAAGAAGTAGTGGATTTAGTCATTCTTAAAGTCCCACTCCGATCTATTTTTTTTTTTTTCAACTAAAAGTTTTATCAGTGATCTTTAAATTATGATTAGGAAGTTTTCGCCAAAATCCCGTTAACTGTGTCATTTTCAAGGGCTTTTCTTCTGGAGAGCTCCAGTAGCTCATTAGCAATTCGCCTCCGACTCGTGGGCGGACACAGCGCTGCTCCGTACACTCGTCTTCATGTTAGCTTGCAGCCTAACATTGCCGGTGTAGTAGAAGTGGCAGGTAACATAGGAGCTATTCAGCTCTCGGACGATGAAAGCTAAAATCATAATTAGCTTTCTTACGAGCATTGCAATCTGCTAACGCACACGCTTGTTCCGCGATCATCCTCTCTATTTTTCCGAGTCTGGCCTGCAAAGCGGGGCTCCTGGGGCAGAGCTTGGATTTGCTATGTAAGAAATCTCACTGTATCTGATGCTTCTGTTCGGGTCATGCTGGAGTTTCACAGCAATTTGAATGCAGAAATACTCAGAAATCCATTATTTTTCTCATGGTACGTTCTGTAGCATCAGAAAAATTGCCATATGAACATATAAAAAACAAGAAAAACATGATTGTCATTGGAGTGGGTCTTTAAGCCGACAACAATTACATGGTGACTTCTCTATCTGTGCTGTAAAACGGCTCATCATCTACCCTGGGTGTCCTTGGCTTAAACTTTTTCACATTACATGGTATAGAAAGAGCAATTGTAGGTGTTACTGGCAGCTGATTGTCCTCCCCACTAGTTTGTTGATGGCAATTTCTCAGTTTGAGTTTGCTGTGAATGATCAATTATCGGCATCTTTGCCAGTTTCACTTCATTGCTGTCTCTAGTGTCTCCTTTGCCAGATCCAGTCTTTTGTTGGTCATCTCTATTGCTATTTGTGTCAGTTTCAGTGTGTTACCATTCCTATTTTACACTTCTTCAGTTTTAATTTACTGTTTATCATCTCTTGTCTTCTTCACCAGTTTTAGTAACTTGTTGGTCTTTGTAAGTTTCTATTAGTTGTTGCCTAAACACAAGTTTTTGATATATAAGATATTCTTGTAATGCCACTTTTTGTGTATGGATTTTCAACAACACTCCTTTTGTTCTGCTCAGCATCATCTAAAAATAAGAAGCTTTGTGTGTGTGTGTGTTTTTATTTCCACACACTGGGTTACAGCTTCTTATCAGACTAGGGGCTCTATTTTCGTGTCCGTCGGGGACGCGGTGGAGGATGGCGGACCCCGGCGCACAGCCAGTTTGGTATTTTCTTAGACTGAGGCGCACCAAGGTCCGCTAAGCTGAGTGTGGTGGTGTGGCAGAGGGAGGTGTTGACAGAATCAGCTGGTGCAGGGACATTTTCGTGCTCACCGATGGCTACGACTCCCGCGCTGGGAGGAGCTGAGTTAGGGAGGAGGGATGCTTACGCCAGGCTGTGCCACTCACCAAAATACCAAATTGTGCTTGGGAACGCCTTGTCAGTGCGGCGGACCTGACTTATGCTGCGCCTGCACCACGTCTCTGGCGAAGCATGAAAATAGAGCCCTGGGTGTTCAATCATGCCAACATTACATTTACAGAGATTTAAATGGTAGCTTAGTTATGTTAACTGTCTTGTGAGCTAAAGTTGGTGGCAGCTCAATGTGCAATCCTACAACGACTTTTGCATGTCTTACTAATCTTAATCAACAACTTTTTCTTTGTTATAGAGAGGACACCTTAAATTTCTTGTTTTAAAAAATAAAGTGAGACCTAAGGGTTACTTTAAGGCTGACTATAAAGTTCAAAGATTCACATTTTGTACCCCATAAAATACTCTATGTTCAATGTCTCAATGATGGATGAAATTTCTAAGAGTGTGACTGACAAAATGTGAGTCAGGTCTGGGTGTTCTTCGGATCTTCAACTTTAGGGGAGCAGCCCTGATGCATTTTTTCATCTTTTGTTGAATATATGGAATAAAAAGTTATCCCTTCCTTCCTCTAGCGATGGAGAGGCAGGATGAGATCATCCTCGAGCACCCGAACAACAGCAATATCCGGTGCAGTCCACAAGACAAGCGCTGCATACAGAAGACCCTCGCACGCCACCCTCCAAAGTCCACAAATCAGAGAAGCAACACAGCCAGGGAGGAGACCAAGGCGGCGCTGGTGAGAGAAAGTCTTTAGACATCTTTATCAGTTTTAGAGGAATTACAAACCCAAGCATTCCCTCTCTGTGGCGCTTTTCTCCGACCCAGCAGGTGTTTTATATTAAGACTTTATGGTTCCAAAGCCACAAGCGTAACAGTCACGTAATAAATTGTACAAATTACTTATTTACAGACCGTAACATTTAATTGCGGTCTTGCGAAATAAAGTACAGGTGCACATTGACATCAACATGCAATTAGCTCTTATTTTTATAGGCAAGAGCAGGATCACAACATCCCTTTTAATCAGAAACAGACAAGTTTTATCACCTTTCAGGACTTTCATTTAACAGGAATTGTGTTACATGATAGCACAATAATGCTACAAATGAAACAATACAGATTTATGTTTAGATGCACTTGTATCGACCACCTGGGTAGGCCCCGTTTCATGCTTTGTACACATTTTCCATCACAAAATTCCAAACAGTGCCGGGTTCAACTATCCAGACATCCTCATATTGTTCCAGACAGTTGTTGACATCACTGCACTCATAGTTAGACGTTTGTGTAATAAATGGTTTTCAAGTTTTTAGGGCTTTTCACAGAAAGACCAGAAACTTAGGAACACCCAATTGGCTCTCTTGACTGCACAACTAATTTGCTACTCTTTTTTCCTTTATTCTTATGTATCAAAATTTGGAAAACTTCTTTAAAATTTAATACCACTCCATTTTCAGATCAGAAATAAAATTTTGTTCTTACTTTTGTTACTTTTTCATTACTATTGCAGATTTATTATCAATGACTTTTCTGAATGGTTGATATGTTAACCTTAAAGGGATATTCTGCTGTAAAATTAAGTTAGGGACAAACACACACTGCACGATAGCAGTACACAGTGGTCTACATCTCCACTCGCAAACTTCAACCAAAAAGCCACTCTACAGCCACAAATAATGCTCAGAACAGCACCTATCTTTATCAACAATACATAAAGGCCCCCAGCCATAGTACTAGTCATCAAACATCTTTTTAACTTTGCCTGGTTTCTTTAGCAAGAAGACCAAATGCAACTCACCCACTCTCCTCCAGCAGCCGCTTGTTTGAGGGGAGCCCTGACGAGTTGATCACTGAGTGCAGTGGATCATTTCCTTTAAGTAATGATCATCATTGTAATAATTTTGCAATGCAGACGCAGTAGTTCTTCTGCCTTAGCGTCTTGGTCTGATTCCATTTACATAAAGTAAGAATCATAAATGTTCTTCCTTGAGCTGTGAAACTCCACTGCACTTGATGATTGACTCGTCAGGGCTCCCCCACAAAACAAGCGGCTGCTGGAAGAGAGTGGGTGAGTTGTGTTTGGTCTCTTCGCTAAAGAAATCAGGCAAAGCTAAAAAGATGTTTGATGGCTAGTACTATGGGTGGGACCCTATATGTACTGTTGATGAAGTTAGGTGCTGTTCTGAGCATTATTTTTGGATATAGAGTGGCTTTTTGATTGAGGTTTGCCCATGGAGACATAGGCCGCTGTGTATTGCTATTGAGTGGTCGTTACTGAAGTTGGTATAACTAGAGAAGCAAGTGGTCTGAAATATTCATCTCTTGAGGGGGTATCTAACTTGGTGTTATGGTGTGTTTGACCATAACTTAAATTTAGGCCGGAATATCCCTTTATTTCTTAAAACCTGAAGGTGCAATGTGTAGTAATGAGCGGCACTGAGTAAAACAGATTTGGTAAAAATGGAATTTACTGTTTATAAGGATTTTAAATTATTTTTTTTATCACCTGAAAACAATTTCAGTTAACTTGGAATAAGCCTTTAATATCAATATTGGAACAAAACTGCAATCTTGCACCAGTGTGATTGCACCATAACACAGAAGGGACAAACAAGTAACATGTGAGTTTCAGTATTTAGCGAGTTGTGATCCAAAATGCACCATGTGGAAGGCAAAGAAGAGGAGAGTGGTTGTGTAATAATAGCTGTTTTTGATAGTAAAAACTTGACAATCACATCTATCATGCATCTCAGAAGTTTCTTGTCCTCAAGGGCCACCATTGCCTCACTGACAGAAGGGAACATGTCAATCTAGGATCTGGCTGCTACATATTGCATTCCCATTTCTACTCACTGTACCTTTAAGATAGCAGAGCAATTTTCTTACATGTCACTGCTTATCTCTGTGTTTGCTGTGTCTAGAGAAATCAAATCAATCAAAAACAATATCCCCCTCGCAGGCTCCATGTCGTGCTGAGCTGCAGAGAGCACTGGACAGATTAGCATCGAACAGCCGCACACATGATGATCTCTTCACGATCCCCATACCCAACTGTGACAAGAACGGAGACTTCCACGCTAAACAGGTAAGTGAGCTCAAGCACACACACGCCAACACACTCTGTTATGAGCTTTATTGGATTAGTGAGTGAGTAGACCACTATTTGTGTGCTGGTGATCCGTGAATCTCTATTTTTCACCCAATACAAATAAAATACCTGTCTTTATATTCCAAACAGTTCCTGCTGAATCACATTAGCAATTTGTGGGCAGATAAAAAACACTGTCTCACTTGTTTAAAATCAACATAAAAGAGTGTCACGGCAAAGCCAAGATCTTATTTTCCCAGCCTGCATTAAAGAGATTTATTTTAGAAATCAACAGTTGCTTCAGGCGTGAAGTGGTTTCCCCTAAAACTGTAGGACGATAATCCTTTTACTGCTGTGATGGATGCAATTAGCTTTTGGATGCAGTTACTTGTTTAACTTTGCAACATTGGGCAACTATGCAGATAAGAGTGAGAGAATGAGAGAGCCTAAAAAACAGAGATAAGGCTGCTCTCTGAGCTCTGTGTGCAATATACGCAGAAGATACAGACTGGGTGATAAAAGGAAAAGCAGCAGTCATCAACAGTCTGAGATATGCTGGTTGTGTAACTTGGTTAAAGTGTCTCTGTTTGCTCACATTCACAGGAATCTCTTTACTGTTTAACCAAAAGTGCACTCAGATAAAAAAAACCTTTTGGGAAGTTAAACACAGGTCATGAAGGGCAACTGGGAATCAGTTCATGGCTGGGTTGCCCTAAGATTCTTAACTGGCCTTGGAGGTCATTTTAAACTGTAAATCATTCGAGAAAAAGTAGAAAATCACACTAATAATTCACTAATAATTTACTTTCACACAAATCTCTAGAAGTTACTAGAAAGAATCTTAGAAGCTTTGACTCATTTGAGTATTTGTTCAGATAAATATCTTTGCCTGTTCAGTCTCTATCTTGTGCTGACTGAGTTAATGCAGTGGTGATGGAGCCAACAGCCCGCCGATGAAAGCCCTTTTATTGCACCAGCCTTTGAAGTTATGACCTGCATGTTGATTCAAAGTTTTTAGGGGAAAAAACAAGCAGTCTACAATCTACAATCTACCATACGGCATTTGTTTTCAATAAGAGAGAGCAGACAGAAAGTAGTATTTAGTTTTTCTCAAGTCTCTGTTGAGTACGGTAACTGTGTGTGACAGAACAAAGAGAAGGTCTCTAACTCCACATGATAAAACTTCAAAGCAAGTGCAGATTTAAGGAAAATTGGGGAATAAGAAATAAGCTCCGTATAAAGCTAAAGAGAAACCCACAAACGCGCTCATTTGGATGCTGTTTGGATCTCTGATAGAGTGAGGTCCAGAAACTTTTATAGCTTTGAAAAGTTTTAAAAGCTGGGTCAGATATCATCTTGGAAAGTAATGGCCTTGTCAACAGAACATTAACTGCCCTTTGGAGACAATAAACTGGTCTATAACATTTTTCCTACTGCTCAGTTTTAAACTCACCTGCTATGTTACAAAGACTACACTGACAAAGCGCACATAGCCTCTTTGTTTTAAAGTATAGCCAGGACTTTAACGCCTAAGTCAGTTATATTTTAGACTACCAGAAAAATAATCCCACTTTTTAATCAGTTTCTTATCCCAGCCATTTTTATTTATTTTTTTGATGACTTTACAAGAGAACCTAAAATATTTCATACTGCAGTGGCTACAGCTGCCTTTTTCTTAGGGGTGTGAGAGTAGACAGTTATAAACAATACATTTCACACAATGAATTTAAGAAATAGCTCTCCCATTAAGCATTTCTTTGGTCTAAATGAGGTTTATTAGACGTCTAAATGTAGCCTAGACGACTGGTCTAAAATCAGGCTTCCAGGTCTAAAAATGAAAGTCTTTTAGATGTCTGAATTTAGACCAAGTTTAGACTAGCCAGCTAACAGAGGTATACACTGTATATTACTTAACGGCTGTCATAATTATGAAATTGGAGATCATACTTGGAGATCATTTATGCAACTCACAGTTGCTTTTTGAAATAAATAGTTTTCAAATCATGGGTTAAAGAGCAATGTCTAAATTCCATCTAAAAATATACAAAATCTAGATGGTTGATACTAGGTCAAAAAAAAAAAACTAGACATCTAATAGCTGTCTATTGCTCAGTGGGCCTCTAGAGTTTAGTGTTAAAGCTCAACACAAAGTAAACTGGTGTGAAATCTTTTAGTTGACACTGTTACTTGAGCATCAAAACTGGTTTTAAGTATAAGTTAAGTATCACAAAACTTAATCTTCCACAACTCAGGAGGTGAATGGCAATAGTTTTACACCAACAATATGGTATGTAACCAGGATGTTTCACCTGTATTTCATGTGCCCACAGTGTCATCCTGCACGTGACGGCCAGCGGGGGAAGTGCTGGTGTGTGGACCAGAAGACGGGCTTGAGACTGCCCGGGCCACTGGAGCTGCGAGGGGAACTAGACTGCCACCAGTTAATGACTGCTACACTGAGGGATTGAATATTGAGGGGGTGGCAGAGGGAGTGCAGGACCAGCTTAACTCTTCTGGTGCTTATTAGTAGAACTACATGCAGAAAGGACTTCGTTCTCAAGCCCCTCTTCACCTGAGGCCAATGGTACTAGAGCTTGTGCAACAAAAAGGAAACCATTGATTTGAGTTCTTTTGCTATTTTGTCTCTGTGTGTGAGAGTTTGTGACCCCTGAGTCTTTTGAGCACTTGTTGTGTATTGTTTCTACTATATGAACCTAAGACCGGTGCTTTGAGGTAACAGGTGGCAGACAAAGAACTTCCACAGTCGTAGTTGTGATCATTGTTAGAGAGCAAATGTGTTGTTTTCTCCTGCCTAATTTCAGTACAGTAGTGCTAAAAAAGAAGAAAATGCATCATTCCCACCAGATTATCAGACCTGAAACAGAACAGGAGCTGTAAGCATTTCTTTTAGCTGTTCCTGGAGCATTATAAACCATTCAGTAAGTACTGCATCGGGACAATCCAGACAGATTAATCATGAAAGGATTGCGTACTAGTTTTTCACACAATGTGTGTAATTGGTTGTAATGTGTGGCTCTTATTGTACGGCCCTATATGTGTATCATAAACTCCACCCATCTGGTTAACAGGTTCAAACAAACTATAAAATATGTATGCAAACACAAAGAACAGTGACAAAGCAGTGACATATGAGTAGCAATAAAAGATAACCCTAGATAAGATCAGGAGATAAAACTACAGAAAAAATGCAGAGGTGGTAAATCAATGAAACAATCCCCTGCAATGAGTTACCAAATGATAAACCACAGCTTTTCACAGCACGATGACCAAAACGGACAGAGGTTTTTAAAAAGTTAGAAAGCATTTGCTTCATCACTCTGCAGTTTACTCTGCATCCTCCTCATGCTATCCTGAGCTCTGTGGACTGGCAGCACAGCTAGCCTTGAACCTCTGTACACTGCTGATGGGATAATCGTATTTCTCCAGCTGGAGTTAAGACGCCAGTGTGGATCTTGTGTTTGTGTGATTATGCTAAAAACTACAGGACTTTTTTTTTTTTTTCCAAACCGACAGCTTCACAGAACTTTGGTGGTGCTATATACTCATTGTGCCAAAATATGTCACTGAAAAGAGGGAGACTGAGATTGTTAGGAGTAAACTAAAATGGGCAACTAGCAACAGCAAGAGTTAGGATCTCTTAAATACATGACCATTTTCAAAGCTATTGACAATGGCTTTCTTGTGTATTTTCAGTTTGTTTGTTGAAGTATCAGAGTAACATCCCACTATGGCTTTGCACTATCGCTGCATCTCACCGGCTAAATGTTCAGGTAAACAGTGTTGTAAATTGCAGGCTTGATGTGTTTTTAATACACAAGCAGAGTGTACAGACATAGATTTTAACTGGGCTTAAGTTAAGCTTAAGTCACTTACAGAATCATAGCATAGTGATTAGACAGAAGAAAGACTTTTCTCTGTTGAACTGACAATGCCAGTTTGTTTTATTTTTTGTGTCCATTTTTATTGTCTGTAGGCCATTGTACTACTAATCAAGCTAGCATACTACCAGACCATGCAACATACCTTTGCATCAAATAGTTTAGATACTGTAGGGAGGGGAGCGCTGGTTTATTGAAATTGAGACATCTACTTCTCGTAAATGGTCCACTTGCACTGCTACTTTTTCTTGCTTACTGTTCAGGCAGTAAGTCATTTAATTGTCAGCAGTGAAAACTAGTTGATCTTCCCGAGTAACCTTTCAAATGTGGGCCAACTTATTGCCCGCTGAAATCAGATAAGCTTTGTTACTCATCGTCAGCCTGAAGCTTTCTCTGGTTTGTTTCAGTGCAACCTGAAGATACATAAGGGTGTGAGGGCATTAAATGAACCCTTCGACTAAACTTAGGTTGGCTTGTTTGAAGTGCACTTTGCTTTCTTTCATTTTTTTTTTATTTTTTTTTTTAATTATTATTAAACTTTCAGGTTAGATTGAACAAAAGAAATAATAGCCTAGTTTTACAGCCCTAATTACTGGCTTGTTTTATGGCGAAGAATTACACTGCTAGAGGCAAAGGTCAGTTTAAAGCTTTGCAGGAAACTGTGTCATCTGATGGCCAATTCTCTTTGTCACTTCAGAAAGAGATGAATCCAAAGTTGTTTCACCAAACACAGAAAGATAGTGAGAATACAGTATAGACGAAGACTAAATGGTAGAACACAAAAGCCAAATATCTTAAAAATATTTCCAAAGATGATAAACATACTCTGACACACTACAGATCTTGTTCAGTGAACTGAAAACACATAGAAAGTTACAGCAGCATCTCATCTTATCAATCATTAATAAAAGAAGTGTTACTACATTTTTTTTAACATTTCTCTGTTAAAAAAAATCTTACTTTTTTAGAGAGAGGGTGAGGGGTTTTGGCTTTGATTTTGTAAAGGCCTCCTAACTACATAAAAAGTGTGTATTTAAGACGTAGTGCATTGCTTGATCTCTAACTTTGCTGTACTTAACTGTAATTGCATTTCTAAAGAAAAGACTGTTCCTTTTTTGCTTTTGATATTACAGTATACTGTATATTAATGTGTAGAAGATATGAAGTAATTTTTGCATGCATACAAATGGACTGGGGTTGGAAAGGTCTTGTGTATCTGTTCAGGACAGGACCATTATACTCAAACATTGAAGTGATCAAAAAACTGAAATATAGAACTTCAACCATTTAAATAATAAGTTACATTGTAACTGAAAAAGTAACAGCTATGGAAATGTACACATTGTAATACACCAATTAAAACACATTAGAAACTATGACGTTTCTGTTGCTTTTGTTGTGCTGCAAAATAAAGGTGGGATCCTTTGTTAAATGTTCATACAACAGAATTTGACTGAAACCCTGTATTTGAGTGAAAAAAGTGCAGAGGAAATGTGTTGAACATGCAGGCTAAAAAAAAAGTTATGTAAAAGATTTATGCTCGCTTTAAAAATTCCTGCCATCAACACATTTCATAAAATTGGGCCAGGCTCATATTTACACTGTGTTGCATCACCACTTCTTTCAACAACATTGTAAGTTTGTGGGAACCGAGGAGACCAGTTTCTGGAGATTAGAAAGTCGAATATTTCTCATTAAGGATTCAAGGGTCTACTTTGTTGTGTTTTTCATTTCATTATGCTTCAAATGTTTTCAGTGGGTGACAAGCTGAAAATGCCCTCTTCATATTGAGTCTTATTACAAATTAATCTTATTAGTTACGTGATTTTTTTCCAGTTTTTTTCTTTCATTTCTTTTTTTGGCATTACACAACTCTTTTGTATCCTTGCGGTCCCTGTCTCAACTATAGTGAAGTGTGTTGCCTTCAAAAAGAAAATGAGCATAAATTCTTGGTAAAAAAATTAAAATATAAAATTTGAACTGTGCATTTGTTGTATTTGCACAATTTTCGATTAAATACAGGGTTCAATCATTTCGAAACCATCCAGTCAGGCACTGTCCCAACTATTTTGGAATTGGGGTTGAAAGATTAGCTGATGCTACTAGAAACCTTAGTCAGTGAGACAAAGGCACTCATCAAAATGGGATACTAATTTTAGAGGCAGAGAAATTCGCTTTATAGCATTAACGTGGCAAACATGGTGAATGCCGCAGCACAAGTAAGTTAGCTGAATGAAAATATCCGGGCCACACCACAGACACATGAAGGCTCCATATCAGAGGTGACAGTAGATAGTGCTTTTACGCAACACATGGAAAATGATCCACTGTTTGATTCTATTGTTTTCTCCTTCAGTTTATCCAGAAGACCAAAAAAAAACAAAACATTTGTGCCATATTTGAAGAGACTCCCACTGGTCGTCCAGAGATATTTCACTGTCCCTGTCTGTTCTCAGCATGACAGCTGTACACACGCACTAGGGGCTCCTAAAAAAAGGGGAGACAGCCTCATAATATTCTCAGCTGTTATCTGCAGTATCCTTTGACTAGATTGCATTTTATGTTTCTTCAGTATTCAATGCTGTCAATCTTACTCTTTCACACTTACTGTTATATTTGGTGTTTTGTAATGGTGGGTATAAGTTTTTTAGTTTGTTCCATAAATGCTGGTATGTGACACAGCAGATCAAAGTGCGGCTTGTAAGCTTTGTGCTGTCACTCAATCAGATTTAATCAGAAATTTAAAGGCTCAATCATTTAGGAGAACGTAAGAGTACATCAGAACTTATAAATCCAGTCATTTTAGTTGGATGTGTTACTTAAAACTGTTAATTTTATTGTGATGTGATATCAGACTGCTAGAGAATGTTCTTTTTGATGAAGGAAATATTTTCACTGGAGCTGAATGTCAAAACCAAAATATTACTCAGTACAAAAGTTGTATTATATAAACAAAATAAGGATCTTCATTCTAGTGGGAAAGAAATAGATTGGAAAATTCAGAACAAAGATAAACTTTGCACTTTTTCAGAGGCAGCGGCTTCTTTCCTCTGTACTCGTAAGATGCTCATTTATTAAACTCTCCAAATAAAACAAATCCCCCAACTTTGAAGAACTGAGAGAATGATAAGATGCTAATTAATTGGAGAAAGGGAAGTGTTTGAAAATTACAATCAACTCATCTGGTTTTCATTACGGCTTGGAAATACACTGATGAGGCTCATAAAGTTGCAAAGCTGGGAAAGGAGGGGGGGACCAGAGTAGAAAACACATGGCATGCCACCAAAGTGAGGCTCCTTCCTTGGTTACAATCTATCTTAAAACTATCTTAAACATCATGTTATTACTTTTTTGAATGATGGTCAAATACTGTGAGCAATGTCTCATTTTGGTATTAACTTAGTAATAACCAAAAACACAAAAAAAAAACCAAAGCAGGCTGTGATACTGCGCCAGTATCAAAAAGGAAACAAACCTTATAATGGACAGCAGGTGCATTGGCTGTTAAAATGTGCACTTCAAAACTTTATTTATAATAACAAGCATGTGTCATAAGAGCTTATTGAAACTTAATTCCTAAGTTCTTTCATAAGAAGGAACATTTTCATCTAAGCTTAGGTCAAAAAGCAGAGAACAAATATTTAAGATCAGCACAATGAACAAAACTGTTTACAATTAAAAGTGAGGTGCTGTTGTGTTCTTCTCTGAAATCTGATTGAGCATACTGAGTAAATGCTGTTTAAGAGAGATAGGTCAGGCATTTGTTCTTGGAATACCGCTGGAATGATACATCTCAATAATCTGGTTACAGCACCTTCTATAAATACCTCCACTGTCCACCTCCAGAGTAAACTTTCAAGTCTGCTTACTTCCACTGCCTGGGTCTATTTTGGAGAGCTCTACAGGCTTAAAAACTCGGTCTGAATCAAAATTACAACAGCTTTACAGGTTTCCCTACGGTTGGTTCAAAATGTCACAGGCCCTGTTCTGCCTCTGGGCATCCACAGTCCCACAGATGTGCCTAGGAGGCCCTGCGTGAGTGTTCATGTTAAGCCTGCACAGTAGCTCACAGGAGGCATGTGCCCTGCCAGTGCCTCGTGTGGAATCTGCCAGCCCTGTCTCATCCATACATCTTACTGACCATCGCTTGGTGAGTGAAAGGAGATAAAGCACCGCACCTGCAGATGAGATCACAACAGTGTCTGTTTGCATATTATACAAGATGCAGGTCAAGCAGAAATATAATAAGCTCTCAAGTGTGCAGTGTAAACAGAAAGAAACGGGGTCACAATGAACACAATCAATTAACAAATCCAAAACAGGTTCTATTCAGGTTGAATGGACAGAGATATAAGCTAAATCCTACGGGCTTTGGATTGTTATCTTTAGGGAACACACTATTACAACTATTGACCTGGGCGGCTCTCAAACAATGTGAACAAGAATGCAAAGTATTTCACTTCTCACAACAAGGGAGCAGTGAATAGGGCAACCTTGATTTTCTCTAAAGCCTGGCAGCCTGCGTAGCGTGCATAATGCAACTTATGGTATGGTGACATAATAAACCATTTCAACTTTTTTTTTGCTTCATTATTATTGATACTGCAATTGAACAAAATACTGAAGGTAGTGTGTGGAATGGTGATATTTACCATGACAGACTTGGTAGGCATGATATATGATATTTGTTGGAAGCTCGATATGGAATTATATTCACTGTCCTTTGTACTACTGTAATGATCATATTGTTGGTTCCAGGATCTTTTGAGCATGACATCTACTTTCTTGTAACCACTGCATTTTGCACATCCACTCTATTTATCTAAAACTGTCTGTTTCTAGTTTGTGTGCTCTGTGCTACAGTGGAAACATGGTGGTGCAAGAGGATGGCCTCTGTGTAGGGGAACCCATCCCTATGTGGATATACAAGGCTCATTTTGAGTCAACAAAAAAATTGTAGTCAAATGACTATTCACTTCTTTAAACATGCTAACAAACGTTATATTCCATCTCTTCTTGGTAATTTATTCTAAATGACATTGAAAGCTAAACTATGTGCCTTAAATTATAAGATATTATGTTTCACCGAATCTGTCTCCAATGTCATCAACTATTGCAGAGTTGCTGTATTTTAATATTATTGTGGATGTGGGCAGTAAATCAGGTATCCAATTGTGAGAAAGTATTGTGCCATTCACCACCCAAACTGATACCCTGTTGAGAAATAACAGATGTTAGCTATACAGCACTTTTTCTCTCAAAGTATTTGTATCTTGCAGCCAGAGTAATAATGTCAGCTTTTGGCTTCTGTAAAAGTCTGGATTATATTTCTTCTGCGTCTTCTTATGGTACATTGTCTATTCCTCTGAATGGAGACACAGATGTCTCTAAGAGCTGCAGCAGCTTACAGTTCAGAGCAATGAGCATCAGCATCGACAATAGGAACAGCTGTAATGAGGAGAGGGTGGGGGTGTAATTCGGGAAGATTCTGCAGGAATCTTACGAGTGGACCCCGTTTCATTCGTTTATTGTGGGGACTGAATCACAGAGCTAGGTGGTTAGCCTTCCCTGTCAAAGCCTAAACCTACACTCTGTGGTGGGCATTTAAGGCTTTTATGGTGAGTTTTCGAGCCGTCACTCCAGTTAAGCATGCCTGCTTGTCACCATTAAAATCCATTGAAATTTTTATGTCTCTGGTTGTGTCTGACTGACTTGACGCTGCATGCTAATACTCATTTTTCTTTTCTTTCGATTTGCTAAGCTACCTAACCAGCTAACCGTCAGCCTGCTTCACTACATATGTTAATATACGCGGAGTTATGCTGCACATCATTATTACTGAATATTGACTGTCATGACAGTTTACTCACATTAAAGGTCACGAGTGTTTACTGTCGCATTATGCTTTTTTCGGTCGCAGCTACCTCACCTAGCTTAATAGGAAAACAACTCATTTAGCTGCATTATGTTAGCATCTCTGCTGTTTGTTAGCGTGAGCTCGGTAAAGGCTGGCTAGTGACAAAACGGTGAAACTCACTCACAGACCCGGGCTATTAACCTGTGGTTTTCGCTCACTTTAAGGCTTAAATAGTCTTTAAATATTATGCATTCAATGACCAGGCAAACACAGATTGTAGTAAACACATCCCCTCTAGCAGACATTCAATCGTTAGCGAGTTATAACCATTTGTTTCAGTAATGTGTCAGTGTTCATATTCTGTAACACAAGCTAACTTGAAGCTAACCACTATTAGCCTGCGTTGTTGTCCTCTCAATCAGTGTCGGTATGTCTTTGTGTTGTGCTCTCTATGAACCTCTCTGTCAGCACAGCGCACTTAATTACCCGGTTTGTCAAGTGAAGTACAGGTTAAACTCCGATAACAATGACTGCTTCACTATCCCCCTGTGGAAGCGATCGCACCCTTTCATTGGACCTTACCTATCTCAAGTATGCTTAGTTAAAAAATAAATAAATAAATCAGAAATTTTATCTCTGTATTTGGTTTTTCTGACCTGCTGTCATTAACTGACCATGGGTACTATGTTAAATGTAAAATAAGCCTAAGACGAAAATGTCTACTATTACAGATCCAATGACTGGAATGGACTGATAGCATCGCCTCACTGCAAAGATGTCAAGTAAGGAGATGAGATTTTTTTTTTTTTTTTTTAGCTAATTGTAATGATAACACACCAGGCCTGCTGATTTACATGGACACAGCTATTGTAAGCAAAACTTGTATTACAAGTTGTAGAGTATTACATTTAAGAATTATCAAGTTTTTTTAATTTTTTTTTAATTTTTTTTTAAAAATCTAACAACAGTGTCAAGTAGTTACGGTTGTCTGTCTGGGAGATTTTTGATGTCTATTAAATTATTGGGCCTACAATAACTAAAACCTTTTCTTTCACAACAGAGAGACCCTCCTATGCCCCTCCCCCTCCCCCTGCCCCCACAACTGTAAGTATTCATATAAATGTAATATCTACATAGGTCCAAACGTGACATACTTCCATACATTTTCTTGACTTTCTCTTCCCCTGATAATGATTTACCTTGAACCCTCTGATTAAGACCAGAGTTCAGTTGTGGCCTGGCCCTTTATTAATTTATGAAGGGCAAGATCACTTCTTTTATCAGAGAGACATTGCCAGCTTCCAGTTGTAAACCAAAGGACCTTCATGTTTCTTGCATGAAGGACAAAGTTGCGTTCGCAAGTATCATGCACTCGCCAGCGGTGTTGTATTCAAGTCGTGCCAGTGCAGGAGAAAACGTGCTGCCAAAGTAGAAGGGAAGTGAAAATCTTGTGGCAACAGTGTCCTATTATGGGCTCTCATCTGTCTTTATGAGTTTATGTATGAACATTATCTTATTAAACTCTAAACTCTAGATGCATGTTCAGCTTGTGAAGGGACAAGCTGAACATGCTGGACTGTCCCTGTCATATTAGACAGCTGTTACCATTTGTGTTAACAGAGATTTTCGACTGTGCTTCATTTAAAAACTAATAGACATTATATAGAGCAACATTAGGCTTTATTATCAATTATCCCATTTCCTTCACATCCGCACACACATCTACATTCAGTTGCAAAAGTTTATTTATTGGTAATTCGACACAGAGCTCCCTCACATCTTGGTTACAGCATATAAGCATGGTGAAGTTCAGACATGGTGACATATTGTAGAAGAATGTATTTATAATTGAAGGATAAAACAGTAATTGATATTCACAGTACTTTCAGTTGTTTTCTTGACAGCTCAACGTATTTATCTGCTTATCCTGAAATAACAAGGACAGTTTTCCCATGATAATGAGTGCTCCATATAATAATAAGACAAGATGAGAAGAACTTTATTGATCCCTGAAGGAAAATTCAATGTTGATTCATTGAATTAATGTCAGATGATCTTAACTTGTACTCCACAGAGTTGGGTACAAGTTAAAATCACTATCATTAAAATGGTGACACCTTATTTACCTCAGTATAAGCAAGATGCCATGTCATGTGGTCATTGCTTACCACTGTGGCCACCAGTTTCCTAGATCCCCATAAAATGAACATGCTAGACAATTACACAAACCAAGTGATTAAGATTTGTGAAAAATATAGTAAGTATAGTAACTGCACTCTGACCCTGGATTGATTGAACTCAGCTTCAAAACATCAACAAACTGAAACAACTCACTATCAAAAAGGAAAACTGAGTGATGAAATATGTGGATGCACCAAATATTGTCTGTATATCTAAGCTAAGCTACTGTTGCTATTGCCTGAGTGCCTCTTAGTACTTTTGTGATCTACAAAGCAGTAGTTTTCAAAGAGACCAGCTTTTTGTTTGATCCACCTCTGCTTCAGTTAGGTTAATGTTTTAAATGCCTCAGCATGCAATGCAAGTTTCTTAATTTTGCATTTTCCCTGCTCCCTTCATTGGTCCTTTAAGTTTTATTTTGGCTTCCCCTCCTCTTCTTTTATGTCATTTCTCATTCATATTTCTGTCTCATTTGTTTCATCAGCAAATGCCCAACACAACCGGGTTTGTGGGGTACAACCCTTACAGCCACCTGGCCTACAACAACTACAGACTGGGAGGAAGCCAAAGCAGCAACAGTCGGGTAACGGTATGGATATTAACCTAGAGAAAATTATGTGATCGAAAATGTAGCATAGAGCCAATTGGCAGGGGTGTAACAATTAACTGGGAATGACCAATATTTATCCATTCAGTTAACACATTAACTTTTCACTGAATGAAGAATGAATTTATCATCTTTAAGACTGGCCTTCATTTTCAAGTCAAAAGGCAAACCTGTGTCATTGTTTACATCGGAGCACCAGGTAGACAAAGATAGACAGCCAAGAAGCCCTACATGAAGGGTTCAAGCATTTACTGTCTTCTCTGCAATAAATTGTGAAAGTGACAATATTCAGATATTGTAGAAAAGGTTGGTCAGTGGACACATAAATACCAACTATGCCTTCACAACATCTACCACTCAAGAAACAGTCTGATTTACACCCCTACAAATTGGAGAAACTAAAACCTGGAACAGTTTATTTCCAGTTTGACACAAGAAACTTAGCTGGCACTGCAAGAGCCTTTTTTTTTAGTATTTGGAGCTTTTCCAAGATTGACCTTTGCTTAGTTTGTGGCAAATGAGGTGAGATGTAGTTTGCATTTCTACAGTTTGGAGAGAATGTGCTGCAAAACAGTCAGCATGAGAAGCAAAATTCATTTCATTCCTGAAAGTGAATGAATTCCTGACTTGAAAATGAATCTTAAATATCCCTCTGCTGCCTCCATCACAGTACAGACTGGCTAAGAGTCCATCTGTGAATTCAAATACCACCTGCCTTCCTAAGTCTGCATTTCTGACAGCCATGTTAAGTAACCCATGCCATCAGTGTTGCCATGGCATTACAGACTCGCTGCTCGGCATGGCTCTGGCTGCTGAGCAGTGATTTAGTCGCTGCATGCAAGCTGTGGTTGGCTGACTCTGATAATGGCATTATGGGCAAATCTCGGCTTAAGTGAGATTTTTGCTTTTTTTTTTCACAGCCTGTACTCTGTACTCTGTGGGGTTCTTGACTTGTGTATGGCTTCAAACCGACATTAATTAAATCAAGTTAATAGAAGTGATAAGAAAGGACTTTGATGCATATTTTACTTAATTCCAAGTCAGTTTTGTGTCAAACTCCACAACCAATCGCTGCATGCAATTTCACTAACTGTACCAGCTTGGTGAGTTTTAGCAGATCAGTAAAACACCATGCCCTAAAGTTTTTCTTTCTTTCTGTCCTTTCTTTTTATTTTTTGACAAGAATTCTTCTGGAATAAATATCCCAAAGCCACCCAAGCCACCTGACAAGCCACTGATGCCATACATGAGATATAGTCGTAAGGTAAGTACGTAGTATTTAACTACTTCCTTTCACATCATCATGTGCTCTGTTGGAAGACAGGGATGCTTTACTCTTCAGATATTCAGTCGCTCAGATTAAGTTAGATGACTTTTTGGTTCAGACACTTATAGTTGTCCATACGGTAGGTGTGAAGGCTAAGCAAGCAAAGACTTAGGTAGGACTGTCCACATCAAATAGTGGGATTTATTTACTCGGAGATGGAGCGTAAAGAACACGGCCTCCTCTGGTTTGTGACCTCTCTGCAAAGAGATAACCGCATATAGCCCCTCCAACCCAACCCAACCCCACACCCATGTCTGGTTCTCATCACCAGGTTTGGGATCAAGTAAAAGCCTCCAATCCTGATCTGAAGCTATGGGAAATTGGGAAGATAATCGGTGGCATGTGGAGGGACCTCACTGATGAGGAGAAACAGGATTATTTGAATGACTACGAAGCAGAGAAGGTTGGTTGTTTTACAAGGGGGTGTTTATGGGGTTTTACTCATGGGTGACCAGTAGATGTATCCCCAACAGTTGTGGGTCCCTCCAGTCATCATTCCTTCCTCTTCTAACTGTCCTGGATAAATCTTATGCTGTCCTAGTTGCTTGGAACGAGGGTCCACTTGTGTCTGCTTTCCCTTTCTGTTTCCTCGTCATTTCTGTCATCTTCTCCACCGTAGATTGAGTATAATGAGAGCATGAAGGCCTATCACAATTCGCCAGCCTACCTGGCCTATGTGAATGCAAAGAGCAGAGCAGAAGCCGCTCTGGAAGAAGAGAGCCGTCAAAGGCAGTCCAGACTGGACAAGGGCGAGCCTTACATGAGCATTCAGCCAGCGGAGGATCCAGATGGTAAGGCCACTCGGCTAAATGCTTTGTCTCCCAAGGTTTAGAGCACTGTGACAGAGCTGTAATTACTGCAGCACGACCACACAGAGTTGCCAGTCCGCACACTGAGAGACTGCTATCTTTGTTCCACCTCCTCCACTGCTACAACCATCCACATGTTTGGTAATGCCACCTCTGAAAAGCAATTTCTGCTTTTAAGTCTCACAATGGAAAAAAAAATTAACCTTGCTTTTGCCAAACTGTTTACATTTCGTAGGTATTCTTGGCATTGGTTGGGACATAATTGCGAAATTTACATTCTTTTCCCTGTTGTTTTAAAGACTGACGCACACACACAAGTTAGACACACAACTGAGAAGAATACGTTTGAGTTACACCCACCTCAAGGAAATGATGCTTGTCTGGGCTCTGGCTGGGTTACAGTGGAAGATAATGATGTACAGGAAAACTACAGATAAAACCAATTCCTATTTAGAAACACCCCAGTCTATGAAAATGTCAGAGCTGTTATCCCAGTAGGTTATGTTGTCAACAGACCGCACGTACGTCAGTGATTAAATAAGATTTAGCTCTCTGGGCGGCTGCATATTCAGAGTCTGTTGTAATGAATACGGTCTTAAAGAGACTAAGCTGCTGCCATAAACCAGTTTCTGTTGTTAACAGCACTAAAACAGCTCACAGAGTTTAAGTGCTGGCAAGCGCACTTGAACTAGTAAAATGCAAACAAGGTCCATCTTGCTTTAAAAAAAAAAAAAGGATATCTGAAGGTAGACACTTGAACAGAAGAAACAAAACTTGCCATGAGTGTTTAGATGTGGATAAATGTGATGAAATCTGAAAATATTTGAAGAACGCTGAAAATTTGTAATGCAAATAGCCTGAAAATTTATGCAGGACAGATTTTTGCTTCAAGATAACATTGCAAAATATAACGTGACAATGTACGATATCGCACACTGCCGATAGAAAAAAAACAAAGACCTTTCTTTACTGTTTTCTGTTGTGACGTCAAACCACTGAGAAAAACAGGCACCTTTGAAACTTAAGGATGGCAGATGAGTCATAACTGCTGTCTGGAAACTTTCAAGGCACTAGTACCTATAGGCGTACAGGGGTACCTACATGTGATAGGCACTTTTAACTCATTGCATAACAAAAAAGTCCTGCAAAAAGAGGTTAAAAAAATGTGACTTGTTTAGGACGAGTCAGGTGGTGATGCTGATGAGAAATATAGAAGAACCATTTATCCTGAAACATTCATGTAGTTTCCACTGATAATGTTAATTAATCCGGATCTGGATCTGCAAACTCAGCTCAATAATAAAACTTGCACAAACTTATACTAATCAATGCATTTAACTACCCATTGGATAAGGTATCGATCTCTTCCAATTAAACGTGGTCACCCTCACTAGTCTGCACCAGAACTATTGATTGGTAAAACAAAATATTAGTTATATGACTGTAGGCCTGAAATGCTGGCCATTGTGATATAATGTCCTACTCTAGATGTTCACAGCCTCAGATGACAGACACACAGCACAGCTTTGCAGTATTTTATATAGAAAAAACAGATTAAGTGTGAAGGCTGTGTCTGGTCGACCTGACTTGAACAACTCTAAGCACAGACATATAGACGTTAACATGCAAGGTAGAAGGATGGCTTGTGACTCCTGCTCCACTTATGTCAACCACACTCAGCAGACCAGTTTGACACCGTTTACCTTCACACTCTGTGGTCCCATGTTTATCTCTTTAATTTAACTGTGTTCAATGACAGCTTTTTTCTCTGAGTTTTTCTTGCTTTTAGCTGTTTTTGAATATCCCTTCTTTCTGCTCCATCATTCTTTACATGAATTTCTTTAAAAGCTGTTATTGGCAGAGGTTTTATTGAAGAGCTTTTTAAGGGTGTTTTTTAGAGAAACAAAAAACATAAAACAAAAAACTCTTTGCATACAATTCTGTCAAAGACTTTAATTCAGCTGAGATTTTTCAAACTGGACTATGTTTTGAAGCTGCATACATACACTGTACAGTTTATACATCTTAAATCTGGGCCAAGATGCAGCATAGCAAACAAATTCAAATATAAATGAACCAAATGCTGGTCCTCAAATTCAGGCCAATCCGGTGCTTTAGTCACTAGATTTACTTCTGTATATTTCTCAAAACCCTCTCAAAATTACATTTAATAAAACAACCTATCTAAATCCATCTGGACATGATTCTCAATCACCACAGAGCATGGAAAGAGGGACTTGAGATTATTATTGTCTTTAAAACATATAGATTAACTGTATTTGGATTTTACCTCCCTGCACCATTATCCTGTATTTAAATGGCAAAAGAGGTATACATTTAAGACAAAGATAAACATTTGCTGACGGATGAAAATTGCAGACCACATCTGTCCACACACAGTGGGTTATAATTAACTGCTTGTCCAATTCACCTAACAATAACGGCCCTGCTTTGCCTTTGGATGTATTTCCACATAATGGCCTGTAATTAACTCTAACTCAGTATAAATATTGAGCAGTATCCTCCGTGTGTTTAGAGTGTTTTGATACAGCAGTGTTTGCATCATTATGTCATGTCGTATTTTTGCTGTAGTCACATATGGTAACACATCTCTACCCTTTGACAGGTGTTTAAACATTTATTTCCGAAAACAATCTGATGTTTTCTTTTTCTTGTCTTCAGATTATGACGACGGCTTTTCTATAAAGCATTCAGCTGCATCTCGTTTCCAACGAAACCACCGCCTGATCAGCGAAATCCTCAGCGAAAGTGTGGTACCAGATGTACGGTCAGTTGTTACCACTGCTCGCATGCAGGTCCTCAAACGTCAGGTCCAGTCTCTCATGGTGCACCAGGTGGGTCAAAGCTCCCAGTCTTCACATCACGCTTGAATCAAGCGAACAGACAGATTGTTTTTATGGGTTGCAGTGTAATAGCTGTGGTGCCTGTTTGTCTTGTGTCACAGAGAAAGTTGGAGGCCGAGTTGCTTCAGATTGAAGACCGCCACCAGGACAAGAAAAGAAAATTCATAGAAGCCACAGAATCATTTACAAATGAGCTCAAAAGGGTATGGCATCTTTTGCACGGGGCTTGGTCATCACTTACTCGCACGCAAGCTTCATTTTGCATGTTTAACCTAACAGTGTGCAGCTCTGGTTGTGTGCCAGTCTGTGTCTGCCTTACAGCCACCAGCTGCTGCTAACTCCATCCACATGTGCTGGCAATCATATATCTGTCATCGTTTACAATTTGTAGCCCCCATAATAACTGTTGTTTAGAAATGAGAAGCAGCACCGTTCAGCTGAGTGCACTGCCTACAGCTCACAACAGGTGGCACCATTCAACCTTAACAAAGCTTTGTACATTATTCTGCCTCTGAGAAGTCAAGACTGAACATGACCTGAGGCATTGTTGTTAAGAACACAAGTATGCACTCATTCACTGACATTATCAAGCCTTTTTTATGTAACTTGTTGCTTTGAGTCAAACTTGCACATGCATGTCCACTCATCATTACTCTTTATCAGAAAGAGGATAAAGGAGTGCATCAGTTGTTTTACACCCTTTCTAATCATCAATTGCTGTGCTTGAAGCTTTGCTGTATGAAGGTTGAAGTGGACATGGAGAAGATTTCTGCAGAGATTGCTGCAGCAGAAGAGGCCGCCCGCAAACGGATGGCAGAGAGAGAGAAAGATGCAGGAGAACAAGGTGTAAGGGATGCCCCAACTTGTGTCCTAGCAGAGGAAGACAAACACATTTGTGCTACACATGGCAAAAAGTCCCAGCAAAATCCTTCTGGTGAGAGTAACAAGGACGGCGAGGACACAGAGTCCAACCCCACTGATACACCAGGTGAGGCTCCTGTTCAGGGCCAATCAAACCTGTGTTCAGTTTTCATAATTCTTTGTTTTACGATGTTAGCACAGCTGTTGTTGAAATCAAACGACAGCCCCACAGGTTTTTCAATCTATTAACGTTTCGGTAGAATCTGCAATAGCTTATGTTTTGCAGTTGAGTTTTTTCTTACTCTGTCACCAATTAACAATAAAGCAGGAATTTATTAATTTTAACCACATATCATTTTATATATCATTGATTCAGAAAAGCCAAAGGCCTCAGAGGACCTCGAGGCTCATCCAGGAAGTGAGGAGGGGGCATCGGAAGACAAGGAGAGTGTTCCAGAGGGAGCCATGGAGGAGGGCACCAGCGACAGTAACACGGGCTCTGAGACCACCTCTGCTCAGACAGAAGATGCTCCGACTAGTGAGCCATCAGAGGGGCCAAGCAAAGCCAGAGCAGCGCACTAAGTCCAGCACCTGACTATCAACTTTCAGGCTGATATCATCCTCTGTCTACATGAACTGCACAGTATCATCTCAAAGTATATGAAGAGCATCAGATGGGCACAGGTTTAGAGCGTCAAAGTTTGAAGACACAAAGAAATGCCCTTAATATGAATAAATGAAAAATGTAAAGCACTTGAATGAAGAAGCAATGGTCCTGTCTAAAATCAATGGCTGCTTCATGAGCCACTAGAGCCCATGTGAAAAGCACTATATTTTCTTCACAGGCCTCATTGCCATTTAGTAGTACTCACACAGGCCCTCCTCAGCACATATCGATACATATCTCTCGCACTATGTCTGGCAGATCCCAGATCAGCGCAACTTAAAACTATACAGTTCTATGAGAAAGAAGCTGTCACACGACACAAACATTGTTCAGTGTTATATTTAAAATTGTCTTTTGTATTGTAGTGTCATTATTGCTTTTACGGCTATGTTTGCATGTTGTAATTTTTTCAAAGGCATATTTGTGAAGAGCGGAGCAGGAGGAGAATATTTGTTTACTCTCTGTATCAGTATTACAGTGACAGTATTGTCTCAGGAGTTTGTAGTCATTAGTGGTAGTTATTTTTGTTATTTATTCTTAGCATTTTTATGATACCTGTGTATTGGTTGTCCTGGGCCCAGCCCCGGTCCATCCATGAGTAAATCACATGATCATCGATGCTGTACAATGCTCAACTACCAGTGTTCTGAAGTTTGCTAGCTGTCAATCAAATCAAAAGCAGTATGCTGAGAACATATCTGTGTTATGATCAATACTGCAATTTTTCCAGCAGAGAACTTTTAAATGTACCGTAACTGTATACACGGTGTAATGAGGTTTGCTTTAAACATGGATTTTTATGTCGTACAAAACAGCTTGAACAACAGTCATAAAGCATGCAGTCTTAAAATGAATTTCCTTTTGCATATTTATACCAATAAACTTTTCTACCCTGAGAGTTTTCAGTCAAATGCTTTCCACTTTATGGTCATGGTAACTATATTCCTGTGTTGAAGAAAGATAAAAGGCTCATTTTCAGATTTATCTATTTATATATATATGTATGTGTGTGTGTGTCCTCGAAACAAAGATTTACTCAAGCAGTCATAATGTATTCTAAAAAAAAAAAGACAAAAAAAAAAAAAAGACTTCCTATCTTTGCTCTGTACAGCCAGCTGCATGAAGCATATTTGTCCTTTGTACACTTCAGGTAAGGGAAGTGGGTACAATGAGATGGAATTATTCTGATTTCCTGTTTTCGGTGCAGAGCTCACAGTCCTCCTGAGGATACATATGTGCATGTGACAACATCCAGTAGAACTGCCTGAATTAATGACTGACTTTCACCTGAAAAGAGATTTAATCTTTACTAGTGTACATTACGTCTCTCATGATCAAGTGTTAAGATAAGACAGTGTTTTAGTTTGATTCTGAAAAGTGTCCCCTGCACTGCTGCATGCCATGTTTTGCACAGTGTGGTTAGCGCTGCACCAAGTGAAAGCTACAAACCACAACCGCAGAGAGATACAGGTGTGCAGAAGTCTGTGCAGATCTCAACACGAGGTGGTTATGTATTTTTTTCATGGACTCATCTGCTGTCCAATTCAACGAGGATACAAAATTAAGTTTGACAAGAAGTACAACTTAATAACATTTAAAAGCACCTGGAAGATAAAAGTTTTACTTAGAACACTAAATTCTAGTTTATCAAAGTTTCCTTGCGTGATTGATCATCAACAGGTGGTTGACGTGTCAAAAAAAGAAAAGGGCATTCAAGTAACTGGTACATTTTATACAACCACAGATAAGTGTTTACAGTTCTAAGTGTATGTGTATGAACATTTATCAACTTTTCATGATTTCTACCAATATTATCATCTTAACTGTTTGTACAGACAATTCTGCTGCCCCTGCTTTGCACTTAGCCATCTATAAGGTTGTTATCGTGACTTTATGAAGGCCATTTGTTACCTTGCTACCCCCCCCCCCCCCCCCCCATCTCGTGATAAATGGTCTAAATTAAGAACCACAGGAAGTGGTTATAGTTTTATTTCTTGAGTTAGTGGTGGGTTGTTGACTGTGGGGGGGATTTAACTATGAGTATATGATGAAGCACAAGTTAAACATAAAAACAATGTTTGTGTACTTGTGCTTACCAAGAATATTTACTCTATCTGCTTTCACATTACTACATTTCACAGAGCTAATGTCCCGACTTCTGTTCCCGCTGCTAGTATCATAGCAACGCAATATATTACCATTATATAAATGACACTGATAGTAACTATACAGTCTATACATCAGGGATACTCAACCTCAACATTGGAGAGACAGTGGATAAATTAATCAATAATTAAAATCTAATGATAAAATGTAAATGGTATTATTCTGTATGAAGACAGGTTTAAAACGCTTTGTTCCTACTAAGCTTAGTGGTTGAAGCGTATGCCCTCAACCACTAAGCTTAGTAGCTCTCTTGACCCCCCCCCCCCACACACACACACACACACTCACACTACACGCAACATTCCTTGTCTTTCTTCAGCTGCTGTAATAATGGCAAAACAAAACAAACAAGAAAAAACTTGTTTGCATTTTAACAGTTGCGTTTCAGGAAGGATTTCAATGTACCAAAGTATTTACAACCTGCCTTTGAAGATGTAGATGAATGAACAGTTATGTGTGTGGAAGAAATAGCATGAACTTGACATCTAAGACGTGCAAACGATAAGAAACACAATCAACAATGTTGATTATTCATAAAGTTACAAGTGGTGGTTTCCCCTGAGTATACTCACATGATACCTGAGGGCTACGAGAAAGAACTCTCTGGTGCTTTTTTTTCTCTCACTTCAACAAAAGGAAACCAACATCACACAGACATTTAACTCATTTGTGATCAGTGGCTTAACCTGCAGCACAGAGCTCTCAGTCAGCATGGCATCTTTCAGTGGTGAGTACCTTATCAGGGTTAAACTACGCAGATTAAAAACAAAGTTTACTTGTTTTTCATTCATAAATGAATACATGAAAATGATAGGATGAAAATATCTTTTGCTTTTAAAGCACCAAATTAGTGAAAGCGTGGTAGCATGTTTTTCAAGACAAGAACGACATAAAGTACGCTTTCATATCAGCTAAATTAAAAAAATGCACCTGATGCCTCAAAGTGATACCAATGTTGTAATTGTTGCAGAAGTGGTGATAGTTCCGCTTTGAAAGGGGAGACGGTTAAAATCACAGACACGTTTTGTGAGATTCACTCCATGTTTCTTTAAAACACTTTGATCATACCTGTAATTATTCATGAGACAACATTGTTTGCAGAGACACATATTAGCCATATGTAAAAATAACTACTCAGAGGGGGTCTTTAAAAAAGGACAATGAGGAGCATTTTTATGACAGCACATCAATTGCAACTTTTTTTCCTCATGATTAAATATGTTATTTATGTCGTAACCTTTAATGTGTCTGTGCAAAACAAGTGACATTTAACAACAATGAAGGGACATTTATTGACTATGACTGCCGAGCAATTTCACTGAAATGAGGAACTAGGTCAGTTTTTTCAATGAGCTCATGTCAAACCGCAGCACAGCTGTCTGGATTGGACTACTTGTATTTTTAACAAAGAGTGAAGTAGTGTCATAAGTAAAATGAAATCACACTCATTACAGTAGAGGTGAGCGGTTGGCCGGGTTTTAAAGGGAAACGCCACCTTTATGCCTTTAGGTTTCAGAAATAAAGGGCACTGTACAGCCAGTAAAATCAGGTGTTACACCTAACATATAAAGCTGTTTATTTTAAGTGGTCAAAGTGTTTTAAACAATAAGAGATAGAAGAAATAAGCACGTTGAGATGCTGAAACCTGTCTGCGTTGAACATCAGGACAAGGCTCCTTGTCAAACCCTGTTAAAACTGTTGTTGGGACCTCTCTGCTCCATCCGTGTTTGTACCCCCTGCAGACAAAGTGATTATCTTTTTGTCGTTTTTTTTGTACGTAACATTCATTATTTCCTTTTCAGTTTACTTTTAGGCTTTTAATGGCTTTATTCAGAAGCAGGATAGTGAAGAGAGTACGAACCTAGGGAGAGAACGACATGCTGTGAAAGGGCCACAGGGACGAATCAAACCCTGATTGTTCACTTTGAGAGCTACAGCCTCTTAGGGCCCATCTTTTAACCACTGATACAAACTGGAGCCCCCAAAAGAAGGTTTATTGATAAATGATCTCATCTTCCTTTCTTTTGAAATTCAAGTGTGCAGAAGTAATTATTTAGTGATATCTATCAGCCACCTCCTGGGTTGAAACGCTCTCTTGGTCACCCCTCACCTCAGTGCAGTGTTGGTGACGATCAAATAAAATTAGTCTGTGCACAACAACCAACCACTTCTTTGCATCCAGTGTTATTAAAATTTAACTTCGGCTTTAGAAGGAGGGAGTTGGGGAAGTTTGGAATATTTTGACATTACTCCTTCAGTCTCAGCGTTTCTTTGGTAAACCTATCTGTAACTTGTCTCTTCACTTCAAAGGTCAGAATTTAACTCTTTGATGTTAGCTCTATTTAAACGTATTATCATACCACTCTCTAACTACTACTCTATTGTACAATTTCAGAGCTTGTCTTTGCACTGATGACTCTTTTCTTTATATCAACATTGATTATATACTTGTGCCAAAACCACCACAGCACTTTTTTTGTAGGTTTGTTCAAAAAGACAACCATAACTTAAATAAACTATGCAAACACAAAACAGATCTTATTAATGAAAGCAAGACTTGTAAATTATAATAGCATTCATGGTAACAAAAGAAATGTCATGGTTTTTGGAAAGCTATAAATATACTTTGACAGCCCCATGTGTAACATTTAAACCATGAAATTGTCTATTCTACCCAATTTACGAGAAACATGATCGTTGAAATATTTTTTTTTCTCTGTGTTGGTTTGTGAGAGTGTAAATCATGATCTAGTAGACAGTGTAGATCTTAATTACACAGACATAAAAAATAAACTTCAAATGTAATACTGTTTTTTGCCACTTTTCAACCTAAAGCTAATTAGAAGGATTTCAGATCGACCATCACTCTATCCAAGGCTCTCTCTCAAAAATGTGCCTGATGTCTTAAATTAATTTATTGTGCTTAGCTTGTCAGATGCTCAAACAAACTTCTGAAAAGTTTGGATTCTAAAAAACAACTTACATTTGTTTTCCAGACCTCCAAAAATTTCTTCCAGTTGTGCTGGTATGCTTCGTGAATTTGAAGGTAAGACAAATGCACTTGCTTCACCTTTCATTTTTTCAGAAAGTACCGATGGGTAATTAAAAGACTGAAAGCAGCAAGTAACTAACCACAAACTTCCCCCTCTGTACTATTTCCTCTGAGAAGGTGGTTGGAAAATGTTCTTAAGGGTAAATATGTACAGGGTTGGTGAAAAACAAGTAGCTCTTTATTTATTTATTTTTTATTTTCACATATACTAGTCTTTAGCTATCCTAATTTTGCATTCTTGCCGTCTCATTTAGACTCCACTATGTAAAAAGTGCTATACTTAATGAACTATTTCTTTTGTTTTTTGCTCCCATTTGATCATTGGATCTTTCTTTGCAGTCTTGCTTGTCTCAGGATGAAAATTCAACCTTTTTGTATGACCAATATGACAACTTCACCATGGATTATAATGACATCCCGCAGCTCTGTGTCAAAGAATCCAACCGCAAGTTTCGCAGCTGGTTCGTGCCGACCTTCTACTCAATCATCTGCTTTCTGGGGCTGGTTGGAAACCTCCTGGTCATCCTCACCTTCCTCTACTTCAAGCGTCTCAAGACCATGACTGATGTGTACCTGCTCAACCTGTCAATCGCAGACCTCGTCTTTGCTCTGTCCCTCCCCTTTTGGGCAGCTAACTCCATTGCAAAATGGGAGCTGGGCATAGGGGTGTGCAAGCTGATGAACACCGTTTACAAAGTCAGCTTCTATAGCAGCATGTTCCTGTTGTCATTCATCAGTGTTGACCGCTACTTCGCGATCTCCAAGGCAGTCTCCGCTCATCGTCACCGCTCCAGCGCAATATTTTTCAGCAAGGTGTCATCAGTGGTCATCTGGGTAATGGCACTGATCTTCTCAATACCAGAAATGACCTTCACCAACGTCAATAACAACACCTGCACCCCCTACTCCAGCAATTATGACCGACTCCGTGTCAGCCTCCAGGCCAGCCAGATTATTCTGGCTTTCCTGCTCCCTCTCCTGGTCATGAGTTTCTGTTACAGCAGTATTGCTCACACCCTCTGCCAGGCTCGTAACTTTGAGCGAAACAAGGCAATCAAGGTGATCATGGCTGTTGTCACTGTCTTCCTGGTTTGCCAGTTGCCTTATAACCTGCTCTTATCCTGGAACATAGTTGAAACAGCAAGAGGAGGAGCCAAAGACTGCGACTACGACAACCGTCTCCTCTATGCCATCGATGTCACCCAGTGTGTGGCCTTCCTGAGGTGCTGCCTGAACCCTTTCGTCTACGCCTTTGTTGGTGTCAAGTTTCGTCATGACCTCCTGAAGCTGCTGAAGGACTTCGGCTGCATGAGCCGGGAGAGGTTCTACAGGTACACCTGTGACAGGAGGAGGAGCTCGGGTGCCACAGACACTGAGACCACCACCACCTTTTCACCGTAAAGCTGTTTTAGTTTGGACAAAAGCCAGCTCACACCTGCACTCCATGTAAAGGACTGCTGCACATTATAATACAAAACAACAACAAAATATCAGTGATTCTCATCGATGGTACCAAGGTGGGCACAACAAGTGTATTAGCCAACAACTTTATTTTACCTTTTTTTATCCGTTTAAACTCACCATTTGCAACCAGTGAACAAAATGTGGTGCCCATGTCTGAGATTTTCAAATTTAATTTGCATATATCAATTTGAACCATAATGACACACTTGATGAATAATTCTGGATAAAAATATGTAAATATATTTTTTTACTTACTTTTTTTGTTAAGAGCATTGAAATCGATACTTTTGGCAGTGATGCATCACTTTTTTTTTCTGTAAAATACGCATTTGTGAAAGGGGAGTGGGGGGATCTGCTTTTCTATGATACAAGAAGAAATTTTCACAATACACAAATATTTCACAAAAGAACCATTTGTATAATGCAAAACTATATCACGTAAAAAAAAAAACAGAAATTTCACACAAAAAATTTATGAAGCACAAAGTCATGACACAAAATACTAAAACATTTACAGAATTTATTACATGTTTGTGTTTGTAAATGTTTTTGCATGTCATGAAATATCAGTGTGTTTGGTTGATTGTTCTTTTATGTTTAATGAAATGTTTGTTCAGCTGACCTTAAGGACCTACATAACATGCTAATGTTATCACCTGTTATAATTGTGCAACATCAAGTGAAACAATTCAAGACATGGATTGTGTTATTTGGGCGTCTCTCTAAAATGTTCTGCCCATGAATGATGGCTGAAGACCAGACACATATTAGAGAAACAGCAGGAGGCAAGACAGGACACGCTGCTGTGGAGGAAAGTTTTCAGTGCCAACGAAGAGATGATGTAACCTCTTAAAGAAAAAAAAAAGGAGGGAACTGTATTCGAAAGTTTTCAACTGCAGCTAACCCTGTCCCACCCCTCGATTCCTCCCCTGCTTCAGGTACTTGTGTCGATCCGGGAGAAACTTTGTATATACAGTCTATAAGTAGCAGAGTAACCATTATTGCTTTTTTTTTAAGTTTCTTTTGCATGTATTCTTGTCAGTTATGGTCAAACTTTGCTCATTTCCTTATTCTTGGACAAATAAAAGAAAACAGCATTATTAACTTGGCCATTTGATAAGTATATATCCTGAAAATATAAGAGCCTGACCTAAACAAACCAGTTTTCTACTTGTCCTTTTTTGTATTTGTAAAAGAAGAAACAAGATTAGCTGCACTTGAACAAGACTTTGTCTGTCCTGACTTCATCGATGTGAAATTGTTGTGTAAAATGATTACACACTTTAACACAGATGAAGAAGATTAGATAAGGACTTAAACGTGAAAATACATTTAATTCACACAGTAGTATCAATAACTGCCAATGACTAGGATTTTACATTTAAATGTAAGTTAAATGTAAAGGGCAACTGAATATGGTTGAAGTTGAAGGGAACATTTAGCCTCTCATCTAAGAGCTCTGTCTGGTATAAAACTGAAGATGTGAAGAAACAAAGGAAACATTTTAAAATTATGAATCCATTTTAAGTGCTTCAAGGTTTTTAACTCTGAAACGTTTACCCATATTTGAGTTAACCTTAACAGACAGCGTGGAGACTTTGGAGTTTGCTGATCATAAAGAAGAGCAAATGAACAGTCAAAACACAAATACATTTACCAACAAACTTACTTTACTGATTCTAGGAGATTCTTCCAGTAAGGATGTCAGATGTTTTTAATGACTGAATGAATGTATAAACAGTTTTCTGGGAAAAAAAAGTGACTTTTGTTTTACTTATTTAGGAGAAAAAAATTACTTGAAGGAACAGAAACTTTTAGAGTTACCTGGTTTGTTCCAGATTATTTTCAAAGTTACTTTTTTGTCTTAAATAGGTCAAAAAGCACCATCCTTAGTTAGATTACATGACAATATTCTCTTTGGGGATTTAGATCCTCAATTAAACTGACTTGTAATAAAACAGCATTTGAAACAGTACTTTTACATTTATGAAGCCACAGAAAGGAGCTGTGCAGCAACTTGTTCTGTTTGTTTCATGTCACAAAGCCACTGCTTACAGATAGAGGTAAATAAAACCTGAACCTCTCTGGACCCTATCTTCTCATAATCACCTATCTTCTTCAGGTAAAAATACCACTGTAAATCACTGCAGATCATCTATACTGCACCAGAACAACCACAGCATTTCAGGAGTACAGGTATTTATCACAGATTCAATCAAATCAATAATTTGATCTCAGTCCATGCCTGCTCTCCTAAAATCTTTAAATCATTATTTAAGTGTGTGTAGCAGTCATATTAGATGGTAAAATAAAGGTATTCATTTTCTAAATAACACAATATTGTCTTTGCTTTGTGACCTGCCCTTATTCCTAAATTAGGTTCAGACGTATAAATGTCAGGAAACCCAGTTTCTGACCACACATTAATGTCATTGAATCACTATAGGGATCTCTGTCGTGTCAGACAGCCCTTCATTTAAGTAGTTATATATCCTGATATAGTAGTTTCTATTACTGCAGCCATGTTACGAGATGTTTAACCACTCAGTCTGGTGAGGGGGTGTCCTAGTGGTGTCAGTGAGTGATATTGATGTCTTCTTTACTGATTGGGCCAAAGATATATTTTTAAAGGATGTGATCAAGTTCATAGCTTGTCAAATAATGCTATTATTAGGTCTTGAGCTCTTTCAGCTTTATTAAGTCTTTTTTCAAAGAAGCACATATCTGTTTAAAATGGGGATACTTGATTTTCACTTGTGTCAAATACCCATGATTTTTGAAAATCTTTTATTTCATTAGACACCTTTATTTTATTGTGAAACATTGTCACTGGTATCTGTGAGGGGCACAAGATCAATAAACTTTGTTTTTTTTCTCTCGCTTGTAATAGCATCATTACATTTCTAAATAAAAAGCACTTTCTATGGATACACTTTTAGTACAGCAGTGTAAGTCACGTCTCTGTGTACTCATCTGATCTCACTGCCGAGAATACTCACCCCTGGAGCCATACGCTTTACACTGCCAAGATGACATCATCAGTGGGAGCCGCTCGGATTAGTTATTCTTACTGCTGATAGGCTAACAGGGAAAAGGGTTGGGATTTCATTAATAAAACCAAGCAACAGACTAAATGTCCAAGCAAAACAGAGTAGAATCTGAGAGTTCAATAGCAATACATGATAAAAACCCTGACAAGAAGAAAACAAGGTAAGATGACCTTTTTTCAACTCATAATCCTAAATCTACAAGCTTGTAGTCTGATTGAAAACATTATCTGTTAAATTTAAAGAAATATACTCTTATTTGTCTGCATTTCAATCGGATTTGTACCCGTTCAGTTTTTCTTTGTTTCGTTGTAGTTATTGTAGCAGGTCAGGATAGGTCACAAAAACCTTTAATGCTTCATGTATGCTCTCTTTTCAAAAATGGGATAGCAAATTAATTCAATATTGCACCACAGCTGAAATGGCAATCCAATACAGCATATAATCAGAGTGAAGATTTATGATTTCTCATATGTGCTTCTGAAAAGGAAAGAAGTCATCAATAGTCTGAATTGTTCCTAAAAGCAAGCTTTTTTGCTCTCCACACTGCTGCACTCTCCTATGAAAGTTGTAGTTGTTGTAGAAAAACACTGCTATTGTCATGGAAACCACTAGTCACCAAGGTGACTCAGAAAGCGCCGCGCCTCGTCTGAAGCGCAGAAAAGGGAGACACAGAATGATCAGATCATCCAACAAGTGACACACCCTCACTATTCACGCTGATATCAGCATTGATGTAAGCCCTTTACTCAGTCTGTGTCACTCCTGTTAAACTGTGTGTTGTTACATAAACTCAAAAGCTGCTGAAAAGATCTGAGCTGCATGTAGCCACTGAGACTCTCAGGTTCACACACTATTCAGTGTCCTCCTGAAACACAACAACTGCTTTGGGTCATCCTCCTGCTTCTTATGAGCATATGACAGGCTGAACACAAACAAGATACAAGATACAACGAGATACAAGATACTTTATTGTCATTGCACTTATGCACAACGAGCAGCTGTGGGTCTTTTACATATTAAAGGAAACGCTTTAAATAATGTAATATAGAAAACATTACTGAGTGCAGAGTGTTGCAGTGAATGTGCTTTTTTTTCATAGTTGTGTAAACTGATCAAATTTACTCCATTTGCTCTGGCATATTCCAAATCTGTTTTTTTTTCTTCACATTTTGCAAACAGTTATAAAACCTGATTCCCTGTAACTGCTAATTGGAGTCTCTTAAGTGATGTGTGTACCAAAACAATAAGCCGTTTGAGTACCATAACGATAAGTCCCAGAAAGGGGACATAGCTAAGGGGACAGTTGTTTGATCATTTTGCAGTCACTCTTCGTTTTCTCTTTTTGACTGGTTTGATTCTGAACTTTTCATCTACAATAAGGGCAAGTTCATAGACAAAGTTCTCAATAAAAGGATTTTAACTAGAAATGTATTTAACTTTGAAAACTGACAGATTGAAAAGTCATTCCATTAAATATCATTGAGTACAGGAATTTTTACGAAGAAGTAGTCTTTTTAAATGACGGTGCCAAGAAAAAAATGTTCCCAGTCTACAAAAAAACATTTTCATGTCAGCTAATAAACGAAGCACACCAGCCATCACATCATTCTGGGAATTTTCTGCATCCTACATTTATTTTAGTTGGAGAAACTCCCTGTTTGTCATGGACAAACCGGTTTTGATTGTAGAAAAAAAACAAAAACACTTTTAGCTATTTTATTCCATTTGTTGTGATTGAAGAACACTTCAGGGTTAGTTTGTCATCTGTAAATGATAACGCACTACAATGAAACTATAATGAAAAACTGAGCACAGATGATAAGGGTTGCTGGAAGCATAAGGTTGGATACAAGTATGTGGGAAAAGAAGGTTATGCTGGCTTTGTTTTGCAAAGAGGACAAAAGCCAGGCAGTCATTCCAGTGAGGACAGTGTAACTGATCTCTCTCTCTCTATTGTGTTTCTGTCTTTACTCCCTGCAGAAAACTGAGAGCTGATCTAACATGATGCCTGCAGCTAAAGGCATGTCCCATGTGATACCCAACCATGTTCTGAGAGTGGGTCAAACTATCCAACTGGGCTCGGCCCAGGAGAAAATTCTCAAGGAGCCCAGCAGTAACCATGACGACCTTGACATATCCCTGGATAATCTCAACCAGCTCATGCTGGATCTGGATCCGTCGTTTGAACCCATTCGGGTCAACAAAAGTCCCTCATGCACCAGCCCGTCTACAGGTACAGTAAAACTTTGAGCCTGCTTTACATTCAAGTTTTCCTCTTGTCTCTCTTTCAACCTGAAGAGGTGTGACACAGAGTGGAGTTAACCCATAGTCACCCTCATTAAACAAACACCACACATAGCCTGGGGATTTGGAAATTTACCCTCCCTGTTTGGGATGGCTTTGATTTTTTTAACTATGGGATAATTGCACCACTTCAGCTGTTCTGGGATTACTGCCCAGACTAGCACCACACCCTGCTGCACATGTTAAGTTACAGATGCAGAGAAGCTCACCAAGTAAGTCGCACATCGGGGTGGTATAGTGGTTTCTTCAAACAGAGCTGCTCTGATCAGAAACTGTGCACAAGAGTCAACAAAGCCTGTACTTAGATTTCCTGTTATCACTTTTTTTCAACGTGAAAGACGTTGGTTGTTTGGTTATGAGTGCTACGTTTGTGGTGCTAAGAAAAGAAGTGTGAAGAAAATCATCAACAAGCTTAAGACAGAAACAGAACTTTTAGGCAGAGTTAGTGAGCACCACCTGTGGTTGTGAAACATGGTAATTCCACCTCCAGTCCCAGACAGATATCACTATTTCTGTGCTACTATCAGTCACTGTTATGTAATGCCAGTTGCAAAGCCGTGACACATGCACTGACCAGCACCTACAGTGTTTTCCAGCTGGTAAAAAAAGAAACTTGCTCAGCGCCCATCATCACAGTGAGGCAAACAGATCCTCAGGTACACAGGGACAAGTCAGGACTGCTCTAAGGGATTTTGTTTCCTCGCAACAGCAGAAATGAACATTCAAAGCATTCGGTTTTGAAGGAATGGCCTGTGCTCTACAAGCAGGTTCCTGCATGAGAAATATGAATGTTTTTATCACTCAACTGTCTTATACAAACAGCTGACTGTTTGCATCCAGAGGCCAAGCCCATTTTACCAAGAGAAAAGCAAAGTGTAAAGTCTGGGAAATGACACAACATGCAGGGTTTTTTCCAAAGACTTACACATCTCCTTTGGTATTGCAAAACCTTGATGTAGTTTTTTTTGCTTGAACTCCTCTCTCTACCCTCAGATGATTCCTGCTCAGATGAAGATGTCTCCCAATGTGTTTTGGTCCCTCGAGGATGCCATCCCTGCTTGTCACCCACTGTGGCCCCATGTGTGTCACCCAGTATCCCCATCCCAACACAAAGCAGTGTCAGCCACAGTCCACAAGGGGCACTTGTGTTTTCAAGCTCCCCATCGTCCTCCCTGCCTCCACTGCCAGGTGGAAGTGTTCCCCGAAGACAGCCCTCACCAAAGCAAGAAACAGGATGTCTGCGACTGTCACACTCCAACAGAAACAGTGTCACCTCGCTCCTCTCTATGTCCACATGCTCAGACACCAGCTACATCCTTGGCAGGTAATACAAAATACCAAAACATTAAGATATAATTGAAAAATGTTTATATGTGTTTTTAAGAAGATCAGTGGTCTATTGAGACCCAGACTAGGACCAGTTTGTAGGGGACTGATAGTAATGGGATTTTAAAGTGAATCACTTATTTCATGACAGACATGACTGTCCGTAACAAACATACATATTTCATTTTGAATTTAATCACAGCAGGATCAAACTCATTCATTTCTTCCTTTATATTAAACCTCATGATAAATATAAAGACAGAAAGAAATGATTGTCCTTCTATTTGAAGTATGAGTTCAGTTGAATGTCAGACAAAAACATTCTTCACACAAAGATATGGGCTTCCTAAAGACAGATTCATATATGTATGTTTGCCAATAAAAACATCAATGTTAAAGAAAATATAGTAGAGAATTCAACACTGTTGCTGATTTAGAAATACTGTCAACCCCCACCAGTTATGCTCTAATATTTCCATTTATTTCTCATCATTCTTGCACAGCAACCTGTCACTGGCCAGTGAAGACGCTGATTTTCCAGAGTCCATTCTCACTTATTCGCCCGGCGACGGGTCCAGAATGAGGACGACCGACAATCAGCTCAGTCCAGAAAAGCCTCCACTGATGAGGCGAGGACATCTACAAGAGCAGCGTGGAGCACATAGCAGTCCTGCCTCACTGTCGAGCTCTTTGACAGACATTCCTATACTGCTTGTCAACGGCACACCACAGCAGGATATGAACATCCACTCTCTTGGGCCAGAGATGGACTTAACGCAGACTACAACCATGTACAACTCCAAGCCTGTCGCCCCTCACAGTAAGCAGCACATTGAATTGAGGTTTAATTTTGCAGGAAGTTATCAATATTCAAACTATTTTTGGTCACACTGACGTATTTTTTGATTGTTCAGGTTTCCAAGCCCGCTTTAGTGGCAGCCAGCCATCGATGAAGTTCGTCATGGACACTTCAAAGTTTTGGTTCCGTCCACATATCAGCAGAATGGAAGGTGAGAATCTCAAAATATCACACTGAAGATCTCTGGGTTCAGATAGTAAAAGCTTTCTTCAGGCGCAGTAGTTTTTAATTTTTAAGGCTTTGTGACATTTCTGCACTAAGACATGACTGTAGGACAAACACTTCTTGATGTTCATTTTGTTGAGAGTAAAATTAACAATAGAGTGTTGTCCATGTCAGGGCCATATATATTAGGAAGTCACTACTAAGGTGTTCTGACTAAACAGAGCAAAGAGGCACCAATGCTTATGAATCCTCTTGTCCATTTATGGTCACTTCTGGCCCCAGCAAAAGAAGATGGCAATGACAAAAACGCTAAACTTTGACTTTACAGGAGTTATATCAACTGTCTGGTCAGAGTTCATGTCAGAATCATAAAAATAAATGCACACTATATCAACACTGAGCATTGTCTTCGATTTCTTCTTGATTCTAGCTGAAGCACTGCTGAGAGACAAGGAAGCAGGAACATTTGTGGTGAGAGACAGCACGTCCTACAGAGGCAACTTCGGTCTGGCTATGAAGATCGACCAAACATCTGCCAACTTAGATGCCAGCGCCTACCCAGGTAAACTTCTACAGTACAGCTGCTTTTTAATCATACACAGCTGTTTACATAACTTTTTTAGTATTCTAGGGAGAATTTAAATTCCAGGTAAAATAAACTTGGACTTAAGAAACCCAGTGGTGTTGTACCAGCTGTGATGCTACATTTTCTTTAGCTGTCACTTACCGTCATTGTTTTACTAATTCAATACAACACAATGAAATGCAATGCAGAACAATATGATGCAAAATGATAAAATAGGATATTGTTCATTTTGGAAGTATTGGTGTGATATGGTAGGATAAGGTAGGACAGGATTGGACAGGACACACTAAGACTGCCCTTTCCCTGCATTACTTTTTTATGTCCTGATAACAAAACACAAAGCTACAGGTGTAAAAACAGCTTAAAATAAGAGGTAACAATAAAACGTACTCTTAGATTGGTGTCTGTGACGTCACTCTCTCAGGTGTAGAGATACTCACATCACAGATACAAAGAGTGGGGAGAGAGAGTGAGATTGTCCTCTAGTCTCGACATCGTGGATGGCAATCTTGGTCACACAAATATAAACATATACGGTGGTCAGCAAGTATAAAGTTGTCCATCTAGGGTAAACACTGACAAATATCAGTTACGAAATTTTCAAATACTGCTGCAGTGTCTCTGCACCTCTATTCAGCTACATAGATATCTAATGGTGTTGAGCAAGAAGAACTTAAAGGTCGATATCTCTCTCTGTTGCTTAAGAATGGGCGTTAGTAATAGGTTTTGAACTTATCAACTGAACTGTCCCTGAAGTGTACCTATTCCAGCTGTCTCTCTAGGCACTTTTACTTCCCTAAATGCTTTTATTAAATGTTGCAGCGGCAGTAACATTTCTGGGTGAAATGGAGGAAAAATGGTCTGGAAAAGGAAAAACTGTGCAAACACAATGCAGCACAGTGCTGCAGTTGTGATGTGTTTATACCAAGGCCAGAAAGGCACGAAAAATCACTTACCAAACTCTGGTGATGTGAATGGGCCTGTCTGATGATATCCAGCTATCTGCGGTGAGGCAGGAGACAGTGTTGTTTTTTTTTCCATCCGCAGTATACACTGTGTAAACAAAAAGAAAACCAGCTGTTTACGGCAGTGTAAGCAATCAAAGAGGGAAAAATGGACCTCACTCACAAAACGATTTTGTGGCTAGCTTCATTTGTGGATTTGTATTTGTTTTACAGGAATGGAGGATATGAAAGACATATGAGCTTTGTGTCGGGAACTGAGACCATTTCTAAGTGCAGAATCAGGGTTATGTTGTCAGTTCAAATATTCCTCTGCTAAATTATTCCTTTAGGGTAATGAGAAAACACAATTACCCTTGGCTGTAGGAAGTTATATCATATTTCCCCTTTGTAACTTCCATGTTGTTTTGAATGTTAAATGGTTTGTGTAAAAAAGTCAATCAATATTATAAAAGACCAAAGGTGAACTCAGAGAAAAGTTAAGTACATTTAATAATAATAATTGACAAAAAAAGAGATTCTTCTTACAAATTGCTGCTATCCCTAGAAGTGTGGGTGTATGAGTATATTCAAATTCAACTTTATTTAAATGGCATATTTCTTACAAGGATGTAATTCAAAGTGCCCCACAAAGGTTAAAAGCAACAATAAAACCCAACCCTCCCACCCACACACACACCCATAGACGCACACACACATCCATAGACGCACACACACACACACACACACACACACACACACACACACACACACACACACACACACACACACACACACACACACACACACACACATACATACATACACAAGCGCACACACACAAGTGCACACAGAATGAGCATTTAAGTTATATTGTTAAAGAGACATGGCTTGACACCAACTATCTACATTCATTCATGAGTGTAATATTTTGTGTAACTAAATCAAAGATGTTCAACAGAGAAATCAATTCTTGTAGCTATTTAAAAAGAGTTAAACCAAAGGGTAAAACAAAACAACATGACTGTGATAGATGCTTAAACAATAATATGATTGACATAAAAAAAATGATCAGTTCTGCATCCCATTCCATTTCTTTATCCACATTTATTTGGGTTGGAACTATTTTTTTTCCACTGTGTTAGAGCCCAACCTTTGGAGCAGGTTATTCACTGCATAATTGCAACACTGTTTTGTCTCACATTTCCCTCTCTAAAAGACTGCACCTTGAGGATTTAGACATCACCCTTTCCCATATTGCAATTTTAATAATATCTGAGTAAAATATACAGCCATACTTTTAGATGAGTTGACCTTTCACCTCTAGAACCAGGGATAAAACAAAAATCAGGAGGAGTTGTATTGTTGTAATTTTTAGGTACAAAATGTCATATGTCAAGAATAATGTTCAAATATCTGGTTTATTTGACCAACATCTGGCACTACGTAATTTGTCTGTAAATATGGACTGGTTGGTTCAAAAGATACTTAAGATTATTGTGATTTTTTTCTTGTCGGCTTTTGCATCTTTATCATAAACCGTACATTTACCGTATTGTTTGCTTGTAAATGATTGAAACTTTTCCATTCATGTGCAACAGGCGAGAACAGCTCAGACCTCATCAGACACTTCCTCATTGAATCATCAGCTAAGGGCGTACGCATCAAAGGCTCGTCTCAAGAACCCTACTTTGGTAAGTTGAAGTTAATTATAAAAACAAGTTTTTGGCGCACTCCTATAACTTAAATCCCACTCATAGTAAACCTGCCCACTCAATATGAGTGAACATCCTGGTGTGGCTGGCATATGCCTGAGTCAGCCATGTCTAGCCTGTAAAGGTGTGGGTGGGAAGCAGTGAGTGGATCCCTTTCATCATTCAAAGGTATGAGTTCTCAGGGTGTGTTCTTATACAAACAGATCTATTATCAGAAGTTATCCTATCACAGTCTGTGGGTGTATGGAATAAGGCACATGCGAGACTCATGCATTTGTCAGGAGAAATCCTGACATGACGAACAAAAAGTATCGCAACCTACAGTTGTCATGAGTCAACTTCACTGCAAAATCTATGGGTGTAAACTGGCACTGAGCTGAAGCAAATGACTTAAACATCACAAAGAAAAGGTATGCCACCAAGTTGGAACTTACAGACAGGACTATCAAATTTAATAATACAATTACTGCTGGATATTGTGAGGTTTTCTGACCGTATTTTGTCGAGAGAGGAAATACATGTCATACCTGAGCTTAACCAAACCATTGTTTTGTGTTATCTTTGCAGGTAGTCTTTCTGCTTTGGTGTACCAGCACACAATTTCTGCTTATGCGTTACCCTGCAGACTCGTACTTTACTCCCAAGGTAGGCAACTACTGACAGACTGCTGTCTTTGTGTGTGTGTGTGTTTTGTTCACAAGTGAAAGATACAAAATGTTGAACTCACCTTGTATTTCTTACACAGACCTGAGTGCAGCAGAAGAGAGGACGTATGATACAGCAGAATGTGACAACAAACAAAGAACAGGTGAGACATTACCATAAAGTGTGGAAGCTAAAGCTGATGTGCATCCATACATTTTACTTCACTTCTTTTCCTCTGATAACAAGTTGATTTTAGTTGTTGTGAGATCCTGACTTAATGCTAGATGATCATAACTAAAGGCGAATTACACAGTGCTTATGTCTTCAAAATGATTATAAAAAATGATCTCATCTACCATGTGTAAGAGTTACTATTTAGTTCAAAGCAGTTTTTTGCATTAAGCTGTAAGCATTACTCACTTTGCTGCAGAATTGGTCATTTGGTTATGAATCACCACAGGAATTCCAGGGCTTCTGATACCAGCTTCATGTCCATACATGATAGACTGCATTTTTTCTCTCTCACTCACAAGCTTTATTTTAAAATACTAGAGGCTGCCTCGAGGATACTTTGAGATAAATATAACAAAAGCTTGATAAAACAACATGACATTAATCTTCAGCACTTAAAATGGAGTAAATAAAACGTATGGATGCAAGACTACTAAGAGCTTTTGTAAACCAGAACATAAACCGTCTTTGCTCATATTGGCATAAACTATATTAGATATACACTCTACCAGTTATCTTTGAGTAATTTTTTTTACCAAGTGTTGTTTTTCATTTAATCATTACACCTAAATGTTTTCTTACACTTTTCTGTCCTATAGTCATATTAGTCCATAATTTATTCACCTACTTGTAGAAATTGTCAACAGTGGCTTCTCCAAATTGAAAAAACTAAGTTAACTAACTTTGTTCAGAAAGTCCTTGGTGAAAGATAACTTCATAATTGTCTAGAAATAAAAATATAATTTAGATTTACTCATTGTTCATTACATAAAGGGAAATGACTAGTTTGACAGTGTCACTCTTATCCACAGATGTTCACTGTAGCTTGCTAGTTTTAGGCACAATCAACCACTGACACCTGTACTGTGGTTTTTGGCCCAAACCGCAGACTCCTAAAGGTGAAAACACTAACCTTAAAAAATGATGGCTGAATAACAGGAACACATCACCAAGGTCATGCTGTTGTAAATACATGGCTGACTAACTGTGACATACCTCTTTGAAAGCTTGGCCTGCATTCAGGTAGAAATTTCCAGCAGCAGATAACCTCCACATATCCTTGGATCGAACTTTATCCTGTTGTTTCTACATTATGATGGCTGATGCCCTATTATTTATGCAATATTTACCATGTTTTGTCAGTTAAAGTCTCACTCCAATCGTTTTTTTTTACTACTTAAAGTGTTCTCAGTCGTCCTTAAATTGTGATTATGGAGTTTTTACCAAAAATTGTGTTACCTGTGTCATTTTCAAGGGCTTTTCTTCTGCAGAGCTCCAGTAGATCACTAGCATTTAGCCTGCGAGTCGTGAGTGGAGACAGCGCTGCTCTGCACACTCCTCTTTGCGTTAGCTTGTAGCTTATCATTGCCTGTGCAGCAGAAGTGGCAGGTAACATAGGAGCTATCCTGCTCTAATGTCTTTAGAGACATGATGAAATCTAATGCCATAATTAGCTTTCTTACGAGCTAACGCACACGCTTGTTCTGCGATAGTACTCTCTATTTCTCCCCTATATGCAGAGTGTGGCCTGTATAGCGGGGCTCTGAGGATGGAGCTTGGATTGGTTACATAAGAAATCTCATTGTATCTGAACCTGCTGTTTGGGTCTGCCAGTCGAGATTCACAGCAATTTGAATGCAGAAATACTCAGAAAAGCAATTTCGCATTTAGTTTTCTCATGATATGTCCTGTAGCATCAGATAAATGCCATATGAACGGATAAAAAACAAGAAAAACATGATTTTCATCAAAGTGGGTCATTAAAGGGATGCCAAAATTTTTGCCTTAAGTGTACAAATATCAAGTAAATTTTTCCCACAGTGTCTTGCTTATCACTTTTGATTGATTAACCACAATGTTTATTTCTTCTGCAGCTTCCAATTTCGTCTACCTGAATGCCATTCCTGTTGAGATGCTGACAGGGCCCTGTGCAGTGCAGAAGGCTGTGTCCTCCACATTTGACAAAGCCCCTGGCTCCTTCACACCAACTATTGTGAACCTGAAGGTGTCTATGAAGGGTGTCACACTGACGGATATCAACAGGAAGTAAGACAATCTACATCCTGTCACTTTGCAGCAGAGATTTTTCCGAGGTCATGTCACAGAATAGTTATCACATTTTTTTTTTCTCAGGCTTTTCTTCAGACGCCATTACCCCGCTCACCTGCTCAGCTACAGTGGCGGAGATCCAGGCAATCGATTGTGAGTACACAGCAATACATGCCAAAAACCAGGGAGACCTATTTTAAGAAACACAAACTGACACAACCCCCTGAATGGATATACTGTGATGTGTTTGTTTAATTTAAGTGCATATGTAGTGTTGGTTAGATTAGGTGTAACTGTTTCCATCGGTCCCTGATGCTTTTATACTCTCAGGTATAAAACAGAGGGTGAAAACTGAAACTTCACTGTTTACAAAGGCAAACAACACTGTTGCTGTAATTTTATTTCTATAAGACATGATGTTAGAGTGTAATTCACATTAAAGACACATTTATTTCTCCAGTGTGCTTTCACTTCTATGAAGGAAACACAGTTCTTGACCTTTGGACTGAACACATTAAAATCAGATAGATATTTCTTATATCAAATCATCAAACATATCAAATAACACTGTATAACAACCATGTGTGTAAATAACAGCACACATTTACCAATAAAGCCTACACTGGGAGCATGGAAGTAAAACTTTTTCTTTCTCTCTTTGCCTTACAGGTGGATGAGGGGTTCCTGTTCAGGTGCAAGGTAATCTTTCGCTTCAATTACAATATCAGAATGTTGTTTGTACTTATCGAGAAATTACCTGTGCTCTTATTTTGGCGTCCATTGTTAAACTCAGAGACTGTCTTCTTCATACATTTAATTAATTAGTGCTGTAATAATGAAACAGGACCTGATCTTTGTCCAACAGGATGTTCGGCATTGTGGCCAAAGGTGTGGAGGCTGGTATGGAGAATGTTTGCCACGTTTTTGCAGAGTATGACCCCCTACAGCCCTGCAACAAAATCATTGAAGTTATCCAGGCTGCCATAGCAAGGCTATAGTGACAAAAACTGACATTGCATTATACAGTATGGAGTCTTTACTTTACACTGTATACCATGTAATCTGTACAAACTGATGGTCATTGTGACACTGTAGCTGTTGTTTAACCAGACAGGTGACTGAAAACTTTGGGACAACCTAAACTCAAATCTTTGTCAGATCAACAAGAGAGATTTAGGACACCAGCAGACCAAATGGATGCATTTCAATAATACTAAACACTTTTTTTTTTTACATTGCTTCACATGGTAAAATATATAGACGCAGCACTTCATTTAAAGGTTTCTAAGTGGAACATTTTGTATGAACTAACCAGGACCTTCAGGTAGCATAGATTATAAAAGTCACTTTATGTTTTTCTTACTGGAGAATTACTCACATGTAAATTGAAGTCTAAATCTGCACTAGACTGGTGTTTAAAACTTTCATTCAGTCTCGTCCTTTCATTTCAAAGTGAAATGTTGGCAGAAAATCTTGTTGTATATTTGAGATTGTATTTATTTACTGCACACTGTATAGTACATTCTTGTATTTTGTTTACATTGCTATGATGAAAAATAAATGTGTTCAAGTGTTGAAGTTGAGTTTGTGGTGTTCATTAGTTTTTATGTCTGGGAGGAAATGAGGATAATTGAAGTCAGACAGCTTTATCTATTTACCATCAAACTATCTAAACATAAAGGAAACTGTGGTTAAAGCTTTTCAGAAAAATCAAACCGAGATTGGTGGTCGAAGAATATGACAGAAAACACAACACTGCATAGATTTCTTTTTTATTTGAAATGATAATCTGATAGATAAAAGCAGATAGATGCTTCAGCCTGAAGTTACAGAGCTCCCAAAATAAAGAGTGCTTCTTGAAGCAAAGCAAAATCAAGCACAGAACTGCATAGATAATATCTTTAAATACTCTCAACTTATTCTGAGGCACCCAAATGCAAAGCCCAATAGTCCTTTTCTTAGGATACATATCTTTGGTGCCTTGAAACTATAAAGCTGAAAACTCTTAACCTAAGGAGTAACAGATAGCATGTGCTACACAACCCGAGAAGAGCGTTGAGGATACACTGCAGGGTTAACTATTTACAAATACTGCCCCCCTCTGGTTAAGACAGGCAATCTAAATTCTCTGAGACACACGGTGAGTGTAAAGGGCCTCACTGCTGTTAAGATCACAGTGAGCAGTACTTCTTCAAATATGAGATAGAGCTACATCATCAGTTTGAAAAGTGGTTTTTCTTAATACATGGATGATGAGCAGCAATGACAAAGACCCTCAAAGAACACACATCATGGGAATCTCCCAGTGTCAATAATCCTATAAGTGCTGTTTGCGTCTACAGTGCAAGTTTTTTGGGTCAAAACCAAAATGAAAGCTTGTCAATGAGGGCAGAACATTGCAATTAACTTTTAAATAAGTCCTCTCCAACTTTAGTCAGAAATTGTTTGGCCCCTGACCAACAGAAAACTTTCACAATCTCCCAACAGAGCCTCACAATAATACAGTAAAACACTATTTTTTTGGTAATTAGTCAAGCCATTTAGACACGAAGTGCACAAAAATTTAAGGTACTGTGCTCAAATTTGAACTTGAATATTAACAGGTGACCTTCAAGGTTTCCATCGTCAGTAATTAAGGGATGACACAGAGGCCAGAATGGTCCAACTGCCTCTGTGCAGGCGATTAAACCTTAATTAAAGACGCCATCCATGCATCGTTCAAGTCACACTGTAATAAAACAAGATGGTTGTGTTTAATTTGTTTCAAAATCTCAAGGTTTTTTTAAGGTTATACTACTGTTAATCTGGTAACGCCTGAGGATAAGACTAATAAGGAGTTATAAAAAATCCCACAAAATTCTCCCGTGCTGGGAATGTTTACTTTGTCCTCTGTAAATAAAACAAACTGGAAAAGCAACTTCACAAGTGTAGATACTACTGCTCAGCTAATAAAACCTGGAGTCAGCTGATGTTACACCAGAACAAGACTTAAAATCAGTAATCTTGCACATGGTTCAAAAACAGCCTATGCAATTTGACATTCACAACATCACTAGCTGGCTATGCAGCCATGTCATTTATCCCAAACATCTCTCAAGATTGTTAAGGACAATAATCAGTTCTGGGTCATGCGTGTGATCCTTTGCAGCCTGAAGAAGAAGAAGAAGAAATTTGACATTTTGGAGAGGAAGTGTGACTTTTTCTCATGGCTTTTCTCTGTTTAGGGGTTTTCTTTTTCTCTTTTTGAGGGTTTGACTAAGACCTGAAACAATCGCTCCTTTCCCACAAATTACTCATGCATTGGAGACATTACTCACTACTTAGTAAATGATATGATTTTAGATCAAATCTGGCAATGCCGGTGCATTAATCAGTCTGGGACAATGCACACACAATTTTACAAGAACTACATAGTCAGTGCACATTATCTGGATGAATGAACTCTCCAGTATTTACTCAGACCACAGCATAATGGATCGATTACTCAAAGCTGACAATACAAAAAATGTATAAAGTTATTCTTCGAGATGCAGAATACACTTCCATTACTGTTTTATGTGAAGTGAAACTAGAAAGGGTTACTATAGAGGTGACATTCAGTTACTGGAAAGAACAAGCCTCACCGCCCACGTCCCATCCTTTTCTTAACCCCTGAAGCCCCAAACTCCTCTGTACAGTCTCTCAAAGACCGAAAAGAAAAAACACTCTCAGATAGTACACAGCAGCTCGTAGTGATCTGTGACTTCCCTCCTCTGTTTATCTCTCATCTTTCTCTGCACTCTTACATAAGTACCAATAAGAATAAGCTGTAGTTTTGCATGTAGTAGATATAATCTGTTGACCTTTGACCTACTGCTGAAATTATGACAGTATTGAGGGACACTAATTGTAATCTATGATGATGATGAAGATGTGGATCTATTATTTCCTTGTTCTCTGTGATGCAGGTCTGATATATTTGATGTGTTTTCTGGCACTATAAAAATGTCCCTGTTAAACCAGCTAAAGCTTGATGGATGATGTTTATCCTGCCAGGGTTTGAAGAGAAAGATCTGAGTGTAATTCATCTGTTATTATGCAAAGTACAATGAGTGCTGTCATTGGAAATTCATATAAAGCATGTTGGCTTGTTGAATGGTAATATCCCAGCTGTGAGTGATACATGTCTGTAACTTCAACATCACCAGTGCTACCACAAACAGCTGCACACTGGGGTCTCGTCTCCATGGTGACCAAGTGACTATGTTATGGTGTGATAGTTGGGATGCTGCGGGATCTCTTCATGATGAGCCGCACCTCCACATCAGGCAGGCTGTCTTGTTTGGTCTGGGCACAGCCCTCGTCTGCGGCAGCCATGTGCAAGTCGAAGCGCAGGGACACAGACTTCTTCCGCAGCTTTGGGTTTCCTCTGAAGAAAGAGCCCTCCCACTGCTTTATCACCTTATCGATCTTCTCCGTCCTAAAAGGAGGGAGACATGAGAGTCTTCAAAAAGGTGCCACAATTCAACAACAGACATTCCATCACGTGTTCTCACTTAAATGCCAAAACATTTTTAAAAGGGGATTTTGAAGTTTGAGGTTTCTTCTCTGCTGAGATTTCAAACATGTTTTCTTTTGTTTCCTGATGCTTTACGAGTTTCAGAAGCAGTACCACAACAAAACTGCTCCTGTTTCAGGAAAGTGTCAAACTTTCCCTTTGCACTCTGCACCCTTTACCCCCCTCACAGCCAACTGATGGTGTGGTCCTTGCTAATAAAGAAACATTGACAGTGTATGTTATGCGGGGATATGAAAAAAGGTTTTATGCATAAAAAAAAAAATCTATTATTTTCAAAAAAGCATAGACTACTGAGACCTCAAATATAATAATAATAAAAAAAAGATAAAAAAAAATAAAAAAGATTTCATTCTGTAGACTGAATAAATGCACCAGGTTTTCTTACTTTTCACCCAACTGTGTATTGAATCCATCTGCAGAAAGGAGTTATAGCACATCTAGCTGTTTATGATTTGACCTCCCTTTGTTGACATGGAGAAAAGACACAGTAATTCCCAATGACGTTGTCAGATAACACAAAGGATATTTCATAACAAGTTGGAAAACAGCACAGGATGTTAAAATACACATTGGCCAAATCAAGAAAAACAGGTATGAAGTCATAACACAGTATGAGCTTTGCTAAAGTGTTACGGGAATGGATGCAAACAGACTTAACAGGTTTTCTGACTTTGGTTAAAAAAATGACTTTACTGTGAATGAAAATGTACAGTTTCACGCGATTATAACAGCATAGCAGGACAATTTTAACTGTGAATGAGAACTTGAAGTAAAATTTGATTTAAAACAGAAGAGCAAGACGTTTAGACTTGACTTTGATTTAATTTATTGGTTTAATGTGAATTTTACCCATAAGAAGCTAATAAAAATACTGTTGTCATGGATGTGTTACCGACCACCAAATCTCACGGTATCTTTTTGCTGTGCAAAGATACAATTACCAGATCAATAAAATCCTCTTTAGAGTTGACTCAGTGTCAGATTGTTATATATTTGGTGGTAGCTGGGTAATAAGCTTTGTTTAGGGCTCTTATATATCACCATGTTGACATTTTGTTTGACATAATCATCTAACTAGGGGCCTGCAAATTAGTTTGAACTCCTTTGAATGCCTTCAGGTAAGTACTCAGTACTGTTAATCTTTCTAGATGTATTTTAATATCTTTTAAAAAGTTGGTCATACTTTCAGGTAAACTGTTTTGAGTACAATTGTAAGGGTTCACACCTTTTCGTGTGTAGTTTGAGACGATTCCAAAACAGGTCATTGTAATTTTAAGAAATGAAGAAAACGGTTTCTTTCTCTAACTTTCATCCATGAAGTAAGTGTCTTCTTTGATATTTTACATTTAAGTACATGTCATGTTACCCAACAAAAGCTTGCTCATATTTAAGGGAATGGCAATGACAACAACAGAAAACCCTTCTCAGTCACGTGTATGTGATTCCCATACAGTAACACAAGGGGGCAGCATGGGCACATACTCTATATGCACATCTATCTTACTGCAATGTAAGAGCTCCACTATAAAACGAGTCGCTGCTTGGCCTTGAAATCAGTCAAGACTAATTAAGTCAAGACTAATAAAACCATTCAGTTTCAATCTGACTAACTTGTAGTCAGATTGAAACTGAAACTGTGTTATAAAATCAAAAGGTTACCTTACTTTAAATCCAGCTGAAGCTGTCAAAAGCAAACGTTTGTTAGTACCTTCTGATCTTTTCAAGAGAGGTTAACAAGTGCAGACACAAAATCCACCAAATGAAAAATGGATTTCAGTTCTGATCTTAAACACGAAAAAAAACTGCCCTGCTTATCTCGCCCACCGGTGAAGACACAGTGTCAAACAAGAAGCTCATGTGCTGCAGTATGTACAGCCCTCAATTTGTCTTTTTTTTAAAAATCAAAAATATATATCAATGCAAATCATTTTATGCAAAACAAACTCTCTCATCCACCTCTGTTGCATTTCACTTTGCCACTCACTAAATGCAAAATCATGTATGTTTCTAACAGTCCACTCTGAAAACATGACAGTTGGCAGCCTCCGTTAAAGGGGATCTGCTCTTGACATAAGCGGCTCATTCTACGAAAACATACAAAACAATTGTCATGTTTAGGTGATTTAACACTAGTTTAAATGTACCTGTGATTAGTATACTGTTTTTCTACCATAGACTGTATAAAGAATGGACCGCGTCTGCCTCCTAGCTGAGTAAAGCCCCTGCAAGAACAGCACCCTCTGGTGACAGGCTGCAGTATAGGTCATAAATCCTGCCTTCTCCAGCAATCCCTATGGAATTGTGGACACATTTTAGAAATTAATTACATAGAATCTAAATTTTTCTCCCCCCTGCTTGTGATGTTGACATGTAGTTATTGTAAGACTGGTTTGTGCTCAAGTCCTCTTTTTTCTGTGCAGCTCCATTTTTAAAAGTTATTTGGGGGTTCATGTTTTCTATGATTGACACTTGATACAACCTGTGGGTGTACGAAGTTTACGGAGCTCACCCAGGGGATACACTGTTTGAGCAGAGCATCATCACAGTGCCTCTCCCGCCAAATGTGTACAACACTACAGTGGTGGTTCCAGGAAGTGGAGATAATACCAAGAGCAATTCAGCTTCAAATCTGTATAATGGTATACTGTATGTATAACAGTACTCCCCGATTGGCCGCTGACTACCACACACTGTTGTCCCAACAGACCCAGGCTCTGCGTACGTGAGCTCCAGGTATCGAAAATGTTGAAATGAGGGAGGGTCATTGGGACTATATTTATGGGACTACATATAGTCCAAATGGCCCCCCAAAATCAAAACCTGATTACAGACAGACAGCAATTGTCAAAGCACCATCAGAGTCAAGAAAAAAACCTTCCCCGTGTGCAAGCTCTCACTGCCCGTCACATCCATAGAGCAAGAGGAAAATAAAAAGACAAACCAGAAGAAGGAGTCTGTGGAGAGAAAGAGAACAGGGGAGGCAGACCCAAACATGGTTTGGTTAGGATTCCCGTCTACTAGACTAAACTGTACACTCTACCTCCCCCGACTCTACCATTTTCGTGAAGAAAAATGGGTGTTAGAGAGAGGACAGAGGAGTCAGACCCCCAACCAAACCTGGGTTTGCCTCTAGCAGTTCTGGCTATGTGCTCTACTTCCCTCGACTCTGACATCTTCATAGGGACAGAGGAATAGGAAGGCAAAGCTTGAGCAAGAAGTCTGGTTGGGCTAGAAGTTACCTCCAAAGGAAAAGGAAGTACACCTTTCCTCCCCCAACTTCATTTTTAAAGGAAAGAGGACAGGGAAGGCAGAAATGAACAAGATCAGAAAAAAAGTCCTTGATCAGATTTCACTCTTGACTGTAGAGAGAGACATAAATTTGGTGTCAACTGACCCACAACTCAGAGCTGATTCCAACACTGGTCCATCTTCAGGCATGAGGAGATGTCTTGACAAAGGAAATACACATTACTTGATTAAGAGGATTTTTTTCAACAGGATGAGACTTAAAATAAGTGACAGTATCTATTCCAGAAGGATTTAAGAAAAAAAAATTGTAAAACAAATAAAGCGGGCAGGCCAACAAAGTCTCTTAATGTCTGTGAAGAGTTATTTATACAACAGAGTAACTTAAACCATCTGCTGATGGGTGCTTAAGTCAAAGTAAATATCCTGGCAGAGAGATGTGTCTGTGTGTAGCTCTTTGTAGACATAATGACTGTGTGTGGGTATTTTTCAGATGTGTATCTGTGGCTGGAAGCACCTGAAGCATTAACAAAGAATTCCACCCTCCTGTCTTCCTACAACAACAGGTGCCACACCCTGCAGACTCCACACCCAGAAGGTATCCACATCAAACACAAACCATTAGAGGAGGAAAAATTCTCATGCAACGCTATGATGGGAACCTGAGCAGCCATCAAAATGTCTTCTGCCTCTTTTGACTTGCTCGACATGCAAAGGTTATTCCTTTTGAGAGTAAGTACATCTTGTCTGATGGACCAGACGTCGCCAGGGTGGAGAAGACACGGTTGGTTGTACCATTAAAGAGTAATAAGCCCATAAAATCCACACAGAGGAGAAGTATAAGAGGTGTGAGGTGTAACAAGGTCAAACAAGCACGAAACAGTGTTAAGTAGAGAAAAGGAAATTTATCTTTGTGAGAAAGAACATTTGGCTCCAAAGAGATGCTGTTAGTGCCGCCTTCTAGGTAATGCCTACATTTCAGTATGACACAAAGGTGCTGACTGCAGGTCAATGAGGGGCAAAAAGATCGATACTCACTCAATGGTGCCGTGACCCTCCGCACTCTCTCGCACCACGTTGCCCTGAAGAATCTCCTGAGTCTTCACAGTGGAGATTGGCAAGTCTTTATCTTGCTCTGGCTCTGTGAAAACACATTAATAGCAAGTTATTTTAAGGTATGACTGTAGTAAGAGTGTGGATGTGTCTGTGTAACTGCTACCTGTGAGTATCACAAGGCTTTGCTGTCTGTGCAGGATACTTTTCTTCAGCCCATTTTCCACCGGGAGGAGTGAGGGGATTTCAGGCAGGGGCTCAGACTTTGGTTCATCTGGAGTAACAGCAGAGTCACTGAAGCCGTTTTCAAGGCCATTTTCTTTCTGTTCAACCACAGAAGAGCTCCAGGGCCGCAGACTCATTGGCGGCACATTGCGACCCATGTACCTGGAGAGTGCAAAACGAGTTGGATACATGGTTGTTCATTTTCTGTCCTCTATATTTGCAACACTGATCCTAGATTATGGAGGATAGTATCAAATCCTACAAATCATTGGTGGTCAAAGTAAATTCACCACAGACATCAGGAGAACCACTTCCAAAACAGTTGTGACACTGTGTTAACTGTGTGGAAGCAATTTTGATGTTTTTTGATCATTTAAACTCTAAATTTCATAATAATGGTGCAAATACAACTTATCTCCTGCAAAGTTCCTCAACACTTTACAGTTTTTTGACAACTCATTTCAAATTTGTTGCGTAATGATAACAAGCAGAGTGGCCCCTCTTCTCTTTAGAGCAGAGAAAGATGCAAAGATTTCCCAAAACAAAGTCAGATTTTGAATGACCACTCCACAAGACAGTTCATATCATTATGTCTGAGAGACTCAGCTCCTCAGGAGTGCCTTATTACACCTTGTCATCAGTGGTGATTGCTCTAAGACTTCAAGGGAAGCTCAGCTTCCCCTAAAATATGTGAGTGTCTTTATTTGTGGAAAAGGGTGTTTGTCTTACCAGTGGGTCCAACCTTACACACACCAAATCTATCTGTGCTCATATGAGAGCGTGTGGAGGACGCCCAATGCAGCGCTTACAGTGACACTTGTTGAGGGGCTGCCTTCTGTCGCCATCGTGTGGCATTGCTGTCTTCAGACATCTCTTGATCTCTTTGACTACTTCACTAAAATTGTAATACGCCTCGCCGGTGGCGGATTTAAAGGCTAGGAGAGGAGCTGATGTTATTGGTCAATACAGGTCTCAGCTGTGTTAAACCCACTCCATGCCCTCTCTCCTCCCTCGCTACGACTTACGCCGCTGGGAGGAGCTGAGTAAGGGAGGGGGGATACTTGCATCAGGCTGCGCTGCTCACCAAAATTCCAAATTGTGCTTGGGAATGCCTTGTCAGCGCGGCGGACCTGACTTACGCCACGCCTGCGCCATGTTGCCGGCGAAGCATGAAAATAGAGCCCTGAGTGTCTAGCAGTGGCGGCTGCTGGTCTTTCAAGGAGGGGAAGCTCATTTTTCTGGCCTACATCATAATTGTGTTTGTTTATTAGTATGTAACAGAACAGAGTCGCCAAACACAACGGCAGTCGTTTTTAACAAAGACAAAAGTTGCTGAGGATCGGTAAAATCTCTGGAGCAGTTAAGAACAACGGAATGAATAACTTGGAAAATGCTCTGGTAGATGTTTTATTCTTCAAGATCGCTGATTCCCTTGTTTAGCTGTCAATCAAAAAAAGGATTTCACCTCAGACAGCTCATCCAATCATGGATGCAGAAGCTCAGCGTCCGCGAGAAAGTTGGGACCGCCCTCTCGTCATAGAACTCCAGAGAAGCTGAGCGTCCGATGGGCGGGACAAAGCCCAGCATTTATCCAATGAGCGTCTAGTTTCGCTGCTGGAACAACCCACTTTGAGCTTCCACACTGAAGTCAGCAGTCGCTTCTTATCACAGTGTGACAAGAAGCTGATTCTGAACAAAAGATGAAGGAGGGTAGATTTTACATATAAATAAACAAACACATTTATGATGTAGGCCGGGAAAAAACGAGCTTCCCCTCCTTGAAAGACCAGCAGGAGCCACTGCTAGTCATGCTATTAGCCTGTTGCTAATTCATGTATTTGGTTTGGAGATGTTCCTTCTTTTTTTTCTTGGTATTACAAAACTTTTTCAGTGTTTTTTTTAAATGTATTGATGTGTAATGATCAAATGCTAATCATTAAACAACAAGAAATACCAAATTCAATCATACATAGGATTTAAATACTTTAAAAACCATCAGATTCTGCTTTATTTTACACAGCATTTGAACATTATTGTTATCAGGTTTGTAGTAAAAGCATGAAAGCACTTGAAATAATTGAAAAAGGTACAGAAAAGGAAACAGAGGAGCAAAAGCAACACAGACTAGAAGACACAAAGCTATAATTCCTTGGAAATAGTCCTGTCATTTCTGTAAATATTTGAGCTGTATCATCTTAAAAACTACAACTGTGATCTCAAAGTACACACCCTAATCAAACAAGCCTCAGCTGGTTTTGAAAGGCTGTGCTTCAGGAATCAATCATCTCTCTCATACCATGCTGTATCTCCCCACTCCTTAACAGAGCTGTAAACCACGGACCACCTGTGACACCTCATCACTTTGTCCTTATCGGATGGCTGCAACAGATCAGTGGCCTTATCCGACAGGGATGGGTGTTGCGTGTTTAACTTTATGCTAAAATAACAGCCCTGCCAAGGGTGCGTCAAAGATGTTTGAAGACAGCCTGGCGAGATTCTTTGGAAACAATTATGCTATCAATGATTAGCGGTTAGAAGGATGCTGATAAAACAACATGTTGCTGCTTCACCAGCCAGTGATAAGACTGAAGGGATGGTTGTTGTTTTTTTGTAAAGTGAGGTTGTATCAGGTTCTTCTTGTAGTGTATAACCCACAAGAAATCCGGATCAACTCGGGCCCATGTTGAGAAACCAGGCAAAGAACTAGAGAGGAAGCTAATGGCTATCAACTGCTGCAGCTTAACCATGAACTGTTTGGGTCAAAGTGAGTCTGACCCTTGCAGTGATTTCTTTGTGAGTGTACAATCTATTCAGAAGTTCTACTTTGCCATCGGGGAGCCTGTGTTCGTTGTTCAGAGACTCTAATAAAGACAAGAGTTACAGCCAAGCTTAAGAGTGAGTACAGCCTGGATATCTGAAAGGTCTGTTGAAATGTTCAATGTTCAATGTGCGTTGTCTTTTGGTGAGTCCAATCAGAATAATGCAGTGAATTATGCAGTGTGTTTTAAAAGATCTTGCTGTTATCGCAGGCAAGAGAAGCAAACATATTACGTTAACCAAAACTATTGAGGAAAAACTTAAATTGTCATTGAGGAAAAACTTAAATTTCAACAAGGTCTGTCCAGGTGCAGCCAGAAAAGTAAGGGAGCCCCTGAAGTCACCCTGCTCCTAATGGTAGGAGTTGAATCCATTCCTCTGTGTCCTATTCTAGTTGGTGCTCTAAGCTACATGGCTCAGCTCCATCCCTGAAGGGTCTGTACGCTCTGCTCTGCTGAAGATATTTGGGAAGTCTATTTTTAATGCAATTTTTAGCTGTGAGTTAATCCTCTGTCTTTGACTGTAGTGTCTCTAATTTATCAACTGAGCCCTCTGTTCACCCTTTTGACAGGGGCGACCCAACCTGGGCACTGACAGTGCTGGGGTGGCTGTAGTTTGCCCACACACACCAATAAATGTAACTGATTATTGCTTCTGTGTCGTAACATCATCCCTACAGTTGATCTTAACATAAATCTTGTCTTTGCTGAGCCAAATGAGATGATGTTTTCAGTTTTTCTCCACGGGATTCAGTGTTAAGGGGGTCTTGCACTTGACAAGTGTCCCTTGTTATTAAAAAATAAAAACTCTAAAACTAATAAAATTCAACTTGAATAAAGCATTTTCAAAAACAAACTAACCTAAAAACTCAGCCCTTGAAACAAATCAAAACTAAACTGAAATCAAAGATAAAATGACGTAAAACTAAAAACTAATGAGAATTTCAAAACTATCATAACCACCTTGGACTCCTTGTTAAGAGAACTGCAGCTGCTGCTTTGACCCAAACTGTTTTTCTTCTTCTTCTTTTTTTTTTTTTTTTGTATAACAGTACATATTTTACAATGAGTAATTTCTAACTGGTTGAGAAACAGACAGAAAGTGAAACTGATGTCTCTTTATGACCTTTAAAAGCAAACAAGACCATCAGCAACTGATTGATCAAGTTTTTTTTCTTCTAATGCCAAAGGCCACTGTGACAGGGGAGGTGTCAGATCAGATAACGGACAGCAGGCAGAGGAGAGCTTTTTTTTTACTGTTTTACATGGTAATGACTCACAGTGAGTTAAAAAAAATCAGTGTAAGAAAAAAACAGGATGATTTTTTTTGTCAAAAAAACAAAACAAAACAAACAAACAAAAAAAAATCCTTTGACTAGAACAGAAAAGATAGAAGGGATCACTGCCAACACGGGGGCGCCAAAATCAACACAAAATGAAAGTCCCTTAATTGAATTTTGACCTTTTTTTGCGAACATTAGATTTTGACTTTTTTTTCCTCCTGTATTTACACTTTCACTAATTTTGCAGTGTTTCAATTTTATTCTTGAAATGCATAGCCTTAAAACTCGTAGAGCAGCTTTAAAAAAGAGAAAGTCTTTCAGGTTGTAAAACGACTCCCTTATCTTTTTTTTAATGTCACACTGCTCTCTGAACAGCCGCTTGCCAATTGTTCCTCGCCCTTCTCAAACACAGACAACCAATGCAAATTTCAGATGCCACGTCCTGCCTCTCCTTGCATCACTGACATCGGTCGATCAATCATGTCACATCCTGAATGAAAAGCATCTGCGGGCGAAAGTGACGAGGAGAGGTAAAGGCGGCACTGAGGTCTTTCTGTCTGCAACCTCTGTGAGAAACATGAAAGCAAATTGCTGCACCTTTCTCAAACTATAAAATGACAATCATATGGTTGTTGGAGCCAACGTGTCAGGGTTTAATTACAAGCCATGCCAAGTAGACTAGAGTATTCCCTAATAAAACTTCTTCTTTCTGGCAGGCGGAGCGAGGAGATAGCAGACAAAGAAAGGTTGAGAGTCTGGCTTCTATCATCTTGCCTGATAAAGAACTCAATGATTTACTTATGAATCAGTGAGAGTCTGGCGTCTCTCTCTGTCTTTCTGAATGTGCAGAATTACTGGAATTTCTGGTTGATTTCCAACCTTGACAGTTGCAACTAATTACCATATACTTTGCAAGACTGCATGAGTATGTCTCAACCTGTAATTATAAGTTATTCGCTTTCAATACGGACTCTGGGTAACTATGCAGCAGTACTAGGCTTTTCATGACACAAAAAACAAACTTTTTAGCAGTACTGCTTTGAACAAGATGGAGGACGAAGGCTCAATCATCGAAAGAGAGAGAAAAAAACAGGATTAAAAGTTGCTACAATACTAGAAAATGGATCAGATCAATCTGGTGGACAAGGCCAAGCTTGCAAAGCAGGCTAAGCACGACATGGTTGACGTGGTTGACGTGGTTGACATGGTTCCAGCCACGGGGGAGGTGGTGAAGGATCAGGGCTGTCAAAGGAGGAGTGCAATCTTCTCTCTGTTGCCTACAAGAATGTGGTGGGGGCACGGGGCATGTCCTGGCATGTCATCTCCAATATCAAGCAAAAAACCAAGGGCGATAACGATGAACTGTATGTGATATGTGAATATCTGCAGAACATTAAACCTGAGCTGCAAGAAATCTGCAATGATGTGGTTTCACTGTTGGACAAATATTGTATCTCATACTCAATGCATCTAAGGCTGAAAGTGAGGTGTTCTATCTGAAAATGAAAGGTGACTATAGCAGATACCTAGCTGAGGTGTCCTCTGGGGATTAAGAAGGATGTGGTGCAGATCTCCAAGTAGACATACCTGGTGGCTTTTGAGGATGCCAAGCAATTGAATGTAACACACCCGACCTGGCTTGGCCTGGCCCTTAACTCATCTGCCTTGTCCTACAAAGTCCTTAATGAGCCACATGCGACATGTAGCACAGCAAAGAGAGCATTTGATGAAGGCACCAACGAACCTGACACTACAACTGATGAGTCATAGCACCCTGATCATGCAGCTAATGAAGGACAGCCCGACCCAGTGGAAGCGGACATAAAGGCAGAAGAGGGTGAGACTGGAGAAAGGGAAAACTGATGAAACTCAGTGCAAGTTACAGCAAAATGATCATTCTTTCCCTTAAACCATTCTCCTCATCTCTCTCCCTCTCAATCTTTCCCCGTTCTGGTGATCAGCTAATTGTAGGCATGAGCTCTTTCAGGTTTAGTCTCAACCTCTACTGTCTAATCATCCTGCTGCTGAAACTTTAAATCCGCTCTCCTCTGTTCTACTTTCAGTTGTAGTACTCCGTTCAACTGTTGTGACTTTTCATTCCAACTCTTCAGCTAATCCTGCATCTTTTCTTCACCGCTACCACTCTCAGCCTGCTTGCTCTCTTAGTACCTTTAAAAAAGTCACAGTTAAGTCTAATTGTCAAAGACTTTGTAGACTCCTCATATTTTTTCAAATAAATAATTGTTCTCTCATAATAAAGTCTCCCCTGATTCAAACAACTGTACTTTTTTCTTTAACACAGACAGATAATATCCATGAACATTTCTGTATGACAAACCTAAACTATTCTTGACCTACAAGTTCACCCCTCTCAGAGGATTTCACTAAAAACGGACTGGGTCGTTTTTTTTTTTTTTTACCAAAACATTACATCAATTACACCTGCTGTTTCCACCATCTCACACACAAAGCAAATAGTGCTGATGCTATTCCAGAGCAAAACACCCACCAAGCTCTACAGTTCAGTTTGAAACTATATAAAGTGTCATATTATGAAAGTATTCAGTTATATATTTTTTAAACTGCAATAAAAACATTTGTCAAGGATAGAGGTGTTACAGTGCTCTTGGAAAACCTTCCCAGCTGAAAATAAATAAAACTACCTTCCTTGTTGGTGGTAAAACACAGAAGAAAAAACAAACAAACTGGACAGTAACTTCCTTCTTCCTCAAATGTTTTCATTCCTCACCTTCCCTCTTCTCGATCAAGCAGACGTCTGTAGGTGGCGATTTCTTGCTCTAGCCTCATTTTGGTGTTGAGGAGCTGGCTGTGGCGTTGCCGTTGGGTGGCAAGCCCACACCTCACCTGCTCCAGCTCGCTCTCCAGCCCGGCGATCACCTGGGAAAGGTCCTGCAGCTGGCTGGAGTAGATCCGCTGAGTGTTCTGCAGGGAGCTCTCCAGGCCTTTCTCCTAACAAAGAGAAAAAAACAAAAAGCTACCAGGACACTGAGTACACAGTTAAAATGATCTACCTAATGACTCCACACTGAATTTAAGACAGATTATGAAAAAACTACTGACTGTGTCTGTGCATGGTTTAATACTTGGAAACAATAGTTATCGTTCCTCTCTGGCTTTTAACCAAGACTGCTTATCTATCCAGCAAAGTCTGTCTAAATCTGTACAAATGCACAGCTAGTGCACTGACTACAGCTTTTAATACAGGGAGACTGCAATCTCAACTCAACTCATTTCTTATTTACATAGCACTTGTACCACATTAAAACCTGCAGCCCAAAGTGCTTCACAACAGAAGAAAGTTAAAACAGAAATTTGGCAGAAAAATTTAGAGATAATGAAGGCTAATTTAAAAAAAGGTGAGCAAAAGATTTCAATTTGAAAAAGGTAACAATTGTAAATCAATAGAAATCAATTATCAATTAAGTTTAGTCAGAGTTTCAAAGAAAACAATGACAACAAAACAAACAAAAAAACAAAAAATCTATTTTAAAATCACCAACATTTTTGGCCACATCTATGAAAGTTAAAAGGCAGATAAAAAAATGTCTTAATTTCCCTTTAAAACGACAGAGAGTATCCTCTGTTTTAATATCCAGACACAGAGAGCTCTATAGAGTTTTAGTGCATAACAACAGTGGGCTATCTCTACAGGTGTTTATGTGGGACACATGAAGAACATAAAAACGGAGGCATTCAAGGACATGCCGGAAAATAAAATGACAGAAGCTCTGTAATGTACGGAGAAAGAGCCACAAAGAGCTTCAGGAATGAGTACAAGAACTTTCCAGTCAATTGTAAATGAAACTGGTACACAGCGCAGAGTTTTAAGAAGGGGGTTGCATTTTATTAGTTTTCTTTTTGTGAGACAAAACTGTGGCTGCAGCTTTCTGAATGAGCTGTAGGTTTGAGCAGATCAGTGGAAAGGGAGTCACAATAATCAGTGTGGCTGGTGATGAAGGCATGAGCAGAAATTTTGGCTTCTGGGGCGCTGATAGGCCAGCAGATTAAGCGCTCCATGGAGGCTGTAGTGTGTGCCATAAAAAAACATTCCCCCAGGTTTGTAACTTTTGTTGCAGTTTGATTATTTAGACACCCCATATTTGTATACACATTTTCTCTGGCTGCTTTGCCTCCCACCAAAAGAATTTCAGTCTTTTGCTCATTTATTTCTAAAAAGTTCCAGCTCACCCTTACAGCCACGTCTCTAAGACAAGACAGAAGAGACTAGAGTGTGATATTTTATACAAATGATGTTATGATTTGCAATAATATGTCCAAGTGGGAGCATGCACTGTGAAACTAAAATGGGCCCAAGTACTCTTCCTTAAGGAATGCCATGGTTGAAGTCACGTGTCTTTAAAGCTCCTATGTGGAACTTTTGGTTTGTGTTAACTTTGGCGCCCCCTGTGGGCTAAGCAGTCTCATCCAGACAGTCATATCTAATATTATTTTGTGAAATTATTTTATGTGTAAATTGTAAAAACAGGGCTGTGTTTTTTTTAACTGTTCACCTGACCCCCAACACCAGTTTTAACCATTACAAATTAAAGTCCAAAAACCATCAATCTTGTTGCTAATGGACTTGTCTTCTTTTCGATTTAACAAAAAAGCATCAATATGAATTTAACTGTATTTAATGATGTCGAAAAACTAACAGGAGCTTCAACATACGAAGGTTTTCAAAAAACTGAACCAGGCTATAACATGGTCAGTGAGATCTCAAATTCTATGCATACCCTTGAGTGGGATTAACAACTGATTAATTTCCTTGGAGGTTCTTATGTGGTAGAAAAATTACTCATTGCTCTTTTTAATAAATAATTGTTTTTATCATGACTCACTATTGCAAGCACATTACTTCATAATAGTAAACTAGCAGTCCTTTCATTGCTAGTAAGGGTCTGTAAATGAAGTGTGTGGGACCATTAGATGATAATGTCATTACATGTATTTTTTACGGTAACTGCGATACCAGTTTTTGAGTCATTGTTGGTGGTTTTGCAGTCATTTTCTCAGCTGCATGGATATCAATCACACTAGAAACAGCTCTCCTCTATCAGGATAAAAACCTCCCTTTTGTCAACTAAATACTTGCTGTCCTTCAGCTCCAATCCTCCTTCAAATCCGACACAGTAAACACTGAATCTTAAAATAAAAAGGAGACAAATACAGCTGGTATGCCCTGTCAAAAGCTGTAGTCAGTTTTTGGAAAGAAGTTTGTCTTTCAGGTCTAACATACCTAAAAGTGCCTTTTAGTTCTCATGACTGCTATTTTATGCTATATCACTAACGTGTATATTTTGCTTTTTAAACTTATTGTAATTATCTTATTAACTCTTGACAGTCAACACACACAATCTACTCTGAAGATGTGCCAGCAGGGTGACAATGTGATGATTGGGAATTGTTGATTATGCTTATGTGTATTTCCTCACCAGAGCATGCAGGGTCTCTATCTCCACCTGCAGGGAGTGCCACTGCCTCCTGGCCTCGGCAAGCTCGGCCCGGGCTTCTCTCAGGGCGGCACTGCCGAGGCTCACCTGCGCCCATGCTGCCTCCTCCTAAATGAACAGACAAAAACCAAGAATTATGTGAGAATGTAAACATCATATCAGAAAACCACACATCTTTTTGTGCAGTTTAACACAAATCCATAGCTTCCTTTCATACAGTGCAGAGATTGTTTTTCCTGGATCAAGTGCGGGTGTTTGACTGTGCGGTAGCTGATGGTTTGTGATTTATAAGAAAGAAGATTTATACAACATTAACAAAAAACAGACCTTATAAAAGCTCATATGACTACGACAGGCAGCAGGTTTTTTTCTGTGGCTCAGTCAGAGAAAATGAGGTGAAGCAGCCACAGGTGGTGCTGTTGGTAGTGTGTGTTTGACTCAGAAGGTAGACAGAGAGCACAGCAGACACCTGGGCCTGCGTGTGCACACAGATACCAGCTGTGTTGACTCTGCACAGCTGGCAGATAATTCACTCCCTCCATCCTCACATCCCCCTCAAAGGCGTTTCAGCGGAAAAGCTGTCACAGCTTATATAAGTTACAGTAACAGTAATTAAGAGGTTAAAAAAACAAACAAGGGGCTTAAGTTATCTAAGTAAATCTCTGTTTAATTTATTACTTCAATGACTCTCGTTTTCTGTTGAATGGATTAAGTTTATTTCATGAAAAGAAGTGATACATATTTAGAAAAAAGTTATTCATACGATAAAGTGATGTTGAAAGTATACTGTCAAGCCTTTGGTTGTGTCAGAGTGCAGAATCACAAGCTTTAAAATTTTCTCGGAGTATCAAAAGTTCCCCCTCTGCAGGAAATCCCCTGACTCAGTGTTATATCACTATGCAGCAGTCAGACAGTTCACTGCTGTCAGAATCAGAGTTGCACTGATTTAAACTTCTCTATAGACTGATAGCTGTGCAGTGTTTTAGATTTAGCACATTATTCATTCATAACATGAATGTAAGTATGTAAAATCTGAAACTACAAATAACTAGTTACATTAGAATAAAAGAATAAGGATAAACTGTCTCAAACATCTGACAACAAATCCAACAAAGTAACAGAAGTAAAAAAGCAGCCATTGAAAAGACAGCCAAGTTCACAAAACACATGACCTTACTGCATGAGGAGTCATTCTGAATGAACCATAGACTGTATATAGAATGGACGCCATCTGCCTCCTCGCTGGGTGAATCAACGTAACAACAGCACCCTCTTGTGACGGGCTGCAGTATAGGTCATAGATCTCACCTCCTCCAGCAATCCCTATGGAGCTGTGGACAAACTTTAGAAAGTTATTACACAGAATATAAATTTTTCTCCCCCCTGCTTGTGATGTTGACATGTAATTACTGTAAGAGTGGTTTGTGCTCAAGTCCTCTTTTTTCTGTAAAGCTCCATTTTTAGAAGTTATCAGGGGGTTCATGTTTTCTATGATTGACACTTGACAGTGTCATCACAGCGACTTTCAGTGACTCTCCCACTGAATGCATACAACGCTACTGCGCAATGTTGGTTTCAGGAAGTGGAGAAAAAAACACAGAAATACCAAGAGCTTTTCGGCCTCAATTTCGTATAATGGCGGAAGGCGGAACCAAGTTGTCCATAGTATATACAGTCTATTGTATGAACAGTCTGCCTACAGTCACTGGATACCATGAAGACCAAGTCATTGTTTTGAAAAGTATCAAAAATATTTCAGCTATTGTTCTTTCAATTATAATTTAGTTGGTAGATGATAATGTTTTTTCACTTTTCATCTATTTATGACAGATTTTCTATATTGACCTGTCACATCAGGTCTGACAATAGTTGAACTGTTATGTAATCAGGCTATTGTAATTGATATCTAATGTATTAAATCTAAAAAGTGTTAAAATCACCTGATCAAAGCAGCTTATACAAAGTAGAAAGAAAAAAGGTGCAAATTGGCCTCCTTGTTTGAAATAACCACAAGAAAACAGAAATAGACAAGCACTCAGTGAGGGATTGCATCCACTGAATTGCTTCTTTTTCTCAAGTCATCCTGATGCTCATACCTTCCTAGTGAGTCACATAGCCTCCAGAATTGTCCTAAGTAAGTAAAGTATATTTCTCTTAGAGTAGGGCTTGCATATTGCATTTCTTATCTGAAACCAGACTAATCAAGTGAAAACCAGAGTAGTGACAGCTCAGTAAGTGAGACCATACTCCACCAGCTGTTTCATTGCTTATGTCCCCTATTTGTTTTCTTTAGCTAATCTCATCACCTGGTCATATCTTACAAAAAGCACTTTAAATCTCCCTTGTTGTTAGCCTTTGATAACGCTGCTGTTTTTTTTTTTTTTAATATGACCTACTCTGTTCATCCAGATCGTTCATGTTTTTGTTTCATGCAGCCCTCCAACACACCATAACCACCTTCACAGCCTCTTACGTTTTATCAGCATGTATCTGTGGTCGTCAGCAATCCCCTCAGCCCCTCCCCTTCCCGCCAGTGTTCACAGTTTTGCTCAGCATCATCATCTCATCAGCCTCACACACATTGTCAGCCAACACCTCCGCCACCAGTGTCTGGGTTCCACAGAGGGGATTGCACTTTGCTACTGCTCAGTGAAGACACCCTTCGAACCCCTTTTTCTCCTTTCACAGTTTAAGTGCCAAAGAGACCCTTTCATTCATTCACTTGTCATTCCACCTTCACACCCTCTTAGCTAGCTTGTGATTTATTTTTCATAAACAAAAATAGAAACACAAAAACTCTGACTAAGCGATTTCAAGGTTCCCTGAGGACTTTTTCAAAACAAGAAGTGGCATCCAGCAATGTCTCCATGGACAGGCTTCAGTTCTACTTTATCATGCAAAGCAAAGTCAAAGAGAGCAAGAGAAGTAGAGGCATGGTGGTCAAGCTTCATAAAGAGAGTGTGTAGAGAACAAGCATCATCCATGATGACAAAGCTGAGAAACAAAGAAATAAGATGTTTTCTGAATGTTTCACAGTTGCTACCCTTTATAGTACTTATTGATATGCGCACAGAAAGGCGTTTAATGTGTTTGTCAGCAGTTAAAGGGCCTCTCCCTGCCTGCTGTGTGACTCTGCTCTGCTCTCTGTCACAACCACTACCCTGCTTACCAATTTACAGATAGACAAATATTCACTCTTTGTCAAGTCCTTTATGAAGAAGAAGATGGAAAAGGAGAAGAAGGAGGAAGAGGGAGCAACAGCATCTCATGAAGTGTAGGAGTTATGATTCAAACAGACAGAGATGGGAGAAGACAGAGAGTGACGTCATCTGGTCTCTTCATGTTTCTGCTCAGTCCTGACCTGCAGACTGTTGGCCTCACACCACTGGATCAAAGCTGAAGCCCATAAAATGTCCAAATTAGGAACATTTGATTTTCACTAATATTGTCTCAAAAGTCACTATCCTGGTTTAAACTCCCATGCAAGATTAAGGCAATTACAGCCAAAGTGATCATTTTGATCAACATTGAGCTCACAATTATTAATGCTTGTCAACACTTGTTCATATCTTAGCTTAACTGATCAAACTCACTTTGTTCCTTCACGAACACACATCTGATTCTCTTGCTATAGTATATCCTGTTTGCTGAAGATGTTGTTCAGCATTCCTAGTCAACAGTCTCCATTACTCAAATTTTTCTGCTCGTGGGCTGTCCAAAAATGTTATTCTCATTCAAACTGCATTTTTTATGCAGCCCATGTGGATTCATGACCTTTTTTGAACCTAGTGTTTAAGAAGTGGAATGAGGAAGAAAATACAATTCACCCTGTTGAAAGATCACAATCTAAATGTAAACAGAACATTTGAGTTTACATAACCCTCTTCAGGGCACCTCTATGCTTACAGGGGTCACTGAAAATGATGATGGATTTCATGTTGATTTTAGGCCTTTATTTACTCTTCTCTTTTATTTGCCTTCAGGCTTTGCCAACATCTGAAAGAGAAACTCTTCCCAGGGAGCACAGGTTGAACCATAACACTGTCATTTACATCTGTTTGCATGCTAACATATGAAGAATAGCACTTCCTGTATGGAGGATTTCACCATTTCAAACTAAAAGACCATAAATGCACATTATTACCACAGTGTAAGGCTAACAACTGCAGCACTGTGTATCTGTTTCTTTTGTCAAACAAACGAAAGGTACACAACAGCATTCAATAAATCAAGCTTCATTTTAGTACTCTAGATGTTTGCAGCCTTCAGTGAAGGCGCTTTACTGCCGCTGTCAAACTGAAGTCATGGTGCTGTGGTACAGGAACAAAGGGCAATAAATGGCTCCCACTCTCTGCTCTTCTCCATAATTACAAAACAGGGGGCAGTTGGGCTAAATGCTCCTATTTCCTAATAAAAAATATGAAACCGCACTGTTAATTCACAATAGATAATCAGGTTTTAGTTTAGTTCATGCATTTTAAATGAACAGCAGCATTTATACACTCAAATAACAACTGATGAGAGGCTTTGACACCCAACTGTACATGTGTGTGACAGTAAAAAGGTGAAACGAGGAGACAATCACACCAAACAAACACAAACCTCAAAGAAGGGTGAGTCCAAAGCCTTTCAGTATGGTCAACAAACACTGCTGTTTGTTTTTACTCCAGGAAGAACAAACAGAAGTCTGCCTGATCTGTGGGACGGCCTGGAGTTGGTCATGAGGGTGTGTCTGGCTGGCTGGCAGTGAGCCAGGGTAACATGAGCGAGACACAGAGGTAAAGCTGCAGGAGTGGATGCGTACCTCACTGAGAGATCCTCCATGTGTTCGGGTTGATGCTGATGCTGATGCTCCAAAGCCACTAGGCCCAACAGAGCCGGGGGATGGATTTGACAGGGAGCCCAGGCTGTGGTGTCTCTCGCCCAGGCCTGGGAATCTGCTCTGGTCGCACTGAGCTCTGATTCTGTCGAGGAGCTGGGTGAGCTCCATCGCTGTGCCATCCTCCTTCTTCCCTCTGCCTCCTTTTGCTGCTGCTGCTGCTGCTGCTGCTGCTGTGGACGTCTCTAACAGAGCATCGCAGGAGCTGGCCCGCTGCAGCTGTAAAGCCCGGGCTGCCTGCAAACAGCAAACAGTCAGAGGAGGCGGGGGAGAGAGGGAGAGAGAGAGGGAGAGAGAGATGAGAGGAGAAGATGTAATGAGGGAGGAGAACAAGAGAGAAACATGAAAAACAGGGAGATGAAACTTGTGAGTAAATGAAATGTAGATAAAAGAGAGAGAGACACATGAGTTTGTGTTTTGTGTTGGTATGTGTGGGTGTGTGTGTTTGTGCATGCTTGGGATCAGGCTGTGAAGGAGGTCACGCAATGCAGATAAAAAAAGGAAAACAAGAATCTGTTTGAGTCCTACACCTGTGAGTATGTGTAACTGTATTTCTGTGTGTGTCTTTGTGTGAGTGAGTGTGTGTGTGTGTGAGTGTCAATAAACAGGAGAAGAAACTGGACATGAATGGGGGAGGTATTAGTCAGCAGGAATGAGAGAACAAAGGAAAGACACCGAGACAGAGAGGTGGTGTGGTTAAGAGTGAGAGATTAGGTCATCATTAGATGCTACAGAGCATATATGGTGCTAACAAGCACACAAACACACACACACACACACACACACACACACACACACACACACACACACACACACACACACACACACACACACACACACACACACACACACACACACACGAAAAACATAACAAGGCTATAATAACAGGGCTTAAAGGAACAGGACAAGTAGCATTCAGACTTTTTATCAAATTTTTATAACAATAACAAGAGTGAAGATCTGAGAAAACATTAGTTTCTTAAACGGCAGTTAAAAACTGGATTCAAGGGGCCCAGTGGTACACATTGTAATAGTCTACAGCCCAATCCCTGGCCAACCCTTTGTTGCATGTCTTCCTCCTGTAAATACAACTTTAAGAAAATGGGTCCAAGTCAGTTTGATTAAATTTAACCTCTGCAGATTCACAAGTCAAGGTTCTGAACCGTTCTGTCAATTTTAAAAATGTCTGCTACCAGAGAAACAAAAGTTAACTCTTTTACGAAATTTTACCAAGCTAGTTATCTACTAACTGTTGCTAAAATTGACAGCTCAGCAGTGTTACATTTCTTGGTGCTTTTGGGAAAATATCTAATCCAGGTTAACAGATAATGTTGATTGCTGTGTGGTTTCTTGAACTAACAGACGGTCTAAGTCTGTGATCTGGTTTCTTAGATGAGTGACATTGTAATTATAAATGAATTACATATAATTGAAAGAAAGGACAGGCTGCACTCATCATACCTGCTCTATTAGCACCTGGAGCATCCCTAAAATGTACAAACTTTGTTTGTTGCTGGTTTTTCCAAGCGGAGTTTACAGCAAAACTGTAGTGGTGAAGTGGTGATTTTAAGGCACCATATTTTTTATTTCAGCCACTGGTTGGATCACTAGTTTTCCTCTAGAAATATGTAACATCTTTGGTAAGCTCCCAACTAAAAATCTTATTCTGTAGTGAACACAGAGCTGCAAGCTTAAAAACTCACTAGTGCCATACTCTACAGATGGGATAACTTTTAGTTTCAGAAAGACAAGAGGGAAGCAGTTGTAATCACAACTTCTTGATTTAAGTTGGCAAATGATAATCAAGTGGGTGACTGACTGTACAGATTCTACATCTACAGTAGCTACGTTTACGTGGGCACAAATAATCGGAATAAATGCCCTATCGGAATAAAAATGCGTCATGTAAACATGTCAACGGAAGATTCTGATCTAGTTCGACTCAGTTGGAAAGAAATTGTATTCCGATCGAAAGGGGTGGTTTATGCACGTATACGCACATCATGATCATGATTATCATCATCATGATTAATTGACTTTGCACCCATATAAACAGTGGATTCAGACTATCCGATCCCTTAAATGTTTAATCGGATGAAGAAATTTTGCCCATGTAAACATGGCTAATGTTTGGTCATTTCCAGAAAAGGCTCATATTCAGATGCCACAGGGCAAACCTAAAAATGTTTATGGCTTAATAAATGATGGTCATTACATTCTTAATTCATATTCTTGATCATTTATATCTACATTGACTTCACTTTGGTAACAGTGAGGCCTAATGTTATGCAGAGTTAGGGGTTGAGTGCAAAGAGTGGTGGATGGCTAACATTATTGGGGTACATTATGCGTGCTGTGAGGTCTTTTTCTCTTAAGCTGATGACAGCATGTGTACTTGAAAAGAGCTGAAAAGATACAGGCAGATAGAAAGATAAAGTCACATGAAACATGAATCACAACAGACACATGCAGTTCATTTAGTGACCTCAAACTCCTGGTGCATCTCCTGTAGCTCTGCCATGGAGTTGTGAAGGTCTGTCTGTAGCACCTCACTGCTCTCTTCTGCCTTCCTCTTTGATTCTCTTAGTAACACCACCTGCTGCTCCAGATGCAAGGTGTTCTTTTCTTCCATCTCACACCTGTGATGTAACACCAACAGCAAAGGTTATTCATTCATGGCCACTTACCTTTGTTATTTATTAATAATGCATCAGTTGAACACACTCAGAGGAAGGGAAATGGCGAGTGAAAAGTCACGTTTTTGTTTTTCAAAAGCATTGATATGATCTTCAGCCTTAACCAACATCCAGTTCAGCTGGATTAAAAGAAGATAAAATCAAAGTGTAGACAATGTGTATTGTGGGGTTTTATGCTGGTTTAAGTGGAGCAGTGATGCATGACAGTAAAGGAATGAGTTAAAGAAATCATAACTTTGAGTCGAAAGGCTGAAAAAGTCCTTGACAACTTCATAGTGTGTCATAAACCAAGTCCAGAGTCTCACAGAGACAAGCAGCCAGTCAGGAGACACACCAGGTGGAGCTAAAAATAGAACAGGTGTATTTATTTCAAGCTGCTGCATGCTGACACTGTCCTTCAGGGGTTAATGGCTGACAGTGGACGGGTGGTGTCTGTGTACGTGTATGTGTGTCTGTGTATGTGTGTGGTGTGACTCTGCATCAATACATAAGTGAAAGTGCCGATGCGGCACAAAGCCTGGCCTGGATTTGTATGCAGGTTGGCTCATAGGAGCGAGGGAGCTGGCCTGAGTTAGAAAACAGAGAAGTGGAAAAGCATCAAAGCAGGACTACGACATGAAGTGTTCGGCAGATATTAAGGCCCCTTTGAGGAGGTTTTGGCTGTTATGAAAGAGACTGAAATTTAAACAGATACCGCTACTGTGTATGACCTACAAATGGACAAAAAATCATTAATACTAAGATTGATTATATATAGTTGTTACACTGCAAACAAACTTCAGTAGTGTTTTGTCTTACTTTTAGTTAGAAAATGACTTAATGAAAGCAAAATTCGCATTAAAAAGTCTAGATGAATGTCCTATTTCAAGATAATTTTTAAAAATGAGACATTTTTCATATTTCAAGATGTTAAGGGAACTTTTCTAATCCCAGTGTCTAACTCTTTCACTCATTGTGAGCAAATCGGGTCTTATTTTTAGCTCGTAATATCCTTATATTACACTTTATATTGAATTTTTTAGAAAGATGTGGCTGATATGAAGTCTAAAAAGACCAGAAATAAGAAAAAAGAAACACTCAGTTTTGAGACATTTTGTCAAAGCAGTCTGCCAAACTTTTAGAGCTCCCCTAGTGACTGACTGGAGAATAGGACAATCAAGATATATCAAGATACAATTTTTTTAGGTAAACTATTTCCAGTTTGCAATTTAATGTCCCACCTATATTGATTGGCAGGTTTGTTGACAAATACCGTGCCTGCAGCTTCCCCTAGTAGATTAGAAGATGACCAACAAGAGGCCGCCACATAGCTATACATCATAGTGAGCACTGTAGATGATGGATTGGCTAAAATTCATGTCTGTCATCCATCATGCAAAGGTGTAGGCTGGTACGGTGCTGCTGGTGGTTGAATGAACCAATCAGAGCCATTAAAGGAGAGTCAAGTGGTAAAAAGCTGTGGGCATGTTTAGTAGTGAGGGGCCTACAAACAGTGGCTACCTGTGAAGGGATAAGTGTGGAATCAGCAATAACAGCAGTTTAACTATTGATATATAATTTTGTTGAAGGAATCTTGTGAAAACGTTTATCATTGATGAGAGTGGCAGGTTAACAGATGTGACCTTCAGCCTAACTGTTCAACAGAGGAGTGCTAGAGCTTTCAGGAAAAGCAGACCAAATAAAGCTGACCTTGCCTGGATGGCAGCAGCTCTGGACTTCATGGTGTCAGACTGTAATGCCAACTGGGCATTCTCCATCAGTAGTCTACCAACCTGAAAAACAACCAAAATACAGTCATGGGATACAATCAAACTGTAAGCGAGAAAAGAGAAAAAGAGAAACAGGAACTCTGCTGCTGCTGTAATTGTATCAAAATGTCAGGTGGTGAAAATTGAGAGAAGACTATGCTGATGTTGTTTTCAAACCCTGAGTGCTTTCATAGGACACAGTGGGCTTTTTACACTACTTGTCATACATTGGTTAATGTAGGTAATGCACTTTGTAAAATAACAAAGTACCTTGGAGAATTACAGAAAAATGCTTATAAAAAGTATTTACAACAGCACTATTGTGCACTATTGACTTCTTAAGGTCAAAATCTTAAACATCGGAAAATACTAGCTATATGATACTTAAATGACTGACATTGTAGAAAATAAAGGAAGAGAGGCTGAATCATATTATTTTGTTTATTTGCGCATGTAACCAAATGGTTACTCCTGCTTATACTGGTGCCCAATCAAAAAAGTTTGGACATGCACCTGGAGACAAGACCCCTTACTCAAAGCACAGTTTTTCACCACTGACTTTCCACAGTAGTGATAATCACAACAATATCAAGACTTACGATTCTTAAACCTTTGCCATGGAGGCACTACTAACCATGAGATGCTTAAATCAACTTATTACATTAATGTACCCCATGACCCTGCTGTGTCCAATTCTTGATTCTGATTGGTCAAACCTTTTAACAGTTCTAATTCTGGAGAGCAAGATTTACACAACAAACAACAAAAGTAGTCTGGCATGTTTTTAAAGTTTATTATTTTACCCCTTCCTGTTGTTTACTTGCCATGGCATCGGTAGACAACATGGAGGATATTTGAAATATTACACTTAATTTATTTAGAGAGCAAAAAGTGTTGGATTGGTGGTTAAAGGCAGGATAATCAAAAGCAGAGAAGAGGAGAGGATGAAAATTACCCAGAAACTGTTGGTACAAGGAGCAGAGCAAAATAGACATCAGTCCAACTGAAGAAAACACAGGAAATCATGAACCACTGGATGGTATGGGTTCTGACAGGTAGAGGATTAGTGTAGCAGTGTAAGAAAAGTTAGGTGGAAGCCAACTTGTACTGGTGCTGTTGTTATTCTCTGCATCTGTTAACAATGCGAGTGGAAACATGCTGAAGTTTGGACTTTAAACATAAAGGTTCATTTTTATTCCTATGTGTGATTTAAAACAATAAAGACTTTACAGTTCATAAAAAGTATTAATTTTAATTAAAGGTCCAATCATATGTAGGCTGATGAAATCACTATTGCTAGACTGGTTGCAGTTATAACTCTGCACATGCTTGGTTAGGTTCTTCCTCTACCTGCTTTAAAAGATAGAATCACTTTGTCGCAGGAGGAGCTTAAAACAAAAGGTGCTTCCAGGTAAAAGAGATTTGTTTTTGGCTAAGCAGTATTTGGACTGAATTAAAACTTTGATGAATTTTATCTCAAGCCTGAATAAAAACAAACATGACCAAATAGTTACCAGCTCGAACATCGTATGTGGTGTATGAAATTTTATCATGCCTACAAGATCAGGGGCAACTGTAACAGTTTAACAATCGGATATAATATTTCTGAACTCTGAGCAGTCATTGACTGCTTGATGTTTTTTTGCTTCTTGGTGTTTTCTTAGAAAGTAATATAATTGACCTACATTTTTACAAAACACAAATAGTTTTTGCTTCTCACTCTTTTTATAAATTCACAGAACATTACCCCAAATTTTCTTTCTCTGCTATTACTGATTGGTACATAAATCTGGAGTAAGATCATCAGAGAACAGATCCTCCATGTTTTTATTGTGAACTGTATATATTATGGACAACTTGGTTCTGCCTTTCGTCATTATATGAGTTTGAAGCCAAATTGCTCTCTGTATTTCTGGGATTTTCTCTACTCCCTGGAACCACCAGTTGCGCAGTAGCACTGTACGCATTCGGTGGGAGAGTTGTTGAGAGCCGCTGTGATGACGCTCGGCTCAAACAGCGTACAGGGTGAGCTACATAATCTTCGTGCGCCCATTCGGGCTGTATCAAGTGTCAATAATAGAAAACATACATTTCTAAAGTTTGTCCACAGCTCCATAGGGATTGCTGGAGGAGGCTGGATTTTTGACCTATACTGCAGCCCGTCACCAGAGGGTGCTTTTCTCACGATGGCTTAACCCAGCGAGGAGGCAGACAGCATCCATTCTATATACAGTCTATGGTATTTACCTCTGAATATGCTTTTATCGTGTTATAATGGGTTATATGTCTTCCCATAGGCTCTGACATGGATGCCAGTATAAGGAAATGAAAGGAAACTATTTGTGTAAGAATGGGCTTGTAAATACACTCTTTTATGTTTCATTGGACTCTAAACGTGGTTACATAAACAGAAGTGTTCATAAGTCCAAACAGAAAAATCCAAGTACCAGAAAGTTTTCCTTGTCTTTTCTCACACACATAAAGAAGTTAACACACCCTATTTTCCCATTTGTTTTCAGAATATGACACACCTATGTTGACAGAAAGACAAAGAACACAGGGAATATTCCATAACATCTAAACCTTAAACATTTTAATACCCTCTTTGTGTGAATGTTTCAGTACACCTGCCCATATTGAGCCTCTCGGAGGTGAGTCAATCATCTCTCTGAAAAGATCTCCTGCTTAATGTCTTACTCATCATATCACCTGGGCTAACTAAAAAGGTGTGCTTAAGATGGATGGAAAAGTAATCCTTTATGTTATGAATGCTCTTCCTGGATCAGCTCACAAAGACGCGAGCAGAAGCCGCTCTTGTGTCTGTCATAGTCATGGGAACATTAACCAAACTCTGGAGACAAGCTGGGCAATTTGGTAAACAATGAGAAACATCAAGTCAATAAGAGCAGCTCCTCATGAAGAAAGAGAGGCTGCTGAAAAATCATCAAGTCGAGTCATGTGAGAGATCACCGGTTGGAGTTAATGGTCTACAGAGGAGAGTGGCCTTCAAAGTCAGAAAGATTTCCGCATTCTGTGTGAGTGTGACAGCTGACCCAGTCGCGTCTCTCTGGCTCTGCTCCAGGCTTAATGACACATATTTGCCTCTAATCCTCTGCAACACGCTGTTTTTGTCTGGAGTTACCATTCACCTCTTGGACTTTTAAAACTTAAGAACCAAGGGGAACAATGTCTGCAACCCTATGTTGCATGGCCTCCCCCGCTGTCTGCTCCCCAAATGTTCCTGTCTTTCTTCAGCTCTCCTATCTTAAAAAAAGGCAAAAATGTGCAAAATATCACTGGAAAAAAATATTACACAACACAGGGTGCTGCTGGCCAATGCTTGCACCTTATACACAGAGATTATGCCTTACACAGGCAAGCAACTCTGGCCTATGGCTCCTTTACTGCATGTCAATTCCTGCTCTCGCTTCTCTATCCACAGTTTGGCCTCTCTAATAAAGACAGCAAAAGTCTTAAAAACTAACATGAAAATAGTAATAATGCAATGAAAGCGTAAGATGCAGTATATACTTGAATAGTACCGGTAATACAGAGGCAAAGGAGGTGTGACAGGATCAACACAGCAGCCAAAAAAGTCACGGCAGAAACTTTTAAACACCACCTAGCAGACCAGGTCTACAATTACCCACATTTGTGCGATGTGTCATCACCACTGCACAGCAACAACAAACATGCCTGTCAAAATAGCTGCAAAAGATAAGTTCAGTTTTCAAAGTTGACCTGGGAAAACCCCGAACTAAATGGGAACAAGTTCAGGACTGTTAACTGGTAACCTTTGCAAGTTCTGCTTTGTCTTGTTTATAGCTCTCAAATCTGTTATTTGCATACAGCTTGAGCTCCCTGGTGCGCCCTCTAAAGGTATCCTCCAGTAAGACATGCCGCACAGTGTGTTGTCAAGAATGTGTTTAGTAAAAACACAGAATCAAGACTCAGGATTCAGGGTTCAAAATCTTTAGCTGGGTAAATAATATATGAAAGGCACATGAAAATTTTGTTATAGGAAAATATGAAGTAAATATGCAGTGATATTGATTGTTCTGGACTTAACTTGAGTTAACTTCCCAGTTCAAAAAAAAGCCAAACCATCAAACAAACACTAAATAATTCAGAATAGCCTTAAGCTTCAAAGTTCAGCAAGTTTTGTTCAGGGATACAAGGTAAAAAAGAAAGTACACTGGCCTAATCATCTTAAATAAAACAGCAAAGTTTGATACTTTCACTCCAGGCGACATGGTAATGTGAGAAAACACGTAGGTTCCTGTGAGGAGATTCAAAATGCACACAGTGTCTAGTGCTCTAATTGTGTGACTAAATCTTTGGTTTTAGAAAACGTGACATTACTCCCAAAAATTCCCAAATGCTATCAGCTGAGGAGCTTTGCAGCCAGCAGAGAACAGCCATTGATAATTGAAACTTCGGCACTTCACAACCAATTTAAAGCATCTTCTCATGGACGAAGTTACCATGGAGATAACCAGGTTAAAAAAGAGCCAGCTTCATGACACGCTGATCTTATACTGCGTTCCAGTTGTACTCTGAAGTCAGAATTTCCGAGCTCTGAGTCAGAAATTCATCTGGATTGCCCCCCTGAAGACAGATTTCCAAATCGTAAAGTCGGATGATCCTCACCAACCCCAACTTGACGACGTCATAATTCAAGATGGCAGCGCAGTGCGTCATCAGTAAAGAGTAACAGTGAAAGCTCTCATAGTGTATTATTTATTTGCACTTCTGTTTTATTTTTGTGAAATTAAATAAGTGGTATATGTTGTACTGCCCAACGTCTAAATGTGAACACGGTGCTATGGTGTTTGTAAGAGTAAAATACTTTGTTATGCGTTGTTTACAATTGGTATAGCTAACGACAACTAACAACAGCTGACAACGGCTAACAACAGCTGACAATGGCCAACGACAGCTGACAATTGTAAACAACAGCTACCAACGGCTAACAGTAGGCTTCCATCTTGGTTTTCCGACTTAGGAAAAAACCTCGGCAGACCCAGCTTATCCTCAAAATCTCCTCTGTGGTATACTCCCCTAGAACATGATGAGCAAAGATACAAGACATATTTGTGTGCCCACAGGGGGCGCCAAAATCAACAAAACTAAAAGTTACTCACAGGAGCTTAAAAAGCTTTTATTAAGTATGAATCAGTATTAGTATTTGGAGAGAAACATAATGTTTAAAGCGACTGTGAGTAACTTTCTGACAAAGAGGAATTTCTTAAATCTCACCTAGTTTTGTTCTGCACATTTTAAAGTAGAGATTTCTGAAAAATGGTGTGAATATTTGCATGGAAAGGTATAATCAGCTTTTGTTTAAAAACACATTTAATGAAGTAAGAACAGTTAATAAACTCAGCCATGCAGTTGTGCTTTTGATGAATTGTAAAAAAAAGAGCCATAAATCAATCAGAAAATGTTGCAGATTGTCAAAATGAGCTGTAGCAAAAACGAAAAAACGATAACGTAAAGTGCAATTTCAAGCTTTCATAGTCTCAAACCCGTATTTAGCCAACATCATCTGTCTGTATCAACATTCAACAAAGAGACTGTGTGAGAAAAGGGATGTTGTTGTTTTTAATCAATGAAACTTTGTTCATACACAGGGGGGTTCCTTTATCTACCAGCTTGATGTTCATGTGAACACTCGGGCTCCTCACAATCACATGATGTTGAACACAGTTGTCATCAACATAATCACTCGTCTCTCTGTTTAGTTTGCTGTTTGATTTATCACACCTACTCCTGTTGTCATCCGGCCAATATGGCCTTGAGCTGAAGCCATGCAGCAGAATCATACAGCCTGAGAGGATATTACACTGCAGCACATCTGCTATCATTTGACACTTTGCAAAAGTCTGAGTGATTTTAAAAGATCATCTAATAGTTTAAATAATTGAAGTTGAGTCTGACCTCTGTACGGAGCTCCTTCACTGTCTGCTCCTGCAGGGACCAATCCCGGGAGCGTGAGTCATTCCTGACGCCCCAGTCCGCTATCTGTGCCTCCAGCCTCCTGTTGGTCTCCTGTAGCCGGTTCACCTGCTCCAGAAAGCCTCTTAAACGAGCATTTAGTCCCCACATAGTGTGACTGGAATCCTGCTGCAAGTCCATGGACACCTGAGAGAGCCCACACCTGGATGTTTACTCACATAGCCAGCTGATGTTATTTCCATACAGTCAAATCACTCACTGCAGCAGGTAGAGAGTACACGACTTACTCTGCTTTATCCAGAACGCACACACAGAAATATAAATTAAAAACTTTCACAGCAAACAGTTTGCCACCCATTTGAGATCACACGCTGCCAGAGGCGTTCACTAGGTAAATGTTTACCCACAGACACTCACCTGAGACTACGTGGCCGTCAGCGAATAGGGCACACACGCCAAGTGAAGTAATAAGCCAGCAAAAGTCCGTCTGTCTGTTTGCCTGGTCACACTGAGCTGATCCACCACTCCCCACAGCTTAGCTACATTCCTCTACCTCACACTGGCCAGCTTCTCTCCTTCCCACTGTGTCCCGGGTCATCAGCAGCCGGCCCCTGAGACAGAGCAGACAGACTGCCATTACCTGCCACTATCACCGCCTGTGTGTTTGTTTGTGTGTGTGTGCCAATCCTCAGGGTCAGCCTCGACAGGGATGGCCCTCTCTGTCCCACCTGCTCACCCCCTCTCCACCAGTGTGTGGACGAGGGTAGAGCAGTGGGGTAAGCGCTGGACACTGTGCTTACATCACCAGCACTCTGGGGCCCTTTGTACTCTCTGATCCTGGATTACTGAGCCGCTTTCAAACACACAGAAACACAAGCTGTGGAGGGAATGTTCAGGGAGACACAGTGACAGGACCTGTGTGTGAGAGTGAGTGTGTATTTAAACAACACCTTAATGAGAGGTTACCTTTAAATGTACTATGATTAAGGTTAAATCTGTGTACACTGGCACAATCTGAACTTAAGTAACATTTATGCGAAGTAACCTCTTGCTTAATTACAGTCTTGACTGGTTTTAGAAAATATTGCAGAGTGGGCCAAAGGTTTCATATTTCTTTCACAATACTTCTGTATTCCTTCAGATAAGCCCACACTATAATTCCCAGTCCCAAAGAAGTTGGAACCCTGTGTTAGATGTTAATAAAAAAATAAAAAAAACGTAACTTGAAACCTTAAACTCTGTATATCACTTAAAATAGAATTAAGATCACGGAGCATGTATTTACACTTAACATTTAAATGTAAAAAATGACTTTTTTTTCTTTTCAATTTGATGCCAGCAAAGAAGTTGTGACAGGGGAACAAAAACGCCAGATAAAGTGTTCAATCAAAGAACACCTGGAGAAACATCTTCCAACCAATGAGGTTTCACTTCAACAGGTCAGTAATGAGACCGGGTATAAACAAGGCATTCAGAGAGTCTGTCAGGAGTAAAGATGGGAAGAAGATCCCCATTCTGTGACAGACTTCTTGAGCAAATAGTTCATTAACTCCACAATGATGTTCCTCAAGGTAAGACTGCAAAGAATTTGAGGTTTCCTTCATCTTCAGTTACGTATGTAAAATTAAAAATAATATTTTATTGTATATTTTATTAGATTCAGTCTTTATTCAAGGACAAGGCCAAGAACTAATGCTTGATGGCTGGGATTTTTGAGTTGTCAGACAGTGGCAGTGGAAAGCATTACATGGGCTCGAAATTTTCACTACATTCACAAAAGCAGAAAAACAAACAAACAAACAAAAAAAAATAGTACAGTCTAATAAGGAAACCATAAAAAAAGCTACAGAAACACCACCATCTTTACATCCATCCAAGATGGATCACGCAAACTGGAAAACTTTGATAGATCCATCTCTTTTTGAACACATTTTTATTAGCATTTTGCATCTGGCATTTTACATATTTGGCTCTCTTGCAATAAATGCACAAATTCTGCAAACATGTAAACATATTCATTTTTATGGCATTAATAGGTTAAGGTTTAAGGAAGAACTAAAGGCAACCCCCCCCCATTCCCTTTCACAATAGATGTCTCCGCCTCCTCTTACTTAGTCTCTCATCCATCTTATTCCCATCATACATAGACAAATAAACAAATAGAGAAATGAGTAACTTCATTGGAGATAAATACATGGGATACACTTAAAATAATAAGAGCAATGATAAAGAAACTATGAATAAATAAAGAAAATCAGGTACATATCAGGTACAAATACATATAATGTATAAACAAGCCTATTCAAAGGTAGACATTTACCCGTGTGTTCTGTCATATGTTTGGGTAGGAACACACATGTCAGGTAATGATTCTCATGATAATAATAATAATAATAATAATAATAATAATAATAATAATAATAATAATAATAATAATAATAATAATAATAAACACTGGATGAAGACTGCAGGAAAAGGGGTCACACTCTGTAATCATAACTTTATTGGTCTCATTGGGCTGATCACCTTAAATCATGAACACCATGTCCTCTGCTTTTAAAAAGAGAGGGACCAACCAGCTTGTGATTGGTACATAGGTCACATGACAGCATACCTGATGGTATGGGAATGCTTGAGTGCCCATAGCATAGGTAGCTTATACATGGGTTGGCCCCATTAATTCTGAACTATGCTGGTTTCTGAGTTTCTTAAAATGAGCTAAATGATGAGGTGGAGTTGACCTCACCTGCAGTTGTTGATGGCTTAGCCTCATTTCAACTCTGCACGGTTTTTCTAACAGAGGGGCTGAACTGACCTTGACTTTCTATGGGTAATACTCTTAATATTGACAGTTACCTCATTAAGCTACCTTGAAACAAAACCCAACCATCCTCTTTGACATATTTTTTACTGTAGGCTGATTTGTAGAGTGTGGAGTAGAGCGGCGGATATATGGTCTTTGAACATGCAGTATTTTCATACATTGGAACAGTTTTAACTTTTGTGTGGTCTTATGTGCTGTAGGACACTAAATCAAAGAAGTTAAAAACACAAATCAAGAATTCATATCCTATCCTCTATGTTGTCTGTGTCTATTTGTAGCCAAATTCAGTGAGATTATTACCCTCAAATGTAGAAATGTTGCATAACTGTACCAAAATCGGTAAAGTTGAGTCTAACTGTGTTTTTGTGAAAAAGTGGTACTTAAGGCCTGGTAATCCAATGAGTTATTAGTTCTCTGAGCTAAGAGTCCATTATTTGTAGAGCTGAGTTCTACCACACTATCCAGGCTGCTCTGACAACTTTGATAAGACAGACTTGTTAGGCTAGCTTGTCTGCAACTTTTGAGGCTGATAAATTAGAGCCTCTGACAGATAAACATGATCATGATCTCAGCTGAATGGCATGTTAGCAGGTAGCTCGTCAGACAGATAGACAGCCAATCATGCTACTGAGTTACACAAGAGTTACGTCACCCAGCTTCAAGGCCCATCCAGAATTAACTCTTCACAAAAGACTGGTGCTGGTTTTACTTTTAAATGTGATGGTTTATTCTTGCTATAACAAGAAGAAATCTTCTTTAAAGAAGACAAGTACTTACTTGTTTGTACAGCTACACACTTTATTTTTTATGTAAAAGTGGAACCTGTAAATCTGAATATTTAATGATACAGGGTCTCACTGTTTAAAGTGTCTCTTCTGTTTCTGTGTCCATTTTTATGAAATTGCAATCACCAGCTTGTCTGATTACTCTTACGTCGAGCAAACAAAGAGGCAGGATGTGGGGTTTAATACGGACAACTCAGTCGCACATGTGTCTGATACAAGCACTGTTCAAATATTGTCTCAGTGAAGACTTTTTACCTGCAGTAAAGAGGCAGAGGCTGCAGACAGTTTGTTAGGGGTTTGGTTTTGTACCATTGAAAAAGGAAGGTTAATTACGAGAAAGTATCAAGGAAGTGAAAACCTAGTTGGACAGTGAAAGCAGTGTGGGAAAGGGCAAAAATGTTAATGAATACTTAATCATCAAGCACACACAAGTTCCAAACATACTGACTAACCAGACAGGGCCAGACAAGACTGTCAGGACACTTACCGTCATGACACCACACCCTCTCAGGAAAGTGGCCTCCTGTTGGCAAGAGAGCTTCGTTGATGATGGCAGCGATCAATAGTGTCGTTAAGTAAAATCCTGGATAAACAACACCTGTATGGGCGTTGCAGGCGGCTCTATTCTGGCTGTCTGGGACAGATGATTTCTGCTATGACTACAAACAGGGAATGTCACCCAGCCTGTTTTTTAAAAGTCATGCACTCCCACGAAGATCCAAGGAATAACCTCCATCGCACGACATCCCCAGTAGTGTTTGACGGGGGGAATCACGTAACTGAGGGCTGCAGAGAAAGCAGGTGGTGGATTGTTAATCCCGTCTCAGGAGCGGAGAAGGAGGCTTCAGAGGTGGACACTGCCTACAAGACAGGAAAACCAAAACAATGCAGCGTCAGATTACAGGGTTCAAACTGAACAGTGACCTGTAAAAGCTCCCTCATGTACCTGACCTGACCTGACTTTACATTCCTCTGCCTCTGTTCCCTCACGGGTGGGCGCCAAGAAGCCCTTTGATCGCTGCTCATGTGATCCCTCGTTTTCTGTAAAAGGAGCCTTTTTCCTGATACTGTTTGGCAGACAGGAAAAAAACAACTGTTATCACAATATACAATAGCGTTGAACAAATTATCCGACAATTATGAATCTAACTCCCTGCCAGGAGGGTTTTGTCTGAACATGACACAATTAGCTAAGTCTGAGTTCTTGATTGAGAGGTATTGTGGTGGTTTAAAGCCAAAACCACAGGAGGGATTAGCTGCAAATAAACTCTTTACCAGACTTTGCTTTAGGGCTTTGTTCAGTTGAAACACATTATATGTGCTTTGACTTGCAGTATAGTGTAAAAAAAAAGACAAATTTAATAATAGAGCTTACCGCATTACTCTAATACAAGCCTTACCTGTCAAATGCTCATTCAAGCACTTATAATTTATGCTTCTACTCACAACCTGCATAACAACCATTGTACCAAATGAAGCTGCACTTACAAATGTGATCAGCAATGTGCTAAATGACAATGTATAAAGTAGAACGGGTCACCAGAAGCAATTTTTTATAATTTTTGAGTCTTTAAAGCTCTTGTGGGGAGTTTTTTTTATGTAAATAAATAAACTGAAATTCATATGGATGCCTTTCTATGATTTCCAAAAGCAAACAAGACCATCAGTTATGAGACCAATGAATTTTATGTTGTAATTTTTAATGCCCAAAACCAAAGGGAGGGGGTAGGTAGTTGGTAGAAGCAGAGGAAACAGCCCTGTTTTCACTCTTTTTGCAGTTTTTTATATTTGACTGTCAAAAGTCAGCAGAATGGGATTTTTTTTATTCATAAGCATGTAGAAGACATAAACAAGACAGCTAAGTCCACAGGGGGCGCCAAAGTTTACACAAACTGAAAGTTTCTCACAGGAGCATAGAGTTAATTCTTTTGGGACTCAGTAGTCCACTACAGCTCTTCTACTGTTAGCCTGATTTGATTTGAAGGGGGTTGGTCAGAACTGCTGATAGTGCTGACTAGCCAGTGACAAAGTCAACATAAACAGTAAATAGACATATTTCCCCCTCACTTGCTCACTCAGCTCCTAAAATGACATTCAAAGTAGTCAAAGCCTCCATATGACAGAGATAAAGAAGATCTGGATGGACTTCAGGGCCCTGCAGTCCTCAAAGGTCCTGAACAGCGGCTAAGAACTTAGCAAAGAAATGTGCAGCAGAGGTGGACAGTGTACAGTCAATGTTCGGGTGATAATATTCTGACTTCCCTAAAAAAGGAACGACTACGCGGGGATGGAGTCACGGAGTTGCACAAAGTTAATTTTAGGAGTTTTTCGGGTCGGATGGAGTGTCCTTTTTATGCCCTTCTAACTCAGTAAGTCCACATGACACAAAATCGAAACTTACGTAGAAAACCGCAGACATTTGAAGGATTTTATAAACTTCCCCGGACAAAGCCGGACAAACCTGGACAAACCTGGACAGTCCCTAAAGAGGAGGACATGTCCAGGTAAAAGAGGATATGTGGTCACCCTAGTCAATGTAATGAGGAGAATGAGCTCTGGGACATAACTCACAATGATAAGAACTAATAAAAAGATAAAGAAAGCAGAGTTTTTGACCTCTATCACGGCCAGTCAGAAGGGGAGCACTTAATCTTTCAGCCTCACAGTCTGTTATCACTTTTGGCCTCTGATTGAATATACAGTCAAAGAAGATCACTATGTTAGTAAAGTTTATTTACTATTTCATGCAATTCTTGTAATAGTGTCTGTATTTTTATGTATTAATTTGAGGTGTAATCCAACCACCGGCAGACTTCTACCTATCAGTTTTCCACACATGTACCTTAGCCTCACAGGGACACTCGGAGAATCACCAGATCCATCCTAATCTTAATTGACATGGTGTGAAAACCTGATGGAGCACCTTTCTCTTTTAATGCTCACAAACAAACCCTCCACACCTTCGACTTTAATACTGATCATACCAGTGGGGACGAACAATTATGTCCATGTGGTTGCTGTCTCATGGGACTGACAGACGCACTACATTCCAAACACCACATAGTTTATAGTCTAGCAGACAAAAGTGGCACACAGATAAAAGACATGCTTGTAAAGGCGTTTAACTTGTGTATACAATGGAGAAAAGCGAAGGGAACGGCTCAGTTTTTCCAACACACATGCATCAAGCATGCAGGGAGGTTCCTCCTCAGATTGCCTGGGAAACAAAACGAACCACAGAGAAAAGATAGCTTGTTAAATCACAGGATGTCACATGAGGTCCCTAATGAATACAGCTTTCTGCCACCCCACTCTGTTTCTTTTTTGAATAATGAAAGGTCTCATCATGACCAGGATCAACAACAGTCCATATAATGTAAAACTTGTTAGCCTGTAAACCATAACTGAACTTATGTTGGAGTAGAATTTAAAACTTTAACTTTTTTGTAAGTTTCTGGTTTCTTATTGGACTTCATGATTCCGCTGCCTGCGGGAATTTGTAATAAAGCAATCAGAATGATTAATTTATTTATAAAGCTTTACACTGACTGGCCCTGGAAAACTATTATCTTCATAATGTCTTACACAGCACCTCAGGGTTACACAGCCTTTGATTCTTCCAAAACAATTAGCCTGGGAGTGGCACACCCAGCTGTCATTCACTGTTCAACAAGAAATGGTGAGTATTTCAGACAGCCAGACATGTCGGGGCTGTGTACTCATTGTTGTCACTGACTGTTTGTGGGGTCAGCAGAAGGACTCGGGTTGTCAGGAAAGTGTTAGGGTAAACTGAGAAGAGGTGCAAGGCTGTTTGATTTCACCTTTCAACATCTGATAATGTGACAACATGATGAGCCCAAATTACAGTCAGATCAGCCTGTCTCTTACACAGTATCATGTCCCAGAGAAGAAAAAAAGGCTGCTATTGTGCCAGCTTTGCTCTTTTCAAGTGAATTAAATAACACATGGTGCTGGCCAAGTCTGAAGTTTTCAATGTCACTGTGTTACAGGAGCAAAGAGATGAGGTGTATAAATGTCAACATGGGGATCAAATATGCACAAAGGAATCTATATGGCTGAGTCTCCCATTAAAACAAGGGTCTTCAGTCTCTGTTACCCCTGTTATGTCTCTGTTTTCCTAAAAAAAAAGGCCTGCTTTGGAAAAGCTTTTCTAAACTTTGTAACTTTCTTCCTCTAACCTGTTTAACCTCTCAGAAGACGAGCTTGACAGTGTTTGATCAGTGGCTTTAGTTATATCATTACAGCACACACGGTTCAGCATGAGGACACAGCATTGACTGAACTACTCAAATAAATGTTGAGAAAACAGAAGTTTTCTAAATGAAAGATTTTTTCATGGCTAAGATTTAACATATGGACAAACCACAAAGTGTAACAGTTTTAAAAGTAGTTATCTTATATTTCTTGGGGCAGATAGTTTACTGCAGAAGGACGGTGCAATGTATACAACACAATGGCAGTCAAAACAACGTGAGCCTACTGTGTTATTTGCATTTATGTTGATGTTTTGTGTTAACAGATGGATGAGCAGACATATTTTCATCTTTGAAATTATTCTCTTTCATCTGTCGTTACACCTAGTTTAACAGGATTTGCACAAGTCCTAATTTAAACATCATCAATGCCCACTTGCTCACGACAAAATTTTTAGGGGTTTTGTGCATATGTAAAAACAGATGTAGACATCTTTTTTTGGAAAATCTGAGTATCGCTTGGGTTACTCATCTCTGACAAGTGTATGGCAATACTTAAAATACTTGATGAGGTCCTGTGTCAATGAACAATATTTCCAAGCTGGTACCATCAATTTTCTGTGCAAAACAAAGTACAATTGACACCAATTATCATTTGTCTTGAAAAACACAAGCTGCTTTTTCTAAGTTGACCATGGTTAAATAGTTCTCATCAACCAATCAGAAGCAAGAAAGGGCAGGACTTCAGTAATCGACCTTTTTATAACAAATAACACTTTTTTCTGAGGTAGCATTTTACAAGTCTAAACAACAAGTGCTGGTAATAAGTGCTTAAATATAGTTTTTGAGTGGTGCCGGTGGACAAAAAAAAGCGTCAAGTGGACACAGGCCCTAAAGTAGTAGGCTTTGGGGCTTCTCTCAACCTATCATTTGTCAGCTATTGTTGCTAGACAAACCAGGGAAGAGTACTATTTTAGTAGCTTGCTACATTGTAAATTAAGAGACTTGGCTGAGACCACTTCACAAACAAAGGCAGCCATAACCAAAAGCTGCCATTGTTTGTTGTCTCCCTAATGACTTTCATGAAGGGCAAGGTGAGATAACTGGACTTTTTTCAGTTTGTGACATTGAAGGGTGTCAGACTGGTCCAGTGTTTTTCCCTTTTGTGTAAACGTACACGCCTTTGTAGCCCCAGTTTGACCTACAGACCTGCTGGCACTATGTCCACTGGAGCTTGATATACCACTTTGGCATCAGGAAGATTGATAATTCTCTGATATTGCGTTACTATGAAAACTGGCTTTCCAAAGAGCTTAGCATAAATCCAATGTCAATATAAAAATAATCATTGCAACAGCTTTAAACTCCAATCTTTTTTAAAAACAATAATTTATTCTTGTAGTTGGAAATGCACCTCTAATGACCTTTACGAGTTAAATTGTGGGTTTTATCACATTTGCTCGTATTTCATTAATTTGATATCAATAGCTTATCTAACTACCTTTTTATCTGCTCAAGGAGTTTTTGCAAGCTGGCACTTGTTTCAGTCCCTAAGAAAAAGACGATTGCAACTCTTTTCTGTTGTTGTGTCAGCATGAACATTACATCATGAAGACTGGGTTACTGCACGTTTTCTCACCTACTGTAGGACCATAGGAAGAAACTGCCAGACAAAAATTATGTTTAATTAAAGGACAACTGCTGCTTGTCCACCCACTAACTAGAGCGTTACACCTGCATACTTGTGACTAACAAATTCCATGTCGCCACTAGTAATTACAATTCTAATAAAACACAGACATGCTCAAATCTGTGTTTGTAATTATGGTAACAAAAAAGCTTCATGGGAACTTGGTTTCATTCTGTTTCGGGGTGATTGTTATTATTTCAAATGAAGCCGCCTGGCAGCAGGTATGAAACGCTGCATGGTTGATTGGCATTAGAAAATGGTATCAGAATAAAAGTAAATATCACCATCCAGTCTATCAGCCTGGATCCCAGCACCAGCCAAGCCTTGTGCATCAAATAACATGCACACGGTCTTGCCACTGGAATTAAGATACTGACTGACAGACCGGCCTACACTGACCTGAACAATACCATCAAACAACAACAAAGCATGAAGGGATTATTATCTGAGAGTAAACTGCAGACCTCAGTCTTTTATTGTTATTATATTTACAGTGAAATCCCAGGTCTTATTTTTGCTTAAGAAAGCACAAAGGACTCAAAAGAAATGCACCAGTTGTGATAATTACAGCTGACACCAGTATGGATGTTTATTAAAACAACAATTTGGCTCTTGCTAACAACCGATACCAAAGTTTTTAGCATTATTCAGAATATCAACATACAGCCAGTTGTCTGATTTTTGAATGAGAAATGAGATTTGATGTATTTCAATAACTGACAGTTTTTCCTTTAAAGTCCCTTTTAAAACGTCTCTTGAAATTGTTCAGTTTGTCCAGCAGGTGACTTCTTCTGCCATATTAAAAAACCTTTCAATTGGCAGTGAGGAGAATCAGCTTAAAGATAGAAATAGGATTCTATAGGACACAGAAAAACATCGACTTCTGACATCTGAGTGCAACACTTTATTTGAGATACAGATATTCAGCTGATACATGGGTGCATCTGTCAGACAAAATTACACAAAACCATGCTGAAAACAAATCCTTTTAATAGCAGAGATACATGCAATTATCTAGCAACATACATTTTGGAATCTGCCCATAAATCCTTAAAATAACATGACAAAACACAACAGTAACTTAAATAAACAGGGTTGTCATAACTAGAACAGGTCATGTAAAAATGTATTGCCAACTATGCCAATGAGTGAGTAACACTTAATGGAGTCTCAATAATGCATTAGCTTCAGCAAACAGTCTGGGGCAGCAAAACAGAGCAACAATTGATCAGTTCTGCAAGCAATAACCTGTGATCTTTAAGAAATGTGCCCACAACTACCAAGAGCATGTGTCTTAATTAATTGTTTTAAGACATCTCAAAAACAGAATGTGTGAGGAAAAAATGCCTGTTAACTCTCAACTTTCACTTTTGTTTGACAGAAAAGCACTAAAAACAGTCCATCTTTCACTTAATTTATCTTTGCCTCTTCCTAGGACATCCATAAGTAAGGTTAAACCAGTTACGCCCATTAAACATCTATGTTTTATATAGTCTGTGTTGCTAACAGTAGCACTGACAGGCTAAATGTACATTAAACTTTGTTAAGATTAAAATTACCATAATAATTGGTGAGAAAGTTATATATATTTTAAATACTCCACAGTGGGAAAAGTTTGTGAAGTATGTTAGCACATAAATAGTGAAACACGTAAAAACTTGGATCTAAACTAGCAAAGTTCACTCGTGTGTCAGAACACTGATTTTTTTTACTCGGCTTTTTGAAATTAAATGTTAGCTAACTTCCACACCAAACTGAAATTCTGAAACCTTGTGCATCTAAGCTTGGTATTTATGAGTATATTATCAAATTAATATTGTTACGAAATACAGACCCAACAAGCTTTTGTGACTAAAGCAGCAATTTCCTCCAAGTCCTGCTGATTCTGTCTGTGGAAAAGATGCATTTTCTTTTTCGAGTCGTGATACTTAAATCCGAAAATTCAATGATATGCTCCATGGTCCTCATTTTAACAACTCTCCACTAAAACAACAGGTAAGACTATTATTTAGAGACTTTATTCTCATACATTCATGACTTTTTTCGTGTAAAATTATGACTTTACTATCCCATATTTTTGACTTTGATATTGTGAAGCTGACTTCATTCTCGTTTTATTATGACTTTATTCTCCTAAATTTTTGACTTTGTTCTGGAAGTCTGTGAATATTTTTTTTTTCTCATTGAGCTCTCACACTCATAGTGAACAACTTAGTGAGCATGGTTAATACAAGAAAAAAATTTGAGCTCCAACCTACTTTTAAAAATGTCATGACCCGGCCGTCACAAAAATATTTAGAGTTAGAAGCATTTTATTTATTGGAAATGGCAAAGAACAGGTACACATCAAGAGGCCATTATTAACAGACACATAAATGTCCCCTAATACCTAAGTAATAGATATTAGGCCTGTAAGTAAACAGAGTACTGTAACTTAAAAACCTAAAAATTGGTTTTAGTTAGGTTATTTCCACAGAGTGCTCTTTTTAAAAACAGAGATTTTCTTTTTCATCGTAGATTTTTAATTAAATTTGACAGCTTCTCTTCATGCATAAATAACTTTACCTGACATGCGCTTTGACAGCCGTTAGACTGGCAGTAAAACTGAATGCCACCACCACACCCTGTGTGGTCACACCTATGATGCTGGCGAGCAGCATCTTTCCACCCACCTGTTCAGCCGCTCCCACTGACTCGGAGGAGCCTATAAATCCCATCATACGTGCTACTCCGGCTCATCTCCTCCTCACCACTCTTTGGGTTTGACAGATTTCCCTGCGCTCTGCACCTGAGTCAATAGTTACATCATCATGGCCGGTCTTCGTGCTATGTCCGGTATGTCCCTGTACTCTATGCCCTCTATGGGCTCCAGACGGGGCACAAGTGTCTATGGCGGGGCAGGTGGAAAAAACGTCCGGATTTCCTACGCCTCCGACGGCATTGGCGGTGGGTTTGACTTGGCAGGGGCGCTTGGAAGTGGCGGAAGCAGTATGTCCACCGCCGGCGGCGAAAAACAGACCATGCAGAACCTGAACGATCGTCTGGCTGTTTACCTGGACAAGGTGCGCTCTTTGGAGGCAGCAAATGCGCAGCTGGAGCGTCAAATCCGCGAGTGGTACGCCAAGCAGACTCCACAGGTCAGGGACTACAGCAAGTATGAGAAGATCATCGATGACCTGCGCAGAAAGGTTTGATTTTTTTTTTATCTCAAAAAACACGAAACATTATTCAGCATGACTTCTCTGCAAAACTAAGCTCAGAGTGATCCCAATAATACTTTCACGGAAAATTGTTTAGCCCTATTTCCAAAGTCTAACTTAACTAACCAGCTTTATTTGGTTATATTTATCATTTCGGTGTGCTCAGATTCTCTTGGTCAAAATTTGCCCAGATAATGAGGAAACACCTTTTTGAATTCCTTTTGAAATATCGTAAAAACATCACAATGTGCTTTGTGTGTGAAGTTAAAACTTCACCTGACATAACCCAAGTATCAAGGAAGTCGAAGTCTCTCTATTACAGTAAACCTTATATTTTATTACTTAATCCCCACTATTAAAAGTCCTCATAAACACACTTAGTTTGCTGACTTGGTCTATAAAGTCATGTCAGTGGTTTACTTATGTCATGTGCCCTCAGGGTGTGGATAAGCAAACACATGACACTCAGCTCTCATTGGTCATAAAGAAAGGTACTGACCTCTGTAAGACTGAAGTTTTTAAGTCTAGCTCTCCCAATTGTTCTTATTTTTGGTATCTGCCTTCCATCAACAATCACTGCCAGGTATTGAAAACTGATATTTGATTAAAAAAGCACAGTCTACATTCATTGACATGTATATGATTTTGATTTATTTGGGATCCCCATTAGCTATATGATATTGTGGATAAGGATGACCTGACCTGATGATGCTTAACCCTTTTTTAGATCAGTGCTGCTGCGCTGGACAATGCCAGGCTGATGCTGCAGATCGACAATGCCAGGCTGGCAGCAGAGGACTTTAAGATCAAGTGAGTGGAGAAGTTACATCAAAAGCTTTCAGCCTTGTGTGGTTAATAAGTAATTACTATGAATAACATTAGAGCCATCACATGTTTGCTCAGTGTTTCCAGAATGAGCTGGCACTTTGTCATGGGGGTGTAACGGTCAACACAATGATTAAACTGGTGGAACCAGTTTTGACTCCACTTTTTGTTTTGTTTTGTTTGTTGGTGGTAACACAACTTAAGCAGACAAAGCAACATGAACCTTTGCTCTTTTTTCTGGACAGGTATGAAAATGAGCTGGCAGTGCGCACTTCTGTGGAGGGAGACATCCTCGGACTGCGCAAGGTCCTGGATGACCTGACCATGTCTAGATCTGACCTGGAGATGCAGGTGGAGGGTCTGAGGGAGGAGCTGGTTTACCTTAAGAAAAATCATGAAGAGGTGAGCGTAACAGGAATACCTTCACTGCCCAAGTCCATAAAATATGTTTCAAAATTTACACTTTTCCTAAGTGGTTTACTGCCAATAATGGAAAAACCACCCTAAAACTCAGTGCCCAGTCCTCTTTTCTTTAGATATACAACTAAAAATAAAAAAGCTTCAACTTAAAAGTCTTTGTCATGCTTCAGTAAGAGAGAACTGGATGTCAAAGCCACATTGATCCTTTTAATTGGACAATTAGTCAAGTATCTGGCGAGAGGCCTAGAGGAATAAAATCTAAAGCTTATACAAACATCAGGTATTACAAAACTAGTTTGGATTGTCTGCCATGCCTTCAAGTTGTGTATATCAAGGTAGGCACTGCTGGCAGCACCTCTTAAATGACTCATAGAAAATCATCTGACAGCATGACATTGTGGTTAATAGTAAATGAATTTATAATCAGTTTACTCACTAAGAGGCGAAAGATGCTCAACGATAAACATGCTTTATTTGTTTTTCGGAAATCTCATTACTGTAAAACTTCTAATAGAAGTCTATCCCAAAGAAAGGCAGGCAGGGTCTCTTTTGGAAGTTGGGTGTGGCTGCTTGTTTTGACAAAAAAAGGCAGGTATGCATCAGTTGGTATATGCTAGTTACTTATCTGGTTGTCCATGCCATTAAGTGCTTGATACTTTCCCTGTCACTGAAATGCACCATGTCACACCAATTAGTGATTTTTAAGCAAATACAAGGAAAAATAAAGTTGAATTTCAATTTCTATCCAAGAAAGATAGAACAGTTGAAGCATCTGCAAGAGTGAACAAACACGTCATTGATTGGTGTCACAGTCTCCTGCAAGCTGATCTAGAAAAAGGCTGAAGAAATGTTCACCCCACTAAGTGACAAGAAGGACAGGGAGTACCCTCACTGCCTTTGTGAGCTCTAAAAAATAGAAATATACACTGACAAAGACAAAAAACATCTGCCCCCTGTTGACACCTGTCCTGACTTAAGACAGGGTGAATTTATAGATTTAACAAATAAAAGCCTGAGCTTCTAATTAAAATTTCACGGTTTTTGCAATTATTAGAAAGATCCTGTCAAAAAGACAATTCAAGGCAGTCAGGTGAAGCAGTCATCTCACAATAATCATTCATTATTGGTGCACTACCTAAGCTGTCCTTTGCAAACCACTAGGGGTCTGGCAGGCAGCAGAGCCCTTTCAGGATTAATGTGTAAATTCATCACACTTAAGATACATGGTTGGCTTGTACTCTTTGTGAAGTTTCTTCTTGGGATTTATTTTTGACATTACCTGACTTTTACCCTCTCCTCCTGTCTGTAGGAACTTGCAGCCTTGCGCAGCCAAAGCTCCAGCAATGTGAATGTGGAAGTGGATGCCAGACCTCAAGATGACCTGACCAAAGTCTTGGATGGCATCAGATCTCAGTACGAGGGTATTACTGACAAGAACCGTAAGGAAATGGAGAACTGGTACAAAGGCAAGGTGAGGGGAACCAAATGGTATATGTTCATTCCACATTTGCATGTAACTGGCGATGTTTCCTTCATATCAAGTGACAACCAAATTCACAATTCAACCATATATTCTGTCTTTTAGTTTGATGAACTGAACAAGCAGATATCAACCAACACGGAGACCCTCCAGACCTCCAAGAGCGAGATCAGTGAGCTGAGAAGGACCCTGCAGGCCCTGCAGATTGAGCTGCAGTCCCAGCTCAGCCTGGTAATTCAAACCCTTACTGCAAGGAAAATGATTTTCACTGAGCTTTTTTCAAACCTGTTTTACTTCTCAACATGAATACCACTGTAACATGTTTGACTGCAGACACGAAGAATAGCATTGAAGACAGTAAATCTGTCCTTCATCTTCAGTCAGTGCTGCCGCACTTTTTAACCTGAGGCTTTTCTAATCAGAGGCAGAAAAAAAGTAGTTTAACCCTTGCCTCTCCTGTTTTTTTTCTCCCTTTAAAGAAATCTGCCTTGGAGGAGCAGCTTGGAGAAACAGAGTCCCGCTACAGCCTGCAGCTGAACCAGCTCCAGGCCATGGTCAACAGCCTGGAGAATGAGCTCAGCCAGGTGAGGATGGATATTGCAAGACAGTCCCAAGAATACCAGACGCTCCTCGACATCAAGACCAGACTGGAGTTGGAGATCGCTGAGTACAGAAGACTGCTTGATGGAGGCGATGTGAAGTAAGGGAGACATTTGTTACAAGATAACCCGCTAAAATCAGTAGATTCAGCTCTTATATCAAGACAAAACCCGTCTTAGAATAAACTGTTGTTTTCTCACTTACAGTAAAAGAAGGTCAATACCATTACTTTACAACTATCATGCTTATTTTCAGCTTAATTTAGCATGATGATGAAAAAAGGAGTAAAAAGATTGTTTTGACTGGTGCGAATTCACACGTTAAACAAACAGCACTCTAAAGGAGTGGTATGCATCAATTTTTGATCTTTCAGGCAATTCATTAAATAACACTATTTTTATTTTTGCAAACAAAGCTCATTAGCTAGCAGCTGCTGTTTCATAATTATCGTTAGTTTAGCCCGGTCTTAGTTGTAAAGTGGCCGAGGATGTTTTCAAGTTGCTGAATTTTGTTCTTCTTTGTTGAATGCCACAAAAATAACTGTCGTCTCCCTCTTCAGGCAAACTTCTTCTATGACAACTTACACCAAAAAAGAAGAAATCGTGAAACGTAAGTTTATACCAATACTGTATTTTTAAAAGTTTCTGTTCTCTGCATGAATGAAAGGCCCAATATTTCCTCTTATTTGTTTTGCAGCTAAACCAGTCGTAACCCAGAGGAGGAAAGTGGTGATTGAGGAGATCGTTGATGGAAAAGTGGTGTCCCGCACGGTGGATGAGGACACGGAGATTGTCAAAAGTTAGACGGACTGGATCCCAAAAGATCTAAAAAAAGAAAAAAGGGGCCCTTCTATTTTTTCTGTTTCTAATGAACGCCTGATGTTCCTCTTTTCTGGAGTCTAAGGTCAGCCAGGGAGAATATGTTGTGTTGTCATTCCACTCAGGTCAAGTATAGAATATTTATTTCTCTAAATCTGTCTGAGGTGCTAATAATATTATGTTTTAATAAAACAAAAATCTATTTTCAAAAAGTTCAAAAAGAAGTCGATATTCTGCCCCTGAACTGATGGTTCAAGTTTGATTCTACCCCACATATCCGAGTAAACATTATTCTTCCCTGAATGCTTCCTGAAATCCCACTTTAATACACTAGGTGGCACTGTGAGTCCTGTGTAACAAGTAGAGAGTAAGGTCAAAGATACAGTGCAAAGGTTTTATTGCCTTAAACATAACTACAGTGGCCTTTGTCTCTGAGTTAAAACACACCTCTCATAAACCATCCTGTGTTCTGCTGTGAAAGGGATCATTAGATCTTTGTTTTTGTTGATTTTCTATAGAAAATAAACAAGTGTCCTCCACCTGTGTCTGCTTTCTTGTTTTTATTTCCCTTCATTTTATAATCTTACTATAAAAATCACACTGTTCTGGTTTAACTGGTATGAAACATCATGAAGCTACTCTTTGCAGAGTTGTAGTTGCAATTTTTCCATGAGACCACCAGATGTCGGTATATTCATTCTATTTAGCTACACCTGTCCAGACTATGCAGCAGAAAGTCACTGGCAGTCACCAACCAAAGGAAACAGTTTATCTAATGTTTAAATGAAGTAAAAAATATTCACCTTTCTTGACTCAGATCACATTGTTTCCTATCACAGCATTGAAAAACTACAAGAGGTGGTGACAAATCTAATTTTGAAACATCGATCCCACATTAAAAAGAGAAAAGCTGTCAGAATAACAAATAAAGCATACTGCAAAGTATTTAATAACACTAATCCATATTTAAAATGTTCTGCACCATAAAATATTTAAATATTGCACCTGTATACATACTGAAATACTCCCAGTCTTTCAGATTGTATTTTTTCTTTTATTTACTTATATTTGTTTTATTTTTATTTTCGTATAGGTACATGTATGAATCAAGTAAAAAATTACCACATTTTACAGTATTAGTAGCTTGAGCTATTTTGCAATGCCCTTACCTCGCTGGGTTTTTAAGATACAAAAAAAAAATCCCAAATACACACAAATAGTCTCAACATTAAAATAGCAACAAATTCATAAAAAAAGACAAAACAAAACAAAACACAAACAATTTTAAACTGAGAGAAAGACATCATATTCTCAGAAGGACCTGTTACCAAAAACAGATGATGCCTTCCCTTTAAAGTGTTTTCAGTCATCCATGATCAAAAGTCTCAATCACAAATACTCACCCCAATAAAGATTTGGATTGTGATAAAGGTTGCAAAGACACCCAAGTCCAGCAGGGGGCTCTCTAACCAACATAAACTTGTTTTTCATTTCTTCCTCCTCTTCTGTAAAGTCATTCATCTGCAAGGGGATTCTCTATGTTTTGTGCATCCCCTGGCCTAAAAAAATTAAAACATTAATTTGGGGAAAAGAGTTTCAAACAATAAGAATATGCACAGAAAGCATAAATGTAAAGACATTGAGAGATGAGTTTGAACAGCCTCTGCCATGAACTTTTTAACACCGTCTCCATGTTTTTAAGCATTATCTAATGAACAAAGCGGTATTATGAATCTATTTAGTTTGTAAGTCAATTTATTACCTTACCTAGTTGTTACTTAAAAGAGAAAAGAGAGAAGAATCAAATTCGTTAGTTACTCAATAGTGAATTAACTACAAATGACTTATCACCAGTGACTTACTTTGCCTACCCTTGAGTGGCTCAAATCTGCTGTTAATGTTGGTGCACCCTTTTTTAGCCAACAAACTTGAGAACTAATGGTTAGCACTGAGTAACTACTTATTATGATGTCTCACTTTACTCAAGGGTACACAGAAAAGTAACCAGAGATTGGATAACTGAGTTACAACCCACTGTGATGCCTCAGTTTGTCCTCTGTTACATAATCTTCAGCCACGCCACACAAAAGCTCTAACCATGCAAAATCTGTTCACCTCATTGAAGTGTTACCCACACACGTTTCAGCTATACTTTGAATAATGTCACAGACTCATAGTAATTATAGCATCTTTTTTTTTTTTTAAATCAAGAATTTTAAGTGGAGCCACCCCCTGTTGCTTGTAAATGGTAAAAGAAATTGATCATGTGACCAAATATTTAGGAGATGGGCATCAATTCATGGAGTCTGTGAAGGTCAGAGGCACATGGGTGAAGGGGTTAGACATTTATGCACTTACCCCATGCACGGGGTAAGTAAACGGGGTAAGTTGACCATAGGAGACCACATTTTTTGGCATGCTATATTATCAAGACAGTTATGTTTACACTCATTCTGTTGGTTTGCAGGGATGCACAACATCTTGAAATATAGGCAGACACACTAGTTAGAGACAAAACTATGATTGCCTTGATGTAGTGATCCAAAACATGAAAAAGGGCTCATCTTACTCCACTCTCTCCTTATTGTGAGAAAGTTTGAAACGTGGCTTATTTTATGCACTTCAACCTCTCAGTTGCACTGAACACACACATATTGAATCCTATACTATCCCTCTCTCCCAAACGTGTCTGTTGCTGCTTGTAATTCTACATGTATGAAAAACACGCCTCGCTTGAGCCTTTTCCACAGGCAAAGACAGAGGAGGCATTGCAGCCCGGCCCCGGTGTCCTCCTTCAGACAGCACTCAGGGTTTATTTATAGTCCGGGGTCTGCAGCACAGATCCACTCTGTAGCTGTAGCACGACTGTGTCACTCAGAGCTGGTGGTCCCTATAGTCACGACACGAAATGATGACAAAATTCTGCACCACGGGAGGCTGACGTCACCGCGGCACAGTCACCTCCTCGGTGACGTCACTCGCCCAGCGGAGGATGGGGTGGGGGATTGGGGTGGGGGGGTTAACGCCATCTGCTGGACGCGCTCAGCCACTCACACCGCATTACGTCATCCGGGAGAAACCGGTGCCAGCTGCGGGTCGGTATAGCCTCAAAACCTGATGTGAATGCTCAATGAGCCGAGAGGGATAAAGAGAGAGAGAGCAGGGAGAGGGATGAAGAAGAGGGGCTGTAATTATTCTCCGAGCTGTTTGTCCAAAAAGACCACAACACCAGCAACACATTTTTTTCAGATTTTAGTGGGCTTCATTTCATTGAGGTTTTATCGGTTCCACCAAAATCAATAAATCAGAGCAATATCACCTCCAAAATTATTTGCAGCCAATGAGAAACTAGAATAAACTGATAATCTTTAATATCCTTGAGGGAACCCCCACAAGGATAAATAAAGTTGTATTTAATTCAACAGTAAAATGACTGATTTGCTCCGAGGAGCCTTAATTAATAGAAGTAGACTTCAAAATCTTTTGTAAAACATTCACAGTTTTTGCTAACAAGTAACCCTTTTTTCAATGATTAATACCAATATCGATTATAATCGAGCCAGTGGACGATGTATAATGCTGATGTACTAACATTGTTTTTGTTCTTCATTTGATGAAACAGAACGATTTCACAGTTCTTACAAATATGAAATAAAACTGCTGAACTCAAGTGAACATTTCATCAAATACATTTAGAGGAGACAGTATTTAGCTTAGTGAAGTATTGCTAAAAGGGACAATTTGATTTTTGTCTAGCTATCTGAACTTATTAAGGAGAAAAACATTCAAGGTATTTATTGGGGTTATAATAAAAAAAGGAGTATAATGTAAAATGTCTTTATTCCATGCACATTATAATTTAATATATATGGTAACCTTAGCTATTAACTCGCTTAAGATAGATTTTTAATGAAAAACAGAAATACGTAGGTGATGCTATAGATTCCAGAGCAACACTAAAATATATGTCAAAGCAATAAGCCATAAACTGTATAATTCTGCACACCATAACAGAATTTATATCATGGATTTTATTTTGAAGAGAGGATGATTATTGGCCTTGTGAGGGCTGATGTCCATATGATGCCAATTATGTTAAAATGCCAAAAACCTAAATAGGCCAAATGATGAACTGGTCCATCTGTAGTTCACAGGCCATGAAAAAAATGTAATGTATAAACAAAATACACTTTAAAACCCTTTCAGATAGGCTCCTATTTACAATTAGGTTTTTGATGACTGTTTCTTTTGGTTTCATTTGTCTATACAGTTTTAAAGAGCTTTAAACATACAGTTCAGACAGCTTTTTGTGAAGAAAGAGTTGAGGGATTTTAGAGTTCAGTTCAAAATGGTAGCTATTATATAACAGTGTAGAAGAGAAACTCAAAGTTGGGGAAATTGGGTATGGTTGCAACAGTTTTCGCTTCAGCACCTATAACTCACTAAAGTTTTGAGTTGGAGTACCATTTCTTAAAATATGGTACCCTCATTTCTTGACCACATATGGAACCACCTTTGAGCTCTGCAAAGATATATATATTTCATTTATTTAGATTTCCATCAGCTTTGGCTAAGGCCATCGCTATTCTTCCTGAAGTCTACATTTACAATTAGCTCTCTGTCGCAGTGCAAAGACACAAAAAAACATCACACGACAAACACAAAGATATCGTCAATAACTCACAACAGCCTACAAGACAAAAACAAAACAACAAAACTAGAACAAAACAAACAACATACACATATTACTGTACCTTATTCATTGTCACAGTGTAGCTATAGTTCTGAAATAATCAGATGTTCAAATATCAACATACATTCCACATAACTGAATTGATTTACAGAAACAGTACCTAATACATAAGCAGACTTTAGATATTTCAAGTAAATCAGACAAACACTGATTGATCGTAACAAATAGCTTCATCTAAATAGGGAGCTGTTTGACTAATAAATGTTCTTTCACCAGATCTTTACATCTGTTTTGATCTTGGATAATGTAATCTTGTCTTGATGTCAAATAGCAAGACACAGCTGTTTTTTAATGAAGGTTTTTTTTTTTTTTTTTGGCACGATTTTCTACCCTTTTCCCTTAAACTTTAAATCCCAGGGAGAACATTTTGTATACAGCCAAAAGAAACTCATCACACACACTAAGGGTAAAGCAGACATAATGATTATATGTGAAATGGATGCTAAATCCCATCACAACTGACATGTGATGACTCACCTTAAATGTGATGCAAGTCACAGAAATAAAGAGCATCTGATGTATGCCTAAAAAGTGCACAACAGCTGGTTATGTTTTTCATTCATTGCTCATCTGTTCACTTTCTTCATAATCAAACAATCACCTAAACTGACTAAGAAATGAAGAAAACTCAAGACAAGACTTGCATGTTGCCGTTCAGACGGGCTGCTGTCCATGGTGCTGAAATGGACAATGGTTCAGAGTTGAGAGACAAGCATCTTTATTCCGTCCCTCTTGATAAAATAGACCCAAACGTGGAATTGATTTCATTGGAAAATCCTAAAAGTATCGCGAGAGGAAAGATATGGTTTGTCTTAGAGGCTCTCCTTGTTACCTCAGCACTTAGTGAACATCTCTCTCTCTCTCTCTCTCTCTCTCTCTCTCTCTCTCTCTCTCTCTCTCTCTCTCTCTCTCTCTGTGTGTGTGTGTGTGTGTGTGCGCACGCGCGCGCTTGGTAAAACACTGGGGTGAACGAGTGTGTATCCAGTAAAAAGCTCCGCTTGCCTGTGATGATTGTGAGGACCCCATTCTCACATGAGTAAGCGCGCCTCCGCAAAAAGAAGAGAGGAAGGAGGAGGGCTGCATCCTCATTGACTGAGAGAGAGAGAGAGAGATAGAGCGAGAGAGAGAGAGAGAGAGAGAGAGAGAGAGAGAGAGAGAGAGAGAGAGAGAGAGAGAGAGAGAGAGAGCACGGACTCCGCCTATACCGCCCCAACATCTAGCTAGAGTCCGACGACGGTGGAGGCTCCACAGACCAGCACACTCATCCCCTTCAGCTCACTCAACTCCCGGCGTGAAAAGGCGGAAATGGGCTCCACGTAAACCCGGCGGTGGAGGGGAAAGGCGGGCAGCCGGGGGGTGGGGGGGAACGACGACGACAAGAGAGTGGTGGGAGAAACACCCAGAGAGGACAAACAAAAGCACAACCGAGGGTGCCTACAACCATGAGCGGCTTGCACTATTCGCCGGAGCTGCGGCTGCCGCTGCTGCTGCCGCTCTGTACGCGGACCAGGTCGTGAGGTGTGGCTCGGAAACGCTCCGGGGAACCTGTCAGCCGAAACGACTCGCCGAGGAGGTGGTGGGGTGGTGGTGGTGGTGGAAAAGATGTCCGCCTCAGTGGGGCCCCAGGGTGGCCCTCGCCCACCCACCGCGCCGCCATCCATGCCGGATCTGCCAGACCTGAGCCATCTCACCGAGGAGGAGAGGAAGATCATCATGGCTGTGATGGCTCGGCAAAAGGAGGAAGAGGATAAAGAACAAGCCATGCTAAAGTAAGGGCAAATTTTCCTCCTTTCATGTAGAAGTTGCGCGTAAAACAACGCAATCCTGCTACCAAAACGACACCTTTTACACCTATTATTACCAGTGTTACCAGTTTTACACACCCATTACATTCAGTAACACTTAGCTGATGCATCCTCTCTGCTCCATCACTCTACACTTGGTCGCTTTAGTGTCTTCTACCAACATAAGGATGTGTACAGCAAATAAAAGCTTAAGATGTGTCTCCACAACGAGTCATTCCCGCTACAAGTCCAGCCGGCAGCCTCACAAGCCTTGATCCTGATAAATCAACCTGTAAATGAAAACAATATTCAATGACAATCAATGGGGATGACCCGAAATAGGGTCAAACGTGTTGCAGGTGTAGATAAGACGGTGTGGATGGGGTGTGACAGTGCTGCTGACGGGGGGAGAGAAAGAGAGAAAGAAATAAAGATGTGTGTGTGTGTGTGTGTGTGTGTGTGTTTGTGTGTGTGTTTGTGTGATGGGGGGGGGGGGGGGGGTGATGAATCATAGCATTATCCATCGTTCACCCACTCGTTTTTCATCAATGGGGACTGCACCCCATCCCTCAGTTTACACATCTAACTGCGCTTTGATTTTACGCACGCGTAAGAGAGAGGCTGGAGAGGGTTTTTGCGATCTGTACGTGTGCGTGTGTGGTGTGGTGTGTGTGTGTGTGTGTGGGGGGGGGGGGGGGGGGGGGATCGCTATGGCAATAATGGCAACAACAATGACATTATAGCTCACAGGCCTGGACACAAACCGTTTTATAACCCCGACAGACGGACGGTGGAGGCGGTACGTACGATCATTTGTGCTCCCCCCCGGCGGAAAGAGGAAGATGGGGTGTGGTTAGAAATCTTGGCAGGCCCGAACCGGACACGATACAGATTTGAAAATACACCTGGCATCCCTTTACACCTTTTAAAACCCACTGTACACTCAGAAATAGCCACCTATAACCAAGCAGTAAGAGTATTGTCTATGTAAGAATGAAACTGAGCAGTCATGCACATCAGAAAGATGCTAAACAGACTAAAAGTCTAACATATCAAGGGAGCATAGATGTAGATAAAAATAAACGTGTAGGTGATTTTAAGCAAATCCTCTGCAGAGCAGACTCAGAGATGAGGGGAATAATTGTGTTTTGTGCTGTGGTCTGCCTGTGTTTGCTACAGCTGCCCCATACAAAAGCCTTGGTTACAGAGCACTTTGATGCCTCAGGGGTTTCCACCTCAAGCAGCAGCACCACAGTCTGTGTTTCCACACCTGCATCGGAGCATGTGAGGGCTCTGTTTCTGCCTCCATAATAAGAGATGCTGTCTCGCTGTAGCAGGTGTGCTGCATCCAAAAGCATCAGCACTCTGCTTCGCTTTGATTCTAATGGCTGTTTTCATTTCCTGCCTGCAGCCTGAAGGGGAAGCTGGGTGAGAGCTGCGTCGAGGCCCCTTGAGAGGAAGTGATGTATTTAATGTTCCATGAGGCACAGGCTCAGGTTCAGTCAATAATGGCTTCATCATCTGGCTAATCATTGATAGGAGTAGCTCGCCATGGACACAAATATGCAAGGATGGCTTGTAAGCAGTAGTGAGGCATCCGTGTATGTTTGCTACCTTGAATTTTGCAGCGTTGTAACGCAAGATACCGAATAGATCTTGGCAGACTTACGGAGCACATATAGGCCTAACACTAGCACACAAAATAGCGCATAGTTCACAGTCATGTAGTTGAAATGATTGGAAAAGCCTCTCTGTTTTGAGAGTAAGCCATGTAGATAAAAGCATTTTTCTTGCTAACAATGATCTCACCTTAAACCAAAGGTCTTTATCTGTTATGATCATTTTCATAATGCCTTTTGTTAACATATCAAACAAGCATTTTGCTTCATAAGCCTGAAATTAGTTTCAAATGTTTGTTCTTCATTTCAAAAGATGGGACATTGTGAAAAAGTTTGTAATTACAGAGTTTGATGTTTGCAATTCATTGAAACCCAATATATAAAGGAAGATAGCACAAGACAATGTATCACATGTTGAAATTGAAAATGTGATCGACTTAAGAAAGATATATGCACTGCAGAGATCAGTTTCTTGAGTTTTATTTATTTATTTATGTTTTTTTTTGATGTGCCAAATGTTTGTAGTAGGTGACAAGTCAGGCTACAGGTAGACCAATTTAGCAGTAGGCTTTTTCTACTTTAGAGCCATGCTGTTGTCTTATGTCCAGAGTGTGCATTGTCTTGTTGAAATATGAAGTCCTTCCCTGTATGAGGCATTGTCTTTATGGCAGCATATGATGCTCCTAGACCTGTATTTATTGTTTAGTGTCAATGGTGTCTTCTCAGATGTGTGAGCTACCCATGGTATTTCAGTATCCTCATACTATCATGGCTGTTGACTTGCGAACTGTACATTGATACCAACCCAGAGTGGCCCCTCTCCTCCAGAGTGGAGTACAGCTTGTCCATGATTTCCAAGAGGAAAGTCAAATTTTGTTTTGTCGGACTGCAGGACAGTTTTCTTCTTTGCTGCCTTCAGTCTGTTTTAGATGGGCTCAGACAAGAAGTCACCACATTCCTAAATCATACTCGTACAGATGGTCTCCTCTTTGTGTGGAGCATTTTAAATCTGCATTTGCGGATGCAGCCACAAACAGTATTTTCAGACAGTAGCTTTTGGAAGTGATTTTGGGCCCATGTAGGGATTTCTACTACAGGCTCATGCTTGTTTTTAATTCAGTGTCACCTGAGGGCTTAGGTCTAGTCCCGAACTGTGCAGAAATTTCTCTGATTTTTCTTGGATACTGAAGATGATAAAATCCTTAAATTTTTTAAATTGAAATGAATATTAGTCTGAAATTGCTCCGGCAAGCAAACATTAGCTTATTTGAACTTATGACTACTTTACTGCAGGTCAACAGTCATGTTGGCAACTAGAGTAACTCAACCATTGAATCCAAGATGTTTGGTGGGTTAGGAATCTGTATAAATAGCAGAGGAGCTGCTTTAATTTTATCAGACACATACAGTGATCCAAATAAATGGGAATCACAGACAGGGTGTCTTCACAGAGAGTGTTAGGATCTAACACAGCACTGTGACTTTACTGATCATCTCATATCTCCAGACACCGATAGGTTCAGTCAGAATCCAATGTAAATAAATAAAATGAAATGAAGATAAAATGGTTTCTACATATCTAAAAGGTCCCACACAGACCTACCAGGTTCATACAGTGAATAGTTGGATGTGAAAATAGTGCTCCTTTTGAAAAACAAACAAAACAACAACAACAAAAACCCAGTAATGATAAGCAGGGCTCAGAATCAGGTTATGTAGACTCAGTTTGTACTCATCCTTCTTCTGTAGTGACTCAGGCTAATCGTTAACTTTAACACTGAAAGTTTGATACTTGACAAGGGCTTGTGGTTAACAAAACATAGCATAATGTCCTATCATCACACTAACTGTTCCCAGCATTTACTATTGCAGCTGCTGTTTTGTAAAATAAAAATAGCTTGGGTGATGGTTTAGTTTGGTTTATATCATCATCATACGCTTCATGTACAGAGGCTGCAGGCCTTGAAGTAGACAGCCATGCCGCGTTCAAATCCAACTTGTGGCATTTTACTGCATGCCATTCTCTACTGTCTTTCCCTGCTCCCTGCTCTATCCACTCTTTCTTCCTCTGAATAAAATCATCAATAGTCTTAAAAAAGAAGAAATCAGTGAACATAGATAAATCATTGGTCTAAACTAATGTGGTAAGGAGATCATTTAATGCTTTCCGACTATAAGGCTCCAAAATTCCAGCAGGCCACTAAAGTACCAAAATTTTCTACCGCAGTTTTTCACCAGGACTGACATTGAATTTTCATCTGATCATTATTGTTCCCAAAAATTGATGCTCACAATTTTTTTACATTATTTATACAAAACTTACTTCATGTACCCTGCTAATAGACAGAGCTAACCAACTTAGATAACACTTTCCATTTTTTTTTACAATGTTCAAAGTTATGTTTAATTTGTATC